CCTTGAAATTCACATATTATTTGAAAAAAAACTAGCTCAGAACTTTATCGTAACTCTGTAAAACACAGCAAAATGAGATCAAGCGAAAGAATATCGAAAAAAAAACAGCAAGAAACCGAATAAAGATCACCACTTCGCACAAAAAGACAACAACGTTCGAAGATGATTAGCGAAATATAAAAATAATAACGTCAAAACGCGCCCAATTTATGTTAAGTATTCATCCATCAACGTGCCGATGACGAAGATTTCTTTGGCGTCCACGCGAGTGCCAATGAGTTTGAGCTAAAGAAAAATATTCTTTAATTTATGAAGTTACCGTAAAAATTCTAATAGAACGACCGGCCGTTGCAATCAAACGTTAGAAATTTAAATGATTCTAGTAATGAAGCTTAAAATTGGGTCTTCTTACCGTTAACCACAAATTAAAAAGGAGAGAAAACTTACTCGAATTTCGTTGTCCGGCTTGATAACAATTGACTCACTAAAAGATTCGCATTAACATTCAAAACAAGAAAGTTAACAACTTTTTAATCCGTAATATCACAAAACAAAACTTACTCGGTCGATTTGTAGCACGGTGGATTCGAATTTGGCTCAAATTCCATATCAGGCGGGATACAGTGACGGGAGATGAAACATTGAAGCGGACCTATGTCGCAGAAGATACCCAGCTTGTTCACCTAAACTAATGTATTAGAAAAAGCCTTGCTGTTTTTAAATGTTCAGCAATGTTTAGCTGTTCAGCTTTGCCCTGCCTAATAAAACTTTGTAAAGACAAGCCTGATTGACAACAGCATCCATGACTTGGCCTTTGAACGGGCGAAAGACGATCGCCTTGTACTTGACTGGGTAGATAACACATCCTCTCCCTAAAAAAAGTTGCAATTAAAAGAATTATTAAGTCAATAATCCGCACCTGGCTGTATAATTCCATGACCAATCGTGTCGATGGTTGTCACCGCGATCACAAAGCCGTATTTTCCCGTACATGTACCCTCTACCTGTAAAAAAAACATTAAAACATTTCAAAAACGAGATTTTTACCCAAAAAGCTATAATGTTATAATTTTTTTGCGTTTGATCATGGGTAATTGCTGAAAACGTAAAAAAAATGCTGTAGATATGTTGAACTTTCAGGATTTAGGGTTAAACAAAAGCTTTAAAACAACAGATAGTCCTTGTTTACTTGTTCTAAGAGTTTTAAAAACAATTCTGTGTTTTAAATTTAAAAATGGCAAGTCTGTGTTCCTTTTAAGCTTTAAAGCTTAAAGTGAAAGCTTTTAAGCTTTCACAGCGCTTGTTTACTGTCTAGATTTTAAAATTTAGCTTATAACAATAAAAAATATACCACACCTCACTGAATAACTTATTCTTGATGGTGTCGTGTAGTTGCGGACCGAAATATTTTGGATGCAGCGACACCTCATGATCCAACGCCAAATGGTAGAACATCTAAAATTTCATTCATTACATCAAAACAATGAAAAAACAATGAGAAAACAAGAAAAAAAGCGATGAATTGTATAGGCTACGTAGCGTTTTTTGAAAGTAGAAATAATGAACGCGTGTGGTCTGTGTACGAAAATTGAGAGAAATGGGGCAAAGAGGAGCGGATCGGTGAGGGGAAGACAACTATCAGGGTTAGGTCGGTTGGCAATAACATTTGCAATGAAAAGTGAAGGTTTAGACGTTGAACTTTGTGTAGAAGTGAACTTTTTGAGCTTAAGTGTTGGACTTGATCCAAATAAAATAATTTTTAAATAACTTTTCAAAAATCAAGGTTTTTAGTTTATTGATGGAATATCTTAAATTGTGAATAATTTCCTATTTTTATAAAAGCAAAAATCCTGTCGGAATTCATTTTTTATATTGTTTCCTCTTCTTATTAAACTTCTTATTAAACTCTCTTTCTTATTAAACTGTTCAATTTCTTGTATTTCCAGGCCCAATCGTCTCTTCTTTGTCTACGTTCAACAGAAAGACGGCCCATTCTTCGATTAGCGCTTCAATTGTCGATGTACACCCTTTCAGTGGGACTCTATGAGCATTTCTTCGCCAAACACGACTACTACATCGTCATCGTTGGGTTGGACAATGCCGGGAAAACGGTTGGTTTCGTGTTTTTGTGATTAAAATAAGAAAATGTAGAGCTTTTCGCTGCAATCTAATTTGAAAGTTTTAAGATGTTTTAATAAAACAGGCGTTTGATTGTTTTTTATATCTTTTGAGCGGTTATACTTAAATTCTGTTCTTGATTTGTTTTAATAAACGTTTTTAGACTTTCCTCGAGCAAATCAAAGCAAAATTCATCCGGGACTACGGCGTGTTGCGCCCATCAAAGATCACGAGCACGGTTGGATTGAATGGTTGGTTAAATGCTTTATACCATACTAGGTTGATGCAAAAGAAATTTCGGTTTTTTGCAAACATTAAATTTAATCAAAATTCATTTAGGTAACAATTTATTCCAAACAATAAGCACCATCGTTATTCATAACATCCCTCCAACGTTGCTTCAGATTGCGGATCCCCTTATCGAAGAACTCTTGATTCTGTGATTGAAAGTAGTTGGTCACCCAAATTTTGACTTCTTGCGCATTCATAAACTGGCAATTCGCAAGGGAATGTTGCATCGATCTGAAGAGGTGAAAATTAGGTGGTGATAAGTCTGGACTATATGGCGCATGCGGTAAGACGCTTCGTCCTAATTCCTCTAACTCCATACAAGTAGCTTTCGCTGTGTGAGCTGGCGCGTTGTCACGGAGAAAATTGATAGTCGAGGGAATTAAACCATTTTGACGCAAAATTTGGCCAACCTTCTTGAGATGTAAGCAACATTGGAAATGTTTGGCAAACTCTCGTGTTGTTTGCATTTGATCGGCTTCAATAAGTTGTCCCAATTCATTATTATCGATCGCTGCCGAACGATGCCCATGTGGTTCGTCTTCAAGAGATTCAATACCTTCTCGGAATCGGGCCAAACCAGAGCTGGCAGGATCTTTCGGTCATAACTTATTCTCCAAAAGTGGAACAGAGATCACGATGTGATTCGGTAGCGCTTTTGCCCATCTCGAAGTCGTAGAGAAAATGCGTGCGCACAACATACTTTTGACCCAACCATGAGCAAATATCAATTAAAAAGTGAAAGCTCTGTTTTGGAAAAAGCGTAAAAATAAAGTAAATATCCAAGAGTACAAATATACAAAAGAAAATCAAATAAGATTTCCAGATTCAAAAAATACCGACTGAAATTTCTTTTGCATCAACCTAGTAGCTTTTAAGATAGTTTTTATTTTTTCATTTTTTAAGAAAGTATTATCTTTAATGTATCTGTGTTAATGTCAGCTTATTTAGTCGGAAAAGTCGAGGTCGGTCAAGTGCGACTGAATTTCTGGGATCTCGGCGGACAGGAGGATTTGCGAACGCTTTGGAACACGTACTATTCGGTGGGTGCTGTGACGTTTTATAGCTAAAATTGCATGTACTACTTGTTACAAGCATTAATCTCAATGTTTGTACAGTAAAAACTTTCTTATCCTCTAAATTTAGGAAGCCAGCGCGTTGATTTTTGTCATCGACGGGACAAGACGAGAACTTTTTGACACCGTATCCTCGTGTTTTTGTAAGTTTTATCTCATAATCTTATAGGCTTGAAACTATAAATTTTTTTTGTGCAACTTTTCATTGTAGTTTCACAGCAGAACCTTTCAAGAATCTTTATTTACACTTTTGAGCATTGCATGCGATAAACCCGAGTAATAGCCTAAAAGAAATCGAGCATCAAAAGTTCTAAATCAAAAAGGGAAAAAAGATCTGACTGTAGATAAAATTTAGTTTCTGGATCAAATTATTAGTTTAAGATGATGTGATGAAATCGGAATTCATTCAACAAATACCAGTGTTGGTGGCTGTAAACAAGAGCGAATTGGACGGGGCGGCTACGGCGAGCGAAGTAAGCAAAATCCCCGAATGTGAGCAAATTTTGATCCAATACTAATTTTATCCGTGCCAGGTTTGGGCTGAAGTTTTTCTTTGAATGCCCTCTGAATTTGGTTCGAGTTCGAGACTTTCGATTGCATAGATACTGCGGCTTGCTAAAGCTTTCAAACTCTTTACGGAATAGTTTAACAGTTTTTAAAGGTAAAATTGGTATCGGCTCGGAATTTGCGCACAATTGTATGCTAGAGAGGAAAGTGTCAAGAAACTCTTTCAGTTATTCGTTCATTTTTGGCAGATTTTGATCTTAAAACTCATCTCAAGCGGTTTCTTTTGACATAAAATTTAAGATTATGAATCAAAAACTGAACGAATAACCGGCATTGCTGACTGGTTTAACAATGAAAAATCTTAGATACCTATTCAAAATTGTCCTTAAACCATGAAAATTTACGAATTCGATGTCAAGAGAAAGGATTATGTTGATGAAATGATATGAAAAATGAAAAAAAAAAAAGATATTTCAAGGGGGAAACCGTTAAAATAATACTATCGATATTGGGATTTGATATAATATTGATATTTTAGATTCGAACACTACTCTCCGATGATGAGCACCGGTCGGATTTGGCGGTATTGCCCGTGTCGGCGCTGGAAGGACATAACATCGATCGATGTGTGCGGTGGCTGGTTCGATCGCTGCAACAAGCCGATCAGAAACTGCAATTGTAGGGCTTTATGTGATACATTTGGTTTTTATAGGTTTACGGTGGCTTTAGACGAAATATCTTTTAAGTTTCAATTGAAAAAAAATACTCTGTTTTGTTGGCTAAATGCTATGACTGTTTTTAGATAGTCTAAAGCTACAGATGGACTTTTATATTTTAAATCTCTGCAGACAAGATGCTAAGTCTTGTTGACTGAGTATTTTTAACTGTTTTGTTACAATCTAAATCTCAAGTACCCCGTTTTATACTTGGTTGTGATACTCATCGATAATCTCCATCGTTCTTATTTGAGCTCACCGTTTTAAAGGAGTTCTATTTTGTGGCTATTCCTCATTGCTGCATGACCGCTCGTAGGATTGCCCTTTGTGAGTCCTTGACCACCTCGATTCCCACCGTTAGACTCATCCACTCGCGTCGGCGACCCTGAAATTCGGATGTGAAAGGCTCCCCTTAACCAATCCGTTTCTTAAAAAGTGTTCATTTTCTTTCAAACCGTAATCTTTTAGGAAACGGATTAGAGGAAAGATGTTCCTTAAAAGATGCCCTTTAGCTATCGTGCTCCTACAGCTTTTTTAAAAAAACTTGGTCCCAGAAGTACAGTAAACTTTGCTGGAGGGCACCTTTTAGAAAATGGTCTAATCTAACCCACCCTTTGCCCATCCTCCCAAACATTCAACTCCTCTTGGACTCGCATCAGAAAAACGGTGGTTCGGTGTTTTCTGTTGTCATCCTAAAATCGAAAATAATATAGGCTTTGTTTGAATGAATGAACTTCAATGATTTTGTTTGTTTTTAATACGGGTACCTGTATTTTTGTGTGTAACTGTGATTTTTTTTTGTAATCTCGATTGTACATACTGCTTGATGATAATGGTATTAAAGTAATCGTTTGAATTCAGCATTTAGCAAATAAAACTTGGGAATCTAGGTAAGTTTTTGGTTAACTCAATAGTTTTAGACATCGGCTCTACTAACTTTCAATGGAGTACCGTAACCTTTACCTGAAAGATGCCGATTTTTTCGATAGTTTGTGCCCGTACACCGGCCTCTTCTTCGAGTTCTCGTCTAAAACCATTATTTGTTTTCCTTTCTTTTTTTGCAAAACAAACGTTGCAGCTTGATCTGGCTGTTCATCTCTTTCAATTCCGCCTCCGGGCACCACCCATTGTTTACCGTCTTTTCCGCCAGACACGAGAAGAACCTGAGAAGATGAGAATTGAGCTTTGAACTTGAAAAGATCGATTGTTGGCTTTAGCTACTGATTAGTTCCCAAGTGTGCTCTGCATACCTTCATTCACTCACCTTTATTCCATCAGTCCCTTCTTCTCTCAAACATACACCAGCGGCTCTCATTCGATATCCATCTCCATCTCGAATCCTTTCCCCATTTTTCTTCGATTCTTTCCATCGACCTTCAGCCAGTGATTGCTGGGGACACCGCCGAGTGCTGAAGAGACTAAATTAAGAGCGTTTGAATTGATATACCGTATTTTCTCTAATAGTAGTGCACCCCGATGAGCCGAGGTGGTGACTATTTTATGGCTTCCAAAGTTTTCCTAGAAGCTCAACACTCTAATCATCGTCAAGATCTCATCGTCAGCTACATTTTCCGACCCCACGTCGATAGGTTCTGATAAGCGGTTCTCGAGATTTCGAGCAATTTAGGCGACGCTCGGGGTGCACTACTATTAGAGAAAATACGGTATCTAGGGTTGTTCTAGACCAAAATGAGACCAAATTCTCATTCTTATGGTGATTCTTTTTACCTGTTGTCGGCGTGCACATCCGAACGCACATCGGCGTTTGATTCTCTACCATCTGCTGGAAAATTAGTCTGATTTTCTACCATCTCAAGTATCTTTCTCCATTGAAATTTAAAAGATATTCAGTCTAAAGCTAGAGTAAACTTGTAAAAATTCATCTATAGCTTTAGACTATCAAAAAAACAATCATAGTATTCAGTTAAGTATCTTTTCAAATGAAATTTAAGATGTTCAAATTTTTCAAAAAGAAGCTCGATAGGCCAAAGTTGAGTTAAATTTCTTTCAAAACATCAAAAAAAGCTATTTCAAGCTTTAAGCTTTAAAAAAGCTCTAATTCAACGAAAATGTACTATTGGGAAATGAAAACGAGGCTAAAGAGAGCAAAAAAAAAAGACATGAACAGAGGGGAAATCGATTGATTGGAATGGGGGAAGGAGAAAAGGAAAGAGTTTGGGGAAAAGGTGTTTCAAAAAAAACTTGGTCCTAGTATTTCCTAGGTCCTAGGTCCTAGGACTCATGTATTTTCTCCTTAAATCTTGCAAAAGCACCCCTTCTGGAGTAATGATTTCTTGATTTTCTTGTGGAAATGACTTGGTTTCGCGAGAAAACCGAGGAATCCAGTGCGCCAGAAGTAATGCGTTTGTCTTTGAGCATTAAAATACCATTTGAAAAGACAAAAAAATCGAAGTCAGATCATTTAGCTGAATATTTTTATATCATAGAAAAGTTTAATCCTATTGCATCATTTAAAATCAATCATTTCAAACTTTAAAACTAATCCGAAAGGGTGAAAAGTTTAAGAATAGACTGGGATTAGTGGGATGTAAATGAAAGAAATGGGGGTAAAGTTTGTAAACGTGCAAAAAGTGAAGAATGATCAAGGGGAAAAGTATCATTTGGGAAAAGGGAAAAGGACGAGAGAATTTAAAAGAGAAAAGGCGGAAAAGAACGATAGGTGAGGTGAGAGGGGAGAGATGGAAATGAAATGAAAGGAGACGGAGAGACATGGAGAGGCTGGGGGATTCTTGGCTTGAGTTCTTGAGTCTCTTCAAGTCTTAAGCCTAGCAGGCTTTTAAGCTTGCTACAAAGACTACTGAGGCTGGGGCATTCTTAGCTTGAGTCTCTTCAAGTTTTAAGCTTAGCAAGCTTTTAAGCTTACTACAAAGAATACTGAGGCTGGGGGATTCTCGGCTTGAATCTCTTCAAGTCTTAAGCTTAGCAAGCTTTTAAGCTTACTACAAAGACTACGAGCCGATACACTAGTCAAAGACGATTCAGTGTGCCAGAAAAGGTGTGTTTAGACAAATTCGCGTAATTTTATTTAATATACTTGAGTGCTTCAGCTAAAGTACCCCTTGGAGTCTTCCAATTTGATATTTGATATTCATTTTTTTATCAAATAATCGAAATTTTCGATTTGATATTCAAATAAACCAAAAAAAATTCCTTTTTTTTCCTTTAAATCCTGAGTTTTTCATTTCGTTTTTGACGCTTTTCTTCCCATTTTTTATCATTTTTGTGCCAAAACCAAGGGAAATTATGCGAGCCATGAACCGAATTAGATCGGAAAAGGAAGAAAAATATTAAAAAAAAGGGAACCCTGGGCAACCCTGGGCAACCATCAGGATTGAAATAGGAAAAATCTTCTGATGTAACAAATAAATGACTTTTTAGAGATAGGCAGAATAACTGATATAGGCAGAATAAGTTATAAGTAAATAACTGATATAGGTAGAATAACTGATAAGTAAATAACTATAAATAGGCAGAATCAAATGAATAGTATCCAGCTTCTGGTCAAAGGTCAAAAGGGGTCATCCAGGTCAAAAAGTAATTCGGGGGCATACTTTGTGCTCAAATTTTGTAAAAGCATCCCTTCTGGTGAACTTCTTTAGTTTTTAGTTCTTTAGTTCTTTAGTTTTCTTCTAAAGCTGTAAAGTTTTCTTGTTTCTTCAAGAAAGTGAAGAATTCCTTGCGCCAAACGGGGGTGCGTTTACAATATTTGTGTAAAACATCAAATTCTCTATTCTTTTCCCCAAATCGATCAATGTGAGGTGTTTGGATTGGGAAAATGAACAGCCGCTTTAGGAAAAAAAAATAGAAAAAGCTTTCGAAAATTGCTTCTTCAAAGCGGATTTTGCGATTCTGAGGGGTAAAAGCGCTGGAAAATCCATGAAAATCTTGAAAATCGGATAATTTTTGGAAAACATTGTGAATCGTTCAAATTCTTGGCTGTTTTAATGGTGAATTTTATGAAAACAGTTCGGAAATCGATCAATATGCAGTGGATTTTGTGGGAAAATTTTGCAAACACACTCACTGGGGCACTTAAAACTAGCTAAAACCCAAGGCGAGCTACAGTACTCCAAAAGTTAGCTAGATTGCTACATTTAAGGGATGCGGTGTTTCTATCCGTTTACTTTATCTAACAATAGCTACAGTAACCCGAAAAGAAGCAATATAGTCTACTATATAAAGCCGAAGAGACGCCTGTCTGTCCGTCTGTCTGTCTGTCTATCCGTCTGTCTGTCTGTCTATCCGTCTGTCTATCTGTCCGTCTGTTTGTCTGTCCGTCTGTCTGTCTGTCTATCCGTCTGTCTGTCCGTCTGTCTGTCCATCTGTCCGTCTGTGCGCAAACGCGACGCTCCGTAATTACGTTTGCTCTATCAGCTCTATCAAAGGCAAAGTATTCAGCTTTTGCGCACGATATTTTGCTCTCGGGGTTTTCAGCTATGGGAAATCTGAATTTTAGGTCGATTTTTAAAAAGAGGGCGGGGCTTAACATAGGATACGGTAGTTTTAGTCATTTGAAAGAAAGAATGAGCGTTTTCCGCTTTTATAAACCCCAAAAGATACACAACATGAAACTGAAGTTCAAGATGTTTAAGAACGAAAACGAAAGAAAAATCGGCGTTCAAATGGCTCATTTGAAGAGGAGCTGAAGAGAAAAAATGTTTCCGAAAAGTTTAAAAAGAGAAAAAATAAAAAGGGGGCTGGTCAAGGGATGCCCGGGTCAAGAGGGGCCCTTGAGAGGGTTCAAAGAGACAAAAAGTGTAGGAAAAAAAGTGAAAATGGAAAAAATGACGTCATTCTCATTGAATGTCTCAAGTGAAAATCGAATGGGAAAAAGATTTTTGAGGGATTTTGAAGGGAAAACGAACGGTGGAGGAGAATAAGCAAAAATTGAGCTATGAAGGTTTGGCTATAGTAAGAGAAGTGAGAGCTACTGTACTGTACTAGCTACTGTATTGTACTAGCTACTGTACTGTACTACCTACTGTACTGTACCCGTTGCTCTGTACTGTACTGTGCTAGCTACTGTACTGTACTAGCTACTATACTGTACTAGCTACTGTACTGTACTACCTACTGTACTGTACCCGTTGCTCTGTACTGTACTGTACTAGCTACTGTACTGTACTAGCTACTGTACTGTACTAGCTACTGTACTGTACTAGCTGCTGTACTTCCATATACTATTGTACTATTTTAAATGTACTTCCATGTATATGTAAGCATGCTAAGTACAACAGTACTGTAGCTTCTGTACTATGCATAGGATCCTGTAATCAATGCATTTACCGCCTGTAAATGAGATTTGAAAATCGAGATCAAGCATCAATTCTAAAGAATCATAAACTTTAATCTAAAGTTTACAAAATAAATCCCAATTCTTAACTTTTATATCATTGCGAGTGAAATGAAAAATTGAGTTTTTGTCGAGTTTTGTGGGGGATTTTCGAGAGTTCCCCTTTGGGTGAATCACCAATGAAAAGTGAAGGGGCTGAGTAAACTTTGGATTTTGCAGAGGAAAACGAATGATGGTAGAGATGGGGAAATGAAATTGAATAGGGAATTAAAGCTAGTGCAATCTTTTTTCTAAAAAGTGCCCTTTCTGCAAACTAATCTTTACTCTAGTAGCTTATAAAGTACAGTACTTCTTACTAAATTAGAATAGAAAACTGGTAGAGATGGATAGATGCTTGATAGGCGTCTAAAAATAGCTAGATAAGTAGCTAGATAAGTAACTGGATAAGTAACTAGATAAGTAGCTAGATAAGTAACTAGATAAGTAGCTAGATAAATAGCTAGATAACTAGCTAGATAACTAACTAGACAACTGGTTAGATAACTAGCTAGATAACTAGCTAGATAAGTAACTAGATAAGTAGCTAGATAAGTAACTAGATAACTAGCTAGATAACTAACTAGACAACTAGTTAGATAACTAGCTAGATAACTAGCTAGATAAGTAACTAGATAACTAGCTAGATAACTAAAATATCTATCTACATATCTCAGTCAGGGAAGAAAAGGTTACGAAACAGAAAAGAAAGGGGAAAACGGGTTCAAATGATAAAAGGAAACATAAGAGAAGCTAGGGGAAAGCGTGGGAATGTGGGAGTGGGATAACAAGGGAGAACACTGATTGGGGGAGTAGAGGGGACGGGCAGACCACCCCTCCACCCTGTCTCGGACATCGCCCCGAATTTCACCGACTGTCGAGGTGAATGGAGCTTGTGTGCAAAGAAAAGTGAACAACATGAATGTTAAAATTGAATTCGATTGAGCACACAGGGCGGACTCCGACTATTTTTGCCGATCTGCAGACACAGAAATAGGACTTTTGCCAATTTTTGTTATCTGAAAGTGAGGTTGAAACTAAAAAACTCACAGAATTTAAAGATTAGGACTGGCCAGGGCTGAGCCAAACCCAATTAGAGCCGTTCTTCATAGAAAATTTGGAACATAAAAATTTGGAACATAACCCTTCTTTGAAAATTTGAATTTAGAGGCTGACAGAAATGACGGAAAGTCATTCTCAACTTCATTTGACTTCTCTGGACAACTCATTCGATCGGTCGTCAAGATGAACACAAAAGGAAACGGCTTTCTCGAGGCGCTTAAGGCTTGTTTTTTGATCTTAACCCAACTTATTAGTTTGGTGAATAAGTCTTTTCGTTCAGAAAAATAGTTGGCCTTTCTAATGAAATAAACCGTAGTTCAATTGATGCATTTGTTGGTTTTAAACGGAAGTACGAAAAAAAAACGAAAAGACTTTTTCACCAACCTAATACTTGGTTTTTACTAGAAAGCCTACTAGAAATTTTTACTAGAAAATTTTCGACAGTCTTTAAACGGTTTTTTGATCGAAAACTTGAGATTTTGAGCTTTTTTCAAGAGTTACGGATTTAAACGAAGAAAATTTGCTATCTATGAGATAAAAAGTCGATTTTGGCTAGGTTTTGAAGGGTAGATTCTGGTTTTGGAGCTAACTTATGGGTAAATAAGCCGACAAACTTCAATCTAGCATTCTAGAGCTTGTTTTTCTCTAAACATTCTAGTCATTTAGGATTTTATCGTGTTGCAGGCTTTCCTGACCAAAGTCTCAAACCTAGACACGTTGAAAGAATAGTGGAACGTTTAATTATTGAATTTGCTTTTTAATATTTCATTTTAAGGAGAAAACCCTCGTTCGACGTGACAAAACCACCGCAAAGGGCGCCGATTTGATCAAGGTTTTATTTATGAAGTAACTGAATATATAATTCTTTACATTAGGATAAAGAATTCATTGTGATCTACGTGGGCGCTTCTTTTCTCGCCGGCTCGGCTCGGCGAAATGTCGAGAACTTGAAGGTATCGTGGTTTCCACTAATTTGTCAAGTTTAACTTTAGAAATTCTACGAAATAATGAAAGATGAGAAACTTGAGATCATCTACCTCTCACAGGACAACAACGAGAAGGAATTCACAAAGCATTTCCATGAGAATCACGGCAATTGGCTGGCTGTGCCGCCTGGGACCGAGGATAATGAGTGAGTGGCTTGTTTTTTGTAAAAGAATACTGTGTAGTTTCCATTAAAACCTCTAAAATTGTTAAACGCATGTTGTTAATGTTGTTTAAGGGAATATTTAATGGCTTTAGAACTAGATACCAAGCAAAATTGAGTAACTTAGCTACTTACGATAAGCTCGTGATTTAGGGAATTGATGAAGACACTTGAGAACCCTACAATACCACATGTTATTGTCTACAACAAGCTTGGATTCATGTGTCGTCGCACTACTGGCACCGCGGTAAGTGATTGCTTTAATGTTCATTGATAATGCTCTTTAGGATCTCGAGAAGAAAGGAATTCTTGATAAGTGGCGAGCAAAGAATCAAAACGTGCAGTTTCGGTAGGCTTTTCGAGTCTTGATATAGGATCTACCTGGGTTTTGCCGTACTGAGCTCATATAGCTATCTTTATGCCTTCTAATGAATAAGTTTAGCCGAGGCAAGAGTGGTGATCGTCAAGTGTCGAGTCAAGAAAGTCAAAGCAAGGAGAGCGACGCGGTCGCCAAGGACAAAAGCGGAAAGAAGTGAATGACTCCGAAGGGAACAATTGCTTCAAAAACACAACATTTTAAATCTCTTTTTATACACACCGATTGATTTCTTTTTGGTAGTCGAATTGTCGTTAGTCTATGTTATGATGTGCCCGTTTTTGTCTTTGCATTTGAACAATGATCGCAATAAATATATTAAAATGGTGCTGATTATACTTTTGAAGTAGCGCCCACAAGTGTCCCTCAAAAAAAGTTGATTCATTGAGCTTCGCCAATTTTCAAACATCCAGAAATAGAAATTGCCTTTTCCCCTTATATACTCGTTTTCTCCTCTACGTTAAAGATATTCAATCTTGAAATTTAAATTTCAAAATTAAAAGTTATCTCGCCGGGGAAATTTTCGTAAAGGCTTTTCATTTCGAATTGGGGCTACTTTTGGGGACTTTTTAAAAGTTTGCACGATTTCGTCACTTTAGCTGTGAATGGTTAATGTTTTTCAAAAATCGAAACTCATTTTGTGCAGAACTTGTTTAAAATTTATTAAGTTTGAAGTGAGCTTGCTTATATTTTGGGGAGCAGCGTCGGCTGGCTAGGGCTAAACTAAAATCTTGCCCTTTTTTCACCTCCCCACCAGCTCCATAACCACGTTTGCATTGTTTGTTCTTTCTTTTTTGTTACCTTTATCAGCATCTATTCATCATTTCTTTTGGTCTTGAAAAGCTTTCAACGAAATGTCGCGTCAAGATTGGGACACTGAGTCCGGCGGAGGACGTCGAAGCTATGGAGGAGGTGGCGGTTCGTGTAAGTTTTCATTTTTTATGTTAGTGCTGAGTGTACTTCTTGCTTGATGGTTGTGGCGACCTCTTAGGTTTTGATGAATTTATTAAGCGTAAAGTTTATACAAATACATTGCTAATTCGTTTGTTTTAGATTCGGATCGAGGCGGACGTGGTGGCGGCGGGGGATACCGAAACGATAGCGGGTCGAATCGAGATGGAGACGGTGGACGCGGGGGATACGGAGGCCGAGGAGGATATGGTGGCGGTCGAGGGGGCTACGAAGGTGGACGCAGCGGCTACAGTGGACGAGGTGGCGAAGGTGGCTTCAGAGGAGGTCGTGGACGAGGAGGCGGTGGAGCTCCGTGGGGCCGGTCAACGCAGAACCAACCTAATGAGGTTAGTTTTGTGAGCTTAACTGTCTTTCGTCAAAAAAAGAAGTATTAGTGGTTTATATGTTGTGTCCAATTTGGATTGAAACATTTTTGCACGGTTTGCTAACATGTTTTTAATCATTATTTAGAAATTTCATAGAAGTTTAACTCTGGCAGCCTAGAGCAGCCCTTTGGGCTCCCATTTTGCTGAAAAAAGGCTTTCTTTTCTGCATTCTACTGTCAATTCAAACTAAAACATCAAAATCTGGAAACAAACTATTTTTTTCGGTTGCCAGAGTTCAACTTCTATGAAATTTCCAGATAATGATTCAAAACCTGATACCAGACTGTGCAATAATGTTTCAATTCCAATCGGATACAACACATACTTGTTTAAAGGGTTTAAAGAGTGTTACGTCCTTATTTTTAGTTGGGAATGAAGACACACGCCGTTGGAAAAGTGCTTGCAAACGATCTGGCGATCTCACTGGACAAGGCTCTATCCGTCTACAAATTCCAAGTTTGGGTGACCGCCACGGTTCAAACGAAAGATGGAGGAACGAAGGAGTTCGATGCCACGGCAACTTCCAAGAACACGTAAACTTCGGTGTATGAAAAGAACGGTTTACCTAAATTTAGTGTTACACTCAACCGCAAAAGAGCTGCATTGTCGAGTTTGATGAGGACCCTCTTGAAGAAGTTTGTTCTTTGTGTGAGTTTACAAACCAGTTTTATTTAGGGCTTTTGGCACGGACATTTCGTATCAATGCGTTTACGATTGCGGTGGAAGCATCTACTCTATTGATGACACACTTAATGGAAAAAGCCATGTCTTTGAAGTGGTTTGTTGGATAGCATTTTACTTTTAATTGTACGGATTTCAGGTTGATATTCCCGAGAAACATCGCTTGGCCTTTGCGAGGAAGAATTTGCTGCGAGTGACTTTCCGCTTCGAACATACGAAGATCATCCCACTTGGCAATGCTGACTTTAAGGTTCAGGACGAAGAGGAGAACCAAGTGGAGAACTACAGAGATGTCGCCGCTTTCTTGGATGTTCTGACTTCCGCAGTGATTCTTCGCAAGTTAGTTTTTTCGCTTAACGTTGACAAAGCTTCTTTCAGTAACGACTTCCACTACATCAAGGGTGCCTACTTTCACAAGGTGTTCCAACAAATGAGGCAATAATAACTGTATTATTTAGTCTTCTCGCGAAAACATGGAAACTGACATCGGACAAGGAATCGTGGTGCGCAAAGGATTTGAGAAGAGTGTCAAGCTTGTGTCGGCCAAATCAGGAAACCCACAATACTCGCTGAACTTGGCGGGTTTGTCCTTTTGTTTACTTGACGTCTAGTTGACGTTTGCTTTTAGTGAAGACAAAGCCTTTCTACAAGCCAGGAAACTTCCACGAGTTCTTGATGATGCGCTCCGGAGCCAGAAACGACCACGATCTTGCACAGATGCTCAAGAAGGAAAGCGCCATAAGGGATTTAGCAAAAAGTTTGGCAATGTTTTTTTGTGATAATTCCTGTTTTAGATGTGATTGTGACGACAACACATCTCGACGCTAATTTCGACTTTGGTAAGCATAAAGCAGATTGTGACTTTTTAAAATGGTTACTTTTAGGGGTTCATCACGTGCACAAGGAGTCTGCAAAAGAGTACGTTTGAAAGTAGGAAATTGTAAGTCATACTTTTTAGATGTATCATCCCCGGACTCGATCAAAGCGTTGCCATGTACTACCAAGAACGCTACAAGTTGACTTTGAGGGGTAAGTTAACTTGTTCCAACTATCCAATTCGAGATTGCTTTAGCTCCAAGTTTGCCACTTGCCACTGAGAACAAGAAAGGCCAGAGCTCGTACTATCCACTCGAGGTTGAGCTTTTAATCTGATCTTTTAACTTTTTATTTAGCTGCTCGAGGTGAGTCCGATTCAAAGTGTTCCAGTGGGAAAGCTGAAGGACCAACAGGCCAAAGTCGTCGAGATGACCCGTCTCAAGCCAGATGAGCACCAGAGAGATATGGAGCAACTTATTCCACAAATGGGCCTCGGACAGTTGGTGTGCTTATTGGGCAGTATCAAGTGAATTCAGGGGCAATCTGTATCTTCAACAATTTGGTGTCACCGTTGAGCAGAGGCCCGTGGAAGTGGACGCAGTTCAAGTGATCCGCCCCGCTTTGGTGTTTGGCTCGAAGGTGATCGAATTTCAAAGTCTCGTGCCTAATGGTAATCTTTAGACTTTTGGACCCGATCAGGACCAGAGCCCCAATGAGCTGAATTGGAATGGCACTTTCCGCGAGCGCTTCTACAAGCCAGCAAAGATTGGAAAGACTGCCGTGGTGATTTATCGCCAAGCTGTTCGCCATCCCGACCAACTCAATGGTCCGCTTCAAATGCTTGCTGATGCAGCTCGCAATCATGGTCTAGATGGCACTGAAAATCTGACGAGGGTTTGGTTTAGAGATTACTTTCCGATTAATTAAGAATGTTCAGGGTGAAGTTTGCCATTGGAATTCGATGAGCGACGACGAAGCAGCAAGGGCGATGGGGGAGCTGAAGGCGCGCGGATTCAAATTCGTGATCTTTGTTGGGGCCGTGAAGAACACCGACACGGAGGGACACAGTTGGGTTTATTATCGAAGTGCTGATGATCGAAGTGTCTTTAGGGATGATCAAATACGCGGAACAGAAGGCTGGCGTCGTCACTCAACATCTCGCTTGTCCCACGCTTGGAATCAACTCACGACCGATGGGTTCGCAATCAGTGCAGAACATTCTGCTGAAAATGAATCAAAAGCTTGGCGGCATCAACTACTCGATCGCGATCACGCCCAATATGCTTCAAAGCGCGCATAATTCTGCCGAGATGTAAGGATTTTGCCTGTTTGTGATTTAATCGATATATTTTAGGAACACCGAGTTCTTCGGAAAGTCTGTGATGTATGTCGGATTGAGCGTTTCGCATGATGGACCGCAATCTATCTTCGACCAACAAGCTGGCACTGAAATGAAGACTCCATCAACTGTTGGAGTGAGTTGCTTGTCGCTTTTTTGACACGTTTTGAAACGATTTATTCGTTTAGATGTGCTACAGCACTGAGACGCCAACGGCTTTCCGAGGAAAATATTGGTGGCAGCCGGCACGTCAAGTGCTGATTAGGTAGGCATTTAGAACAGATTTGACACAGATGAATTGTTTTAGCTCGTTGAAGGAAAATTTCATCTCGGCTTTGGAGAACTTCAAGAAAGAGGTCGGCGAGCACCCGAAGAAGATCATCATTTTCCGCGGTGGACTCAGTGAAGGCGAGATGTACAAGAATGCCCAGGACGAAATCGACGGTAAAGACGGAATCAAGGCGGCAACCAAGGCACTTGGAATTGACCCGCAGATCTATGTCGTTCTCACCATCGTCCACAGCTCAATGCGGTTTGTGCTTAGTTTCAGTCTTTCGGCTCATTTTGTTTTACCTTTAGTCTTTTGCGCACTGATGCAGCGCCTGGTGGACGACCAGTGGACTCGAACTTGCCTGCCGGTACAACCATTACACAAGGAATTGTCGATGCTCGTCCTGGAGTCGTTGATGCTTTCATCGTTTCGCAGAAGGGTCAAATTGTGGGTTTTCGGCGTAAATTGCGTAAATGTGGTTTAACTTTTTCTAGGGAACTTCTCGTCCAACTCGTCTTTTCTTGGCTTATCAGACTGAGACGGCGCCTCTTTGGACCAGTGATCACCTTTCGTGGATCGGAAATGCAATGTCCTATGGTAAAAAAAGTTTACGTATGTTTGGATATTTAATATTTTCAGCTCATGGTGTCTCGATGTGCCCAACTGGAATACCTGCCCATCTCTATGCGGCAATGAACCTTTCCAAGCGTGGAGGAGATGTACTTCGCAGCGGGTTCCAAGAATTTCTTTTGTCAATTGTATGTGCGTTTTAGTGGAGTTCCGGATAACGTGTCGATGACTAGCAGCGGATCGAACCGTCAGGCCGATGAGGAACAGTCGCGAGTGTACTACGACCGCTTGTGCAAAGAACTCGTCGTCGTCTTGGACAACGCTCAATTCTGGGCCTGATTGGATTGGATTATCATTGCGATTAATGCAGCTTATTTATACGTTGTTTTTCAGCCTTTCCCGGTTTTGCTAATACTTGTTTTTTTTGTTTTTGAAGTGAAGAAATAAAGATTATACTATAGGCTGGTATGATGAACATGGGAAATGGAGGTAAAACGGGTGTTCTGTTCCTGTTATAATAAGAATAAAAGGTACACTGCCAAACCAAGGTACACTGCCGGAACTAGAAGCTTATCGGCAACGGTTGGTCGTCTCTGAATGTTGACTATTGGTTGAGTCGTCTAAAGCTCGTCAGCAACTTCGATCTTTTCGGGTGAGGGAAGTGTCGATCTCGAGTTTGAATGAATCGAAAGTGATGAAATGGGCAAAATAAATGAAACGATTTTGTGCAAGTCTTGTTTGTTTGTCTTTGCGGTATTTTACACAGTCAAGGAAATTGTTTTGGGCTTCCGTTGCAAAAGCACAGCCCATTTTGAGATCAACGGTGATGTAACAACAAAAATCCTATAGCTAATGGATCAAGCTTTCATTTTCTCAAATCGAGCACCCATTTGTGCTGTGCTCGAAAAACCAATTTTTTTGCAGGTGGATGAAAATGTTATCGCCGCGGAAGGAATCGACCGATGAGTTCACATTCACGCAACGAACACCCGGGAAAGAGGGAAGATCGCACATCTCGGGGCCCTGGAGATGGATTTTTGAGTGGGTCCTATGGCCAAATTAAGCAAGCCACACTTATTTAATGGCATGTCATGCTTTTTGGCCTGACCTGACTCCTAGAAAGTTTATGCGTTAAGTGATGCCCATGCTTATGGCCTTGAGGAGCAGGCCTGGTTTTTGAGTATTTAGTTGCTATTTGTGTTATGAACAAGGATTTTCCAATCAGCCTTTATGGCCAGAAAGCAAAGCCAGAGCAGGGTCATGTCTAGGCCTAGCTGGCTTCTGATGGATCCAGGGGGCTTTTATGGGCCCGCCTAGAGCAGGCCAAAGCCAGGCCTAGACCAGGTCAGGGTCATTTTTAAAGCTAGGTCCGTGCTTGGTCTCCTGGCTGCTCTTCTGACTCGTTCAGGACTTTCTATGCATCAGGCCAGACCAAATCCAGATGGGCACATTACTAGGATCGATAAAGGATCAAGATTGCTCACCTTACACGTGGCATGTCTCTGTCCATTGTAGAATATCCGATCATAGCATTTCTCGATTAGCGGGTAATAAATTGAAAATTCGGGAAGACGGAGATAAATCTCGCCAAGAGTGCGCGTCATTTCCCTGAAGATTTGAAAGTAAGCTATAAGCGTTGGAAACTGTGATGAAAACTAATCGCCGAGTTGAAAATAGAATGATTTATGTGGCTTAACTCACTGAAAACTTTTTCGAATCTCTTGCAAATCATCGTTTGACATCAATGGCCGCTGGGGACTTCGATATTTCGGCGTTTGATTCGAGTTCTTGGTGAGTAGAGGATCGTACAGCGGAATGTCGATCTTTGACTCGAGAGATCCCGTTTCACTCTGTTAATATTCACTCGGTTAAAGTTAATTTTCAACCACTCACGAAATTCCAAAAGCGCAAATGCAGAGCCGAGTTGAGCTCGATCGGGAGAGTGATCTGGAAATGGAAATGGAAATGGAATTTCTGGTGCAACGGGTTTTCTCATATTTTCTGAATGTCTGTCTACTATAGTCTGTATTACTACAGTCTGTATTGTCTGTCTGTATTACTATAGTTCTGGTGTACTGTCTTGTCTTGTCTATCTATGGAAATTACGATTTTGAAAGGAAGAAAGTTGTCGAATCGGAAGATCGCAAAGAAAATGAAATGCTCGCACCAAATTGTCGCATTTTTTGCATTGTTGTTGCAGGATCCTTTCAATTATGGCAAGAGGAAGTCTCCGGAACGTCGTCGAAAGTTCATGAATGACATATTGGACGTCTGTTGTCAAACTCTGTTGCTACAGGACGTCAAGGCAGAAAATAAAGCTCCCATCCACAAAAGTACTCTTTCTCAAGCCATCATCAATACAGGTCTGTCGACAGTTTTTGGATAAGGATTAGATCGACTTAGACGTCTAACAGATCCAAGGCAAGGTTCATGAAGAAAGCACCAAAATTGAAATCGGCGCACAAGGAGAAAAAAAGGACGTCTTGGGCTCGGCATCACATCACCATCGATTCGAGAAAAGTATACTACAATTACAGTAAACCCTGGTTTACTGTAATCGTAGCCTAAACCTAAACCCTGGCTTACTGTAATCACCATAGTTCTAGTGTACTGTATCTACAAGACAAAGAAAAAGAAAAAACTGATCTCTGTCGCACTCACTTGTTCGTATCCGTCTCGTATCCCATACGATTTGTGTATCCAAACGGAATCGATCCTCTCCGGTCGGACAACCACTTTTCCCCAGCGTGTCTCACCGCGGAAACGAACACTTGTCAACACCTCGTCCACCATGTAATTCGATGGGGAAATCTCTGCAAGAATCAGTGTGCCAGATTGTTAAAGTTTCGGCGAATCGGGAACAGCTAAGAACTACGCTACGAACTACGCCATGAGCTATGCCACGGGCTATGCCATGAGCTATGCTATGAGCTATGCCATGAGCTATGCCATGAGCTATGCCATGAGCTATGCCACAAGCTACGCTACGAGCTACGCTTAGGCTTAGGCTTGGACTTAGTGCGAAGGCTAGCGGCTAAGCTAGCACTAAGTCTATTTGGGTTTGGGCTGAACCCCCATTTTCTGGATCTCAGCCAGTTCTCGGAGCTAAGGGACACCCGTTTGGCGATGTGCATGCGCCCCCCATAGGTTAGGCTTAGGCTTAGCCCCCCCCTACGCCACGAGCTACGCTACTAGCTCAAGAATTTGTAAACCTATCCTTTCTAGTGGCATTCATCATTTTCTTGCGGAAACGATTGACTTGTTGAGGGATTGAGTGCGCCAGAAGGAGTGCTTTTACAAATTTCAAACACAAAGAACACTTTCTATAAACGAACCCGCGTGGATATCGGTTTGACTCATATTGTAAGCGATGACGGCCGCCTCGGGGAAAAGAGCGAAAATTTGCGAGAATTCCTGAAGCAATTTTTATTTCTATGAATATCAGGAATATAATTTGTGATTAGATGCAAATTTTAAATACCTGTTCAAAATTTTTTCCCAACCGCGGGATGATGATGTCGTCGGTGTCTGGGAAAATTATGTAGCTCGCGGATTCCTGTTTATTTTTTTTGTAACTTCATTTTTGCACTTTCCCATTCTCACCTTGTACATAAGAAGACAATCCGTCATGGCGCCGGCTTGATTTCTGAAAATTTCTAATCAAGGCTGGATCAAGACTAGATCAAGACTAGATCAAGACTGGACAAGACTGGATCAAGACTGGATCAAGACTGGATCAAGACTGAATCAAGACTGGATCAAGACAATCAGTCATTCTCGTCAGATCTTTAAGCTCAGAAAATCTCTGGTCAAATCTTTCCTGGAAATTGATTTGACTAGCCAAAACTGGAATAGCCAAAACTGGAATAGTTTTGGCTAGTTCAAAAACTAGCCAAAGCTATTCCAGGTTTTTTTTTGGATGAGGATTAGATCGACTTAGACGTCTAACAGATCCAAGGCAAGCTTCAGCTCATAAGACAGGCCTTAGCCATGGTAGTTTGAACCAAGATCAGTGCTGAGAATCTGGGATTGGATGCTAGGATTGGCTCCAGTCTCATTCACTCAACTCACCGAAATTCCAATTCGAAATCCGGTCGAAATCCCGGCCCACTCGCCGACTCTTTGCCCAAATGAATGCCCGACCAGGGGACGACCCGAGAGTGTTTGTAGTACTAAAAATGACTTGTAGTGGTATTTGTAAGCTGATAGGCTCACCTTTAGAACATCGAAAAGATCGGTGATCATACTGCGCACATAGAAATGCATGAAAGCTCCGTAGTGGGAGTAAACCTGAAAGGGGCTTGTGAAAGCTAAATGGTGTACTGTAGCAGGTAAATATAGCAGGTAAGTATAGCAGGTAAGTATAACAAGTATTGCCAGTATACTGTAGCATTGTCAGTATATAAAAGCCATCCAAGCCAAGCCAAGCCAAGCCATTCTTTCCACAGTTTACTAGAGTCACTCACTCATTTTTCCATTCATTTTCTCTTCATTTTACCTGTGCTGTGAGTATCAACAATTGCCATCGTTCATTGAGGAAAAGTGGCGAAAAACACGCGACAACTGGATGCTTTTCTGGATAAGGTTCACGGAGATTTAGCTGGAATGAAAATGAATCGAAAGAATCGGATTGACTCTAAGCTTTCCATTTGAAAGCTTTGCGTATGAAAGCTTTGCATTTGAAAGCTTTGCACTAAAGCCATCAATTCTTTCTACGGCATGATTACAATAACTTGCAAGAGTTACCTCAATCTGCTTTTCCCCGGAGATCAACCGAACGCCGGCACTGCTGGTAATGTCAAGCTAAAAATGGCCAAGTTGAGTAATTGAATGGATCCGGAAACTGTTCTTCTTTGACATTCCCCTCACCTCTCCAATCGCAATGAATGGCACCCATTTGCAGTAGAATGGCATCTGGCCGATCACAGGCATTATCCTGGAAGAGGTTTTCTGAATGGACCAAATTTCAAGAACTAGGCAAAACTGGGCAATTCTGGGCCAGCTCAGGCCTCTGGATCGAACAGATCTAAAAACTATGACCTGTCAGGATCCTGTTCCTCGCATGGCTTCTGCCCGGTTCAGTATTCTGATCAGGCTAGCCTGATCAGAATACTTGCTACCAGAGCTACCAGGCTACCAGAGACAACTCCAAGCCTCGTCTCTCCAGCTTTAGCTTAGCCTTCTTTTGAACTGAGCCAAAGCTATGTAGCTTAGGTCACAGCTAGTTTTTGGGTGGAGACGAGGATTGGGTTTAGCTCTGATAGCCTGATCAGAATTCTGAGTTTAAACCCAAATGTCAAGGATCAATTGTACAAACACAAAAATTCAATTTTCCAATTCTTGAGCTATTTTTGCTGACCTTAACGTTGCTCTTGTCGTTTCATTTCCTGCAAAAGTCTCAATCTCGAAAGACGAGTGTTTATAGTGGAAAATTTGATGAGCGACGAAGAGAAGGACCAAACTGTTGTTGGAGAAGCTGGAAAAGGAATGGATTTGATTGCAGGACACGAAAAAGAGCTTTTGCAAGATTTGAGAGCAGAAAGTGCAAATGAAACAAGGAAAAGAAGCAGTCAAAGGAGTCAAAGCCTAAGCACTCAAAGCAGTCAAAGCCTAAGCAAACCTTTTCGACGTATTGTAAAAAGTGGCTGAAAGCAGAGCAATGTCGTCCTCTAAAATTAAGCTCTAAAAAAGCTATCAAAGCTTGCATATAAGAAAACTCACGCCTTTGAACATAATGATAAACGATATTATTATGCTGTCGATCGAAAACGGAAAGTGCGGTGAGGGCTGAGAAAACGAAGAGACAAATCGAGAAAACGAGGGATGAGACGAGAATTCGACGGTATTTTCGACCTGAAAAATCATCGTAAATTTTTTTCCTTTGGCCTAATCGGGAAATGGTTGTGCTTTGAAATGGTTATGCTTTGAAAGGTGATAACGTTAGCAAGGTTGGAGCATGACACAAGTTTAGCCTACTAGTTTAGCCTACTACTAAAGAGAGTACTTTTCTGGGGTACTTTTAAAGTACTGTAAAAGAGTGTCGATTCCAGGGTACTTTTAAAGTACTGTAAAACCCCAAGCTTTCACAATATCCCTGAGTCTGAGTCTAGAGCCATGTAAAGTGCCTTCTAAAGTGTAAAGTAAAGTAAAGTAAAGTTGGCTAAAGTGCTTAAACGAGGAGATTTGGTAAATCGAGTAATCGACTCTAAAGTAATCGATTTTAGATCAAAAAAAAAGTCGGACCTCTGAGAAAAAGTCGAAATCGTAAATGCCATCGCTGAATGGCTGGCATAGAAATGTGAGAATGATTAGAATGATTGATTAGAATGATTCGAATGATTGATTAGAATGATTCGAATGATTGATTAGAATGATTCGAATGATTGATTAGAATGATTCGAATGATTGATTCGAATGATTAGAATGATTAGAATGATTGCTTCAAATCAAATGATTCAATTCAAATTCAAATTCAATTCAAATTCAAATTCAAATTCAAATTCAAATTCAAATTCAAATGATCAAAATTCAATTCAATTCAAATTTTCAAAGCCGGGATTGTGGATTCGTTTGGTGAAAATGAGGGAAACATTTGAAATGGCAGAAGAGCGAGGAGAACCTGCCTTTGTAGAGATTTTGTGGGAAGATTTCGGGAAACAGGAGCGATTGAAAAAAAAGGAGTGAACGTTCACTCCTTTTTTCAGCCCGTCCACTCCTTTCAACTCCTCCTCTTCAATTCGATTCGAAACAAAAGCCATGCTCTAGGAGGTGGTTACGAGAAACGGAAAGAGACTCGGGTTTTTGATGATTGATCTTTGGGGTTAAGATATTTGCAATTATTTATTTGCTCAATGTTACTTTGGTCTTTTCTGTAAGCTAAAAGGCTAAAAAGCTAAAAAAGCTAAAGATTTTAAGCTTTAAGCTAGAAAAGCGCAAGTTTTTGAATATCTTTTGATTTTCAAAGCAAAACTAGAATGGGGCAACTACGCAATGCGACGAGCGGAAAAACGTAGCTGCCCAATTTCTTTGAAAATTAAAAGACTAAATTTTTCGTTTTTTTTCTCCCTTGCAATCCTGGGCAAAACCCAAGGTTCCAAGCGAATGCCAAAAGATTAGGATTGGCTTAGCGTGATTCAAATGCATCGTTGTCCGCTTCGACTCGATCGGTGACTCGGTCGATCTCAAAATAGAGCCTCTGATTAAGTCAGCCGGGGATCAATTTTGTCTTTTATCATTCCAAGCACTGGAAATAGCTTCAAGAGTGATTTTAAGCAATGAAAATAGCTTGGAATCAATCCATCCATTGCTTGGAATCAATCTTGATTCCAAGCAATGGAAATAGCTTTCATATCGAACAACAACAACAACTAGACTAGACTAGACAACGAGACAACCTTGCTATCCAATCGAAATTCTGTCAATCAACCGAACGCCGGCACTGCTGGTACTCCAAGCTAGCCCGCCCAAGTCTCGTCTTCACCCAAAAACTATCTGTGACCTAGCTACATAGCTTTGGCTCGGATCAGATCATCATCCGAGGCAATCCGATTCGATCCATCGGATGGTAAATCTAGAATAAACAAATGAAAGCTTTGAACTTTGTAAACCCATTGACCCTGGTTGAACTATTGAGGCTTTATTGAGAACTAGGCTTTATGGATTGAGGCTTTATGGATTCGATCTCTGAGATCATTATCCGAGAGCTTAAATGGAGAGGAGACAGTAGAAAGACTCGAATGAAACCTTGAAAACAATAAAGATTAACAAACAAGAGTGTCAGATTCGATTTCCGTGAAAAGGAAAGCGAGTTGTCTACTTTTTCGGGAAAAGAAAGGAAGATTTTTTCGACAGATTGTCCCATTGAAGCATTCTCCAAAAATCTGCGAAAATTTCTTGTTCACTCGATTCAGAACGGGTTTTTTTACGAAATGGATCGAATCTTTTTCGTTTTTTCATATTTTATTTAAAAATAACAAATTCATCAATAAATCTATCGTTTTCTCTAAATAAAAAGTTTTTACTATTAAAATTTCCATCTTTTGAAGTTATTTAAGTTTTTAATGAAATAAACAATAATTTAATTGGTGGATTTGTTAGTTTTAAATAAAAAACAACGAAAAGAGACGTTAAAGGACTAGAAAGTTGACTCTACATTTAACCCTGATACTGTCATCGGCCAAACGTTGGTTTTTAGACTGTCGTTCTTTGAATCTATTCGGCAAATGTTCCAATCTCACTTTTATTCTTATTATAACAGGAACAGAACACCCGTTTTACCTCCATTTCCCATGTTCATCATACCAGTATAGTATAATCTTTATTTCTTCACTTCAAAAACAAAAAAAACAAGTATTAGCAAAACCGGGAAAGGCTGAAAAACAACGTATAAATAAGCTGCATTAATCGCAATGATAATCCAATCCAATCAGGCCCAGAATTGAGCGTTGTCCAAGACGACGACGAGTTCTTTGCACAAGCGGTCGTAGTACACTCGCGACTGTTCCTCATCGGCCTGACGGTTCGATCCGCTGCTAGTCATCGACACGTTATCCGGAACTCCACTAAAACGCACATACAATTGACAAAAGAAATTCTTGGAACCCGCTGCGAAGTACATCTCCTCCACGCTTGGAAAGGTTCATTGCCGCATAGAGATGGGCAGGTATTCCAGTTGGGCACATCGAGACACCATGAGCTGAAAATATTAAATATCCAAACATACGTAAACTTTTTTACCATAGGACATTGCATTTCCGATCCACGAAAGGTGATCACTGGTCCAAAGAGGCGCCGTCTCAGTCTGATAAGCCAAGAAAAGACGAGTTGGACGAGAAGTTCCCTAGAAAAAGTTAAACCACATTTACGCAATTTACGCCGAAAACCCACAATTTGACCCTTCTGCGAAACGATGAAAGCATCAACGACTCCAGGACGAGCATCGACAATTCCTTGTGTAATGGTTGTACCGGCAGGCAAGTTCGAGTCCACTGGTCGTCCACCAGGCGCTGCATCAGTGCGCAAAAGACTAAAGGTAAAACAAAATGAGCCGAAAGACTGAAACTAAGCACAAACCGCATTGAGCTGTGGACGATGGTGAGAACGACATAGATCTGCGGGTCAATTCCAAGTGCCTTCGTTGCCGCCTTGATTCCGTCTTTACCGTCGATTTCGTCCTGGGCATTCTTGTACATCTCGCCTTCACTGAGTCCACCGCGGAAAATGATGATCTTCTTCGGGTGCTCGCCGACCTCTTTCTTGAAGTTCTCCAAAGCCGAGATGAAATTCTCCTTCAACGAGCTAAAACAATTAATTCATCTGTGTCAAATCTTTTCTAAATGCCTACCTAATCAACACTTGACGTGCCGGCTGCCACCAATATTTTCCTCGGAAAGCCGTTGGCGTCTCAGTGCTGTAGCACATCTAAACGAATAAATCGTTTCAAAACGTGTCAAAAAAGCGACAAGCAACTCACTCCAACAGTTGATGGAGTCTTCATTTCAGTGCCAGCTTGTTGGTCGAAGATAGATTGCGGTCCATCATGCGAAACGCTCAATCCGACATACATCACAGACTTTCCGAAGAACTCGGTGTTCCTAAAATATATCGATTAAATCACAAACAGGCAAAATCCTTACATCTCGGCAGAATTATGCGCGCTTTGAAGCATATTGGGCGTGATCGCGATCGAGTAGTTGATGCCGCCAAGCTTTTGATTCATTTTCAGCAGAATGTTCTGCACTGATTGCGAACCCATCGGTCTTGAGTTGATTCCAAGCGTGGGACAAGCGAGATGTTGAGTGACGACGCCAGCCTTCTGTTCCGCGTATTTGATCATCCCTAAAGACACTTCGATCATCAGCACTTCAATAATAAACCCAACTGTGTCCCTCCGTGTCGGTGTTCTTCACGGCCCCAACAAAGATCACGAATTTGAATCCGCGCGCCTTCAGCTCCCCCATCGCCCTTGCTGCTTCGTCGTCGCTCATCGAATTCCAATGGCAAACTTCACCCTGAACATTCTTAATTAATCGGAAAGTAATCTCTAAACCAAACCCTCGTCAGATTTTCAGTGCCATCTAGACCATGATTGCGAGCTGCATCAGCAAGCATTTGAAGCGGACCATTGAGTTGGTCGGGATGGCGAACAGCTTGGCGATAAATGACCACGGCAGTCTTTCCAATCTTTGCTGGCTTGTAGAAGCGCTCGCGGAAAGTGCCATTCCAATTCAGCTCATTGGGGCTCTGGTCCTGATCGGGTCCAAAAGTCTAAAGATTACCATTAGGCACGAGACTTTGAAATTCGATCACCTTCGAGCCAAACACCAAAGCGGGGCGGATCACTTGAACTGCGTCGACTTCCACGGGCCTTTGCTCAACGGTGACACCAAATTGTTGAAGATACAGATTGCCCCTGAATTAACTTGATACTGCCCAATAAGCACACCAACTGTCCGAGGCCCATTTGTGGAATAAGTTGCTCCATATCTCTCTGGTGCTCATCTGGCTTGAGACGGGTCATCTCGACGACTTTGGCCTGTTGGTCCTTCAGCTTTCCCACTGGAACACTTTGAATCGGACTCACCTCGAGCAGCTAAATAAAAAGTTAAAAGATCAGATTAAAAGCTCAACCTCGAGTGGATAGTACGAGCTCTGGCCTTTCTTGTTCTCAGTGGCAAGTGGCAAACTTGGAGCTAAAGCAATCTCGAATTGGATAGTTGGAACAAGTTAACCTACCCCTCAAAGTCAACTTGTAGCGTTCTTGGTAGTACATGGCAACGCTTTGATCGAGTCCAGGGATGATACATCTAAAAAGTATGACTTACAATTTCCTACTTTCAAACGTACTCTTTTGCAGACTCCTTGTGCACGTGATGAACCCCTAAAAGTAACCATTTTAAAAAGTCACAATCTGCTTTATGCTTACCAAAGTCGAAATTAGCGTCGAGATGTGTTGTCGTCACAATCACATCTAAAACAGGAATTATCACAAAAAATATTGCCAAACTTTTTGCTAAATCCCTTATGGCGCTTTCCTTCTTGAGCATCTGTGCAAGATCGTGGTCGTTTCTGGCTCCGGAGCGCATCATCAAGAACTCGTGGAAGTTTCCTGGCTTGTAGAAAGGCTTTGTCTTCACTAAAAGCAAACGTCAACTAGATCAAGTAAACAAAAGGACAAACCCGCCAAGTTCAGCGAGTATTGTGGGTTTCCTGATTTGGCCGACACAAGCTTGACGCTCTTCTCAAATCCTTTGCGCACCACGATTCCTTGTCCGATGTCAGTTTCCATGTTTTCGCGAGAAGACTAAATAATACAGTTATTATTGCCTCATTTGTTGGAACACCTTGTGAAAGTAGGCACCCTTGATGTAGTGGAAGTCGTTACTGAAAGAAGCTTTGTCAACGTTAAGCGAAAAAACTAACTTGCGAAGAATCACTGCGGAAGTCAGAACATCCAAGAAAGCGGCGACATCTCTGTAGTTCTCCACTTGGTTCTCCTCTTCGTCCTGAACCTTAAAGTCAGCATTGCCAAGTGGGATGATCTTCGTATGTTCGAAGCGGAAAGTCACTCGCAGCAAATTCTTCCTCGCAAAGGCCAAGCGATGTTTCTCGGGAATATCAACCTGAAATCCGTACAATTAAAAGTAAAATGCTATCCAACAAACCACTTCAAAGACATGGCTTTTTCCATTAAGTGTGTCATCAATAGAGTAGATGCTTCCACCGCAATCGTAAACGCATTGATACGAAATGTCCGTGCCAAAAGCCCTAAATAAAACTGGTTTGTAAACTCACACAAAGAACAAACTTCTTCAAGAGGGTCCTCATCAAACTCGACAATGCAGCTCTTTTGCGGTTGAGTGTAACACTAAATTTAGGTAAACCGTTCTTTTCATACACCGAAGTTTACGTGTTCTTGGAAGTTGCCGTGGCATCGAACTCCTTCGTTCCTCCATCTTTCGTTTGAACCGTGGCGGTCACCCAAACTTGGAATTTGTAGACGGATAGAGCCTTGTCCAGTGAGATCGCCAGATCGTTTGCAAGCACTTTTCCAACGGCGTGTGTCTTCATTCCCAACTAAAAATAAGGACGTAACACTCTTTAAACAAGTATGTGTTGTATCCGATTGGAATTGAAACATTATTGCACAGTCTGGTATCAGGTTTTGAATCATTATCTGGAAATTTCATAGAAGTTGAACTCTGGCAACCGAAAAAATAGTTTGTTTCCAGATTTTGATGTTTTAGTTTGAATTGACAGTAGAATGCAGAAAAGAAAGCCTTTTTTTCAGCAAAATGGGAGCCCAAAGGGCTGCTCTAGGCTGCCAGAGTTAAACTTCTATGAAATTTCTAAATAATGATTAAAAACATGTTAGCAAACCGTGCAAAAATGTTTCAATCCAAATTGGACACAACATATAAACCACTAATACTTCTTTTTTGACGAAAGACAGTTAAGCTCACAAAACTAACCTCATTAGGTTGGTTCTGCGTTGACCGGCCCCACGGAGCTCCACCGCCTCCTCGTCCACGACCTCCTCTGAAGCCACCTTCGCCACCTCGTCCACTGTAGCCCCCTCGACCGCCACCATATCCTCCTCGGCCTCCGTATCCCCCGCGTCCACCGTCTCCATCTCGATTCGAGCCGCCATCGTTTCGGTATCCCCCGCCGCCACCACGTCCGCCTCGATCCGAATCTAAAACAAACAAATTAGCAATGTATTTGTATAAACTTTACGCTTAATAAATTCATCAAAACCTAAGAGGTCGCCACAACCATCAAGCAAGAAGTACACTCAGCACTAACATAAAAAATGAAAACTTACACGAACCGCCACCTCCTCCATAGCTTCGACGTCCTCCGCCGGACTCAGTGTCCCAATCTTGACGCGACATTTCGTTGAAAGCTTTTCAAGACCAAAAGAAATGATGAATAGATGCTGATAAAGGTAACAAAAAAGAAAGAACAAACAATGCAAACGTGGTTATGGAGCTGGTGGGGAGGTGAAAAAAGGGCAAGATTTTAGTTTAGCCCTAGCCAGCCGACGCTGCTCCCCAAAATATAAGCAAGCTCACTTCAAACTTAATAAATTTTAAACAAGTTCTGCACAAAATGAGTTTCGATTTTTGAAAAACATTAAGCATTCACAGCTAAAGTGACGAAATCGTGCATCGTGCACTTTTAAAAAGTCCCCAAAAGTAGCCCCAATTCGAAATGAAAAGCCTTTACGAAAATTTCCCCGGCGAGATAACTTTTAATTTTGAAATTTAAATTTCAAGATTGAATATCTTTAACGTAGAGGAGAAAACGAGTATATAAGGGGAAAAGGCTAATTTCACTTTCTGGATTTTTGAAAATTGGCGAAGCTCAATGAATCAACTTTTTTTGAGGGACACTTGTGGGCGCTACTTCAAAAGTATAATCAGCACCATTTTAATATATTTATTGCGATCATTGTTCAAATGCAAAGACAAAAACGGGCACATCATAACATAGACTAACGACAATTCGACTACCAAAAAGAAATCAATCGGTGTGTATAAAAAGAGATTTAAAATGTTGTGTTTTTGAAGCAATTGTTCCCTTCGGAGTCATTCACTTCTTTCCGCTTTTGTCCTTGGCGACCGCGTCGCTCTCCTTGCTTTGACTTTCTTGACTCGACACTTGACGATCACCACTCTTGCCTCGGCTAAACTTATTCATTAGAAGGCATAAAGATAGCTATATGAGCTCAGTACGGCAAAACCCAGGTAGATCCTATATCAAGACTCGAAAAGCCTACCGAAACTGCACGTTTTGATTCTTTGCTCGCCACTTATCAAGAATTCCTTTCTTCTCGAGATCCTAAAGAGCATTATCAATGAACATTAAAGCAATCACTTACCGCGGTGCCAGTAGTGCGACGACACATGAATCCAAGCTTGTTGTAGACAATAACATGTGGTATTGTAGGGTTCTCAAGTGTCTTCATCAATTCCCTAAATCACGAGCTTATCATAAGTAGCTAAGTTACTCAATTTTGCTTGGTATCTAGTTCTAAAGCCATTAAATATTCCCTTAAACAACATTAACAACATGCGTTTAACAATTTTAGAGGTTTTAATGGAAACTACACAGTATTCTTTTACAAAAAACAAGCCACTCACTCATTATCCTCGGTCCCAGGCGGCACAGCCAGCCAATTGCCGTGATTCTCATGGAAATGCTTTGTGAATTCCTTCTCGTTGTTGTCCTGTGAGAGGTAGATGATCTCAAGTTTCTCATCTTTCATTATTTCGTAGAGTTTCTAAAGTTAAACTTGACAAATTAGTGGAAACGAAGATACCTTCAAGTTCTCGACATTTCGCCGAGCCGAGCCGGCGAGAAAAGAAGCGCCCACGTAGATCACAATGAATTCTTTATCCTAATGTAAAGAATTATATATTTAGTTACTTCATAAATAAAACCTTGATCAAATCGACGCCCTTTGCGGTGGTTTTGTCACGTCGAACGAGGGTTTTCTCCTTAAAATGAAATATTAAAAAGCAAATTCAATAATTAAACGTTCCACTATTCTTTCAACGTGTCTAGGTTTGAGACTTTGGTCAGGAAAGCCTGCAACACGATAAAATCCTAAATGACTAGAATGTTTAGAAAAAAAACAAGCTCTAGAATGCTAGATTGAAGTTTGTCGGCTTATTTATCCATAAGGCAGCTCCAAAACCAGAATCTACACTTCAAAACCTAGCCAAAATCGACTTTTTATCGAGATAGCAAATTTTCTTCGTTTAAATCCGTAACTCTTGAAAAAAGCTCAAAATCTCAAGTTTTCGATCAAAAAACCGTTTAAAGACTGTCGAAAATTTTCCAGTAAAAATTTCTAGTAGGCTTTCTAGTAAAAAACAGTATTAGGTTGGTGAAAAAGTCTTTTCGTTTTTTTCGTACTTCCGTTTAAAACCAACAAATGCATCAATTGAACTACGGTTTATTTCATTAGAAAAGTCAATTATTTTTCTGAACGAAAAGACTTATTCACCAAACTAATAAGTTGGGTTAAGATCAAAAAACAAGCCTTAAGCGCCTCGAGAAAGCCGTTTCCTTTTGTGTTCATCTTGACGACCGATCGAATGAGTTGTCCAGAGAAGTCAAATGAAGTCGAGAATGACTTTCCGTCATTTCTGTCAGCCTCTAAATTCAAATTGATCCTATGCAATTTGCGTTTTGAAGGTTATGTAACTTTCCAAATTTTCTATAAAGAACGGCTCTAATTGGGCTTGGCTCAGCCCTGGGCAATCCTAATTTTTAAATTCTTTTAGCTTTTTGTGAGCTGTAAATACAGTACAAGACGTACCGTATTTCGGGAACGGCTCTTGTGCTATTTAGGCTTTTGGCTTTGCTGCAAGGAGGCTGACTCATAAGAAGTCCCTGAACCGGCCAGGAACCAGACCTGAGCTTATCTTCTGACCCCTGTCTGGATTAATGACCTTAGGATTCAGTTGGGAACATCGCTGACCTCATTAGGCTACAGTATACCCAAATTGTAACCCAGCTAGTGTATTCACCTTATAACTATAAGCCTGCCTGGCCAGCCAATTGTCTCTAAAGTTGACTCTCGATAAAACTCTATTTGTCGGTCAATCCCCGCCATTTCTTTTCCTAACTCTGGTCAATAGGTAAACATTGTGAGGGTGAGAGAGGTCTCTTGGGGTACTCTAGGCACCCCTAGCACAGGCCACGTCTTTCGGGGTTTCACTCAATCCTTTTCTTTCACCACCTTGCCATGATCGGCGCTAAAACAGTGATATTCCTCATTGTGCCGATAATTCTATTGAACTATCTGATAAATCAACGAATCGAACGACCCGCGCCCGCTGTGGAAAAGGTTTTGAACGTGCTTTTTCAACGTTAAAAGTTTTCATTTCCTTTACTCCATTTCCTTCAATCCATTTTCTAAAAAGCACTTAAAACTACCGTAATCTGGCCGGTAGTTTTCATTAAATCAGCCATAATTTTGATTTCATTGAGCCTTATGGTCCCTCATCGAATGCGACCAAAATTAGGCTGATTGAATGAAAACTGGAGCCTAGATTACGGTAGTTTGAGTGCCTTCTAGAATGCCTGTCTCTCTTCATTTTCTACCGTAATCCTTTCTTTAGTACTTTGTGCTCAAATCACTGTAAACGCATCTCTTCTGGTGCACGGTAAATGGATATTTCGATATTTCTAGAATGGATATTTCGGCGAGGGAGACACGCGAAAGGACGACGAGGCCATTGAAGCTTTTCAAATCGAAATCTCAAAAGAGAGATTAGACGATTTACAGGTATTCCCAAATACCAACTACAAATCTTGTTCACTTTTTAGAAAAGATTGCAACTCGAGAGGCTTTTGCCAAAACTCGACTCCACGAATCGGCCATCGTTCAAATTTCTCGAGCTGCTGCGTGAAAATTTCGGGAAATTCGATTGGAAACAACACGAGTATTTCCTGAATACCTTCAAGCATTACAGGTGACACTTTTTAACGCGTTTAGCGCTCAATTCTGTAAACGCACCTTTCTGGAGCACCGAATTATTCACTTTTCTCATGATACTAAATCATTTCCTCTCGAAAAGCTCCTTTCAGGCTCCTTTAAAGCTCCTTTATAGTTCCTATTTAGTTCCTCTGAAGCTCCTTTAAAGCTCCTTTAAAGCTCAAGAACTCAACGCTCCAGAAGGGGTGCGTTTGCAAAAGTTGAACACAAAGTACACAAGAGAGATTTTAAATGGATCAATTGAAACTGCTGATTCAATTGATCCATTTTGATGACAAGGATGACAAGCTCAAGTCCAAGTCCCAGACGAGGCCTGATCTGGCTCAGGAATGCTTACAGCAACTCTAGCCTTAGTCTGGCCTGGCCATTGATTGTGGGACATTTTATACACGCCCCGCCCCTTTTACCATTGACAATCTAACTTTAAGCGCAAATATCTTGGTGTTGGTTCAATATCAATAGTTTTTTGTACTAATCGACAGAGAAAGACTTGACGCATCTAATGATACCAATAATTTATAAATTGGACAGCTCAACATCAAGATATTCGAGCGCAAAGTTAGATCGCTAATGGGAAAATGTCGGGCATGTCCGACAACCGATTAGAACACCGATTGGAACTGATTTGACACAAAAATTCTCGCTTTCAGAACCGAAATCGAGGGCCTCAAAATCCACTACATTCGTCAAACTCTTCCCCCAACGACGGGCAAACAAGTGGTCCCAATTCTGCTGCTACACGGGTTTCCTGGAAGCTTTTGGCACTTTTACAAGGTGATTTTAGCTTTTACATTTTCAGACCCAGCCCAGGCTGAGAACAGGATGCTAGAAGTGTAGATTAGAATAGTCAATCGAACTTGACCTGATCTTGGTCTGTCCTTCCAGGAGTGGGCAGGTCTTGGGTCTGATCTGGCTCCAGCCTATCCCTAGCCTGACTCCGGCTTGTTTCAAACCCTAGCCTGTCTCACTATCAGACATGGTCTTACTGTTTTCACTAGCTGGACTACTTACACCTTGATTTTCCAGATCGCTCCACTTCTCTCAAATCCCCATCGATACGGTTTCGATTTTGGGGTGAAAGCGCCACTTCTTTTCGATGTCATTATTCCATCGTTGCCCGGTTTTCTGTGGTCCGATAAGCCAACGAGATCTGGTTAATCAAGTAATGCGACTTTGAATATTGGTCATTTGCAGGAATGTGGACCGGTGATATAGCGAGGATTCTCGCAAAACTCCTCAAACGGCTCAAAATCGAGTCGACCTTTGTGCACGGTGGGGCGATACTTGGCGCCGAAGTGGCCTCGTCTTTAGCCGTTCTCTATCCAAAGGTGGGAATTGTGTTATAGTATTGGATCCGGTAGCCAGAGGACCAGAGCCAGAGGACGGTAGCCTGGCTTCGGAGAGCTAGGTCGGGTTACGGTAACTGGGGCATGCTATTGTAGTTTTAGAAGACAGGGTTACAGTGGCTTTACGGTGTACAAGCTTACGGTAGTGAGGACAGGCTTACGGTAGTAAGGAGAGGCTTACGCTACCTACGATAGTTGTAGACCTACAATTTTCAGCTCGTTCGAGGCGTTCACCTCTCGAATCCATTCCTCATTCCATTTTGTGATCTCCAAACGACTGCCCAACATTCAGTATCGTATTTTGGATACAATAACGATGTCGATCGATCATCAACGGAGATTTTCGAAGTGGCTCGACTTTTTCAAGAGTTCTACCCGAGAAGCGGTGATGCTATAGGTCATTTTTAAGGCTATGCGAGCTTTCTGGAATACTGTAGCTTTTAAAAGATGTGTCAATGTCAACCAGATGCAAAGTCAGGTTACTCTACTGACCTGGTCACGGTATTGGCTTGGACAGAGTACTGTACTGGAGGGTGCTAACCCGGCTAGGCTAGGCTAGGTTAGGCTTACAAGTAGGTACTGGCCAGGATACAAGTAGGTCATTTGCCTAGGAGCTGCCTTGGTACTGTACTAACTTATTTTAACTATTAGGGACTTGCAAAAGAAACTGCGGATTATAACCAACATTTGAACAGCCCAAAATTCAATAAGAAAACAACTTTATTCCAAAAGATATTTGTCAATATTATCAACTATGTTCTTAAATTTTTTGCGTAGACTTCGGATGTCTGATTCGAAAAATTCGGGGTCCCGCGACACAAAGTAGTCTTGCACCCAAATTTTGACTTCTTCAAGATTGTTAAACTTTAGATTTGCAAGAGAGTGTTGCATAGACAGGAACAAGTGGTAATCTGAGGGAGCAACATCAGGCAAATAAGGCGGTTGAGGCACAAGTTTCCAGCCTAATTCTTCTATGGTGTTTTGAGCCAAGTTTGATGTGTGTACCCGGAAATTGTGAGCGAGTAAATGGATTGTCCTTGGATTGTCCTTGGATTAACACCTCTTTCTCGTAGAATTTCATCAACTTTCTTCAGCTGTTCAGCGTAGATTATGAGAAGTTATAGTTTTTGAAGATTTTCGTAATTCAAAATAAACGATTCCTTTCATATTCCAAAAGACCGATAGCATAACAAATACAATATCCATGAGGCTCGTCTTCCAAGCTGTCATCCCCTTCACGAAAACGTCGAAACCATTCCTGGCAAGTCCTTTCACTCAAAATGTTTTCTCCGAATGCTTCACAAAGATTCCGGTGCGATTTCGATGCTGATTTCTTCATTTTGAAGTCATGGAGAAGACACGCCCGCAACACGAGTTTTTGATCCGTCATCTTGGACCTAAGATTATGTAATATTTAATGATAGCAATAGTTGTGAAAATAATTAAAATGAATAAGCAATATTAATACAATATAATACAATTTAAACCGGACCATCACACTTTCAAATAAAAAAAACTTTGGTCCTCGGAAGTAATCCGCAGTTTCTTTTGCAAGTACCTAATACCTTAAGATTAACTTGATATCTTCAGGGTTTTGATGCCCTATTTTCTAGGCTCCTCCCTCTACAACAGTCCATGGGGTTTGACGGCAAATCTGATGTCATTTTGGCACGAATACAGCAATGGAAATTACACGGCTGAAAAGAGGAAACAGCTAAATGAGATGTTCACCGTTGATGAGCTTTTGACGGAGGTGAGCCTCTTGAAAACGTTTACGCAACTTGGGTAAAGACAATAGTGATACATCTCTATTGGCTTTTAGATACATCTCTATTGGCTTAGTGACACAGCTCCACATGCTCTTCGTTTACTCGAGAACATTAATAGACATCCCGATTTGTGCGCACTTTCGATGTAAGTTGAAAATTCTTATAGGATTTCCGGGTATTTTGAGTTAGGCTTTGAAGGTCTATAACTTTCTCCAGAGATAATATTTTTTTAATTTTTTATATCATTGAATAGAGGACATCTTAAGCTTTTGAATGATACCAAATAGAGCCTGATTGGCTGATTAGAGCCTGATTGGTCCAGGTAGAAAGATCGATCTAGTCCAGGAAAATTAAAGCCAAGGCATTCTCGGATGCTTAGCTGATTGCTGATTGCTTGGTTTTCATGAGATTCGACTTTCTATCAATACTACCTACTCTTAAAGGCTCTATCTAGTACACTTACCTAGTACACTCACACTTACCTAGTACCCTTACCTAGTACACTTACCTAGTACCCTTACCTAGTACTCTTACCTAGTACTCTTAGTCTCTTTCCTAGTCCAGCTCCTAGACCAAAATAGTCAGATTTCAAGCTAATATCTGTTTTTCAATGGAAATGTGTTTTTTTAATCTTATATAGAATTCTCTATCAAACCAAAAGTAAGAAAAACCGGAGCCAAGCCTCAATTAAACCCAGTTTTATCCCAATTTATGCTAATTTTAGGTCCACCGTCACCCGTCCGACCTCGATCGTTTCCACTCCATCCTCTCCTTTCCGTTTCTCTCGCTTCCAGTTATCTCACAAATTCCACAACATTACTCGTTACAATATTTTACCTAAGGGTGGCCTCTTCCATTCTTTACAAGATGCGCATAGCTTGGCTGCTGATATTTTTGCGTTTGTCGAATTGGAGACACTGTGAATAAAGTTTTTGAGCGTACTTCACAATACAAGCTATGAAATCGTTTTTGGTATCTACTAATTACACGATCTTACTTAATATAAGACAGAGTATGTATGTGTATGTGTGTCTGTCTGTCTCTGTCTGTCTGTCTGGCTGTCTGTCTGTTTTCGATTTTAGAAAAAACGGCTGAGCCGATCGAGCTAAAAGTTTAACATTATAAACCTAAATTTTTATTTAGTTTCATAAAATCTATAATATTTGACACATAATTTGACCGTTTTTTTCCTAAAAAGCGAAATTAAAGAATACATGCCGAGTGGTAGTGCGTCTCGGCGTCCGATCTGCTAAGTTGAGCAACGTTGTGCTCGGTTAGTCTCGGGTTCGACCCCGGCCCGATGCAATCTTTTTTTGCTTTCTTTGTTTTTACACTTTTTGAGTGAGAAAGGTCACGGTTTCGATTCCTTTAGGGGTAAATAAATTATAAAGAAAACTGTATATAAAAGAGCAGTCTCTGGCCGTCCGTCCGTCTGTACGCGCGAGTTCTCGGCTCACCATGGGTCGATTTATATGATTTTTAACTTGTTAGGCCTAGAATTCTATGTAGTTGTACATCTCATATTTCGCTTTTTAAAAAGTAAAAGTCACGACATAGCCGGGAGTCGAACCCGGGTCGAGTGGGGGTGGGCAAGTGTCTGTCCGTCCGTGAGTGTTGTCCAAATTGAGTGAAACTACGGGGGGACGGGTCGAACCTGGATCGTGTGAACCGTAGACAAGCGCGCTCCAAACAGCGCCACGGTTACAAAAACTAACTATCAGCCCCAAAACATCCAGCCAAAAAAGCACCTTTTGCCAGACTAAACCATGGACACCGCTAAAATCTACCGTAATCCGCCCTTCCACATGAGCGCCGCACCGGTAAAGAATTAAAGGCGCCGTAAAAAAACAACAACTCGTAAACAAAACCCCCAATAAAGTGTGTTATTTGTATTTACCCACGAAAATACCAATTGGAGTACGGTAGAATGAGTGCATTTTAGAAAAGGGATTTTGAAATCAAAAATTTCATTTACTTGTTCGGTTTTTCAACAATTTCTTGTAATTTCTTTGTTATTTCGTTTTTTCAAATATTTCAATGACTTTTCTTTCAGCGAATGTGATGATCTATCAAAGCGTTCGCCTCCCATTGCGATCACCGCGAAAAATCGGCATCAATCGACGAGTTTTTAGAGAAATCACGAGGTGGGGATTTAGCTTTTTGCTTTTTAGATTGTTGAGAATGCTAAATCACTTATTTTTTTTTTTGGTTCTTTGGTCGTGCGCTACTTTTGGCTTATTCTGGCTGAAAGTCCCAAGATCTGATTCATTGCATAGATATTTTTCCTCAATAGGGTTAAGTAAGCTAGCTAAATCGTCAATTAAATGTATCTAAAACGTGCTGAAGTTGTTACTAACTAAATGCATACTTCATTGCCCGAGAATTGAGAAAATGGCATGCGAGCAATCAAATCTAACGATAAGCAAGCTAAAAGTGGTCTTTCCATCAAACCTACCACCAAAAGCAAATTTTCTTGTAAAAACCACGAAGAAAAGTTGTCAAAAAGGGTCTACGTTAAAAATTTTGCAGATTTTGTCATTTTCTAACCTTGAGACCTTGAGATTTGTAAGAACATGGGCAAAACATTCTTAAAGTTGGACCTTTTACTTAAAAAGTCGCGCAAAGCATTGGCCATATTGTTACAAATCTTTAAATTTTCTTGTTTTTCAGATGTTACGCCACCCAGCTGAGCGACTCAACCGACGTAGTTGTTTGCGGTGGAGGAATCGCCGGCACATCGGTCGCCTATCATTTGGCGTTACGCGGGAAACGAGTGTCTCTTTATGAGAAAGACGCGTATGTTTGTTTTGTTTTGTTTGCAATTGTTTTAAGCTCGTTATCAATAAAGTTTATGACTTGAATTTTGGCAATTCAAAGTGTTTTCTGTCATAGTTTTAAGTAACAATTTGATTATTGAGCGTTTTAGTAACGTTTGCTATTTGAAGGGATTTGAAGAGTCAACTAAATTCTTAGCGCTTTCATTTTTAAAAATAGGAATAGTTTGTGTACGTGGATTCTCTTTTTTTGAAAAGATGCTATTCATATCATTGTGATCTTTTTCTATATTTCATTTTAGTGTTGGATGTGGCGGTGCAACGGGCGTCTCGGCTGGCCTGGTCTCTGCGCCGACTTTCTGGCAAGATTTCACCAATCAACACCTTGCCGAGAACTCCCTCAAACTGTATGCGGATCTCGCGGGAAGTGGAAAATTCAGTGGGTATTGTTTGAAGTTATTTTAGCGAAAGATTTGCAAAAATTGGTTGCAAAGTTGCTCTAGCGTTGATAATTTTGTTTAATCGGCAGTTTAGTAGTACTACTACCAGCTTCTAAGTATGATTATTTGCTGAATAATAAGGTTTTAGACATATAAAACAAAGCAGCACAAAAGTTTTACTCAAATTTTTTACAGGATACGTTCGATGTGGTCGCATTTTCCTGGCCTCCACCCTAGCGAGCGAGATTTTGTTAAGAAGGATGTACAGTCGAGGTAAGGAATATGATTTTTTTTGTGCAGAGAGATATTTTGCGATACAAGATTTCCCATAAGAAATGCTCAATTTTAGGTATTTTGCACAACGAGCACGTCGAACTGTTGGATGATCAGAGTGACATGTTGGCGAGATGGCCCTATTTGCAAACGGAGGACGTTCAGGCGAGGAAATTCTTCGAATTTTAAACAAACTCCTACATTTGTAGATAAGATTTGGGCACCCTAGCTTAACTCGTCTTCTAAAACATTTAACTTGATAAGCAAATCGAAGCTTATTGATTTAGTTGACTGAATATTCTTTTAGTTGGCTCTTTTCTCTCCTGAAGACGTCTCGTTGGATCCGGTGGCAATGTGTCAAGAATTGGCGGAAAGAGCAAAAGCTTTGGGTATTTTTTTTAAGATCTATTAGGCTACTATGCTAAAACTATTTAAGAAATCCGTCTTTAGGCGCCAAATTCCACGAGGGAGTCGAGGTGAAAGAGGTGCTGCTTGGCGACGAGAAACAGGTATTTTTGGACAAATTGGTTTGAGCTTTATAAGATTGGATTTAGAGATGTATCGTAGACTTAATAATATCTATTATTAGATAAATCTTATAAACTAGCACAGATATTTTGTTCTTCCAGGTCTACGCGGTTCGCACAAATTTGGGCCTCGTTGAGACACCGGCTTTCGTTGATGCCTCCGGAGTGGTGAGTACCATTTTACTTTCATGTACAATACTCAATCTTAGCCTAAAAGTGTGATAACTAGATAAGAATGTTACAGTACTATAGAGTAACAAACTTGTACAAGGTTAGTAGTGGCCATTAGACTTCGCTTAACGAGACCGAGACTAAAATTTGTATTTTTTTTATTACAGTACAGTACGGTACGGTACTGTTTGCACAGCTCTCTTTACAAGAAAAGATAACACAAAAAATTTAGTGGACGGGCAGCGTTCTCTGCAAGCAACTACCCCATCGGCACATCCAAACGGCTCATCATCCATGTGAGTTTTAAAAAACGAAAGCTTGAACAATTGTAAAGGCCCAATGTGGTTAAAAAGACTTAAAACTTTTTTCAGGTACTTACACCTATCTGCACTCATCCAAATTACCGAGTAGCTCCGTTTGTGACACGACACCGAGTAAGCTTTAGGATTTTTAACGGTTTAGATACTTTTTAGCTTATATTAGGCTGTACAGAAGGTCTTTTCGTTCCCTTTCGTACTTCCGTTTAAAACCAAAAAAAAAATGCACCAATTGAACTACAGTTTGTTTCATTAGAAAGGCCAATTATTTTTTTTGCAAAATAACATTAAAACAGGTTTAAAATGTCTTATGTGTGGATTTTTTGGGAGCATGAAGTCGGGTAGTCAAAAAGGGCGACAGCTCGATGATGCGGTTTAGACACTTGAGCTAAAGAAATCTATCCTGGTGTCAATAGGTAAAAAATAGAACACAGAAAGTTTGGGATAAAGCCAAATTTTCAGAGAAATTCATTCAGCCAATTCAGCCAAATTAATTTCTTCGTAGAGGTTTTTATAGATTTTTTTTTTCTAAAAAACACGTGTTTTCACTCTCGAATTTGCTTGAAAGTGAACCCAAATCGACTTAAAAAGATGGGAAATTGAAGAATAAACACTTTTTATTTAGAGAGAACCATAGGTTAATTGGTGAATTTGTTATTTTTCAACGAAAGTATGAAAAGAAACGAAAAGACTTTCTGGACAACTTAATACATAGTAATTCTTTTAGTAATCAACGATCTTGACGGGAATGTGATGGTTCGTTTGACTGGACGAAAGACGAGATGTGCTGGATTTCATGTACGCTTTGAAAATTCTATGCTTAAGTAACATTTATGTTTGAGGAAGAGGGGATTCGACCGATCGCCTGCCCGGCTGCAACAGGAGAATGGACACAGCCCGAGGCGGATTGGGATAAATTTGGTAAAAAGCTCTAATTCGTATCAGTTATTTGTTTCTTATTTAGAAATCTCGCTCTCCCGTCTGTTGCACCGAATCCCGTTGTTGAGCGATGTGGGACACGGCGATTTAATCTGCGGAATGGAGGCCTACACACCAGACAAGTGCTGCACCGTTGGGGAGAGTAGTCAGGTGAGTTTTATTGTTGTGCTACGTACACTTGGATAAGCTAGCATAAAATTTATTAGGTTGTATAAATAAGAGTTTCAAAATCTCAGTCAGATGCATATTTCCAATAATCGAAAGCGGTATTTTCTTTTTACAGGCAAAGGGCTACTACGTTGCATCGGGCTTCAATGGGCAGGGTCTCTCGCTGGCGGGCGGTGTCGGGAAATTGTTGGCCGATTGGATCGTTGATAAAGATGTGCGTAAGAGAATTATTTTGGCATGTATAAGGATGAAGAAATTTTCCATAGCGCGTTTTCCATGCGTCGATTTGTATGAAAATTTCACAATTTTCAGTTCAAACTTGCAGGCGATGAAAGTTATTTGGGAAATTTCTAGATTTAAGTCACACATTTCGATGATTTTCTTCTATTTAGGTATCAGTGGACGTTGCTCGAATCGATGTAGGTCGTTTCATCGAATTACACGCCAATTCGCAATACTTGATCGAGAGAACGCCGGAGATCGCGGGTGCCCTTGAATTTTCTCAGCTTTGTGACGATTTCCCATTTAGCAATGACTTATATCAATATGTACAATTCGCATCAATGTCACACGGCTCGCAACTTGCGTATGTCTCCGATCTATCATCAATTGAGGTAAGTACATCTAGTCCAGTACTGACATACCTAATCACATGGCTCTTATAATGGTGTAAGGATACGACTAAAGGATCGTTTTAGAGATGCTGGTGCCGTTTTTGGAGAAAGCATGGGATATGAGCGACCATTGTGGTTTGAGCCGAATTCGCCGAAAGAGAGAAACGCTCTTCTACAAGGACAGGATACACTGCTCGGGAAACCGGCATGGTTTGAGAGGTTTGTAATATAAATTTTGGAACCATTTGGGCGATAATGTTAAAAAGTTTATTTAAACGTAGTCTGTTTTTCCTATAACAAGATAACAAGTCTGTCTTTTCTACGTTCAGCAATTTAGTGTCGATTTTTAGAGTCCGAAGCGAGTATGAAGCTTGCCGCGAGCGTGTTGGATTGATCGACATGAGCAGCTTCTCTAAATTTGAGATCACGGTTTGATTTTGCAAAACTTCAAGCCTGATTACCAAACAAACTCATATCTAGCTGCGATTTCCATTTAGGGCCCCGATTGTGTCACCTTTCTGCAGTACCTCTGCTCGGCGGACATTGAGCGGCCAGTTGGCACAACGGTGAGAGTTTTTGAAAAGCTTGATTTCTATGTAAACACACAAATTTCAATATTTAGTTATGTTTTTCTTTAAGGTTTACACGGGAATGCAAAACGAGAAAGGTGGCTATGTGACGGATTGCACGTTGAGTCGAATTGGAGAACAATGGCTAGTTGAATTCAATTGGTATTGGCTTAACATTTCCACTTCAGCTTTTTCATGGTGGCTCCGACGATTCAACAAGATCGCTGCTTGTCATGGATGCGCAAATGGGCAATCGATTTGAAGAGAAACGTGCATATACAAGTTTGCTTTGCAAAAAAGTAGAGTAATCTCATATTAACAGGATGTGACGGGAATGTACACTGCTTTGGATGTGGTCGGTCCATCGTCGCGCTACTTGATGAACGATCTCACCGGGAGGGAATTCTCGAATCGAGAATTCCCGGCGTTCAGATGCCAAGTGAGTTGAAAAGTTGGCCGTTTGACGTTTTTGTTAAATTTACATCCAGAACAACTTTTGGAACGATTTTCCTATTAATATAGTAAGTGTAAATTAATGAAAAAAAAGTCAAAAGGGAGGTCTTTTTTATGAGCAGCTTCTCTAAATCTCTACGACTAGTTCTTAACTAGTAAAATGCCGTTTTCTAAAGTTATTCGAGCTACAAGCCTCAAAGCGATATGGTAAAAGTCAGCTCTTTGGCGTGCGTCATTTGGAGATTTACGTTGAGATTTGAGATAACGATTATTCTTTTCTCTTTAAAATCTTTGAAGACATCGGATAATTTGCCATATTTCAGGAGATGAACATTGGCATGGCCACCGGAATCCGAGCGATCAGTGTGACGCATTGCGGCGAGCTTGGCTGGGTGATCTACATTCCGAATGAGGTTTTCGTCATTATGTTTTCAACTCTAATACACTACTTGTAAGGTTGCTCAAAATGTGTACGATCGTCTCGTCGAGAAGGGCCGCGAGTACAGTATGATGCATGCCGGGTAAGGATTTTGTGCTACCGTAAAAAAATGTAGAGCAATTTGTAATTGGCTTTTTCATTGAGCTTTTTAGTTACTACACCCTTCGGCAACTCCGAATCGAGAAATTCTACGTCTACTGGGGTCAAGATATCAACGCGACCGTTACACCGATGGAGTGCGGACGAGCGTTTCGGGTGAATTTCGAGGTAGGCTTTCAGAGTTGTTCTGTAAAAGAACTACCCAAATGTAAAGGAAACTCAAACTCTAAACGTTGCGAGGCAAAAAAAAAATCAAAAGTAAGCCAACAATCAGCCCCAAAACGTGTTGCCAAATCCGACAACTTATCACAGGCTAAAATTCGAGTTTGAACTAGATCACGAAAATTTGTGTAAACCTTTGAATTGTCTTTTCTGACCCAATAATGTGCATTTTTAAACTTCACAATCATATATTTATTTGGCGTTTACCCAGTCTCTTTTGAGGAAGAAATTTTCGGCACACAGAACACAAAGTAAGTAACGGGAATCGGGGGGCTTTATAATAAAAATTCAATAGAAATCTCCTAATTATGCGGTGAATAAATAGTAGATCAAGGCAACAATTGCCGCGATCAAACCACCGAGAATCAGCTTGTCTTGAAGGGGTTGAGTGTCTCTGAAATGGAAAAGATCGCATTGTTGTACGTAAAGCAGAAGAAAACTGTGATAAATTTGTCTTTCGATCAGGTAGTACTAGGGTTGTAAGCGAAAATTGAAAAGATCTTGAGATTTCCTTGTGTTTCGCAAGTATTCAAGCGTTGGCTGGACCTTAAGCAGGACTAGATCGATCTAACAGGGCCAGCCAAGGCTAAAGCTAGGCCAATGCCTGGCTTCTGACGGGCTCAAGGACCGCGGGTCAGACATAAAGCCTTAGCCTTACCTGATCCTTACCCGGAAAAATTATGTGATGATGCTACGTAGAATATTCTGTGCTTTACTGCCAACCCACGTTTTTTCTGTTTTCGATGCGTTGCTGGTCGCTTTTCGGTCATACGAGTATTTCTGGTGGTCTTCCTAAAGAATTCATCGATTTCTTTCAATTTCTTTCTTTCACCTCAACGAGATCTCCGACTAGATAATCTTCTTTCATTTGTCGTGCATCCGATGAATGACCGACATCTTCGAATGTTTCCGTGGCGTCGTGGCCGGCTTGCTCGAGAAGGACTTCACAGCCGCCCGGATGCTGAAGTTGTAGGGAATTTGGATCGAAACTGGCTAATAGGCTAGCTTAAGGTATCGTTGTTACCGTTAAAAACAATGAAAATTGGATCCAAACAGCAATATGGATAGACTTACCTTAATGGTACTTCAGTTACGTACTAGCAAGAGTCACTGTACTCACTTAGACAATTATGATATGTTTTGTCTTTCTTTTTGCCCAACTAACCTCGTCGAGAAATTTGGTGACGTCGTAGACTTTGTTGCCGATGATAAACCAACATGATTTGTTGTTGTTGTGCTCTTCCACCTCTTTTCTCGTCAATTTCACTGTCATTCTTGGAGGTGTGTGCTAAAAGGATAATTTGTGCATTTTAAAATGATAAGAATCTTTGGAAAACAGCATAGATTCTCAAGATTGGAAAATGCCAAGAATTGAAAAATTGGTTTAAAGTTTCAACAAATTGTATCCAAAACTCAAGAGCTTTAAAGAAGTTAATTTTTGGTATTTTTAAATTCAGAAATTGAAATTTATAAGTTGTTTAAAGTTTCGAAGTATAATTTTAAGTTAGTGTTAGCAAAAAAATGTTAGTGGCCAACTTTCAGTTTTAATTTAAACAGCTATCAGAAAATAATTCGATCAAACACGTTTTATCCTTTTTAAAATTGACAAAAAAATGACTTGTGACTGAAAAAAAAGACCATTTTTTTTAAGTTTTCGATAGATTTTGTGCGCGTGTGCGGGGAAGTGGTGTGGTTATTTGACGACAGACTACACAACTACGGCTCTTTTTCGACCGTTTTCCCCACAATTCCTCCATTCTCTGCCCATTCCTCTGTTTTTGACCCTTTTCGCTTTCTGGGTCGTTCTTTTTCTTTCAAAGATAAGGCTACAAAAAGAGAAAAGATTTCACGGAGAAACACACAAAATCACAAATTTTGACAAACAAGTGATTTGTGCTATTTTCGAACAAAGTTCTTGTCTGAATCATTGCCTGCCGATAGGACTAAGCAGTCAAATTTGAACATAAGAGTTTTAGCATCTTGGCAAAAACATTTCAATCGTAGACAAACTAGAGACACAAGGCGAATTGTGACATTTGAGTAGAGATTCTTAAGACGGTTACTTATAATCCTCTAGTACTGCTTTGGTTTCTTAGCTCTATCCCATAAAAGGATTTGGCTGATCCAACTAATTGTAAGCTAAGAATTTGAAAAATGCTGCTTTGAAACAAATGCTAAAGTGGAAAAACTCTCAAAATAGTCGATAGACAGAATTTTAGATCAAGAAAGCTTCGTAAAAATTCTCAGAAAATGCTTGTAAATTTAGGAAAGTGAAAAGAGTGAAACATCTTCTTTGATAAGCGTTGAACGAATTTCGGGAAGAAACGAAAATTGATCGCTTCTCTTAGTGAAAACTGCAAAAAGAAATGAATGGCGTGTTTAATGAGAACGAAAAGGAGATAAGAATCAACAAGGGCGAGATGGGAAAGACAGGATTTGAACTATGAACCGATCGGGCTTGTCTCCTTGCCTTGGCTGATCATTCTTGTGAAAGAGACTAGACAGTGTCGTTCTTGAGGAGCAGATCAGTTTCGCGAGCAAAATGAGTAGTTTGATCACAGTTTCTATGTTGGTTTCTGACAATCGGAAAGCTGTTCATCTTTTGGCTAATTTTGTGTCTCTTTTCGTGATCCCAATGCGTTTCATTGAACAATTCATTTGTACAGCAAATGATTTCACACACACATACAGCAAATGATTTCCGATGATTTCCCGCATATTTCTTCACGTTATTTGCACTTTCCTTTGACACAAGTGGCCGGCGATTGGCATTCACAACGATAACAATCACCACCGGCTGAGACGAGACACATCCCGGTTGGGGGAACGTTGAAAGCTGACTGAAATTAGGTTTTGTGGTTTTGCGTAGGTTTTGTGAAAATGAGTAATTTAGCTAATTTTTAATAAAAAAAGACGCGGTGGAAAAAGTTTAACCCTTAAAAACGATTGCCAGTTCACAGATTTTCTGTATTTTATTGCAGATTTGTGATCGGTTTTTACTTTTGCAAATCTAAAAATCTTTGACTGTTCTTTTTTGATTAAAAGGCTAGTTTTTGCATGTAATTTGACCAAAACACGTTTCAAATTTCAAATTCACTCACCATCAACGGCAACGAGGCGAAAAGCGAGAAAACGGCCAAGAGAATCGCGAAAAGTTTCATTTCTGATAGTTGAAATTTACTTAAAATATTGTGTCAGAGTAGTGAATTTAAAAAAAATTTTGAACTTTAAAGCAAAAGGAAAATTCTAAGATGTTTAACAAGATGAATCATTGCTGGTTTCCATGGAGTTTCTGGCTATTTTTTATTATGTGCCAAAACATTGTCCGGGCATTATTTAGGAATCAGATTTTGGCAATTTTCAAATTTCAGAAATGTAAAGAGGGACCAAGAATTGAAAAAATGTCTTTGAAACACGAAATTTTTAATTGAAATTAGTTATTTTAAGACAAAATTACTCAAAAAAAGCACTGAAAAATTCAGAAATCTTTCACCGATAGAAAGAAATCGATCTTTTACCTCCTCGTAAAGGTTTTATCTTTATCTTTTCGTTTTTCAAATTGAAAAAGTTCACATCACGCCGGAAGCCTTTATCTGGTGAGGTTTTTGTCAGGAAATTGTGAAAAATGAGAAAATTTAAGGTGTACTTGATCTGTGGGTTTCGAGGAGATTTCAACTGTATAGATAACTGAACTTGCTTTTCTTCTTGCTGAAATGTTTTGCTAAAACGTGTCCCTTTTCGACAAGCTACCGTAACCTTGCGTCTTTTAGTTTTTTTATACAATCTATCTTTAAGCGTGCCCTGAGTCTGTAAACGAGGTCGAATAGGGTAGGTGGAGTATTGTAACAAAGCACATACAAGAGAAACGATGAAAAAAGTTATGAATATTTAAAAAACATATAAAAGATCCAAGTGATTGATAAATTTTAGAAGTAAATTGAAATTTAGACTGTAAAAATATTTAAAAAGCCAAAAATAATGACTCAGAGCTTCTCGGAAAGAAAAGTGAAAGCAAAATTTTCGTTTTGACTAACTGTTTGTCTACCCGATGAAAGGAAATAAAAATATTTTTATGGTCGAATTTTTGCGAAGAATGACCGCAAAAATCTATTTACATTGAAACGGTTTAGGGGGAAATTTAAGGGAATTTCCCCTTTCTTTCTAATATTTATTCAGAACCGACCTCTCCTCTTCTCGAAAAAATTCCCCATTTTGTTTTTTTCCCCACCCACAATTTCCCCCTCTTTCTCTAAATCTCTTTTTTCGCATAGAATTTTGTTTTTGAATCGCTCAATTTGTTGGGATAATTTGAGTACAACGAGAGTTCGATTCAGAAAACAGTCCAGTTAAATGCGAGATCAGACGGAAAACGATTAGGATTTGGGATTGGGAAATGTATCTAAAAATTGCACACAAATGGGTAAACGAATCGGAATTGTTTACATGGTAGAGCTCAAAGTTGAATAGGGTTTTGAAGATGGAGATCTAACTGAGAATCTTCTCGATTAAAGCGTTAAAATGTATACAAATATTTGCACATAATCTGGGTGACTGAATCGGTTTCCCGCTTCTAATCCGTTTCCTAAAACGTGTCCCTTTTTTGAAACTACCGTAAACTTTTCTTTTTAGTTTTTATCAACCTTGAAAATCTTTCGATATCCGTATGAACCCTCTCACAGAAGCAGACAAGAAAATGGATAGATTCAATAAAAAATAAAAGGCAATGTTACGGCAGTTTCAAGGAAGGGACACTTTTTAGAAGAACGAAGAAGTTTTAAAATAATTTTTGTCACTTTTCAGAAGGATTTCATCGGCAAAGCGGCACTTGAGGAGCAACGCGAACGAGGTGTGAACAAAAGATTCGTTCAACTACTCGTCGACAGGCACGATTTGGATACCGATCCGTGGCCACAAGGAGGAGAGACATTGTTTAGGTGAGCAGGTTTTCTCTGAGCGGGCTAAAAAGTTGTTTCTTTTTATTTAGAAAGGCCGATATAACTCAGGGATTGAGATTATCCACAACCAGAGATTATCTTGCTTGTAAACTTATGGAAATTGTTCTTTTTTTCAGAGATGGGAAGCCGGTCGGTTACACGACGAGCGCCGCCTACGGATTCACACTTGGATGCCAGGTGTGTAATTGAGTGTATTTAAAAAAGATTTCCAACTTTGACAAGTTAGCGCATAGTATAGACTGACATTATCGTAGAAAATGGGCCTAAATGAGACATTTAATCACCTCCATTACCAGACCCTTCGTTTTTAGATTTGCATTGCCGTCATCGAGAACAAGAATTTCGGAGTCACCACCGACTATGTACAAAAGGGAACCTACGAGGTGGACATTGCGGGGAAACGATTTCCGGTGAGTGATCGTTTGAAGTTATTGCTTGTTTTGAAGTTATTGCGTTTGAAGGCCTATGTCCAAAATAATTTTCAAAAGCTCGCTCTTCATAGTTTAGAGTTGGGCTGAGAAACTGATCTGGTAGAGCAACCTCTCCAGCTAGATCAGAATTCGGGTCCTGGGCTGACTTTACTGCAGGTCCGATCCACAAAAAGTCCTTGAGTCGGCAAGAAATCGGACCTTGCCTGACTTACTTTTCTTCTAAAGATGAGATCATTGAGAAGTCCAATCTACAGAAAGTCCCAGTCCTATGATCAGTGGAATATTCCTGAATCCTTGCCAAAAATTTGCCATTTTTTTTCAGGTTCGCGTCAATCTACACTCGCCGAATTTGCCGATGATCAGCAGTGATCATCCGACGCATTATCGACCAACACAACAAGATTGATGATGTAGAATTGAATGGATACTGATGAGGATTCGATTTAAGGATAATTTAGAAGCTACTTTTGGTGTATTTTTGTCATTTTTGCCAAAATCACAGGTACTACTTACTTGTTTTTCCAAATTTTCATTAAGCATGGTACAAGAAACTGTAGAAAAGGCCAAACACGAAAAAAAAATTGAATTGAAGAATTCAGTGCACTAGAGGGCGTGCATTTATAAGATTTGAGCGCAAAGTACATTCAAAAACGATTTTGGCTCTTCAGTTTCTTGTACATTGATATGAAAATCTTGCTTTTTGCTCTAGTTTTAAAATTTTCTAGTGTCATAATACCCTAATTTTTGGGCCCAGTGTAGCCTAGTCACTTGTTTGCTAAATTTTATTAAAAATTTTTCGTTTCCTGGCTTCACTTTAAATTTTATTTGTACAGTTATGTCGAAATTTCGATATTTTTGGATGAATTTTCGCTTTTTGCTTGTTAGATTTTTTGTTAGGATGTTAGTTTTTGAGGAAATAAAGTTCTTGAAATTCTTGAATGCAATATTTCAGCTATAACTCCTTTTTGTAGGATCCAAATTTTTCGATGAGATCCTTGGAAATGAGACGAAATTGCATAAATTGGGCAATTAGTTGGTGGACTTAATCTGCTTGTTTGATAGACTCCGTTTCGATTCCACGCTCCAGCTACCGTATCCTTTCCAATGAAAAGCGCCGCGAAATGCATTCCTCCGTTCAAAATCGGTTCTCTATAGGAATTTTCGATGTTTTTCGTAGAATTTTGAAATGTTTTCAACGCAGAAAGAATAAGTTTATCATTTTAAGGCTCTTTTTTGTTTGGTGTACCAGATACCGTAGTCTCTTGGTGTGTAAAAGCTCGTTTGAGCCTGCTTTATCGAGTTTTTATTATGTTTTTATGCCATTATCTAAAGTTTATCTCGAATTTTTATAATTTTTAACGTTTAGATGCCGCGAACGACTCGATCGAGCTCGCGTGGGCGGACAACAGTGAGGGAAGAGCTGAAAGATGAGGGACAAAGCCAAGTCACCGATTATTTCAAGGTGAGATTGTTAGGTTTTGTGCTTAGGCACTAAAAATCGCTAACTTATGTGAGTTGTGAGCAAATTGGCACTGTTTTTGCTTAGCCAGACGTTTTTTCAAAAGTCTTTTGTTCAAGTTTTGCAATTTTACGAGCATTCTAATCTTGTTAACAAAGTGTGACCCGTTTTTCATGGCTTAAAAGTAAAAAGTGATCCATAAAGTTCTATGAAAAAGTATTTTTCTCCTTTCAGACAACCAGAAGAGGTCGAAAACCGACGGAAAAGGATGCACAACAAAAATTGGATCAAGCAGACGTGACTGTAAGCTTGAGAATAATTGAATTTCATACATTTTCTGATTTTAGACGATTCCCACTCAAATCACGAAATCTTTACCGAGTCCGCCGAAAGTGAAACGCGAAGAAAAAGGAGGAGAACAAGTAAGGGGAGGTTTTTAAAAGGAAAAAGGCAAAAATATGAATAACTTGAGCCTGCTGTTTGGATTACAATAAAAACTGCACAAATTTAGAACATAGTTTATTTAAACGCCGTAAAAAGAGCTTTGTAAGTATTTCAAATGTGCAAAAATTGTTAATATGTCTAAATTTTGTTCTTGCTTTAGATCACCGCCTCACCAAGCCGGCAAGCTGCCAGAAAATTGTTTGATGATTCGCCAAAGGTATGAAACTTTCTAAAAGACAACTATATTTTATATTTTTAGACAAAAGAAACATCTGCAAACGTTAGAACTGTAGAAAATGAGGTATTGAGCGTTTTTAAATTCTAAAATGAAGTCTTTAGGTAACGATTTCTCCGCGTAAAGCGGCTAAGAAGCTTTTTGGTGACTCGCCAAAGGTATTTTTTGTTATGTTTGCAAATTTTTAATAGTTCTTAGGTTGATCACGAGAAACTTAACGAGGATAAGCGACATGACAACATTGAAACGATCGAAACACTGGTTTTGCGTTAGTTTAATTCGGTAAAACAATAATTTTCATTTTTTTTAGAGAAATCCCCATTACGAGCGAAGAAAGCGATCAAAAGTGTTGCACAGTTGCAGGTAGTGCTTCAATTTGGAAGTTAAATTGAACTTTTGGCAAATTCTATTGAATTAAGCAGTGATGATAAATTTTTTACATCAATTTTAGAGTCTCCTCGCTCAAAAGGAATCAATTCAACGTTTGCATATTCAAGCGATTGAGAACAAAGTGGAAAGGGTTTGTTTAGGACAGAATTGGATTATCAGCTAACTAAACTCCAAATTTTATCAAGTTTCAGGTCCTTCACAACGCGGAGGTGCTCAAATCGCCGCAGAAAAGTGTCACCATTGCGGCAAAAGCACCGCCAAAACAGCAAAAGAAAAAGCCGACCGGTGTTAGTCCGATTAAAGTAAGTGAGCGGCAAAAATGGTCATCCAAATACTTTTTAGGTTGTCCATGTGCCTGATTATGTGCTACCGGGGCCGCAAAACGGGCGAAAAGAGCAAAAACGAGAGGAAACGCCTGAGGAGGAAATGTAAATTTTTGCGTGTATTTTTTGAATGTCAACCTTTTCAGCGTTGCCGGCGACTACAAGAAGAAAACGGCTCTTTTGAAGTCTGAGGTGCGCGATTCGGCCGCTTGCCCACTCCCTAAATCCTATAAACTTCTACATGAAAAGTTCCAATCGGGTGATCGGGTGGGTTTTGGTTAAAAAAGATTGACAAGACTTGTAATTTGAACAAAATTCTGTTTAGATCCTCTCAATCATGATGCAACAGGGAAAACGAATCACATTTGACGAGTTGACCGAGAATGTACGCAAGGCAATGAAACGGTGAGCTTAAGAAGCATTATTTTTTTACTAAAAAGAGTTTTAGTGACTTTACAAAGAAGGATTTCGCTTGTTTTGTTCAGCTCTACAAGGAAGCCTACTTGATGAATTTGGAGAAAGGATGGATGGTACGCGATTTTTTTTAAGAAAAGCATTTAATTTTGTGTTTAGGCTTTTGGTGGTGCGAGAAAAGGCTGGGATCTCGTGATTCGACCGAATTTGAAAGATGGTTGGTGATCTACCTTAAACCTTTAAACCAATCATTTTGTCTTTTAGATTTGAAAGAGTGGATGTTGGATGAAGGGTCGTTAGAAGATTCGACTGATTCACTCCCATTGATGACCCCGTCGATGCTCTGCTCACCGACAAAAGGACAACCCGGTGGAGTGCCAAGGAGTCCGAGAAAAGCTCCGTGCCAGCCGATGCCACGGTAGATACTTTTGTGAGAGGTATCTCTGGTGCAAACACAGATTGATTTGAAAAACGCAGACTATTGATTGCAGATCTGGATTAAGCTAATCGTGAGCTGGATCTAGGGAAATTAATGGAAGGGCTAACATTTTCTTCTTTAGAGCCCCGTTGATGGATGGACGCGAGCGTTTGGAGGGTTGGCGAATGCTTTGTCGAGCGCACATCTTTCGCTTTTTGTTGACAAAGCTCGTCCACGAGGCTCACGCGGCTTTCCTGGGAACACTTGGGGGTTAGCTTTTGGAATAGTTGGACTTGAGTGATATGTACTGTCCTAAAATATCGTACTTATTTTCGGTTTCAGTTGACCTGAAGAAGAAACCAGTCCGATTGCATCCACAATTTCAACTGGAGACTTGCCCTGATGTGCCCGAGGGGAAATTGCCCGAACCACCAAAAGTTTGTTTTAAAAATTTGTCTTTTTAAGGTAGAGTTTAGAATGAGGGAGCGCCAAAAACGATGTCCGATTACATGAGCGAAGTGGGTGTGGCGGCGAATTTGGAGGGAGTCAAGGTACATTTTTATAGTTGAAAGCTGCAACTGCTTCTGACTCGGCCAAATCCACTAATGCAAATTTTGATTTTAGAGAGTGTTGGCCGATTTGACGAGCCCGCAGAAAACGACGCGGGACGGTGTGCCGCTTTCTCCCAAAAAATTCGCCAACAAGCAAGCCGTTGATGAGGCGAAAAGTGGTGGTGCAAACTCGTTGCTGGCAAGGGTGTGTTAAACTTTTTGAAAGCATAAAGCTATTTTTATTTTAGATTCGTGCAAAGGAGGCGGCGAAAAAGGCGGCAATGGCGTCGATTGATCCGGTGAAAGAAAAGAGAATATCGCGAATCGATCGACTACTCATTGGAGCGCTGAGAACGGTGACGAGGTTAGGAGAAGTTGGGAATGAGTTAAGGAAATGATTGATCTCTTCAACTAGAAAAGTTCAACTTCAATTAGAGCTTCGTAGCCAAGAAATATCGATAAGATAGTCTTGAATTGAATCCAAGGTATTAATTTTTCCATCATTTAGCTTCTTCGCGCTCAAAAAGACGTACAGTCTCAATTTGACGGCAGTCGTCGACAAAATGATGCAAACGATTCGTTTCTTGGCGCACGGTTGGTTGCATCTTCGAGATCTAGCTCAATTTATCATATCTAACTATAACACTCTAAATTAGGCTTATATAATTAAATCAATCTAAATTTTAACTTTTTTAGATGAAGCTATTTCCTGCTTACAACTTTTGTGCGAGATTTCCCCGAAAAACGTTGAAATGGCTGAGGTGAGGGGCTTGAAAATTTGATTTAAAGTAAAATAGTAGTAAAAAAATAACGAAAAGTTGTAAAAAAGTACAAGTGTTCATAATTTTAGTTTGATCTTTCTTAAAAGTTACATTTTTTTCAGGTTGCCGGTCAGAAATACTTGAAGATCATCAAAAATGATTACGACTCGATCTCGGCCGATTTGATGAAGGAAAAAAATTGTTGACAATTTGATGGAGCAAATTTGCAAATTTTAGCTACAAAAAGATTGATTCGTAAGTTTTTCCTCGAAAAATTACCCAATTCCCCGAAAATTCCCATCTTTATTTGATCTCTTTGTACATTACGTGTTTAGGAGAATTTTTAAAATTCAAATTTTCCTTGCCTCTTTTGCCACTTTTGTTGTTATTTTTAAAGGTTTGTGTGTTTTTTTGAGTGAACTTTCTCCTTTTTCCTTTCGTTTGTTTGTGAAAATAAATGGTTTTCATCAAAATTGAACTCTTATTCAGGGTGTTTTTACAATGATTACAGATAAAAATTGCAAAGATTTTTGTATGCTCCAGTTGAAAGTAGGACAAACATTAACACCTTAATTCCTTTTTTCTAAAATGTGCTCCTTCCCTTCAAACTACCGTAATTAGAATTCAAATCAAACAACGTGTAGATAAATTCGATAAAAATTAAAAGAGGCAAGGTTACGGTAGCTTGAAAGGAATCAGTGCTATTTAGATTAGTCAGAGAAAATGCTGCCTAATCTCAAGTACGGTAGCTTTGTTATTGTAATGTTTCTCAAGTTCTATGATCGTGTAAACTTTTAAACAAACACTCTAAAGTATTTTTCCAGAAAGATGTCCTCAAAGAAGAAACCGATTTTCGAATGCGCCAAATGTGGACGTCACTTCTTGAGCAAAGATGAGCCGAAACACGTCGCGGGATGTCCGGATCGAGAGGATAAAGCGATGGTGGGTTATTTGATTTTTGATTCTAGCTAGATTTTTGACAAGAATTATGTAAATTCTTGTCAAAAATTCTAGAAATTGATGTGTTACACGGATTTTTGCAGACATTCAACTGAACTAACTTATGTAATTCTTTCAAAAACGAATCCTTGGTGTCTTCCTCTATCAAAAGAATCGTTAATTTTATACCTTTGCGAGATCATTAAATGATATCCAGGCTAAAATTTAGCATAAAACCCTCAAAGTTTCTTTATCTATTGTTTCTAATCATTTAAATTTGTATCTTTAGATCCCATCTCTGGACGCGGGAGGGCTTTTCGTTGGCCTTGTGCAACCGGTGGAGGATTTTCAGAAATACCTACCAAATGATGCAACTGGATGGTCAAAGTGAGTGCTGTGTGTTTCCAGGAAAGAATACTTGTGTTTTTCTAGATTCCATTCGATTCTCGTCAATCCGTCAACGCTGAACTTGTGGGGAATCGTGCCGAGACAACCGTGTCGAATGAAAAATGGAGAAACGACTCTTATCGTGACACCATGGCCGTGCAAAGAGGTGAGAGTGTATGGATATAATCTGAATTGATCCGTGATTTTGTATATTTGCGAACAGTATTTTTGCTCTAAAATAAGCCAAATACTTGTAAATTTCTAGGTCTCAATGCTGCGAATAGCCACTCGTTCAGCGCCGAACGAGAGCCTCGTCCAATTGACGCCGATTAGCGACTATTCGACGGTGAAACGAATGGAGGTGCGACTTGATGAGAAATTTCAACGTTTCACCAACGATACTCAACTTGGAGCTTTTCTGGAGGTGAGTTGTTATGCGGATTTGTGATGCATAGATAAATTTAGGCTTACTTGATGTACGGCTTCTTCAGCGAGGACTCCCCAATAATCGTCAGCTATTTTGGGCACAAAGTTGACTTTAAATGAATTGTTGCACTTTATGGGAATTGCTTTAGATCACTCTCCACCCGATCACGCCAATCGATGTGAAAATGGAAAATATGAAACTTGGTGAAGAGGCACCAACAATGAATGAACAAGTAAGGGATCGCGGTTGGGAAATTTGCGAACATTCTAAAAAATCTTGGATTTATAAGCAAAACTTGTTTGAATGATTAGAAAGGTAATTTGATTACATTTTTAGTCTCTTGTTCTTCACCTCGCATCCGGATGCTCGATTCTAGTCACACAACAAGGGCAAAAGAGAAATTCAGCGCCTGAAACACGTTTGATATGCTGGCACTCTAAAATTGTATCTTTATAGGCGATCCCCTAGAAGCAATCGGTGGCTGTTCGTTGGTGAAAAAAGCTCTAGTGCGGTATATCGTTGAGCCGATTAAGAAGTGAGTTTACAAACAAAAAAAATGGAGGCACGATCGGAATTAGCATAGTATTCAAAAGTTTCTCATTATTGTTTGCAAAGAAATATTTAGGCATAGAGAGCATAGGAGATTATTGGTCATACGTTTGATCATTTAGAAACACGAACCCGTGCTCGTTGTTGTTATGGGGATTGGCAGGTAATGGGAAAACTCTCTTGGTGAACGCTGTTGAGAAGATTTTAGGAGCGAACACGTTAAAGGTTTCTTTCCACTACAATTTTGCATTTTTTGGTTTTAATTGACAAGTTTTAGATCATGTCTCTGGATGAACTCGCCGAGAAACAGAGCCTAATTGGCGAAAAGACGACTCTTTTGGTGGACATTACCACGTATCAACGCGAGCACAAAGCCTATTCGATTCTTTCCGAGTTGATGTCAAGTGGAAAGGTTGGAAGTTTTGCACTGACATGGACTCTAGGATTTTCCAGGTCTACTGCGTGTTGTTGACAGCCCGAAGTGCGGATGATGTGGAGATTGGGACGAGGATTCGCTTTCCGAGAGAAATCGAGCTACCAGTGCCCAATGAGGTATGAGCTTTAAAAATTCAATGAATCATTTTATTTTTATATCGACAACTTTATTCTTTAGACAGAAAGACTCGAGATTTTGCGCGTTCTCTCCGGGGATTCACTTGAGGGACCGAAAATGATGGAAATTGCACGGTAAAATTTTGTTTTATTATGCTCAAATTGGCTGATTTTCTTTAGAATCACTCACGGTTTCACTGGAAGCGATTTGAAGAATTTACTCGAGTTGGCCAACTACGAACAAGGCGACGATTTGGTGCAGAAACTTGAGGTAAGGTACATAAAGAGCGAGAGAAAATGGTCTTATCTTTAGAAAGCTCAACGTTTAATTCGACCGACCGGCATTCGCCAATTCATCCTCGAGGTGCCCGACGTGAAATGGGCAAGTATTGGCGGGAATCAAGCGCTCAAGTTGGAAGTACAACAGGTTTGTGGACTTTTTGGTGTTTAGATTGTCTGAGTGGTTAGTTTGAAGTCAGTTGAAACAGGAGTACGATTTTATTTTAGCTATAAATTTTGCATATGCGGCACTTGTTGATCGTACACCTTTTAGCATTTCATCGCCGAATAAAAAATTTAGTCGCAAAATTGACAAATACCGTTTATTCTTTTCATAATCTGGTGTATTTTAGGCAGTACTCTGGCCTCGACAATACCCGGAAGCCTTTGCGAGATTCGGCGTCCAGCCACCCAGTGGCATTCTCCTATATGGGCCGCCAGGTTTGCTGGTTTTGAAATCTATCTACCGTAATACCTGCAGGTTAGGGCTTTACAAATATCACTCATTTTCCAGGTTGTAGCAAGACGTTGATCGCTCGAGCACTCGCCAATGAGTCAAAGATGAATTTCTTGGCGGTGAAAGGGCCTGAACTGTTTAGCAAGTGAGAAAAATTTTGTAATTTGCATTAAAGTTTTTCTAGATGGGTCGGTGAAAGTGAGAAAGCGGTGCGCGATCTCTTTGCTCGAGCAAGACAGGTCTGTTCTTTCGAAGTGTCATTTAAGCTTCAATAACCTCAGGTTGCCCCAACGATTGTATTCTTTGATGAGATCGATGCGGTTGGGCAGTCGAGGGGAGCAACCGGTAGCTCAGTTGGAGACAGGTTTGTTTATTTGGTTTCATTTCAAAGTTAAAAGTCACAGATCCGGATCTTTTACATTTTAAAAAATCGAATTTATGCTGAATTCATTCTGAAAAGCTTCTTGTTATAAATTTCCTATTGTTATTGTTGAGAGTGTTGGCGCAATTGTTGACGGAGTTGGATGGGCTGGAAAAACGATCGGGGGTGATCCTGTTGGCGGCCACGAATCGACCCGATCAACTTGATTCGGCTTTGCTGAGGCCTGGGAGGTAAATTTGTCTTTTTTATACTTGTTCAGAGATTTGGGAAAGTTGTCGACCGTGCAATATGGATCACTGGTTTTAAAGATTGTGAAAGAGAAAGCTTTCATGTTTATTCTTACAATTTAGACTGGATCGAGCGATCTATGTGGGTTTACCAGACGAGGAATCGAGAAGGGAAATCATTGAGTTGTCGCTGAAAACGATGAATGCGAACAATGCGATTGCTGATGATCTCGATATAGATGAACTTGTGCGAAGGACGGATGGTAAAGTCGTCATTTTAACAAGTACAATGCTATTTTCTAGGTTATTCTGGCGCCGAAATCGTTGCGTTGTGTCAAACGGCGGCGATGATTGCAATGCGCGAATCGGTGCACATACAGGTTCGATTTTGAGTGTCGGCTTTACTATTATTTTTTGCAGGCTGTTTCCTGGCATCACTTCACCTTATCCCTTCGTGCAATTGTTCCCCGAACCGACAAATCTCTTATCGATGTCTACGAGAAATTCAGCAAAGGAAACACATCTGTTTAATCGATTTCTTGGTAAGTTTTGTTGATTTTGTCAAATTTTCTGTGATATTTGCTATCTTGTTTGCTTTTAGTCTTTTGATAAAGCTTTTTACGTGAAATGTATTTATGTAATTTTATGTAAATTCGTGATATTTATTATCTCTTTTAAATGTTTATACCCATATTTTTTTAGAGATACTGTAAAATTCCAGACTGCTTCATTACAGTATAGCTGAATACTTTTCATGGGATACTGTAATGAGATCTGAGACCAGGGCCTGGGTTTTACAGTATCAAAAGTGATTATAAGTTAAAGTTCTTCTTTGTCGATTTGATATGGAAGAGTGGTTGGATCTTTTTCGAAGTGATTTGGAGCCTCATCGTTTTCCTGAAATTTGAAAAATATTAAGTTTAAATTTCGATTAAAATTTAAAATTTCTATTTTCAAACCTCAAATGTGACTACTCCGTCATTGTTGAAGTCGAGAATCCACGCGAAACCCGGGTCTCGTCGACGACCTTTTGCCTGAAACAAGTGATTTCTAAAATGTTTCTTGTGAAAAAACGGATTACGGTAGATAAGGTGCAGCTTTTAGACACGTTTTAGGAAATAAATTAGAGGTGCGAACATTTACCTTCACTTTTTCCCTTTTCATCATTTTTTCATCTCTTTCCATAATCTCTTCGAATTCTCCCAAATCCACGAAGCCATCTCGATTCACGTCAAAATATCTGACAATGAGGTTTGAAAATTATCTCTTTTAAAAGTTAAGCCCACTTTATATAGTATTTAGCCGCCAAAACAGTGTCGATTTGATCGTTTTTCCATGTTTTCCCGTAATTTTTCTTCATTCCTTTGGACCAGTTGATGAGCTAAAGAGTGTCTTTTAGTGCCGACTGACGAGTCACCGTACATCGTCTTCCGCGATTTTCGTGTCGTTGTCGGAGTCGAGGAAACGAAATTGTTCTTGGTGAGTGTAAGGGGTGAGCGAGAGGAGCTCAATCTAGATAAACTTGATTTACCTTGGCCCACAAAAGAGCTAGGTCTTGGTTGATATCTTGGCTGATTTGCCGACCCTCTCGTTTTAGCTACTTTAGGTTAGAGTTTATGGGGTTTTGGTCTGGCCCGGCTTACCACAAGAAATTTGCATTTCAGTTAACTCCCTGGCGTTTGGCCGGGTGATAACTAGACATGGGAAAATTCCACCTTCGTTTTCTTGACCGATTGCTCTGTAATTTTGTCTACAGATAGAAATCGACATTTGTAGACAAAATTTCAGAACAATCGGCCAAGAAACGGTCGAGAAAACGAAGGTGGCATTAGGTTCGTGTTGGAATTTTTCCATGTTTAGTGTTAACTGCTGGTAAGCCTTAAAGAAGGCTCCCGGTCTTACCTGGCTTACAAGCTCAGGGTCCGGTTGGAAGGTTACTGTACTACATACTGTGGTCCAAGGCCAGGATATTTTGTCTTAACCTGGCTCAGGGGAATCACCAGCCAAATGCAGGACCAGCTTAAAAGCCCGTATCCAGGGAACTATTGTGTCGAGTTCTGAAAGTCAAAAGCATTGTTTTACCTGCATCGTTATCCAATGCTCATCATTCGGCAAATTCTTCCAAACGACACTTTTCCCCTTTCGACTTAAACGATACGGGATTGTGATTTTTCGTAATTCCTCCACACACATCCCCAATAGGCCCTAAAAATACCGTAATCCGTAATCTCTAGTGCCCCTTACCTTATCCAATCCTCTACTCGCCATTCCCACTCCCACTTGCATTTTCACCGTCTCTCCCCCGTATGATTGGGCGATTTTCTTGCCATCCTCCGTGAAGCATTTATAGTGAAAAGTGACATAATCGTTTCGTTGCACTTTTCGCTCACAAGTTGCTGATTTCCAAACGGTTTCTGTCTGAAAATTCTGAATATAAAAGTATGCACAGTCAAATACCTTCAGATCAAGCGGTCCCCCATTTGAGAGCTCTTCGAGATGTCGGATCTGCGCTGATGACATCGGTTTCCCTTCACCGCTAAACTTGAAGCCCTGCCCCGGTCAAGGAATCTTGCAAACCGAAGACCAAAATAAGTCCACTACCCAGGTTTAGGCTAGGGCACTGACCCGATCTGCCTTATTGGCTTTATGAGAAGCTTTGGTTAAAAAGCAATCAATCATCCCTACCGTATCTCGATGACGGGAATCGCGTCTTCGGCTTTTCTCTTCCCCAAATCTTTTTCACTGAATGTTGTGTCGGCGCTCATTTCCAGTGAGGCATTCGCTAGAGGAAAAAAAGCATGAATCAAGAGTCTTTTGCAATTTTTTTTGTGTACAAAGTGCCAACAAATTTGCACCTTGCCGGTTTTAAAAACAGTTTACCTTGTTGTATTTTACTCACCTGTGCCAAAAATGGTTAACATCATAAGTAAGAGTTGTAGAAAAGGCATTTCGCAAGAGATGCAACGGGGAAATGGTCAAGAGTGAGACAATAAGAAGTGAGCGTTTTCGATCGAACAGACTGGGCAGGGCAGGGAAATGGTAATTGGAATTGAGATGGGGAAAGGAGGAGAATGGGAAAGAAGAACTGGATATTGGATATGTGAAAGGGGACAGGGATGGGATGGATTGAAGGATTTGAGTGGGAGGTGGTGACCCTGAGGTGTGCACTGGGGGCATGTATGAGAGGCTGTGAGGTGAATGTTGAGGTCACTCACTCCTCTCTTTACTCCTTTACCCTTTGAAAGGACCATCTTAGCCTTCCCTTCCCCCGTTCCAATGGAAATACATCACTTTTTCGTCTCCAACAAACGTCAATCAATCTACTATATATAAAAAAAAAGTGTCTGTCTGTACAGTCTGTCCGTCTTTTTCTCAACCGTCTTTGGATCAAAAAAACTAAAATTTTTTTTAAAGTCTCAAAATATAATATAGTGGTGCCATTTAAAATAAAAAAAAAATGAAAAATTGATAAAGCATTGCATATACGGCATAAAACGCAGATGCATATGTAAATTGATTTCTGAAAACTTAATTTACCAATTATTCATAATCCCAAAATGCTATATCACAGCTATTCACACCGGGAAACCAAAAATGATAAGATGACAAAATTTTAAAAATTTACACAAATTTCTTCCCATCTTTGAACCAATCGACGCTCGAATCCTTTTCCATCGCTTTTTGCAGCGTTTCATCGGATTTCGGATCGATCTAAACGCGAAATGGTAAGTGATTTAAAAATTAAAGCCACCTGTGCAAGTTCCCAAAAGCCCTCAGCTCCAACAAAACAAATCTCATGTTCGTCCTGCAAAAAGCACCTTTGTGAAGTTTGACTTGCTTGGGCTTTAACTTTACAAATGATTATTTCCTTACCGGATCCCCGAGGATTACCACCTCGACGTCGGCTTTACCGGGTGTGTGCAACGTGACGAAAGGTTTCAGAATTGAGTAACCGGCACTTTCTGTTGATTCTTCCAATGATTTAAGCTAAAGAAAAGGATTTAGCGAGCTAAATCCTATTAATTACCTCTTTTCCCGGATATGCGAACGCGATTCGCCCATACGCACTTTTCCGATCGATTTTCTTGTCGATTTGGTTGATTTCAAAGGAAGCCTTAGAGTAAAAGAAGGTTTTGAACGAAAAAAAGCCTTACCTGATCATCTCCAAACGAAAGCACGGCTCGTTTCGCGTCTTTTTCCAACATTTTCATCTTGAGGTGACCGTGCCAGTAGTCTAGATTTTGCGAAACTCACATGACGTAAAACTATTTTACCTAAACTTTTCTCCAAACTCTGCACATTAGTGGAAATCCTCGTGATGTCTTCTTTTGTGCCGCGTTTAACGATGAAAAGATGCCCATCCGGATCGGGTAGTTCGATTTGATGGGAATCGGCTAAAGTTTAAAAATAGCATAGACTTTAACTACAAAAATGCAAAATGTTAGATTTAGATTTAAAAATTTAAACAACCTTATCATCTATAGTTAAAAATTTGTACCCTAACAACAAATTTTGAGATTATTTTCAAAATCAAAGTTTCACCTGTAGCTTTGTGGCCTTTCGATTCGAGATTTTGATAGATCGAGTCGCCTTCGATTGTTATCGACTAAAATCCTGCATTGAGTTTGGCTAGCTTGATTAGATTAGATGGCTAAATTAAGTAAATTTATTAGATTTATGAATTTGTTGATTAAATTTTACCCGATAATCATCTCCCAGCGTGTATCCACCGATTGTGTAATTGTAGGTGAGCTCGAGGACAAAATGTTTCTCCTCTCCGCCGTAGCCGACCATCGTCTTACTCCATAAACCGTTGTATGGCCTAAAAATGAGCAAAATATAAGATTTTAAGGCTATAAAGTCTTAGAAGCATATATTTTGAATCTTATAGCCTTAGAAAATGCTAAAACTTTCAAATTTTCAGATCTATAATCTTAAACGATCGATCGATCGACGAACCATGCCTATTTGCAACGAAAAATAAACGCACCCATTGCATTCGGCAGCACAGCCCTCCGAAAATTCTTCATGTCGCAAAATCTAAAAAAAAAAATGTTAACTCAATCGGAAATCTGAAATAAATTTTGAAATTTCATCCAGTTTTTGATTTACAAACGGATTTCGATGATCCAAGCCGAAAAAGTATCGGCAATTCGGTACTTGTGGAGTATCCGGGGGGTCTTTCAATATCCGGGGTGGTAAAATTTTAAGATCCGGTGGGATAAAATTTTATATACTTTATATACGACCCCTTTTAAAGATATTCAGCCGCTTACGTGATTTGGTGGCAACTTCCCTTCAAATGTAAAGATATTCAATTTATTCGAGGTGATTACTTGATTACGTGATTCGAGGTGATACTCGATCAAAAAACGTAACTTCTACAAAATTTTTTTATGTCATTATTAGAAATGTTGATACTATCCTAGTTGGCGGGTCACTTTTTTTTTTCTTCAAAACCATTTTTTGGGGTAGTTTTATGTGTTGATATTTGGCCTCCTGGCCTAGAAGTAAATTCGATAGATTTTTACAAGTAGTATTCATTGTCACTGTTACAAATAGTCACTGTTGTACTTCACAAATTTATTTAATTATTATGTTTGGTTTATGTTTATGTTCTTGCATTACTCGTGCATCTTGTTTACCCCGGATCTTAAAATTTTACCCCACCGGATATTGAAAGACCCCCCCCGGATACTCCACAAGTACCGGCAATTCGATTAAACTAACAAAATCCTCTTACTTTCATGCCGAGAAGGTTGACGAAAAACTCGTAGCTCTTCTTGCGATCGCCGATTTTGAAAACATAGTGAAGGGCACGCACAGAGGAGGACATTGTGATCTGAAAAAGTGGAAAAATAAGGAGAAGAAAAATGAAATGAAAACCAAGAAAACAAGGAATACTTTATACTTCTATTAAAAATGATTGTTTTTCATTGGCGAAGAAACTCAGCTAATTGGCTGAAAGTTTAAAAATATTTCAAAAATATAAATAAAATAGTTATTGAACCTCGAAAGATTTTCAGTTAATTGACTAAATATTAATTTAACGCCTAAGACTTAATTTACGCCTCTCAAAAAAATTTAAATTTAAAATTGATTTAAAAAAGTCGCCTATAAAGAAAGGAAATTTTTGTCAGTTGTTTTTAGCTTAAGTTTTTGTTATCAATGGATAGACTTCTAAAAATTTGAAAATTTATTTTTCAGCGCTAAGAAATCGATGCAATTGTAGTGCTTGCTATCAATTTTCTCCTCAAAAATATCAAAAAAAACATCATAACTGGTTCTTTCTTCAAAGTGCATTCCTCTCGTCTTTTAAAAAACGGATTTGTCGATTTGAAGCTATCAGCTGTTTGTTGTCGTGTTTACCCCTTTTTCACCTTTCTTGCGTACATGACTGGGCGGGCGCTTACGACTGCAAATCGCGCACCACGTACACCCGATTTATGTCTCCATTTGCCCGCTTGAGCTGGGGTTTTCCTCTCGGGATGATCAGAATTTTTGTGTTCTTGTGAAACTTTCAAAAACCTTTGTTATAAAATAGTTGAATTTCAAATTTTTAGGTGCCTTTACTTAATTGCAAGACTTGTATTTCAAAAAAACGACTAAATTTTAGCATTTGGACATGAAATCTCCAGTTTTTGATATAAGAGTTGTTGATTTTGAAACAAAATTTTTGAATTTTCATTTCTTTTAACATTGCTGGGTCTCTCTCTTTTAACATTGTCCAGTGCTAATCTTTTGGTTTACAGATCAGTGCACGGAATCGACAAATTGACGCGTCTTTATTTATTTACGAGGAGTCAGCGAGATGGGTCGGAAGAATGTGCAGAAGGTGGGAGATTTTTGATTGTTATATGGTTTTTGAAGCCTGGAGAGCTGAATCGAGGTTCTCTGGTTAAACTACAAAAGTCAAATCATCAATTCAAACTATCAAAAATCTACTAGAAGCTATTACCCAATCGATTCAGCATATTTGTCTTTTTGCTTGTAACCCAAGATTTCTAATTTAGGGACGAGCCGAAGCACTGGAGAAAGCAAAAGAGCTGCCGGATGTGATCACTTTCGAGCACGTTTGGAATATGTACAATCTGACGAGGATCACTTGCGGTTTACACAACTATCCGAATCCGAAAGCGTCGAATTGTCGAGACAATCCATATTGTTTGAAGAGGATCGGACTGGAGAAATTCGAGAAGCTCATCAAATCGTGTGAAACCGACCAGAAAAAGGTTTCTTTGGGAAAGCTTAAGTGATTGCAAACTTTTTGATCTTGAGATCTCTTGATTTTTTGCTCTATTCTAAGTTCTAAAATATTTGGGCCTTATTATTTAAATAAACTCAAGAAATTTTGATTAATCGAGCTTCAATAGCCCAAGAAAGGAGATTCTAATAAAGAAAATAGGTTCCTATTCCAAGAAAAACATGCAAAAATAAAGCGCTAATAAGAACTCATTTTTAGATCGAGAAGATAGTCGAGCCGCGTAATGTTGAAACTCAACCATGTGGCCTCACCAATTCCGGGAACTTCTGTTACGTTAATAGTTTTCTACAGGTAAATTGTCATTGTTCTGTTTTTTAACATTTGATTGTTTAGATTTGGTTCAATGACCCAGTCTTCCGGCAAATTATTTATGATTGGCGACCCTCGATAGAATTTATCTCGTAATTTATCATCAAACTTATTGAAATTTACGATTTTTAGTGCTAATCCGAAGTGTGATGTACAAGATATTATGAATCATCTTCAGAAATTGTTCTACTACCTCGCTTTTTCGCCTTTTGTAAGTTTTAAAGTCATTTTACAGTGAGAGCGGTAGTAGAAGTAAACGCTCAAGATACAGTACTGGACAATGAAATATCATATTTGAAGAAACGATCGTCACTTTCGCGCGTCTGTGACTCCCTTGTCTTTGAGTTTAAACTATTAGTGTTCTACATTTGTCTGAAAGCTCTTTTCAAGGGCTACACAATGGTAATATTAATATTTAGAAATACGGTAAAGACAAGGGAGTTACAGACGCGCGAAAGTGTTTTTTCAAATATGATATTTCATTGTCCAGTAGTGTACCACTGTATTAAATCTGTTGACTACTGCAACTAACACTCTACGACCTCTTTTAGGAAAGCTGTGATGTCCAAGACTTTGTGAACATTCTTCGACTGGACAATCAACAACAAGATTCGCATGAGTTCAGTCTTCTTTTCTTCAACATGCTTGATCGACATCTCAGGACCCATCCAAACGGCGAAACGATTAGGAAACAATTCATGTGTCGATTACAAGTACTAGTTTTTGTATTTTAATAAAGACTATATTCTTTTTAGGGCTCAATCACTCAAGAAATCAAGTGCACTTGTGGGCGGGGAAGCCGAAAAACGGACGAGTCTCTTTCACTGGATCTCAGCATTATAAATGCGAAAACGCTCTCGGGTTGTATCAAGAATTATTTTGCGACAGAAAGGTGAGATTTTAACAAATTTACAATTCAAAATTTGGTGGTGCTAGTGTAAGCTAAACTTTCAGATGACCAAAATAATACTTTTCGTTTTAGTCTTGACGATTATCAATGTGATGAATGCGGGCAACGTGGAAACGTGCAGAAATCACTGGAATTCACACGGCTACCCCAAGTATTATTGTTGCAATTGAAACGACATGTCTTTGACGAGTGAGTACAACATTAATAATCAGATTTTGATTCTTTTTAGGAAAGGGCAGTTCAAGAAGTCGAAAACGGCTGTGCAATACCCGCGAAAGTTGAACGGGTCCGTGTTGAATAAAGCGTTTGGTGATGTGAGTTTTTTTGTGCGTGCAATTGTAAATGTTTTACATTCAGATTGAGTACGACTTGTGTGCCGTGCTAATCCACGAGGGTGATGAGACAAAATGTGGGCATTACTATGACATCATCCTGAGGAATGAGGACAAGAAATGGTATCAATACAATGACACGGTAATCGTAATGAAAAATCTAATTACTATTAAAGATTCTTAGGTAGTGAAAGAGTCCAAAGCGCCCGGATCGGCCAACGAGAATTCCCATCCGTCGTCCAGCAAATCGTCACCCGATCAGCGGACGTGGTATGGTAAGTATTTGGGAGTTTATTTAGTTCTAAAACTGGGGTAAAAACCTGTATTTTGGACGCACGGTTTGGGCTATTATTTGATTTGAAAAAAAACTACGAACCCGTTAAAAACTGCGGTATCCCATTTGCGACCAAATGTTTTAAAATTCCAAAATGTTTCTTTAGGTCTTGTTTATCGCCAACATCTCAACGAGCCGACTCAGTTTCGACCGCCACCTGAACATCTAACGAAACCTTGGCGAGCCAGTGTAAGTTTTGTTAACCATTTGGTTAATAATCATACTACTGACTTTTATAAAATTCAGATTGACGAACGTTTTGAAAGCGAGAGCGGGAAAACGATTAGTGCAACGTTAGCCGGAGTGGATGAAGTGCGGAAAAGACAAGATGTTCTATCGGTGCTCATGGATGAGCTTGAGGTAATCGTTACTCAAGATGCAAATTTGCTATTGAATCTTGTTTTAGTTATGCCCTCACAAAGAGAACGAGTACACCGCTCATCCCGAAGTCATTTCATTTCTACCAGTTTCATTGCTCAGCGATATAATCGGTACGATCTATGCAACATTTTCTATTTTTCTATTTTTTTAGCCAACGAATTCGAACGGGTTCAGAGCAAGAAGAATTTCTTGGAAAATCAAGGAAAAGATGTGGATGTTAAGGCGAGTTTTGAATTAAAACTGAGCGATTAGTACACTAAAAAGCAACATGAGCTCAAAATGCAATTTTTAGGATCCGGATGTTGAAATGTATGCTGTGTCCACAGCAGTGCAATCCACGAGTCGACCTCGGTATCATTTTGTTTGCAAACCAATAAAAGTAGTTATGCTCAGGTTGCGTAAGCGTCAAGCTTTTCAAGTGGAAGAACGAGGGAAAAACTTTATCGAGCGTGAGCTGATCGCCAAAAAGTTGAAAGACCACGAGATGCTACTCTGCTCACACAAGAAGATTCACATTGATCAGGTAGCGATTCGAAAGTTTTGTCGCCAAGGATCAAGATTTTGCTCTATTTGTTGATGGCAGACTGATTCTAGTTCTCATTTTAGATTTCATCCGGTGATGTGAAAGCAGTGAACGCGGCCGCGATGGACAAGCTGCTGAATCGATACGGCTTTTCGCTGAACTACGAAGTGGATGTGCTGAGGAAGGATAAATTCGGGACGCTTAGAGGGTAAGGTAAACCAGAGCTGATTGTTAGCTTACTGTGGGCATTGTGGGTGGTTTAAACTCGAGGCTTAAAGTTCATGACGCAATAACTTTTTTTGCAAGTACCTAATGATGTATTTAGCTCTGAACTTTGCTTGGATTGTGTGCAAGATCTTCGACTCGAAGCGATCTCGATGGACTCTCTCGAAAGAGACGAAAAGCTTGCAGTTCGAGTATTGAAAGAGGAAAAGACAAGGTGAGAAACATTGTTGTTAACGGATTTCATTTGAAATTTTTAGATGCTCGACGCGTGTCAACAACCCGACTAATGGTGATTACTATATTGCGAAGAAAGCTCTGCAAGCATATAAACGATTGTTGACACGAGAGCAGGAATATCGAAGGCATCAAAGGGTTTGTTGATTGTCTCTTTGAAATCGTCTACCGAGAAACTTTAGGAGATTTGCAGCAGATTGATATTTTCGACGAGCAAGCCTTACACGCATAAAGGAGGAACTTCGTCAGCTGGATCGAGTCAAAAACAGGAGTCGGACATCGATTCGGTAAATTTTTGATAGATGTTGGTACTGTACGCTCTCTTCTGACCAGGTTGTTCATGGCCAGGACAGGCCAGAAGCTAGATTGTATCTGGCTTACAAGCTCTAGGGTCTGATTTTGACCAGTCTACCTTTTCCCCGTACCCAAAATTTTAGGTCGCATCGACAAACAAACGAATCCGAATGGATTTGATCACCGAAAAGGATGAAGCAATCAAACGTGAGAATGATGAGGGATTGACAAATGGGACATCACTGATGAAGATCACCGAGGAACAAGATGAGGTAGGGGTTTAAGAAATCACTTTAATTTTAAATATTTAGGAGATACTGCGCGATGTCGGCAATATTTTGCTTGACATTATTGACGATGTTTCACAAAAGGAGAAGTGTCAGGTACTAGTTTCTTTTATTTTTAAACGCACAGATTTCCAGCTTACAAATGGAGATGAATCGTCGCATTCGGATGATGAAAGTGGACCCTCGAAGAATGGGTGATTTTTGATGGAATATTTTTTTTTATGATTTATTATAGAAAACTTGACGATGAAGACTTTGGTTCTGCCGAATTTAATGCTGAATTGAGATGTGTACATGGTATGTTATTAGATATTTTGATAAAATTTCATTGCTTTAGGGAATTTGAATGCGCACGAGTTTCGATTTGCTGTCTCTCCAGACGAGTGGCGTCAATTGAACGAAAATTTCAGGAGATTTTACGAGGTACGATCTATTTGGCACTAGACTTTATTGATTAGCAATTCTTTGATGAAAATCTCATTTAGGTGCCAGTCGAAGTCCCTGTATGCAGCAATTGTGAATTCGATGAGCAATTGAAAAAGTATGGTGATGAAGAGAATAATCATCGAGTGCAGGAATTAACACGAAAGGTTACCCTATTGACTCAACATTCTATTCATTGCCTTATTTTAGATCCACCCTTTGTTGAAATCATATGAAATGAGAAAGGATATCAAAGTGAGCGATATGGGAAAGAAGTACAAATATCTGGTGTGCAATCGTTTTTTTGAAAATCTCAACAAAGCTGCGAGGTGAGCGTTAATTTTATGGGTCTTTGATGTGCCAAATTTTAGGGCGGTTCGTTCTCGTCGTCCCGCCGTCTCGATGTGCCAGGATTGTTTACTTTGTGTAGATCATGGTCGACCGTTCATCACAATCAATCCGGATGAGTTGAAGGTTTTCTTGAAACAAGTTCCTTCATGTGCCCTGAATGCCTAAAGTGAAGAATAGATTACGTACTAAATGCAAATAGTTCATGATACTAGCAATCTCTGGGTAGAAAGTGATCAGATTTACATCGGGCAACCTCATTTTGTAGGAGATGGCTTATCCGATCCCGGTGACGGAAGAAGAATGGACGAGCATTCGTGATATGATGGGTCGAGGAGATCAGTGCCAGCCAATCGCTTATCAGCTGCATGATGGTGGTAAGAGTTTCTCTTAGGTTAGAGATTGAGCAATAGTTGTAAACTCACGATAGCTTATAAAATCTATTACTATTTAGGATCGATTGAGAGTTTCTGCGACGAATGTCACGACAAATTCCTTCAAGCCTACAATGAGAAGCAGTACTTGTACGACAATGGGACTTTATATGTCAAAATGGTGAGTACGCAGTTTCTCTTCTTTCTGATGTATCTCTTTCAGCAAATGGATTTGTCAGATGAAAGTGAGACGGCGGCTTCGCAAAAAGTGGCCGCTCCATCAACTCGGCGAAATGCGTTGAAAAATTTGCTCAAGTTTTTTGTGGTTTTGCTTCCAAATTTAATGAGACTTTAGAGTGAAAATGAGTAGCAAGGAAACGGTGCACGAGTTGAAAGTGAAATTATATCGACTCACACAGCACAGTCCAGTTGATCAACTACTTTATCAAGCGGTGGGAATTTCATGTGATTTTTAATCTTTTTTATTTTAGCTTGGTGGTGTGCTGCTCGAGGATGAGATGACGCTCGAAACAGCTCGTGTTCTTCCAAATAATCAGGTGCTTATTGAGATTTATCGTACTTTCTCTGGGATTGCTCGAATTTGGCTTTTTTTTGCTTGGGTTGACCTGGACTTGGAAAATAGGTTCTTCGCCTAATTCTGGCCTTTGGTCAAGCTCTTGTTGAGCTAGTTGGGAAAATTTTTTATAGGATCTTAAGGGGTAAAATTTTAAGAGATCTAACATCAATTTATCAATTTTCAGGACAATCCACTGGTGCTTCATGTGCAAGCGAGGAGCGCAAATCCTTTGCCAACCGATGAGATCCGAACACCCGAACGGGGATTTGCCGACACCGCGCTGGCTCATTAAAAGACTCTTTGAAACTCCGAAAGCTACTTTTTCTTCACCCGTTTGTTATTTGTTTGGTTGTGCATCCCGAGACTCTAGTCTTTGTTTTTAGCTGCTTTCATTTAGTAAGTTGTACTCTTGGGTGTCTCATAGTTGAAAAGTTATCCCCAAAAGGTCGTATGGGTATTTTGATGATTTTGTTTGTATTGGTCTTTATCCTTTTCAGATATGTTTGTAAATGTTAACTGTTTTAGAGCTCAATTTCCAAGGAATAAAGTTCACTCTTACGGTGCTTGCGCCTAATGTGTGGTTTTTGGTGAAGATTTCTAAAATATGAAAAGTCCAACATATTAAAAGCAAAAATGATGGATCGAGTGACTTTACGAAAAGGATAACTCAAGTGGCAAATTTTACAAAAAAAGAAAAAAATTTTCGCAGCGAGCAGGATTCGAACCTACGCGGGCAGAGCCCAATTGATTTCGAGTCAATCTCCTTAACCACTCGGACATCGCTGCTTGTTGGGAGGCCGCTGGAAAAGGGGTAAGTGGGAGAGGGAGAGGGGAGAGAGAGATGGGGAAAGGGCTGGACACAAAGAAGAGGGTTCTTTTCAACGAGCACTTTGCTGAATTTACGGAATTCCCCCACCACTGCAAGTTTGCTGAATAAAAAAATATAAAGAAACATTTAACGGCAACAATTTCTATGAAGCTAAATACATTTTATGGTCCAATGTGTGCCTCGAAATCTTTCGAAAATCGTCAAATTTTTTGAGCTGACCAAATGAGCTGATTTTTTGCACCCATGAGTTTTCGACTATGCTGAATCGATTGATGATGGCCTCGCACAACATTTCGCAACTTTTAACAACGTTTACAGCAAATAGCAACAAAAATAACAACAAAATGTCAACAAGTTACGAACGAGGACCAGACTCAAGGCAACTCTATTTGTTATAAACGTTGTTAAAAGTTGCGACAAGTTGTATGAGATCATCACCAATTGATTCAGCATAGTCAAAAATCTCTGGGTGCAAAAGATTAGCTCATTTGGTGAAACCCCCCGCCCGCCCCAACTACTTTTAACCCCACCAGCCCTCTGCTAACGCAGCTGAAAACAGCTAGCAAATGGGCGACGGACGCAATTTTAAATGAAGAGTACCACGAATATCCTTCAAAGCAATACCGGAATCATACCCTGAATACCCTTCGCAGTGCCCGTAAAGATTCAATATTGCACCAAGTGAGCCAAAATTTAGCGGAAAGCGCTCAACATATAATAAACGCAAGAACGTGGTGTGTTGCATGCACAACCTTATGAATGTCCGTAATTTTTTCAATTCGGAACTAGGCACTTGTTCCGTTTCGGACGTAACATACAGAGTGTCCGGAAAAAAGTGGTCACCGGAAAACTGGAAAATTTTTCTCGTTGATTTTCAAAAATGGTTTTGCCTTAGGGCCCCTACGCAACAAGATGAATTTGATTTTTTTGATGATTTTGTGAATACGGGGTCATGCATCGGCCGGGGAGCTCAAAATCCACGTATACATGAAAAACACTTTTGAATTCCTCTATTTCACCACAAATCTTTCTATTTTGTTTCTATAAATTTGTTTTAGATATTAGAATCTTGAAAATAAGAGACTCCAAAAAAGTCGCTCCTGAGAAAGCAGCAACAAGAGTTTTCTCGTTTAAAAATTAACCATATTTTTAAGATTTTTGAAAACAAAAACAGCCAATCCAACAATGCAAACTGAAATTGTGACTAGAACATTAAAAGAACGAGCAATTTCCTCTAAAATCGTCGTGCTTTTGGCAACAATGTGAAAAAATTTACTTTTCTAAAATCTAAAATCTTTTTCATTGATTTTCCTAATGATTTTTAGATACCTTTATCCTCGGCGATTTAGTCAGAACTTAAGCTTTGACACTTTCCCCAAGAGTTTTCAAGATCTACCTGTCATAGGCAAAAAAATTTAGCGTCTTTATAGCCAAAAAAGAAATTCTGTTCGAATAAATCACAAAAATTTTCTGAAATAACACGAGATAAATGTGTTCACCGGTAAAAAGAAAAAGAAGATCGACGACATGAATTTTGCATCATCGATTCACTTGAAAATGTTGATCTTTCGGAGGATCTTTCGCTTCTCCTTCTGCACCTGAAATTGAGAAAATAAGGTGTGAAAGTAGGCGCTTTTGAAGATATACATTGTATCATAACTGATACGATAGCGTAATCAGTCCGGATACCGTAACTCAGACAAGTACCGTACTCGGTATATCTTAATCAAGCTAGATATCGTACTCCAGACAAGTACCGGAATCCAGCTAGGTATCGTACCTATGGTATATAGTCCCGCTACGGTAACCAGATGGATTACGGCATAAGTTACAGCGTCTAGTCTGGCTACAACAAGTATTGGCTGGCGTAACCAAGCTACCATATCCAGAGGGGTATCGTAATCCCGCTGAACAACAAAGTCAGACTAAACACCGTAACTTAGACAAGTGTCGTAGCTCTTTTTAAGTACGGCCGTATCATTCCAGTTACCGTAATCTATCTGCTTTAGCCCAGGCAGCTATCGTAAGATTAAACTAAAAAACTCACCGATGTGCTGGACATTCCAAGATGGGGTCTGCCTCCACCCATTCCGCCCAAGAAACCGGGTAGGTTAATCACACTGCGCATCCCCTCTTCGACTTCTTTTCGAGCTGGAAATTAAAATTGAAGTCAATTTGTAAATGTACAACAACAATGACTTAAAATAGTTAACAAAACCAGGAACCATTTGCAATTCTTTTCTTCCGGGCCTTCTCCTCTGCATTTTGCACGAAAGCGTTGTTCTCTTCACTAAAAATGGAAAAATTGAATGCGAATAGTGATTGGAACGATATTATCATACACTGCACTTACACTACTATAACAGTCTAAAACAACTTACATTGCGGCCATTTTGTTGCACTCGCTGACCACATGTTCCACGTTGTTGAGGCAAGCGTAGAAAGCCAAAAAATATGTTGATATTAACTTTTTCCTTGAGCAACATATTTAAATGTTGCACTGCAAACTGTTACCTGTCGAACTGCGGGCAAGTTCTCGAGTGGGAAATCTCGGGGTTGCCATTCTTCAACCTAGAAAAAGTCGATGTACTTTACAGTTGTAACGGCATAATTTGTTGTTTTTAGCTGTAACTACTGGCTATTTTTAAACGAGCCTAATATCAGATTGACTTTCAATTTATGCTCTCAAATTTTCCCCACATCGAAACATCGATTCATACTGTTGAGGCGACCCTTCAGCAATCCTTTGTACATCGCATCAATGATCAAATCCTCAAACGGAAAAAAGTTTGTAAATAAAGCTGTAAGAAGCAGTACCTCAACAGCACGATCGGTGTCAAGTTTGAGTGCACTCAGCAGACGATCGAATGGGATTTGTCTAAATCGAGACAGTTTACGATGCACAAACTGCAAAAAGCTCAAGTTTTCTGCGTCTCAATTATCAAAGGTTTATGCTAGGTTTAACTGTATTCTGCTAGTCAATTTTTCTACCGATCAAGCGCTCACCGTTCTTTTGCGGCCATCGATAGAATCGTCAACTGTTGCATTTTCATCGTCGCCTCGTTGGAGAGCGAAGTCGACGGCAAAAGATCCGCATACGTGCCTGCAAACAAAGAATTCACCAAATAGTACTAAGAAACTTACTATATGCCAAGACGTTGAGCATGTGCCACAATTCGGGTTTCTCCTTCTCCAGTGCTCGCACTTTTTCGTCTTGTAGCAATTCTCCGTAGCCAACTCTAGAAGAACATTTGCAAGGATGACTTAGTGGGATTTTGCTAAATTTATCCAAGTAACGTAAACCTTAAGGGCTAGGACGGTGATCAAATATTGAAAATCCAAGTATTTGACATCTAAGCAAACGTTTCATACTGTAACTAGGTAACTAGTATTTTGTCAGAGGATTTTGCTTCCAACACTTCAAAAACGAACCGTGCCGGCGCTGCGATCGCCTCTTCGACCGTGTTGATCACAAGCTCCATTTTAGATCTGAAAATGAGACTTATAAACAAGACCCACACAATTTCAGTTAATCCGTGAGAACCGGTTTTGTAAAAACTTAATAGCTCCAAAAATGTGATTCTTATTCATAAACTGAAATATTCTTCATACAGAGATAACTTTAAGCTCAATTTTTTCAATAAGCAATATAACCATTTATTTATGTCAATCCCAAAAACAATAAAACCAACAAACTCTACCAACTAAAATAAAGAAAAATTACACAATAGTGACAAAAAAGCATGAAAAATCATCGATTGTAGAAATATTTATCGGCTACCGAGCCCCCGAGAAGAACCTAAAAAAAAATTTCATAGGATTTATTTTAAAGATAGATAGACGTGCCTAAAAGTTTAGAACCGCATAAGTGATCACGATATTTAACCACAGACCAAAATTTTAACTTCCATAGCTTACCTTAAGTGACTTGGATAAGTTCTTTTACACATCATTTTTTCCGCCACTCACGTTTTAATAACCGAATTTCCTAAAACCAAGACATTTCTTGGGTGAATCCTCCGGCTATCAGGTAAATACACTATCTGCCAGAATCATCGGCGATTTCAACTGCAATAGTCGAGGGACGGAAGGCACCCAAGGTAGGATCCTACAAAATACATCAATGCGCACTCCACCACCCGGTCTCTGCCATTGGGAAATGGGCACCTATTTATAGGACGTAAATATACAATATTTATTGGGCGCATACACAATAGTAAATGTGGTAAAATAAAAATAGAGATCTATCTTCGAACGTCATTTAGTCCTTCTTCGCCGGCTTGGCGTTGCAAGCGCAGAAGCCTTTATTACACTTGAGACCTAAACAACAATTTTACACAAGAAATTAAAAGATAAAATATTAAATTAAATAAATATATTAAAAGATAAAATAAATAAAAAACAAACCATTGCATCCATCGGTGGCACAAGTCTTCTTGCCGCAGAACTTAGTTAGGCGATCCAGCAGTGTGGCATAACCATGGGCCTTGTAAGCCTCAAAGCAAGAGATTTAAATTCAAATGTGTCATTCTTACCGCTTCACAGTCGCACATTTTCTTCGTGGTATTGCATGCACCTTGAAGTCCTCCACAGGCGGTGTCATCCTTGCATGGGAAAAAGCCAATGCACGCGTTGCAGTTACAACTAAAAGTAGGGGGTTTTGACGCCTTTTAAAGTTCACATACCGTCCAGGAAGTAAGCCAAGGCATGATCCTCCATTGCAGTCGTCATTGCTTTCGCACTGAGCCGCCGCTTTGCACTTCTTGATGGCTTCGGTGGTCGTTGTTGTAGCGGCGGTGGTTGTGGTGGCAGCTTCGGATTCTGTTGTTGGATCGGAAGTCGTTCCTTCCACGAACTCGGCTTGGCGACGAGAGCGACCATCCATGTCATCATCTCCGGTAAGAACGTCGTCCTAAAATTACCAACTATAATTCTTCCACTTCTTTGATTTTGAGAAACATACTAAAAATCAAAGCCCTAGCTTTGTTTTAAGCTTTTACAGTCGCTGCCTTTGGCTCTAGTTCATCTTAGAAGAGCGTTACTGTCAACGGGAGCGGAAAGCTGCGTAGTTACCACCAGACTTTCTCTTTCTATTGATAATAACGTCTTTTTAAAAGGAACTAGAGCCACAGATAGCAAAAGATAAGCAAATCCCTCATTTTGGTGAAGCTTTTTATCCGTCAGGTAAACCAGCAAGGCTAGTGTGAAATCAGATAACAACGATGAAGTGTACGCATTTAAACAAATCGCAAACGTCATTGGTGAGGATTGCTTAAGGTTAAATAAAATAAACTGACCACAAAGGCGGATTCCTCCGGGCCGTAACCGTCATCCATATCGCCCAGGTCACTTCCTATATCCGCATTCACCAAAGCGATCGTGAAAAGGGCAGCCAGCACAAACAGCTTCATCTCCGTTGGAAGCGATCGGAATCAAGGCAACCTAAAAAAACATTAAACGTTAGAAACAAAAGAAAATGGACGAAAGACAAAGTGCAACAAATGGGGGACGACAGTGAAATGAATTTTTGCTGGCGCTTTGCTTTTATACTCGGGTTACTGTAGCTCTCTCGCCAAATGGCGCATATTGCAGACAGTTGAATTTAGAAAAAACTACTGTGACGAAAGCATCAAGTGAATCTTTTTAATCACTGAAAGCGCAAAAGAAACCTGTTGGTTGGGGAAGAGGAATGATTTTTCAAGTTTCGAATAGGATGCTAACTTCGAACTAATGACAATTTTAGCACATGTTATATCAGAACATTTCTTTAGGAGGACCACTCCGAAAGAAATCGTCAACGAACAACAAATATCATTAAAGCCAATCATTGCTTTGCATTAAAAACGCCACAAATTCTATCACCTTTGCAAGTTCACTAATAAACAAAACACATCACGTTAATACATGTACAAATATTCAATAAGTTGTGCAATTTTACAACTACCCCAATGTTATTTTATTAAAAGAAAATGGAAACTTGAAAAGCAAAAGAGCCAAAATGAACTGCGCGCACAGAGAGTCGAACTCGGTTGCCAAAAAGGAAACGGTGGGACTACCACTCCACCAGATTCACTTCGTTTCCTTGACTTTAACTTTACAAACTATCAATTTTCAGGGCTAATGGGTTTAAAGCATTGCGTTATTTGCGGCTTGAAGGATTATCACATGTTAAAGTGGGGTTTTGTTTATAAAAATCAAAATCATTGACTATTTAGGATTTTGGTCAAGCGACTCTCCTACTAGAAGAAGCGATTCCAGATTTGACGGTACTCGGCGTTGACTATGTGGAACAAATGAAGAACTTTGAGGCTGAGACGAGACTTTTGGAAAATCTGAGAGTGGTACAAGATGCTAGAGGTCAATTTTGCTATTCTAGCCTTTAAATCTATCATAGTTTTTAGCTAACGACCGACAAATTTTAGGAAACGCTGAAGACGATAATGGCCGCCTCTTTTACTTGAATGGATCGTTTAACGAAAGAATAGCTGTTGATGATGAGGATCTACCCATTATGACATCGACTATTAGAAGGTAAACAACAACGTTTTTCTTTTGATTCAAAATCTCCATTAAGGGAAATCCTCGAAATGTATGAGGCGGAATTTGAGAATTTGGATCGATTGTCGGGTGAAAAATTGAGGCAAATGTTACTTGGATCACCGAGTGGATATACATGGGGAAAATAAGTGAGATTTTTGAGTTTTTTAGATAACGAAGTTTAGAAGCAAAACACAATCATCTAATTCTAAACTTTATCTTATCTATCGCTTAAAAGATCTATCTCTAGGTTGAACGAATCCTGCAACACGAGGCCAAGTTATTGACGGAAGATTTGATACCGGTGGAGCCGAAAATGTTGCCGAAAGAGGAAAGAAAATTGAAATTACCGCCGAATTTGGATGAACGAGAAGGATGGAATGATACTACAAAGTGAAATGATCAAATTTAGCAAAGAGGTGAGATTTTCTTGATTGACAAGTAGCTTAAAATCAGTTGAGTACTACGAGTAATATGCGTGATTAGATTTCTAAATGTAAATTTCTAATCTAAATGAAGCGATTTCTAAATGTTAAAAATAATTGCTAAAGTTTAACTCGTTTAAATTGCCGATCAAGAAGCCTCTTCATCATAAAAATAAAAATTGACAAGGAAATTTGTAGGTTATAGGTTAGTAGTTTAAAGTTAGAGTTAGTAGTCGAATTCTTTTAAAGAAAGATTTTATATTAGAATATCCATTTTTCTGTTAATTCCTCATTTTCTGATCGGGTTTTAGATTGCTTTAGTGTCGTTAATCGTTGAATTTCAAATTCTTTGTGGGATTATTGTTTTTTTTAAGTGAAAAAGATTTTGTCCAAACTCTGTCCCAACCCAAATTTCTCAAAAATGCCTCTGGCAAGTGCCAGAAACCGTTTTTCTAGGGTTTTCGGCCACGCTAAATCGATTGGTAATATTTTCAGAGCTTGTTCTTGCTACACTAAGCTTATACTAGGCTATGGCTCAGAGTACTGGCTGGGCATAGGTTTGATGCTGCGTCGAGTCTTGTTAACGGTCTACACGTGTTACTTACCTCCCTCTTTGCCGCTCCCGCGTTGTTTGCGCATTATTTACCTAAGCTTTCGCTCCACACCTTAAAGGCACGTGGCTCCTAGGCTGTCACCTGATTCTCCTACGACTGAGGTGAGTTTTGTCCAGCTAGGAGCCACGTACTTCCGGTACGAAACTCATCTCAGCCGTAGGAGATCAGGCGATAGCCTAGGAGCCACGTGCCTCTAAGGTGCGGAGCTAAAGCCTAAGTAAATATAGGAGCCTTGAACGTTGTTAAAAGTTGAGAAATGTTGTGTGAAATGCCCTCCAACTACTATAGCCCCACTGGCTACCTGTTACCGAACATAAGCTAGATCTGCCTTGACCAAGAAGAAAAAGTCACAAACACATTCTAAAAACATTACCAATCGATTTAGCGTGGCCGAAAATCCTAGAAAAGGCACTTTCCAGAGGCATGGTACACACAAAGTAACAAATCGTTCACCCGTGTCGAATGCTGCAAAAACAAACGAAAGAAATACACTCCGGGACACTCGCAAATCATAAACAAAACTCAATTACACAAAAGAAAAAAGGCAATGTTATTTTACGCGTGACCTGTTCAAAATCGTTTCATTTCTTGTTGACCATTTCGTCACTTCACGTCACTTCGTATTCTAAAAAACAAGATCGAGATATTCAAGAGCTCAAAAGAGCCAAAATCTCAATCAACGTCCACCTGAAACTTCTCATCACTCCAATCGACTTCTTCCCAAGTTCTCTTGCCATTTCGCTGCATTTTGTTTTCAATGAGTTCTGAGGTTTATCCCGGAGTCACTTTTAGACAAATATAGGGGGAAAGTGCCCATTTCGGAACCGCAGAGATAAAATTGAGTTCCTAGGTGTTGTTATTTTGAATCTATATTAAAAAATATTGGTTTGTTCCTAAAATAGTTTTTTATACAGACAACTCTGAGAGAGAAGTTACATAGATCTGCCAGATAAGAGCCGAGAAGACGTCAGGTATGTCAGAAGAAACACAATTTATTGTATGCTTGCATTTATTTATTGTATAATAACATTAATAAAACCTTATTATTTGTGTTGTACTCATTTCCCTCGATCACGTACCATGAATCGTCCCTTTTTTTGGAGGAGATCCCAATGAGGAGATCGGAGATCTGGAAGCAAAACTTTAAAAAGAACAACAACAAGAAAAAAACCGTTTGTAATAAAAAAAGGGCGCCGCCAATAGCTGCGGTGATTGCAACCCATGTCAACTAAAAAATGCAAAAAGTTAGATTATCCTGAAAGTGCCAATCTAGGTAATCAGATTTACTTCATGATTTCATCCAAGTATTAAACTATTTGAATAGATGTATGGTGAATTAGCAAATAAGAGAAAACCACCAGACTATCGGTGTGAAAAATAAATGAAAAATGGCTTTACTGTGCCTATATAAAAACCATACACACAGTATGTAAGCTTCGTGTACAGGAGTTTAGCCAGGACTAAGTCTCTAACAAAAGTACAGAGTTATTTGTCTTGGTCTTTTTACGTTATAAACACCAACAACTTACGGTAAGAGCCACAACAAATCGTTCCAATGATGCCGGAGGCACACCTGGAGACAGTAAAGACTAATGCAGAAAACGTGGAAAGTCATCACGGCCAAGTAACGCAAAGTTTACCGTAAACTTCCTCTCCACCGTACAAATGATAAATTTGGTTACCTCGAGTGCCAATTGCTTTGCCGAAAGACCGAGGCGATTCAATTGATAGACGGGGCAATCCTTGCTTAAAAAGCGATTCGATGAGCGGTTATTAATAAATAAACTTACTATGGTGTATTGATGGCGATCACGTTTGCCACAACTTGCACTTGAAGGCCGACAAATAAGACGACGTGAATCGGCACTGGAATCCAAGCGTTCTTGGCGACGAAGTCCATAGAGCACCAGGCGCCAAAAAGTTGAAACAAGACAGCTAAACAAAAAAAAAATGAGTTGAAGAAGAGCTAGCTGAGGTCACTCAAATTAATTGCTCATTGCACTACTTAACGAAATATTTATGTAACAAAGATAAACCCAGAGATGATGAAAGCGACCGGGAAGTGAATGGCCAAAATTTGTCCAATCCTCTCCATTCCGAGGGGCTCGAGAGACTTCGGGAAATTTAAAATTACAAAATCCATGAACAGTTAGTTATAATGGCATGACAAGCAAGCATGACTAAAGTTGTAAAGTAAAGTCGACTGGTGCAAAGTTTCTCGACCAGACAAAATCTTGACGTTCTCATTCCTTTAGCGCTACTCAACCCATTCAATTTCACAGATTACTGATCAAAATTTACCTTCAGCTTTGCGACACTGCTTCTTGACGTCGTACTTCTCGTTCTCATCGCAATCCTTGGCGTTTTGCTTCTTTCGTCGGTAGACGCCCGTCGATTTCCGGAAAAGATAATCAATTAACAGTTTAAGCGAATTTGAAACAAGAGCATCAAAGTAAATTTTTAATCGCTGAAAGCACCAGAAACCTGTACCGACATCAAAAACGCCACAAATCCAATTACCTTTGCAAGCTCACTAATAAACAAGACAGATTATTAAAGCTATTGTTTTGCATTAAAAATATTCGATCTATGTACAAATATTCCACAAGCTAGCTATTCCAATCAAGGAGTACATTTAAACGCCTTTTTCATCCCAAAACCTTTTCCAGTTCTAATCTAGAATCAACAACTTTATTCAACACAAAAAACACAATACTTCTTGATAAACAAATTCAAGCCTTCACGGCATATTTGCGGATGGGAAATGCTTGTTGCTTTTTGGCTTGCTTCGCGGTTTTCAACGACACTTCGTGTTTCGTCAAGGCTCTTCGTTGGGCACGAGTCTTTTGGTGACGCAAGTCGAGTGGCTTGTATTTCTTGCCCTATACAAAAAGAATGCGTTTGCATTTTGAGACTCCGTTTGAGATTCTCTAACTAGGGAAAAATCAGGTTTCATCATCGCCAATCCGAATCGCCAGTCGAACACGGGCAACACGATAGCGTCTTTAGTTTTTGCCTAAACGCAAACCGTTTTTCTTTTTTGGTGCCCAAGTTCGACTCCCCCTTAGCTAAACTTTTTTTGCATTTTCTGTTTTTATGTTTTGAGCATCTTTAGGATCAATTGCACTTTTTTTTGCAAATAGGAGGACGACCCCTAAAGAAATCGTCAAGGAACAACAAATATCATTAACGCCAATCATTGCTTTGCATTAAAAACGCCACAAATTCTATCACCTTTGCAAGATCACTAATAAACAAAACACATTAATACATATACAAACATTCAATAAGTTGTGCAATTTTACAACTACCCCAATGTTATTTTAGTAAAAGAAAATGGAAACTTGAAAAGCAAAAAGAGCCAAAATGAAATGCGCGAACGAAGAGTCGAACTCGGTCGCCAAAAAGGAAACGGTGGGACTATCACTGCACCACAGATTCACTTCGTTTCCTTGACTATGCCGGCTTTGATATATCGTGAGACCGTTCGGTGCATTAGGCGATCAAATTTCTTTTGCATTTTTACAAAAGCCTAGAGCGTTTAGACAAAAACTAAAAAGGCTATCGTGTTGCCAGTGTTCGACCGGCGAAACCCTTACTGGTTTGATTCGGATTGGCGATGATGAAATCTGATTGTTCCCTAATCAGCTGTTAAAAGTCATAAATCACCACAACAATATCATCTTTGAAAACAGACTGCGTAAAGTTTCCTGAGCTCAGCCTTTTGCGTTTGATTGTAAACCGTTAGTATGCGAGCTATGTTCTTTCGGACTCGACGGATTTGAGACAATTTTGACGTTGAACTTCCAGTGACTTTGCTTACCTAAACAAAACACATTATTAATTTCATAAACTTTTATCAATAATGTTGTTTATGAAAATCACTCTGTATCAACATAGCTTAGCGTTTGCATACTATTGCACATAACAACTAATGGCTCCAAAAAAGGCAAATTCGGTAACTATCGGCTAAGCAAAAGCAGCAGTAAAGCAGCAAAATTATGGTGTAAACGCACGGCATATATATCTAAAATATCTATTCTCAATCAATTAGTAGCGCACAACTCAACTCAAACACCCAAATAGCAAAGTCGCCAAAAAAGTTTACCCGAAGTCCGGCCAATTCGGCTCTTTTGAGCCTCAAGTTGATCGCTAAGATCTTCCTTCTTTTTCCCGCGTAGATCCTTGGTCTTCAGCTTGGTCATCTCTAAAGAAAAGATATTAGAATCTGACGTGAAATAAAGAAAAAAGGAAAGGAGAAAGCTAAAAACTAACAAGCTCAGCTAGGAATCAGATAGTATAAACTACTTTTTTACCAAAAAAAAATTTTCTCGCGTCTTTTTGACTTTTTCATAAAAGAAAAGATATTTCGATATTCAGCTAATTAGCTGAATATCTTTAGGCAGTGATACTAATATAGGATAGAGATAATTTCTTTGCATTTTCTTGTTTTATAGTCTTTCTGGGAGTGGGACAAATGCGACCTTTTTTACGTTTTAAAAAAGTTCTAAAAAGCTAATATTAACCTATTTCTATACAAAATTCCCTACTACACAAAAATTTTAATTAAATTTTAAAAGCACTTTTTTACATTTCCCCCCAATAAATATTGGCTATTGAAGAAAGATTTAAAATGAATGAATAATTGCATGGGCATTATTTTCATAATCCTAGGTCATTTCGCTACCAAAATACCGGCACCGTTAATACGGGTAACTCCAAATCTAACCTATTTTATATCCAAATTAAATCACCATTCCACTACCAATTCAATTCAAATCCAATTTACCGCAACCCACATAACCTTTATTTTTCAAGTTTATTTAGTTGATAAAATTTAAAAATCGTGCTGCAAGTGGAGATATGTGAAAGCACACAAGGCAGATTATGCGCTTCAGGTGGGATTTAAAATGATTTGATCGGGAAGTTGCAAATTTGCTTGGTAAAATTTTAAACTAGTTTGGTTTAGGATTGCCGAGTGCCACATTTTTCTCCACATTTGCCATTTTTTCGAGTAAATCAAGACAGATTATGGCGAAGGCGGATGGTGAAATTTACGTAGTGGGATTTCGAGATGTGCACCTAAAAAAGGAACATTTATCAAAAGATTTAACGATGATACTTATTTAACTTGCACATGAGCGTTTTTCTGCACGTTGTTCAAGCTCTTCTGTAGCCTCTTTGAGTTCCCCAAAGTCTAAAACGAAATTTATACATAAATCCAACAAAGAATCAACAAACTTGTCACTGAACGTGCTTTTGTCCTTCTTCAACGCGTTGACCATATCCTCATTATCGGGAAAAAGAAAAACATCCTGAAAACTAAAAATTAATTTCTCTTTATTCATTCAAATGCAAAATTTTAATAACGTTTGCCATCAATTCCCTAATTTTTATTCACACGTATAGAAATGCCATAAGTATCATGCCATGCCAAATGCCAAATTTGAAAAACCCCACCAATAGCCCCGCCGAGTTCTCAAGTTCTTAAAATAAAAAATTATACTACAATTAATAAAAAATCCGACCTTTTTATTGCCGTATATGCCGATATGGCCGGTGACCAGGCACACTCGGACATTTGACTGTCCAAATTGTTCTATAGCGTCGTTGAGTTGGCGAAATCTAAAACCAAATTTATAGATGAGTGAAAAAAATCAACAAACAAACAACAAACAATCTTAGCATACGTCCTGTGGCGGCCCTGCTTCAACGCGTCGATCACGTTGTGACAGTCCGTGAAGACGACTATTTCCTCATCACTAAAAATTCATCCCTTTTCATATGCAAAATTTTAATAACGTTTGCCATTACTACTCCAATTTTTCTTCTCACTTATAGAAATGCTCATCATTAACGTCATCGTGCCAAATTTGAAAAACCTCACTTATAACCGTCCCAAGCAGACAAATCGTTGAGCGCCTTAACGATAGCAAACATCTCGACGAAGCCTGTTCGATTTCCAAATGGAACCTCGGACGCGGCCATGTCTTGGGAAGTCAGTTCTTGCGCACTAAAATGCAAAATATCAATCTCACGCAGACAGACACATACAAATTCAGTTCATGTTCTTCCCCAAAATATCCGCCGATCCCGTTGTAGGCGCCGTCGCAACTCGCGTCCGTGTATATCCAAGCACAATCATTCAAGCAACTATCAGTGTCCTCACCACAATTTTACCCTCGGCTTGTAACTGATGAAGAAACTTAGCATGTCCATTTCGGAGTTTCCGTTTATCTAAAAATCTTTAATGCTCATTTGTGCAAAACATTTGTGCTCAAACTCTGAAAAACACAGTTGTTCAGAACGGCTAACGGAGCAAAAAAAACCAAAACAAAACCAAAACTATAGAGGTAGTGCCGGCTGAGGCGGTATTGGAGTAAGAACGCGAAGATCCACCTGAAAAATATGGAAATGCAAAACAGAAAAAGAAGTCCTATTCTGATCTCTACCCTAGGATGAGTGAACATTTGCTTGAGCACGTCGAGCCTACATAGCTAAACTATGTAAACCTCAACGTGCTCTATAAAATGCTCATCTCGAAGTTTCTGTTTAACTAAAAATTTTTAATGCTCAGCAATTAGTTACAAAAGTACTCAAGTTTTAAGTTAATAAGCCTAAAAACGCCTCAAATCTGCCTATAAACTTTTAGCAAACAAAGAGAAGCGGCTTCGCATCATAATTTGATGTTGAAGCTGTGAAAAAAGACTTTGCTAAACTATGAAATAACTAACAAATGGTCCTCTATTTGTTTCTAAGGTTGCAAAATTTATGATGTTGCTTTTCGAAAGAGCAAAGCATTTGTGCAAAAAGAAAGTTGTTCAGAACAGTTAACGGAACAAAACAAAACTCACCAGATTGAAGTCGAGAGGTTGAGTTCGATGAGGCAGAGTAAGAGTGGGAAGAACCACCTGAAAAATATGGAAATGCAAAAAACAGAAAAAGAAGCCCTATTCTGATCTCTACCCTAGTATGAGTGAACACGGCAACTCACCACGACTCGAATTATAGAATGTACGCGCGCGGTGGCGTTGACCGGAGCGAGCTATCTCGATTTCGCTTACTGAAAAAATACTTTTGTAACTGAATCAAGCGTTGGAGATTAATTCTTAGGAAAACCAAAGTTTTTCAGAACTACATACCGTATTTACTCTAATAAAAGCCCGCCCCCCTATAGGAGCATCGTGTAGCCTAAGTTTACTCTCAAACAAGCGCTCATATCGCGACACCAGTACGTTTGTTTCTGCGCGCTTAGGTATAAAATTACAGTAGAGAGGATGTGTGATTTTTTTTGAGAAATTACACATATTTTTAGGACCCTGTAACTCAAAATAACTAAAAAAACCATCCCGGTAACTCAAAAAACTACTTTTGTAACTCAAAGTACAAGGGTTTTAAAAATAAGTTACAGAGGTTGTACTTTGAGTTACCTGAGTTACCGGTGTGACTTTTCAAAGTTCCCGGGGCGGGTGTTGTCCACTTTTTTGACCGCCCTAGTGCTTTGCAAAAGCTTCAAATTTCAATATTTCAATGTTTTGTTTCAAATACTTGGTGTTTGCTCTATGCTTCATTTTTTTGTTTTTTTAAACAGATCAACTAATTGAGAATAGAAGAAATATGTAGTTATGGTCACTCGAATACAAAATTTTTAAGAAAAATGCATTTGAAAAAGTTACAACTCCTGTCACTCAACTGTCCTAGTAACTCGAAATACCACCCTGGTAACTGCTATTTACAAGGGTTGTAACTTCGCCCTGATGTTTTGCCATTTGGTACCACGCCATAGCGTGAATCATGAACTTTCGACGTTCCAACATGAACTCTGAACTTTCTAAAGTGCGCTCCTAGGGAAAATTAATTTTCTACAAGCAAAAACATAGATAAAAAATAAAAAAGCCAAAGCACAATCTAGGCGCCTCTAATTTGGTCTTCTGCTTTCGTCTGCGCTCATTGCAATTTTGGGTATACTAATTTAAAAGTATTCATTCAACTTTTCAAATACCAATTCTATCTGTATAATCGACTTCAACATTGATAAACATGAAAATTTATTTCGAGTTACATAAAATGTCTCTAGGAAAAAGTGAAATAAGACAAAAATTTGAAGCGCGAATATGGTCCACCGGTACTGGTCAATACATTGATAGAAATTTAACAAAATAAAAACCCCTCGCAAATTTACACTTTACTTTTTTCGCTTTTGATGGTGATGAGTCGATTCTTGGCTTTCCATATCCTTGATCGCCTAAAAACTTGATATATAGTAATTACCGTGACCTGTTCTCTTAATCATAACTGTGAAATAGTGTAGTAGCTCAGAATTAAGAGTTATAGCCATAAAACCACTAATTTTAGAAAAATTCAGACAATTTTGTAGCTTTTTATGTTCCAAACGCGATTCTAATTGTAAGGCTTATAGGCTTAAGGTTTTGGGCACTGAATATTGTATGCAATTAAGTCTTAAAATTTTACCTGATAATATCCCGTGTGATATCCGTTCATGTACCAGCTCATTAGCATCGCTTGCATCGCCTCGTCGGTCGTCGGAGAAATTGCGGGGAAAGCATCTCGGAACATCGATGGAAGTGGTGGAGGGGCGATCGAGGGAAACTAAAAGTAACCACGTAAACAATCAGAATTTTGACGCCGCACCGGTGCATTGAGAGGAGCGCCACTCGTTGACGGCTTGGCTGGTATCGATTTGGGAGAGTCTAAACAAATACTTAAGAAGGCGAGAGTATTGCAAGAACTGATAAGCAATCGCAATATCCTTTACAGATATGAAAATTAACCAAATTCTTACCCTCTATTTTCTTCGTTGCGCTTCGAAGTGGAGCTTGATAGATGACATTCGGATCGGCATTCTCTTCCTCCTCCTCCTCCTCTTCCAAATCATTGTCATCCTCGTATCCGCCTACTTCCAATTCGACATCACCCTCATCCGGCACGTACTCTTCCTCACTAAAACAAATTTAATCAATTCAAATAAAACCTTAAGCTGACTAAACATTCTGCCAAGTTAAAATTTTTAAAAGCTCACCCAATCAAATCGCTGATCTTCACCATTTCCGTGTTTCCATAGCCATCAAAAGTCACCTAAATTTAATTATTTATTAGCGCTTTCAATGGAGTAGCTTGTTAAAGATCTTTTAAATTGATACAACTTCCCTCCCCCTTCCCCAACAATTTCTAATTTCCACTCACCTCAGCTTCTCCAGTGATTCGATCGAGTCCAGTTATCGCTCCAGGATACCAAAGTCCATCCACATAATACGGCGCCACACAACGATTGCCGACCAACCACTAAAAAGAAAAGAATAATAACAATGTACATTTCGATTGTATTTCAAATTGAGTCAGTCTTATTTACGCATTAAAAGATTCAAAAACTATTGCAAAGCTTCCGTAAGAAAGTTCACAAAAAGCAAAAAGTTTTCGCAGCGAGCAGGATTCGAACCTACGCGGGCAGAGCCCAATTGATTTCTAGTCAATCTCCTTAACCACTCGGACATCGCTGCTTGTTGGGAGGCGGCGGGGAAAAGGTTTTCGTTTCCTGAGGACAAAGAGCGAAAAGGGGAAAAGAGATGCAAGAAAAAGAGGCGTTTTTTGCAAAGCTTTAAATGTTTTTAACGATTTTTTTTTTGTTTTTTTACTGGAATTGAAAGCAGTAAATTAACATGAATTTCAATTATGATAGCTTAAAGCGATATACATTTTAAGCTATTTGAAGTTGCACGTTAGACGTTTCTTTGTTTGTTATTTAAGTAACCAACCACTTTTTCCTCCGCATTTGCTTGTGCATTCGTCGCATCGGAAGGAGTCTAAAAGAACACATTTTTTTTCAGCTGATGGTGATGGTGTTTTATTTGAAATTATTCGATCATAGCCTGTTTTCAAAACTTTGATCGCGAAATGAATATAAAGCGTCAAAATGCTATTGGACACTTCACGCTTCATCTCAATAAAAAACTGAAAGTTAACATTTACATTTGGGACGGCAGCAAGATTTCGTTCCAACATCGTGACAACGGTGAGAGCTCTATCCTTGGCGGCTTGTCGATCGTTCAACTAAAAGAAATGTCATCGTTAACACACAAAGGCAATGACTTTTATGGTTTAGTTATTATTTTAAATTTAAGCTCACCTTTTTCAACAACTCTTTCTTCAGCTCTTCCGTCATTTAATGACCAAGTAGCCTGAAAATGTTAATCATTACCAGAAAAGACAAAATTTAAACCTTAAACATGTTAATCAATACAAATTTCCACGCCGAACTAAAAATTTTTTTGATAACTCCTACTTAAAAATATGCCGCACTTTTATAAACTTTCCTTCTTTTCGCACAAATTATCCCATGAAAATCATCTAAATTTTGTTCCTTTCAGTATCGTGTCGTTAAAACTGTAAATTTCTCTAAATACACCATTTTGAAAACTATTTATTGACACTAAATGATTGAAACGAAAAAATTTAAGTCGGAACTCCTAAAATCGCACACAACTTACAATAAAAAAACGATGACATTTAACGTCAAGAGGTATGCAAACAAAACCTTAGCATGAAAAGAATCAATGAAAAAACATGGTCGCACAATGGAAAAAATCTTACTGAACCACTAAACTGGGCAATGTATTAAAGCAGAATCATCCTCGTTTTTAGATGTTCTTCACCGGATCGTTCTCCTTCTTGATGGCCCAGGTGAGAAGCGCGTAGAAGCCGGTCCACAACGAGTACGGAACCATCAACAAACCGGCACGGCGATCAATCTGAAGCAGAGTTAATGCATTTATTGCTCTTAACTAACTTTGTAAAAAGTGTAGACGGCTGCGGCGGCTGTGATATGGATGAGCACCGTGTTGTTGGCTATCTAAAGCGTGAAATAAGTCTGGTACGAGAGCTTTAAAGTAGTTTTTTGAGACTTACGCAGGTGAGTCTGCGCTTCTTGATGTAGGGAATTGTAGCCAAAGCGATCACCAAATTTGCACCGTAAAGTCCCAAAGCGAGGCGAGTATCATTGTAGTCAAAGCCTAAAGATGCAAGTTTAGAACTGATATGATTTACCGCACATTAATACTTGTTAATCCTCAACCAATATTGTTTACGTTATGTTTAAAATATTTGGCTTATATGATCGTCTCAAATATTGATTAAACATTAAAACTCGTACCTCCACCATTTTTATAGACGAGATAAGAAGCGTATCCAAGAGGAGACATTGTCAAAAGGTCCATCGTCGCGTAAAATCGCACATCCTTTGGTGCCCAAGATGGTTTTCTGATCACCTGAAAGCATAAAGATTAGAATTTTGAGTACAACTGATATCCTCGTCATTCATTACCGAATCTTTAATAAACCACTCCAACTCACCTCCCACCACTTCATCGTCTCGGCATCACGCATAAACGAAGTAAGGCCGATCGCCGCCGCTCCACCGGGAATCAATGTTGCCAAGATGGCATTGCGAGTATCCTAAACCAAAAATGTTAACTATAAAATACTTGTTAATACATTCCAGAAGCTAATTAATTTTATGGTAAAAAATGTTCCCGTTTTGACCAAAGATCAAGCTTAACACCACTAATAACAAAAATAGCCACCTGTGTCGTCCAGAAAGGCATGTTTCTGTTCACAAAATTGTCCAAATCCGGTTTTGTTGTAGTGACTGAAATTTGAAATTGTTACTTATAAAAGGAACCAAACAAGAAAATAAAAAAAAACATCAGATGTGAAGTAAGTCGTGAAAATCTAGCTAAGCTATATGACGTGATTTGATCGACACCTACAGCCTCGTTTAAAAGAATGAAGCTTGTGTTCCAAAAAGCATCAAGGCTTTGTCGCGTTTTCAAAGGCAAAAGCTTCAATCTACGGTGCACCTCAAGAACCTTCAAATCTCAATGGCAAGACTTAAACACGTGGTTGTGCCATTAAACTACTCAAAACTCTAATAAAACCAAGAAACCGACCAAAACCCGGTAATTTAGGTTGTGGTGGCAGGGCGAGGGTTTCTCCAGGCATCTCGGGTCGCGGAATTTCCGTCTCAAGCACACGCATTGTCCAGAGATCAATCGTCAAGGAAAGAATTTGAAGCTTGTGATCGAGTAGGGTGGGACAAAAAAGAGCTCCTTATGACGGCAGCGTAAACAGCCTATGCTCTCTCTCTCTCAAAGATCTACCAAAACAACGACTAGCCATCGAATTTTGTAAAGGTCAATCGGCCGACACTCACAAAAACAGGACAACAAAAGTGCAGCATACTATGACCGAAAATCGATTCAAAATCTAAAAATCTGCCCAAAATCAGCTACACTTACGATAGGACCGATGCAGGAAAACCAGATCGCTTTCGATTCCACGATCGCGCATAAGAAAAACCGGGGTTGCGTTCAACGAAGTTTTCTCTAAAAATGATGAGGCAATGTAGAGAGGAAAAAATCGACCCAAAAAATTTTTTCGAAACAAACAACAACGACGAGTGAGCAGTGAACATTTGGAGACGGAAAACATTGAAAAAATGGGAGAAGAAAGGAAAAGGGTGGTGAAAGTGGGAAAAAGATGGGCAACAATTTCTCGAGTTTTTTTAAACTGCAATGATGAAAGTATTTTTGGGTAAAAGGAGGGGTCTAGAAAAGCCATAAAAAAGCAAACCCAAATTTTGCACTACAAGTCCTGCCTTTACGCCAGACTCAAAGTGTCAAAAATTTTCAAAAAGATGTTTAGTCCAAAAGCAAAATTCTGAATGTAGTTTGGGTCATGATCTTGGACTTCGAGTACTGTAGAAACCAATCAAAGTCAAAAATAGCTACCTAGGTTAAAAGCGCAAAAAGTTTCAAACTTGTCTAAAGCCGATTTTTTGCAATGGAAGTGAAATGTGCGTCCAGTTGTCCAACGGCCTTCTCTTTCGTTGGATGGATCGATTCATGCATGTCCCCTGGTCCCCAAAGTGACCCATGTGAGTGTCCCTTTCCTTTTGCCGCAATGTCCACTCACGTCCAAACAATCCTTTTGCCCTCCGCTCCTTTAGCAAAAAAAGAAAAGGGAATAAGCTTCGAAATGCTTACATGCAGTAGAAACTCATAGCGAATCGCTTTGTAATCATCAAAATCAACAATTCAAGAACACACTAGGGTATCATTTGCAATTTAACGCATTCACCTTACCAATTCCAATATAAAAGATTTATTAAAAAAACATCAGTAAAACATTGAAAATCTTTTCAACAAGAAACAGAATACCGAAAACAGATTAATGCTGATATTGGACGGGATGGGGATGCGCGAAATTCGACACCGGGTATCTAAAAAAATCTAAAAAATTTTGCAATGTTTAGAACATTTTCCATTACCTTCCTTCCTTTTCATCTTTTTCTCGTTGTTCTTGGGCAAGATGAGCGGTGTTTGAAAGGAAAGCGAGCACTCCCTTGTGGCAACGATTCGCATAATGACCTTTCTCACCACACTAAAATAGTAATTGTAGAGGTCGAACTAGGTTAGCTAGATGACTTTTTAACACCTACTCAACCTAGACTTTGTAATGGTGACTCTAACATTTTAAAATGTGCAAACCTTGTAGCAAGTGACATCGGACAGACTTTTCTTCTCGGGGATCATCGACGGGTGGATAACTCCATGCATTTCTCGGTGGAATCCTTCACCGGCCGCATTGCTTGCCTAAAATTTAGGGATTTAGATTTTTAGGCCTAAATACTCACCTGTGCATTAGAAACACCTGGTAGTCGAGGACAAAATGTCGCCTTATGCCCCTTTTCGTGGCAATTGTGACAAATTATTGAGGCGTTAAAGGTCCGTTTGCTAAACCATTGTTAACAAGTTAGTAAAATCTACACAAACTTGTTTGAGGCCGAATTTTCGAGTGCCGGTAGCGCAAATGAAGGATGGGCAAATTTACATTCTTTTCCTAAATTTAACATGATCAGCCCGTAAATTGATAAAACAAACCTTCTGGGCAGAATCCAACCAAGAAATTCGGGCAAATCACACGACGGCGATGACGATGTTTGCAATAGGGACCTCAAGCGTTTTTTTGCAAAATATTGGAAAGCAATTAAACTACCATGTCTACAAAATCCTCGATCGTACCACGGGCAATCTCTCATTTTGCTTTCAGGATCAATGTGCCGAAATGGGCATTCGCGATTCGAGCAGGCCACTAATTAAAAATAGATAAAAACATATAAATTGCTTACTATATTTTGAAAAGAAGTAGCACTCGGGCATCTTTGTGAGATCGTATTCGTGCAAGAATTCACAGCCATCTCCCTAAACAAAAGTCATTCGTTATACTGTACTTTATAGATAACCTTCTTGCAAAGTCCTCGTAGCCAATGCTTGCAAACGACCTGTTTGTCTAAATTGTAATTGCTTTAAACAAGAAAAAAATGATACTAACCTCCCACGATGTGCCGCAACGAACATTTCGCGCCAAAGGGACAGTGACCATCTTGGTGCCACAAACAGACGCCTTTTCCCGTTTTGTCCATTCCAGCAAACGGCACCTAAATTTTACAAATTAAAATCTTCAGAAGCATTTATCTTTTATCCTGTTTATATTCTATCTTTAATGCCATTAATCCTACAGCAATACCGTCGAAAGTTCATACTTTTAAAAACAATATTTTATATCTAATGGGTCTATTACAGTAAACATAAAAATTTCTCACCTCTTTGAGTCCTCTTTGTTGCAGGAGCAATTCCTCAACGTCAAGAGCTGGAAACGCAATGTCGGCAATCAAATCCTCCATACAAAGGGGTTGATTCGCTTTCGCATTCCATTGGTTCCCCGTCCCTGCACTCGTCGTCGCAATCGCAATCATTATCTGCAAGCATAAAGTTTGTTTTCATGGAAATCGGGTTAAAATTCAGAGAAACAAGGATAGGTGAACAAATTGGCAAATCAGATATATTTTTTAAATAACGTGTTAAAAAGGATATGATGCCCTAATTACGGTAACAACAACTTATTTTAACTGAACATCTTGCTTTGTAAAAAATCTTTTATTTATTTAGCTACAGTAAAGTCTATTTGGCGCATCGGGTTCAAGAAACCATAAGCAACAATAAAATCTTGCTTTTAAATTAAAACCACCTGACAAAAACAGATAATCGCGTGTGCCAAACTAAAAATTTTTGCATTGAACCATATGAAATTCTTTATTATCAGTTTAGAGCAAAAATCCTAGCGTTGAAATTATGCACTTAATGTGAATTCATTCATTAGAAGAGAGTACGAGTATTCACAACAGAAACCTCCTTATCACAGGCACATATCGGAAGGGAAAAGAAAACCCGGTGGTAACAAAGAAAAAGATAAATATTACACAAATGGCAACCAGAAAATAAAACTTTAGCCGTAAAAAAGAAGTCTAGAGACAGATGCGTTCAATTATCTAAAAAGTTGTGTCATCTTTGGCTAGACAATTACGGGCACATTGTGTATGGCTTGGAGATTTAGACGGAAAGAAAGCTCGCGCACAAAATTTATGAGTTACGTGATATAAAACAAGTGATGACTAGAGAAAACAATTGGGTCAATGAGCTGCCTTCTTTGAATGAACAGTCTACGAATGTGAAATGATCAACCAGCTGACGATGAAGTAGAACAAGAATATTGGATACACCACCAGCAATCGACGCTTTTCTGACACGCACGACGAGAGGAAACCCATAGTTGCTGAAACAGTATGATTTAATGTTAATGTGTTGCGTTGCTAAATGTTGCTTCTTGCTCAAAGACTAATCTTTATTTGTAAAAAATGAAAAAAAATCTATTAGTTTTTAGACTTTCCTTAAGAATGACGTTTTTCATGAGCTACCCACCATAAGTCGCCCAACAATATCCAATTGAAGTTACCAACAACCGCACGACAAACCACTAAAGATCATATATTTAGTAATCCAATAAGCCACAAACTTTATGAAAGAACATTGTGCAGAGAAAAGCGGCGCCCGTTGGAGGCAAGAGACAGTATCCGATTACGCACAACGATTGGAAGAACGAACTAAACAAAACTATCAAAGGATAAAACAAAAAAACTCACATTGTACCACCGAGAAGCTTGATATTGATCGTGAGGGCCACGGATCCGAAGAAACTGATGCAGAAAACTTGGGTGAACGCTGGCGCGGCTCCACTTGGACTGTTGTGATGTAAAAGCCTAGAGAAACATTCATAATGGATAATTTACAAATTTAGCTTACAATGACAAAGCGACACAAATGAAGAGCGGTCCCCAAAGGTCCCAATCCCGCAGTAGTTGATCGCGATTCTCGACTCGTGGCAAAAGGACTTGACCAAATTTGGCTCCAATAGTTCGCACGTCTCGTTTCTAAAATTAATTCATGACAAACCAAAAAGAAAGCGTTACAATAGTGTCGATGACGGGTTCATCGAGGGTGTCGAGATCATCGGATGTCTCGAGCGATACTTCTTGTAATCCACGACGAGGGCCTCCATTTGAAAATGAAGCTGGCTAAAATTATTCAAACTTGCTCAATTAAATCAAGCAAAATAAACATGATAAAATCAATAAAACTAACTTTCTGTGCGCCCTCATTCGATCCAATAGCACCGGTCAATTGTGCCCTCTCGCGTCGCGCATTTTCTTGAGCAGCAATCTCTTTTTCGAGCTAAAAATTTCAAATAAAAGTTTTACTTAATGTAACAGTTTTTAATCAACAACTATCGACAGAAACCTCGTTTGCTCTAATTATTTAACAAATGTAAGCTACAAGGTTTAGATGATGTTCTCAATCACATCGCCGAATTTCTTGTCTTAAAATTTTTAAAGAAGTAAGCTCTCCAACCTTTTCAATATCGACAGCAGCACTTCCAAAAGCTGACCCGGGTTGTTGCATGTCGCCGGAACGAGGTGAGTGAATGGCTGGATCAGTATCGATCAACGACATAAAGATGTCTGTAATTTCCACGAGATTTTAACTGGAAGTGAAAAACAACATATCAATGGAAATTTGGAGGCTATTCAAAACAAACGCCAACCGATTTGACGTGGCACTTTTCTGAACAAATCTTCCGAATTGCGTATTTTTAATCTTAAATATTGTGGGGACCGTTTTTACTAGGTCTTCAAGGAAAAAGTATATACATAGCAAAATGTTTCTTTCATACCGAATAAACGAAGGTTAAACTGTAAAAAGTAATCATAAAATGCACCAAACATCGGACAAAACTAGAGATATGTGATAGAACAGCCGAGGAGTCAAAATCTACAATATTATATCACACAAAAACAGGAGATTTTTCGAGGAACAGCAAAGAAAAGAATATCAATTTGTGCATCGGGACTTTTCGGATAGGTAATAGTTAAGCATTTACAGAAATCATCACAAATAAAATAACCGTATCGTCCGACTACAAGTAGAATTTTCCAGGGATCTATTAAGAAATAGTTAAGATACAATGAAGGAACCTTAGTTAAGCTCAGCAAATTACTTTTAAAGAAGAGAATGAGATAAAATGAAAGAGAAAAAGCACATTTCGAGGGTCTATAAACAAAGTGAAATTACAGAGGAAAGATGGTTTACTTATTTGATGCCAAAGTAGACGGTGAGAGCCAGAATGAGCACGAGAATCATGAGGAAGACACACAACATCATTTTCTTCTTACGTGCTTGTTGGTTGTAGTAGACGGCTTGTTGCACATCACGGCCTCCCTGTTCAACCTGAAAATTTATTTGGCTACCAAGCTCAAAATTATCTGCTCAACAAGGACTCGTTTTGTATCCAGAGCATCTTTGGACTTTTGGAGAGAGAATTGGGAATGACAAAATGAGCACTATCAATCAACTTTCCTTGTGCTTTCTTCGTGTTCTCAATTTAAACACAACATCTGATCGGTGCCTCGTTAGTCTTTAGCCAGGGAATTTTTCAACGAAGATTAATCAACGGACAGTCAGCGAGAAATAACAGACTTTTGATGTGTTGTGCAGTGCTAGTCTCATAAATATATATATAAATAAATACATGTATTTGTGCGTGTTCCACATTTGCTTCAATGCTGTCCACCATATCTCCTTGATCATGCACAATTCGAGCCAAATCAGCAAAGATCTAAAAATCGTAATAAAAGCTTTTGATTCTAATCAATTACTTGATTAACGTCGGATATGTCGCGTTCCAGTTGAGCAATTGTCTAGAAAAAGTTTGAATATGTATAAGTAATATAGCTCACAGCTTGCCGATCCTTGATTTCTTGCAAGTTGACTTGTTGGCTTCGTTGCATCTAAAAGAAACTCTAACTCGAGTCATTAAAGAATAAAACCTGAACTTGTCGTTGTGCATCAATGACGTCCCTTTCATAACGACGCATATTTTCTTCCTCAGATAGGGCCAAGTCTCGAATCTGAAACATTCAGTAAATAAAGTTAGTCAAACGGAGAGTAATAGTTGGCTTTATTTCGACCGTTATCTTAGAAAGTCAATTAAAAACTTAATTTAGTCGCAAATTTTTCAATTACACTAAACAAGCATACACTTTTCACATCATCTTTCTCCTTTGAAGCAGCCTTTCTTTGTGCCGCTTGAAGACGATTGAGAACACTAGCGAATTCGTTTGAAAGACGCTCCCGATGCACCCGAAGAGTGCGCTAAATTAAAAGGTTTTCTGAAAAAGGTCGAAAAATGACTCACATCGTTATGACTCCTATCAACGAGTTGTTTCATCAAATGATTCGTGTCCTTGCTCAACTGTTGAAGACTTTGCGCTTTCTAAACCAAATATTTTCCTTTATCAAGCATAAGCTCGTTGTCTTTATCAAGCATAAGCTCCTAAAACCTCGTTGAAGAGCTGTCGTACATGATCACCTTCAGCGGAACGGGCCGTCAATCGGGGAATCCATGTCTCGAGCAGAGAAACTAAGTACGCAAAAATTAAAAAACCAAAGCATGGCAATGTTATTATATCAATGGATGATATTAATAACTAATTAGTACAGCTGAAGCTCTATAAATTGGAGATCAACTATTTCTTGTTAATAATCTACAGTTTGAGTTTATTTTTCATTTTAACTAGGTAGTTAATTTCCGAATACACATTCAATTTAAAGCGCTATACAAATGCAAGATTTGTGTAACCTTATTGTACCAATAAGATTTTAAAAACTACTCACTTTGCTCATTTAGCTGTCGTATATTTTGTTGTATCCCGGCGACGATTCCCGTTGTGTTGCCACCATCCCGCTCAAAGTCCATCCTAAATTGAGCAATTTTAAAAGCTTCAAAGACAGAAAACATTTTAAGAATTTGAAAACAAAAAGACCACCACCTAAAGACTAAACCCGAATTAAACGAGTCTTCCCGGTGAAAAGTGCGATAGTCTCGAGGAGGTGCTGAAGAATTCGAATTCATTGATCAATGAATTTGAAGCGGGCGGGCGAAATAGATACGGGTCAATGGGGAAATAATCAAAAGAGAGGGAAGAGAAATGAAATGATGAGTGGAATGGGCGATGGTGTCATGTAAACAATCGATTCCCCTCTCCAACAAAGCACACCCATATTGATAGCATTTCGTGTCTAATGAATCAATCGCCTTAATAAGAAAAAAATAGCCGATGGCTTTTGGCACACTGTTTCGGCTGATAAGAAAAAAAAAGTGTTATCTCGAAACAAAGGCAAGTGAACACTGGGTTTGATATATGAACAGTCGGATCAATAAGGGCAAATCGTATCCATTTAGGCATCGGATGCATAGATTTGAAGCCATGAGCACTTGACAACTCTCCGAATTGACAAAACCCAAATTGTCGTACTCGACTAAACTAAATGACTACCCAATTTGGCTAAACTAGGTAACCATCAAAAGCAACAAACCCGTTATCATTTAATCAAGTTTTCTCCTCAAAATCAAATGAAAACAAGCAATTAGTGCTGCTGGATATAAATTTCTCAAGAACTTTTCAAAAGTTCAAAAAATTTGTTTAAACCAAATAAATTCTTTTTTTTTAAGCAATGAAAGAGTCAAATTCCCATGTGTTATGAAAGCCAACGCCAAAACGAGCAAGAAAAAGGGTGAAAAAAGTAAAAAGGGTCACACACATGGCCGCGGCGCGAAATTTCGTCGGCGCTGCGGCGGTGTCACAAAAAACGGTCATAGAACTGACTTACCCGCTTGTTTTATCTTCAATATCAACGTAGAATCGAACTGGAACCAAGTGTAATATTACAGGTACCTCGTACCATTTAAAGTCAAACGAATTTGAAAAATACAATTTTTATTCGTTAACTCGTTAACGCTTTAAACAATCAAAATGCGTAAATTGGAAAATTTTACAAACAAAGACAATATCACTCGATTTGAAAAGAAAACAACACCGAGATCATCATTAGGCAACACTTCCGCAAAATACCCGAAAAGGAGTAGGCAACAATACAGAGAGATAAGGTAATAACAAGCGTAAAACGGGAATTTAAGGAAATAAATCGCTAAACATTTTCCTCTTATTGATCCAATTCGTGTTCCAATTCATCGGCCATTTCATCGAGGTCACTGTCTTCATCTTGAACTCCATCACCCGAGCCATCCTAAACAAGTTATGCATAAAAACTACAATACTACTTATTTTGATACAAAATGAACATCTCTCACCTCATCATTGAAATCGTCATTTTTGTTGAACTCTCGATCAGCATATCCGATGTCATCTCTAGATAAAAGTACATTCCAATACGATAATCATATCACCTACCTCTCCTCTTCCTCAATGTCATCAAGTTCTTGCCTCTTTGCATCGTCATCATCGTCTTCTTCTGCATATGGATCCTCGTTCTCTCCCCACCCTCGGTCAAGCTCTTCCCTAAATATTTAAGTTAATTAGCAAACATCTCAAAATCGGAGAAATCATTTCATTATGTCAATTACCTGGTTCGTTTCCGATGTATTCGTGGTTCTGGTTGTGAAGTCGATGGTTGCTCATCGATCGTTTCTTGTGCTTCCACAGTCTCCGGCTCAGTCACATCATTCTTCTGGTCAACCAGTCCAATGTCCAAATCGTCCAAGTTCGTATCATCGTCTTCGTCCTCATTTTCCTCATCGTCATTTTCATCTTCCTTGTTGTCCTCGTCCTCATCCTCATCGCCAAGTTCGTTCGCCACCTACAAGACAAAAACTTCACGAGCCAAATATTTTTTCACCTCTCCAAGCATAGCTTCCATGTCCTTTTTTCCAAAACTGACAACATCATGGACAACTTTCAAAACGGTTCTTCCGCTATAAATTAATGAAAGTTGACTAGAAAACTGATGGCAATCAAACCTTCCTTCTCCTCGACTGGGTAACACCGTGTTAGCCGTCAATTCAAACTGTTTCTCATCGACCTAAATAGAATATTAAAATATTAGCAACAAGTTACACCTTTATCCAACGTTCCACACAAGCGTACAGCCAACCCGGAGTGACAATTGGGATTCCCAATTTCTTAGCTTCATGCACTTTCCTAAATTTGATTTAAACTCATTGATAGCAGAAAATATTACTTTGTGCCCCATTGAACAGCAATGAGATGCGTGGTTTCCGGCGTAATATCTTCAACGATTCGGGCTCCAAATTGCTCACATAGACGATAAACCTCGCTTCGATGTTCCTCTTTGCGTTTTTTCATGTCCAAAGGTACAACACCTTAATAAAAAAATTAAAGTTTGCTTGTAACTATCACCAGAAAGAACAATGGATGTATTTCGGAGAACTTGCGACTTCAAATATCTGATGATCACCTAAAATAAAGGAAATTTTGCTTGTAAAGCCATAAATACCTTTAAATCCTTAATCTCGCCGTTTTTCTCATCAAAATTTCGGTAAAATGCTGCATGCACTTGGGTGAGCACACGTTCCATGTACTCCAGAACATGGTCGTCATCATTCACTAAAAAAATTTGTGTCATCATCAACAATTTTGTGGAGAACAAGGAATTTTTGTACCTGCTAGATCAGCAACCGGTTCTCCTCCATGTCCACTCGCGGCCGCATTAATATCGCCAATTTCTTTGAAATAACGATATGGTTTCACCTAAAGCATTTTATTCTTGGAATTAAAATGTATTTAAACTTGAACAAGCGCCTCCGAGAATTGCCAGACGTCAGCTCGATCATCAATAATTGCAATCATCGATCGAAGGTCATCACGTGGAAATATCGCCTAAACTTGAATGGATACAAAGTTTTTTTCAAAGAAAAAAATTTATTTCCACAAACATATGTAGCTTGCGCGCAAAGCCAACATTATCATTATTATGCTTGTTTATTGCCTCTTTAAATGTCTTTTTTGTTTTAATGATTTCAACCGTTTTTTGTAACAAAAATCAGTTTTTCTAATTTAAGAAGATTTCTAATCATTTGTAATCGAAACGTCGCTAAACTAGTTTTCTTTTCTAGGATGAATACATATGTTTGTAGCGTGTGATATGTGAAAAGTGCGAAGCCGGAGAAACAGGGTCCAGAAGTATGCTTAGTAATTCTACGTTTAAAGCTTCCTTGCTTCATATTTACATTCATAAGACCAAACTTGCATTTTTGCGTTAAAATTTGTATCTAAAATGAGCGAAAATCTCTCGAAATGGGTAATTTGCAATAAAAAATAATTTTTTTCGTTGAAAAAACTCGAAACTCGACCCTAAGATGTTAAATTTCGGCATCCACGCGCAAAATTACCCCTGAAAAATGTATTTTTAAGTTGATTTGATGGGGGGGGGACTATAATTGAGCCAGATTTGCGAATGGCTTAAAATCGCTAGATGTAAGTGATGTAAGTTTCGGCTCATAAAGTCAAGTACTGAAACAAGCTCACCTCTAAATTGGTTGTCTTCACAAAAGGACTTGTCAGCTCATCCCGTGACAAGATTCGATGCCCAAAGTAGCCACCATCCGGATCAATTATCTAAAGTCGGTTTTAAAGTATACTAATCAATCAACTAACGCTAGCAATCTTGTGAGCGTATTGTCGTTGTCCATAGGTGACGATATGAAGTTGGTAGAGCTTGCTGATATTCTCCAAAAATTCCCGGGTGTAGGGGCGAAGTTTCGTGTAATGTATGCCACCGTATAATTGAAAGTCCACAACGTCGGGGTTCTAAGGAGTGATCAAATTGGGCAAAAGTAATAAAAACTACATCTTGCACATCGCTTCCGTGTGGTCGATTCGTCGTGTGGATGACTGTTTGATCAAGGTCGACCAATAAAATGAGGCGTCGACTGCTCAACACTTGTTCCATGTCTTCGGTGCCAATCTCTTGCGCAAGCTAAAACATCTAAAATTAGTACCACATAAAACTTTTACTGTATTCGAAACGATCAGCTCGGGCACATTGTGTATCATAGAGATCGAAGCCGAAGAGCTTTCACGTGTCCCATCCTCGTCTCTGTTTCTAAAAATAAACTCAATTTCAATTTTTTTTCATCTACTCACTTCAGCAAATCTTTTCCACAAGTCGCACATAAGTTTTTGATGACAATCGAGTGATCACAGCTCTTGATTGTCGCAAGAGTCATTCCTGGGGTCAGGGCGAATCCCTTCCGAATATTAGACTAAATATCAAAAATTAACAGTTTTAAATCAAACAAACTCACGATAAATTGCACGACTCCTTCAATCGGCGCATTCACTTTCCCGATCGACTTGTCCGGTCGCTCAAACTCGAGAATCGTCTAAATTGAAGATTTATTTATTAAACCTCGATGCAGTAAATACAATTGCTTAAGCTAAAAATACAGCTTTCCCTGGCCGTGCAGGCTCATAACTTTGTCTAACTCTAACATTTTTGTGAACTCGTTGCAGTTAAAAGTTTAAACAGTTTAAAAGGCACTTCAGATTTTCGAATGCAACAAAATAGAGCTTAATTTATAGAGCAAAATAAACCCTCAAAGCTTTGACTATTTGCCATTCGACGCAAGTTTACTAACTTCTGCGCATACAACGATAAAATCCTCACCTTGTCCGAGTGGATGTAGCTCGATTGGGCAAGCTTTTTCGAGGTGATCACACACCCGGGGACCTCCTCTTCCGAAAAGCGCACATCCATCGAACGTATCTAAAATAATAGACGAGTAAACAGAAATGAAAAATGTGTAAAACAAAAAGAATTGACTATAAAATGCTGACTTTCTAAGACGCAAAGCACATAAAATCAAAAATGCTACAAGTTAGATCCATAAAAATCATAAATAGGGAAGCTTTTCAAAGTAAAATTCTCTATAGTCTAAAAGTATAGTCTAGCCAAATTCCCTAAATTGGATGTAGGATTAGGGTAGTTTCGATGCCTTTTAGAAAACAGATTAATCAAGCGGCACAGCCTATTTTGCACTAACCTCGTCTCGCTGAACCAGATTTCTGTGACCATTTCAACTTATATAATTGCAAATTTTGAGCAAATTTTCAATATCAGTTACGAGCTTTTCGTAGAAACTCCGACTTTTCTGTATTTTGTGACAAAAATCATTCTAGATATCTATTTATTGAAGCAAACTTTCAAAATTTGAGAACAGGTTGGGAAAATTATTTTTAATAAGAAACGATTTATTTTTTTGAAATAAGACACAAAATTACCGTATACTAAAGACAACAAAACATCTTTAAAAACAAAATAAAACCCGAATCTTATGGGGGAAACTTTTATAAACCAATATCACCAGAAATTGAGAGAGAAAACAGTCCTACTATCCCGAAATCGAAAAAGCCTAGATAACTAAAGTACTGTAGGTTAGGAGTAGACTATAGTATTCCTAATCTACAGTGCCCTTGAGCTGTAGGTTCAAGAGTATTATAGGCTTTCCTTACCACTTGGCAGTTTTATTTTCCTACAGTAATTAGGAGCCAAAGTTACGATAGTTTGTGGAAAGGGGGCACGCTTTAGGGAAACGGTTTAGATAGGGAACATTCTAAAGCAAGGATACAATACAAGTGTACAGATTATTTAGCTTTATAGCTACCGTATACTAGCAAAAATATATTAGATTTCAAAAACCAGCTGAATCAAGCTGAAACAAGTACCCATTTAATATGATAAAGAGAAACAACAATCAACGAGAAAAAGGATATAAATGATAAATTTTCATTTACATTTCTTTTTATCCAGATCCCAGGTGATTTGGATACGCATTCCGGCGGATTTTCCCGATTGAGAGTGGTCGAAAATCTGAATTTGATTGTAAAGTACTGTCGAAATACCGGAGTACTGAACTAGAGTGTAACTAGAGTGTATCCTCTCAGCTAATTCGTTTTCTAAAAGACACAATTTGAGACAAACTACCGTAATCAACCAGTTTTTATTTGAATCCAATTTTGGTCAAATTCATGAGGGATCACAAGGCTCAGTAAATGATACAAAAGTTTCGGCTGATCCAATGAAAACTGGCAGACAGTTTGACAGACAATCTTAAGAAAACGCTTGAAGATGTTCACCTCTTCTTCCGAATCTTTCGACATCCGATCCGATCCACTTTTTGTCGAAACCACCTTCTTCGGCTCTTCTGTAAACATTTCAGCGTTTGAATCAACTATTTTCCTTACCACTTGGCAGTTTTATTTTCCCCGTTTTCTCTTTTCGAGAATTTTCCGCATCGTTTGGTCCTGCTTCGTCTAGAAATTGAGTTGAATTGAGAAATTTTTGCAGAACAAGTTCGATTTCATTATGACTTTCAGACTCAATTTATGACTTCAGATTCTAACAAGGGAAATGCATCAAGTTAAGGTGGCCTTTTAACTCCAGCTTATAGAGTCGATCATGGGGATCTCAAATCCGTTTTTAGTTTTTGTAGAACACTTCGCAAACGCGAGATATTTGGCATAGAAAATCACGTTGAAGTTCGAGCTCTTTTGGAGGCTCCACACGTCCCTTATAAATTGCTTCAATGGTCTAGTGGATGGTCTGCTAGACTACGGAACCTACTACACTTTTGCCCCCAAGTTCGAGTCCCACTCTCGTCAAACTTTTTTACTTTTTAAAAAACTGTTCCCTTACATTTCTGCACTAAATTATTGACTCGAGTTTTATACACCGCTTTCTGTAATTTCAACAAGCAATTTACAAAAGCTGGAACCTTCCAAAGTATCAGAATCAGTAGACAAGTATCGAAAAATTTAACATTAAGATGGAATCAAAAGGTCAGCTTGACTCGGTGCCTTTCCCCTGCAAGAATATGAATCTGAATCTTCTAGTTAGCTAGATCAAAGAAATACCTTTGCTCTTGTCAGTTTTGTAAGCACCTTCACGCGATTTCCGGAACAAATCCCGTTGTAATTTCTGAGCAATCAAGTCCATCTCGTTCATCACCTAAAAACGCTAACGTGTTTGCTTTCATTTGGAATTACTTCAAATGCTCAGAGAAAGTTTTCCAGACAAGGACAAGTCTGGAGTGGCATCGCCGCCTATAGTAGAATGTTACGATACATAGCTTTTACGTAGGATACATTATGCTACAGTAGGCCATTAAGAACTACAGTATTCTTAAGCAATCCAATTTGTTCAAAAACCCACTTTTCTCGATCCTTTCGCATCCCGTTTCTCACTCGTTTTCTCGATTTTCTTCTCCTGATTCGTCTTTTCTTTCGTCTTTTCTTCCTTTTCCTTTTCCTTCTCCTTCTCCTTTCCCTTCTCCTTCTCCTTATCCTTCTCCTTTTCCTTTTCCTTCTCCTTCTCCCTTTCCTTCTCCTTTTCTTTTTCCTTTTCCTTTTCTTTTTCTTTTTCCTTTTCCCTCTTCAATCCTCGATCATCCGAATTTCGATTGTTTTCCTTTATTTCCCTTTTTGATTTCTCATCTTTATCTTTCGGTCGTCTTTCCGCAGATCGATCTCTTTCCCGTCTCGAGGTAGTATTTGACTTGATGGAACTAAATCTTCTTTTGAAACACTAGGCTTTCCAGAAAGTCTTTTCGTTCCTTTTCGTACTTCCGTTTAAAATCAACAAATGCATCAATTGAAATACGGTTTGTTTTCTTAGCAGGGCCAATTATTTTTCTGCAAAATGACATTAAAATGCGTTTAAAATGTCTTATGTCTGGATTTTTTTGGGACCGTGAAGTCGGGTGGTCAAAAAAGTCAAAAGAACAGTACTCGATGATCCGGTTTAGACACTTTTGGCTAGGGAAACCTATCTTGGTGTCAATAGGTAAAAGATAGAACACAAAAAGTTTGGGATAAAGCCAAATTTTCAGAGAAATTCATTCAGCCAATTCAGCCAAATTAATTTCTTCGTAGAGGTTTTTATAGATTTTTTCTAAAAAACACGTGTTTTCACTCTCGAATTTGCTTGAAAGTAAACCCAAATCGACTTAAAAAGATGGGAAATTGAAGAACAATCACTTTTTATTTAGAGAGAACCATAGATTAATTGGTGAATATTTGTTATTTTTTTAACGAAAGTATGAAAAGGAACGAAAAGACTTTCTGGACAGCTAAATAACAATTTGCTATGCCAAATTTTTGACTGGCGCATTTTATTGAAAAGTATTTTTGGATAGAAAAACAAGTAGTAAAACTTTGGCTACCGTACAGTAATCTATTACAAAAGCTCACTTTTTGTGCGACGAATCGAATCTCTCTTTCTCTTTTCCACTCGATTTCCGATGTGAGATTTCCTTAGCCATCGAGCGCTTTTTCTTTTCATCCGACTCATCATCAGACGAGAGATCACGCTTGCTAAAATGGTTTTGCTTTTAAACTTCAATTCAACATGAAATCAATCAATTTATCCAAGCTAAACCCACCGATCTTTCCTATGTTTCTTCTCCTTTTTGTGTTTCTTCTTCTTCGATTTCCTCTTCTTTTGCTCATCCTCACTTTCAGCTGTCTCCATTTTTTCCTTTTCCTCTTCATTCATTTCCAATCCGGTGATATTGTCATCGATGATCTCCTCAGGATGAATCGCTTCTTCGACCACTGGCTGAAGTATTAAACTACAGTAAGCTAAGCAGTTGATACAGATGTAACTAGATTAACCTTAGAGACAGGTAATAAAGTAAAGTAAGGAATGGCAAAGAAAGATTTCCGAAGAGGGGATTTTGCCTCGACCATTTTGCTTTCCGGGCAGATGCTTTAACCACTGAGCTTTATCCGGTATCTTCTTGCCAGAGCAGAAAGAGAAAATACAAGAGGGGAGAGGAAGGAAGAAAGAGAAGGAATCCTATGGCAAAGATCTTAAGTATTGAGCTCTAGCTATTGTAACCGGTAGGGCTCTGTTTGAGAAGCTAAGCTAAGTCATGCTTTAGTAAGATGGTACAATACTCTTCACGATTACAGTGATACTGTAACGTCAACTAGTTGTGCTCAAGTAGTCGAGTGACTAAGATTTATCCAAATAACCTACTTTCCATTTCTTCGAAGCCATCTCTTTCTGTTCGTCCTCGATTTTCGGCTGTACCAGCTCATGTCGACTTCTTTCCTCTTTCTTCACCTCATCTTCTTTCATCTCATTCACCTCTTCCTCAGCTTGGCGCAACTGGAAGATTACAGTATTTTGAATAAAAGGATACTTTTTAGGAAATGGCTTAAAGCATCAACTTGCCTGTTGTGCCTCTTCGACTTCTTTATCAATAGCTGCTTCATCATCACTTTCCTCTTTGTAACTCGTTTTTCTCGATTTCTCTTCTTTCACTGCTTTCTTCTCCCTTTCACGATCCCTGTAAATGAATTGGCAATTTTAAACTACTACTAATAAACACCTAAACGGTACACTAAATTCGATGGCCACATAAGACTTTTACTACGAGACGTCTAGTGCTGAAGATGAGGCCTAAATTGGCCTGGCCTCTACACTGACAAACACTCAAATCATCACATAGTCTATTCAAATTCACTACAAAAGGGTTTTTGGGTAACTTTGTCAAAATCTTAACCTGGTCGAATAATTCAAAAAGGTGTAAACGAGAACAACAAAAAGGCAAAACATTAAGCTATACAGTACTTTAAAGCCCTGGTGTTACTTGGGCCACCAAAAGCTCTTGGACTTGGCCTGGTCAGGACTCCTTAACAGTACCCTTAACATTCAGATACATTTACCTACAACACGATACAGTTCCTTTAACGCCCCAATACAGTACCTTTAAGTTACAGTAAACTGTTAAAATACTTTGCTTATATTAGGATACTGTAGTAGGCTACGCGCAATACATTCAAGTTTCTTTTTAAAAAGAAACATTTAATTCTTTATTACAGCCTCAATTTAGAAAAATTTAGCACTTGGAAATAGTCAAGAAATAAAACGGATAGCAGAGATGGCTGACTAGAGCTATTTGATCAGTGACAAGAAAATGTTAGATATAGAGGGTGTCCCAAAAAAAAATCCACTTCGGGTCAAATTTTTAAAATATTTCTGGTGACTCAAGGTACAGTGCTCAAATGATTTTTTAGGGTCAAGAAATTTTGATGTTTTTTCACGGTTTCTACCATATCGTGACCCTCTATGCAAAAAATTTCTGAGCCACCATGGTCACCATCACCAAATGGGCCACCACCATGAGACTTTTGCCATAAAATTAAAACTTTGTACTGGGATCGTAGTGTCATATTAGAGTTAATATATGAACCAAGATTTTTAGCCAAACACTTTATCCATCTACATTATATGACAATCTGTCATGTATAAGAGATTTTAGAGACAACTCGCCACTTTTTAAAGAAGGGTCACATTTTCCCAAGGAAACGCTGATCAATAAAGTGTATGGTTTAAATTTGTAGTTATTCTAATAGTGTTTATTATGCACCACGATGTTAGTACAAAGTTTTAATTTCATGGCAAAAGTCTCATGGTGATGGCCCATATGGTGGTGGTAACCATAGTGGCTCAGAAATTTCTTGCATAGAAGATGGTAAAAATGGATTTGGTAAAAATCGTGAAAAAACACCAAATTTCCCGACCCTAAAAAAATCATTTTCGCGCCATACCTACTACCTTGAGCCACCGGAAATATTTTTCAAATTTGACCCGAAGTGGATTTTTTTTTTGGGATACCCGAAAAAACGAATAGACAGGGTATAGTTTAGAAAATTAGCTTGACAATAAGACAATAGACAAGATACAGCGAAGACAACTTTACAAATCACAACAATACAGGACACGAACAGATAAAATTATTAGTAGACAAAATATCGATACACTCGGACGAACCTCTCAGCTCTATCCGATCGATTGTCGGGCCGTTTCCCTCTGCGATCATCGATTCTCTTGTTCGTCGTGACCGTGACTCGAGTCCTTTTTTCCCGTGAGGGAGATCGTCTCCTTGAATGGTAGTCATCATCTCGACGCCTTTTTGGTGGATCGTGCTTGAATCGGCGACGATCCTCCCAGGACTCAATAGATGAACGCGAGCTTTCCGATGAGCTGGATCTAAAGTTGGTTTAGTTATTTGGTTACTTTATTGGTTGATTATTGGCTTGGTTATTACTTTGTTGCCGTGACCAGCTTCGCTGGTCATCGCGGGTGCGTTTCTCGTATGCTAATTGCTAGCTAAAAGCAGTCAGAAGCGCGCTTATCTACGACCCGCACGACTCGGGTTTGACCGATCGTTTCAGTTCAGATACGACGAACCATTCGAAAAAACGGTGCAGGACAGTTTAGAAAGGTGAGCAATCAGTGTTATCACACTATTGTAATTTGGGTACTATCCGGCTGGCGGACGGTTGTGTCGCCGTGACGAAAAAGCCTGTACAGACAGAAGGACGGACGAACGAACCGACAGACAGACATTGCTCTTTTATATATCGTAAATTGATGAAGATATAGGCACTAGGTGAGTAGGTGAGTAATGTGCTACGCCCTACGGTAAGCATTACTGTACTCGTCTCACGGTACTGGCTTATGGTAGCATGAGTGCGAGCTTTCGCCCAACTAGTTACCGTGCGCAGTTTCAGTAGCTGCGAATAGCCTATTAGCGTCTTATTACAGTAATACTGTGCTTATTGTTTATCCAATCCCATTCTCTCACCTCCTCCTCTCCTTTCTTCGTTTCCTTTCTCCCTCTCTCGCTCTCGTTCTCCTTTCCTGATCTTTCCGAGCCAAGAATTGATTCCACTGATCAAGGTTCTGAACTTATTTGATAAAATTTCGATAACCTTTAATAACTCACATTTTGACCAGGCACCGGCCCACCAGGAACAGAGAAAGCAGCTGTTTGAAGATTCCTAAATTTTAAGGTAAATTCTAGACTGGACAAGGTTTTCTTACATTCCATAGCTGTTTGCAGTTCCGATCACCGTCCTTTGCACCAATTCAACGGCGCTCAGCCCGGAGGGGAGAGACTGAAATATCGTGTTTAGTGGGTGAAGTTTGGATTGAGATCAAGCTAGAGTCAGCACTAGAGTGTGTTCCGCGCAATCAATTAATTAATCAATTAAAGTTGAACAATCAAATTTGAATCGATTAATGCGTTTTTTTAAAACACGCCCTCGTATTCGCCAGCTATTCCGCTAAGTTAAATTAGGGTAAAAACCGTGGCAAAATTTTACGGTTATTTTTTATATTCTCTAAATTTTATCTTATTTTGTTCTCTATTTTTTCATTTGCATTGGAAAATAATGAAAAATCGGCTTTTTTTAACCATTTTTCAACCAGTTTGCTCGAAGCGCTGGTTAATCCTAAAAATATGTGTAATTTCTCAAAAAAAATCACACATCCTCTCTACTGTAATTTTATACCTAAGCGCGCAGAAACAAACGTACTGGTGTCGCGATATGAGCGTTTGTTTGAGAGTAAACTTAGGCTACACGATGCTCCTATAGGGGAGCTTCTATTAGAGTATTTACGGTAATCTTGGATAGCTACTGTCACTAGTCAAACCAAAAGTCGAACTCACCGCTGAAACGACGGTCGGTGGTGGGACGTTCATCGCGGGCATGCTCACTGGGACACCTGGTGGGGCAAGCGGCTGAAATATGGTTTTGAACAAGATACTCCAATAGCCAATCTTCTTAAGAATTAGAAGGCCTACCTGTGAGAATTGGGTTGGGAAGGGCGGGCGAACTGATGTGTCGACACCGGGTGGAAGAAGAGAATTTGGGACTGGCGTTGAGAGGGACGGCTGATGAGAAGTCGCCGGTTGGGGTGCAAGCTGAGGGGGTACGATCTGCAAAGAGAGTTCACTTAGAATTGTATCGCTAAAATTAGATCTACCCACGACTTAGCTGAATTTTAGTTAGTCGCCTTTCAAGACTCACCGTCGCTTGGTGTGCAAGTGGAGGTTGCATTTGGGCATATCCGATCTGATTGACGAGCATCGGCTGGATGGGTTGAGCTGAATCTTTTAATTGTTTCACCGATAGTCGAAAGCCAAGCCCGAACTCGATCCAAGTCTTGGATGGTCCAGGTTTCAAAACCCGATCCAGATCCTGTGCATCAGGCCCGTAGCCAGGATTTAGGTGTTTTTGGGAGAATCGCTAGAGCTTCGTTCAGAAGCGCCCAATCAATTTACATCCATAGAAGAAAATTTAGCAAAAACTTCAGGCTACATCATGGCTACAATGAAATTTTCCAAAATCCTAGCTACGGGTCTGATAGCTCAATTTAATCCTCACCTAGACTCGTTTGTGGCCCGGCTGTCGGTGCGACCATTGCAGAAGTGGCTGGGGTGTTCAAATCGCGGATGGCCTAAAAAAGGGTACTGTAGAAATTGAATTGAAAACAGTGCATTTCATCAAACATACCGGTTGAATAGAAGGCGCTGATGGTCCTAGCCCGATCCTCACGCGTTGCACACCCACTGGCGCTTCATTCTCGATATTTGGCGAAGAGGTGACGCTGTCGGGATGGGTTGAAGCCGAGGAAATCCATTCGCGGATCGCGTCTCGAATCGCGCCATTCGGGATCAAATTGCTGTCAAGGGAGAGCTGAAAGTCGAAAGTACTGGGCCCGTTTTCACAAAAAAAAATACCAAATTAGCATCTAGCAAAGTTCAATTTTTAACTCCAGACTTATAATTTCACCCTATCACTTTTTTAGAAAGCTTTTTCTGAGTATTTTGAGCCTAAATATGTTTAGGGTTTAATAAAAAGACATGCAGACATAGGCCTACGAAAAAAAAACGATTTAGTAAAATTTTGCAAGATACCCCATTGACTGTTTAGCAAAGTTTGACTGAATTTTGCTAAATTTAGCTGATTGGCAATGTTTGATAAAAAATTTTCTAATTCCGTATGAGTCTACGGTAGCTTCTTCTAAGCGCACTTTTTAGAAAACAAGGGCGGATGAATGCTGTACTGTAGCGATTCTATTTGACGACCAAATTTGGTGTCAAATAGAAACTGGCGTTTTCGTCTCCCCAAAACTCACCCCAGTTTTCCCACACTTCGGGCATTGTCTCTCCTCGCTTTCGATCAATTCATTCGATATGCATTCATCACAAAACGTCACACTGCAACACGTAGTAATCATCGCATTTTTGAGGAGCTCTTTGCATATCGGACAAGTCAATTGCACAGGCACCAAGCGATCGCTGGGAGAGGCCGAGCCTTGGACGCCTTGAGACTGAAAAATTACATTATTATATCTAGGTTTCCAGATAATAAACCTAAAGTTTTATCATGCTACGGTACAGCCAGGGTAGCTACAGTATGCCTGATATCTTTAGAAAGCCAGTCGAACAATGGCCAGCATACTCTAGGCTATAAGTCTGATAAGAACCCTATAAAACTTGTTCAATCGAACCTTCAATTGTCGAGCCAAGTGGTGCATTTTGGGGACGACGTATCTTCCGGATGAATGCAGCAATGCGTGCGGATCATCAGCTGTCGTCACGATCAATTCATCCATCGTCATCCCGGTCGCTTTCTTTGTGTTCGCCTAAAGTTGCCCATTATGGTTCCCCAGAGAGCCCCCATTAAAATGGTAATCGATATTTCGAGTGCAAAATTGGAAATATTGGGGATACGGTAAGGGTTACGGTAATTGGATCCTATTTGGCACTAACTCATATCGTATACCAAGTTGACAGTAATTTCCACTAAAGATACATAGATAAAGATATAGAGTTAGTGTCAAATAGAAAGCCGCGTCTTTCTCAAAAGTCACCGTATCCATTTCCTATTTTGCACCAAATTTCTCGTTCCATCTAGACAAACTCACCATTTGCGCATAAAGCTTATAAATGTAAATGTGTTTCTAAATGTTCACTTAAACGATCGGCTGAGTGATATTCATTTATCTTTTCGATACCGTATCCTTGGAATGTACAATGTACAGAGAATCATATGCAAATAGGCAGGCTTTGTACAAAAATATAAAATGAGAGATCATCATCGAACAACAAACACAAATAAGTGAAAAGAAGGAGTAAAAGGTACTGTAACGTCACTTATCTCAATACTAGAGTGCGCTTTTTCTAAAAGGTGAACTATTTGGGAAAAGCTACCGTAATCTTTTTCAAGATGGATCACGGTAGCTTCCCACAAATTATCCACCTTTTAGAAAACGCAATTACCTCTTGCTCAACTAAATAAGTTCAGCTCTTTGAAACTCGGATGTACTGTAACTGGTTCATCAAATAAAAATCAAGTTCGACCGTAAGAAGATAAGAAACTTTACAGTATTTTTTAAGAAATTTCACACGATTTTTGAGTCTAAGAATTGTTCCTGCAAAAAGTTTACCGTTTAACGGTAAACTTTTCAAAAGACGGAGCATTGTGAAAGAAGACAAACCATCGGGCAATTCTGATACCAATGACCCGTTTGATTGCATCGATTGCACACATAGGTGGGAGGTGGTGGACCGGACATGATCGTGTTTCGGACACGTTTCACGTAGCTAAAATGAAGCTTTTAGGTTTTAGTGGGCTAAATAGTACTTAATAAAAACCTACAGCGTGGCACAGGATTATGGCGACACCTTTTTTAGAAAAGTTGCTGGCAAACGCCTGACTTATTGCCAAAGTTCCAAGTGTTATGTAGAAAAATAAAGCTATTTATCTTGGCATCATTTATCTACAAAGAATTTTCCGATTAGAATCATACAACTCATTTTACAAGCTCCCGAATGAGCCCAAGTCCGCTCTCCGGTCTTGAGCTGAGCTCTCCGGCGATCTGCCATTTTTGGCACTTTTTGACACACCATATTTTTATCTAAGATCGCCGGAGAAAGGCCGACTTGAGCTCATTCGAGAGCTTGTAAAATTTCCTTGAATCAAACTTGTGGTATTTTACTTTCAAAGTACCAGTCAACAAAAATATAACGCTATTGAAGCTTATACAACAAGATCTTCTTGTCAAATGGATATTCGAAAAAGCTCAAGTTTCCCTGTTTTGCGGAGTTTCCAAAACAACCCAGAAACCAACCCTAATTTTGGCCATGAAACTTTGACAAGAGTTTGCTGTTAATCTTATTACGATTAAATGATATGAACTCTTATTTTTTACGGAATAAATATCGAGAAAAATTTTAAACAATTTTTTTATTAAGAAAAGTGCCAGAAATGGCAGATCGCCGGAGAAAGGCCGACTTGAGCTCATTCGAGAGCTTGTAAAATGAGTTGTATAATTCCAATCGGCAAGCTCTTAGTAGATAAATGATGCCAAGATAAAGGGCTTTATATTTATAACACTTGGCAATTTGGTAATAAGTCAGGCGTTTGTCAGCAAATTTTTCTAAAAAAGGTGTCGCCATAATCCTGCGCCACCCTATCTTTTCTGTGCCAACTCACTTTGATTGATCATATTTTGACGTTGATACACTCATCATGTGTGCTTGCCTTTCTTCTTCGCTCATCTTCTCGAGGGCAGCCTTAAAAAATGAATTTGTAAAGATTCAGAAAGATTATTGCTTATCAAATTTTACCCACCGGATCCAAATGCCCAATCACGTCCGGATTTATCATCAAATCCCCCGAGGTCGACGGACCATTTTTGAGAATCAGGCCACCGTTTCCCTTCCTGCAAAAAAACGATTTATTATAAAACTTGGTATTTACTTTGTCACTACTGTACAAGTCTATTTCATTAAATTTTTGCAAACCCACGGTATTTTTGGTGCTTTCTCGGCTCCTTCTTTCGGTATCCTTTGCACGATGATCGTCGCATTTCTCGGCACCGGCTCGTCGTTCAAATAGCTGCGACGTGTTTGCGCATTCTGGAATCAAAATGGATTTATTTGCAAATTTCCAGATCAAGTCAAGCCAAAGCCAAGGTTTTAGGCTAAATTCAATAGTAATGTCGAAATTTAAGCCCAAGGAAAAATGAAAGCCATTGTTTTTGACTTGGCTAACCATGGCTTTTGGTGACTCCGGGATCTTTAGACTTATTCTTCAGTTAGAGCCTGGCTTTTAGCTGGGTCAGTCAGGTCAGAGCAGCAACGTCAGGCTAGACTAGACTGGACTCCTCTGACTTAATACTAGATTACAAGATATCTTACATTGGAAAGCTATCTGACAGAATTATAAACCAAAACCCACTGTTAAAACCAAATCGAAGGATTCGACTCGGATATTCTCGTTGTTGTAGATCTCCCGTTTCAGCTCGCTGCACAAAATGTGTAAACCATCGAAGCGAACCTGGAAATTTTAAGGTGGACTTGTATTGTGAGTGCCTCGGTTACTGTGCTACATAAAAGTGCTTGCTAATGTCATTTTTAAGATATTCCGTTAAAAACCAACCGTTTTCAGCTCAACGGTCGCTCGAAACTTATAGTGAATCGAAGACATCACTTGGGATATCTGAAAATTGATATGTATTTTCGAATTTTAGGTTAAAAACAACATGTTATATGAAAATGACTCAAAAGTGTCAAGATTTTTTTTGGCAAGAATCAGCCATTTCAATGTAAAATATTCTTAAGTAACGAAAACTGAAATTTTTTCGGTTCTGGGCGTAAATAGAAAGCATTTGATCGATACGAAAAGGAAAAATTTTGGGAGGAGAGAAAAGAGAAGCAAAACGAAGCGCGATATAGAGAGGACAAGAAACAGGAAAGGGAAGGCGGGAAATGAATGACAATTCGTTTCCTAAAACGTGTTCCTTTCCTTCAAACTACCGTAACCTTGTCCCTTTTAGTTTTTATCTAATCTATCCTCTTTTATCTGATTCTATGTGGGTTCACAAAGAATAAAGAGAAAAAAGTAGAGATTCTTTAAAAACTAAAAGTGACAAGATTACGATAGTTTGACAAAAACAGGGTAACGTTTTAGAAAAAAGCAGGCGATGACAAAGCTAAATCTAAAAATAGAATACTTGTTTATAACTGCTTATCTTCGTTTCCTTTTAGAAAAATGCAATTATCTTCCGTGCAGATGTTTATTCATTTCCTATTGTAAACGCGCTGTTGGTGATCAAAAAGTGTGTTAATTGCCTCGAAATTGCTTGGAAATTTATAAAAGGGCATCTTTTAATTATGAATTATAATAAAACGAAGAGACTTTCGGGGTTACTGTAGTATAAAGGTGGACACTGCAGCGCGGGTGCAAAGGGTAGCTGTGGTCACTAAAGAATACTGTACTTTGGTCACCAAAGGTTACTGTAATATAAATACAAAAGAGTAATAGTTTACCCTAATCATTATAGTCAAGGAAAAAATATAACCATTTATACAATCATCATTTACATTTATGCAGAGAAAGGGAAAAAACAACTACAACCCGAATCGTTAACAAATAAAGCAAAATGAGAAAAACATTTCATGTACAAAACAAAAAACTACAATCCTAACTAGTAAGCCGTGTTAGACTCTTGAAATTCGAATAATTCTTAACAAAGTCACGTAAATAGTCGAGAAATGTCGGCAACAATCGTTTATTTGATGACGCAACGCGGAGAGCGGCCACGATTTCGTCCGCTTTCGACAATTTGATCAACGTCAAGAAGCACAAATCGATCAATCTGAAGGTTTTCTTAAAATCGGATTCAGAAAAAGCGCTTACTTTGAGTTTTCCGACAAATACAAGGCGGCTTGTAGAAAGACGGGTAGGGTTGAGCCATCGAGAAGGCTAAATAATACACTAATCAAAATTCTAATTTTGTTCTATCTACATCATTCATTTGCTTATCGAATCTATTCTTGTTTTGAAAATATAATCAATACAAACACTACGATATTTTACCCTTAAACTAGTCATATTCATTTTAAAATGGCCTAGATATAGGGTATCGTTCTCTAGTGACAAAAATCCCTAGAAAACCCACCGACGAGCCGGGCCATGGGGTAAACACAAGTATTTCATGATGGAAGGGCTCAGATAACGATCGGACAACTAAAATTGATAAATTAGCAGATTTCTTAGCTTCAGCTCAGTTTTAAGACTGTTTTAGGCCTTTCGAAGGCTTTCAAGCTTTGCTAAACCTACTAAACTCTTGGTGATTGGTCTACTCTTTTGAACTTGCAGGCTGCCTGCCAGTTGCTGAAATCATTCTAAATGTAAACCTGAATCAAAGATGCGCAAATTTCCGCCGACGAGACATTCGCACAAACACTATTCCGACATCCAGAAAGCAGATGAAGAAAGATGACGAAAACTTCTCGTGAGCATCCCTCTAAAAAATGGCGACTGAGATTTTATCATCAAAACAAACCCTTTTCCTCGGAAAATGTCAGCTCCCGAACACCGGTTACTTTTTCGATCAAATCCGTCGAGAACATACCCTAAAACAGAAAATAAATATAGATAAAGTTCAAATTCACCATGAAGTATTCACTGTTTTCACACAGATTTTCAAGTCGAACTTTCGCGATGAGTTTTCCATTTGGTTCAACGAAACCGATGTAATTCTCTTCATCTTGGTCCTCTCCATCCTTTCCATTTTTTATCTGACACTCGACATTCTCGGGTGGCTCCCATTTGGCATCAATCTAAAGGTGGTAAATAGAACAGAAGATCATTTCTTTTCTGTAAAACATACTTATTATTAGACTGCTTAAGCGTGAGTTCGCATTATCAAAACCTACTTCAAAGACATCCCTGAATACTGTAGATGGAATGAGTACTGAAAGGGTGGCGATCAGTTGCCAGATAATTGGTGGTCCATCCAAATACGATGGTCCTCCAGCGTCAAAGTCTAAAAATGCCAATAGATTTCGACAGACAGACAAAAAAAACACCTTCCACAGCAAGAATTCCTTCTAGCATTTGAAGCAAAGGCTCGATGTTTGGAGTAGAATTGTAGATATTCTTCCTAAAACTTGCTCAAAATTTTAAAGACGCATTTTCGATTTACCTAACGAAAAGTACGGTGGCCGTTTTTGAAGAAACCTCCAACTCCTTTGTGTCATTGGATAGCCGAGAAAGCGCTTCACGCCCAAATTCACTATCAACGTGTCGAGCGAACTGAAATTTTGATAATTGAATATGTTCTCTCAAAAGTAGCGTACTTCTCGCAAAACTTCCCGGCCAATCTCGTTCGTTCGTTCACACTTGAAACAGCGACGAGCCCGTCTAAATGAAGAATTTGGTGACTTTAGTTCAAAATTAAAGATTGATAGTCTGGCTATGGTAGGTTAGACTGTAGATAAGGCTTAAAGTATTCTATGCGCCTCAAAATCCCAATATTCCCACCGTGTCACTCTGCAAGGCGTAAAGCAAAACGCGTACATCACCCTCACGTGGAAATGCATCGCCAACAATTGCCCGACTTTTAAACGATTACTTGCAATGCGCTAAATTTGATCAAATGATCAAATGATTAGCAAGATCAACATACCTTCAACGTTTTACCCATTCTAGCGTAATTATTTGGAGCATGTCGTATGTAATCGATCAAACAGATCTAAAAATGAATTTAAAACAAATCAGAACTGGTTCAAGAATTTACCACAAGATCCTCGCGAACCAAAAACGGGATATTTCCATCATCTTGCGACTGCCAACTCCACAACGAAAGCTCGCCCTCGATCAACTAAACTTTTGATAAGATCATGTTAAAAATTTTGCTACCTGTTTCTGTAAAGTGTCCTCATCCAGTTTATCTTGTTTCGCACTGTCACCAAATTGTTTCAAAGCTCCCTCATAATCCGATGAACAATGCAGTTCTTCCAAATTAGGAAATGAGTAACTAAACGAGTAATCGTAGATTGCTATCTCTTTCGAAACCAGAAATGATTGTTTAAGTACGACTTTTTCGTTACTAAAATGGTATACCTTCTTCCCGGCGAGTGAAAACTGCAACTATAAGGCGAAAGTGATCCGGACGAAGCCGGTGAAGAGTACGGTGAGTAGGGTGAACAAGCCGCCGAGGAGCTGGGCGAGAACTCGATGGCCGAGGAAATTGTCTAAAAGAGAAAGGTTTACAATGAATAAGAAAAGTTTACATCTGAATTTTGCTTGGGAGACGAATGTGATGTATACGGTGAGCCTTCGTGAGACCACGGGGAGAACGACGGATTCTGGAAAGGAAAAATCATCTTACAAACTTCTTATTACTCTGAAAGTCAATATACCTCAATTTTCTTATGCCTTGTCGACAATTTGTTCTCAATTTCCAGCAAAAGCGGGCTATTCGGTCGAAAATCCTCTTCCTCGTCGTTCATTGATGGCTAAATTAAAGTGAAAAGAGTCAATTTCAACAATTCACCTTGCAACTATCATCCTGTTTCTTCAAATAAGTCGTTATATGTTTAACCGTCTAAAAGTTATATTTAAAAGTTTTATCCTTCCATTTACCGTATTCATAAAGAGCGGATTTCGACAAAGATGCGACAGACCGGCCCGATCGTGAGCATAATGACGAAACGATGAAATTAGTGACACCTGAACTCTTTTTATAATGGTTAAGTAGAACTTTGTTTACCAATTCTTGAAGATTCTCCGTGCTAGCCAAATGCTCGATGAGTAGATCAAGGGCGCCAGATTCTCGCAGTTTCGCACGCCCCCAGGCATCTTGCGAAAACGGAATGAGAAGAGGGGCCAATTCTGACGGGGAAAGTCCAGAAGCAAGTACCTAAAACAACGAGTTTTATCAAGACAAGTTTATAGTCAACTCACCGTGTCAACCATTTTCGCTTCTCCGAGCGCATCGCGAAAGTGTGTGCTCCCCTTGCACAAACGCATCACCAACAACCGACCCCCTTTCAGATCTTTCTCAACAAACAAGTCCAATAGTCGCTTGCCACATCCACTAAACAAGATAAGTTATAGTTTATTTAGTACTTATTGATAAGTAAGATACCTTAGAGCTAGTTGTCGTCCACAATCGACCACCGAGTAGTTGGTCATCGTGTCGAGCACCTGAATGAAATATATGTACCTACTGCGATATACCTTTGTCGTATATTTTGAGTCTAGCGTTATGCTAGACATTAGGAAAATGGAATCTGGTCAAGCTACAATGACTTCGAATTCGGATATCATCACAATCATCCCTAAAATAAATAAAACCAATTCCTGTCTACCTGTATCACTTCATTCGCCATTTTCGCGTTTTCCTCCCTCAATTTGTCAGTTTTCTCCGCATTTCCAGCTTTCTCCTCATCACTTTCGTTCGTTTTCTCCAAGCGGCTCGCCAGTAAATTGCCCAAATAATGACCACCGTTCGAGAGTAGTACAGTCTGGAAATAAAATTATGAATGTTGCTACTTTTTTGATAAAGTTTGCCAAAGAATGAGCTCTTGACCTTGACTTTCAAAAACGATCTTTGATCAGCTAAGATATTTGTAAAATGAACTCTATGGGTCTATGAAATTTATGATCTATGGAATTTTTTTTTAGCTTATCTCATGTAACTTCAAAAACGATCTTGGATCTATACTTTCCTCCTAAAAATATTTGCCTCAACGTTTCCATAAATACATTATTTCACGTCTGATTAATGCATGTAAGGATCTTGTTTACGATATTTGAAAAAATGTATCTGCAAAAAACAGCTAAAAGTTTTTGGATCTAAAGTTAGTTCTGATTTTCTTTACAAATAGATTTTCACAGTCTAAATGTTTTCTTTTTCCATCCTTTTACTATTACTTGTTTGTGTCGGGGTCAACACTACAGAGCGAAGCAAAAAAATTATCACCACATAAACACTCGAAAAAAAAAGCTGCCAGCTAAGCTCCTGTCAATCTCAAATCGTTTTTTTCGTTTGCTAAAATCGATATCCTTTATCGGGTATTTTTATTCAAAAACAACCCCTCTCACCACCCCAGCATTCTGCCCGTTTCGGGTGTTCTCTGCCCGGGCATTTCTCTTTTGCCTTTTGCGCCAAGGACGAAGCAAACAAACATCTCTCTGCGCCTTTTCAGTCACCCTCGTGAGCGGCCCGCATGAGCCCCTCCCCCTGCTCTTTCTCAGCAAAGAAAAAAAACCCGATACACGGTACACATCCTTTCAAAATTTCCCAGCTCCCCTGTTTATTGCACTTAGATTAGTTTTTCATTTAATAGTGCATTCATCGATTTAAAAACTTGGGAGTAGACCTCAGTTGAGTAGAAGTTCCAGCGTTTCACCTGGAAATTCTCGCTGCCCCGGCAGTTTTCAGTTAAATAGTAGATGCAACTTGTTGCTTACACCATCTTGTTCTTGGTTTGAATTTTCATTTACCCAATCCTAACTCATTCACCCCCGTTTCAGAACTATGAGCGATCAAGAGCTGAAAGCCGGACATTTGCCCGCACAAAAAGCCGGAGGAATGCGAGTGCCGACGAGAAAGGTAAAATAGAGTTGGGAGTAGACTTCAGTTGAGTAGAAAAATTCAAAAATAAAAGAATTTAGGCCCGTACACCATCGGAGACGGAGAACAAGACGCCGTCTTCAGAAAGCAGCGAAGAAAAGGTTGAGGAGGTGAAACTCACCGACAATATCCTGTGTGGAACGGGATTAGCTTCACAGGTAGGGGTGAGAAAATGAATATTGTGGGGTATATGGGCCTTTTGGCGCCCTTGTAGACCGTGGGCAATTAGACTCTTGAGTACTGCAGGGCATACTATAGCTTACTTGGCCCCTGAGTACTGTAGATTAAAGGGTCTTTGGTCACTGTAAGATATCCTTTAGTCATAGTATACTCGACAAAGTAGTATTATAGTCTACAATGTATTATGGAAACAATATACTGTAGATTATACTTCGGGTTCTTGGATACTGTAAGTTATTCTGTAACTGAATACAGTATACTTCCAATTAAAAGCTCAACTTTTTTGTTCAACAATTACAATTCTAGACGAACAAAGACTATCCACCGGAGGCCATTCAAAAGTATCACAACAAGCCGGTCCCACAGCATCCAAATAAGCAGGTGAATTTGAGCAAAAAGTTGCCTGAATATTCCTAAATCGAGATGAATTTCTAACCAAAAATGCTTCAGATTCACGCGAATGCGCCTAATCATCAAACCAACATGCCAGTCTTTCAACCACAGCGAGGAAACTGAACATGTTTGCTGCCAAATTTCGATCACTTCACAAAAATTATCTCTTCTCTTTCTTTCCTTCTCTCCCACTAAATTTAATCGAAAGCAAAAAATGCGTGTAACTATCCATTCCGAGTGATAATTGTATTTATATCTCTATCAATAAATGTCAAAATGTATGTGCAGAAGGCAAAACAACCAGAGTCCAAGTGGTTTAATATAAGTTTGTTGAAGTGATTACTGGGTAATCACGGTAAACTCAACAGTTATCCCAATTTAGTGAGAAGTATGCAAAGTTTTAGTCTAGTACTACCAGAAGCCAGGATCAGACATGGCTTTTGGTTAGTCTAACATTGCATATAATTTTGTATACCTAATTATCAAATTATTGATTCACCTTCATGAAAGACGACTTTACGCATAGCTTGATCACTCGAAACGCGGCCGTTGCCACCAATTCCTCTTTATCGCATATTTTTTGCATGACGCAATCGAGAAGCCGCGGGTTGTTGACGATCGTCAGAGCCGATTCCTGAACAAAATTCTATTATTTGGGCTCAAAAAGGGTCTACCAATAATTTTTTATTAGTTCCATATAAATTAGTGCTGCAATTTGCACACATCTTATCTGTAAATTTGCATATCTCAAAGAGAACTGTCACTTTGCACGCAAATCCCAGCACATTATAACACGTCTTGCTAAGATTTACAGTATCAAGCTATAAAATTACCTTATGAACGCAAAGATTCCCCAACAAGCGCAACACACAAGTCTTCATTTCTATTGTCGAGCCATTATTCTCTAGTAAACGAACTAAACTTTTATCGTAATTAGTTAAAGTGTAAGATTTACTTGAATTAGTGGAGATTTTGTGATGCGGACGAGATATCTAAAAATATGATTACAAGATTTAGTAACGTCGCCAACTTCAAGACAAGCTGTGATCGAAACAAAGCAACAATTCGCCAACGTCGAAAGCACATCGTTTAGTAGAGGTTTTCTAAAAAAGATATTGCTAATGTCAAATAAAGTTAATTAACTGTGAAAGATTGTCGTCGATCAGTCGATTGAATAAGCCCATCAATGCCGGGAAATATTTGTCGTTGTCGGCGAGGCTTTTCGCGAGAGTCCTATTGTTGGCCAGCTAAAGTAGCAACATAATGAGATCATAAATGTAGCCTAAGTTGCATTCAATTCTCCCCAGCCTTCGTATTTAAGCTCTGCCAATTTTTTTCACAACTGTAGAAAAATTTGCCAATTGGGGAACAAACAGCAAAAGTACTAAATTAAGTCTGAAAACTACGCAGAACAGGCTCTATAAGCGTAAGCTAATCAAGACTTACTAATACCTGGTTCAAAGTATTTTGGGCGCAAACTTTCCGAGCTAAACGGCTCAGCCCCATAGAATTTCAAGATCAGGCCACTCTTTCTTCTGGCTTCTCCTGTTCAATTGCTCAAAGATCTAAAGATCAGACCAAGCATTTTTCTAAACGCACGAGGGTAATGAGTTTTTGTACTTCATAAGAAATGAGTGTAAAAACTGTTTATGCTAAGAAAGATAAAATTTAGCTTGAAATCCGTAGAGAATGGTGTACCAGCAATTGTAGTGTTGAAAAGGCAAAAATTGTCAGAGGAAAAGACATTTCCCCTAAAAGGGTACTGGGTCTAATGCTTCTAGAGTTAAAACTCTGGAAGTAAATCAAATGTACCCTACACGAGGCAGGGTGTAATTCAAATTCAAAAAAACTAAAATATCATTCCAAAGGAATGAATGCGGGTGCCTAAAAGGTAGATGAGAAAAAAGAAATGGTAAGGCTAGAAGAGAGCTTTTGGTCTAGGTTTTGAACCCACAAGCGTTTAAAACATCTCTAATGATCACCGACTACACCAAAACAGTCACTATGCTCTTAAAAACAAACTTTTCTCAGTCTTCGTACTTCAGCCGCATCTCCATCGTTGATCTTTTCAAGTGAAACGTTTTGCGTCTCAATCGACGAGGTGTCCGCCTCAAATTTGCGCTTCATGCCTGAAAATAGAAAATTTAATAAGGAAATCTACAAAATTTATTCAAAAATGAAATAAAATGAAACAAAATCAATAGTTTTTGGGTCAATTTTAAAAACCTCTTCATAAAAAAGCTTATAGCTAAAATTATCGGCTCAAATTTTTCCCTAACATACTTAACTCGTTCAGCAACACATTGAAATCGTTTTTTAGACTTTAGAAACAAGAAATAATTCGATTTAAGGTTAAAAATGAGTTTCGTTATTGTTTTGTGCGATGAGATTGCGTCCTATTGTGCGCGCTATTGACCGTAGTCTCGGAAAATGTTTAACTCCCAAATTCAAGTTGTCCCATTTCTCATTTTAATGTAGTCATGCGTTTGAAATAGAATTTTCACTATATTTTCTTTAAATTATCTATATCTTGCTAAATTATCCGTCTTAACAGTATCTTTTTGATAATAGATAATAGAGAATGCTATCGGCAATGGTATTGAGCGTATTTTGAACGTTTGTAGCTTATCAATTGGTTTTTTTGTAATTTTATTTTATTTTTTCCCGTCGTTCTTTTATATACAAGTTAAATTTTAGGATGTTCTTTTCCATTAACTAAGCACCGTTGCTTATTCAGACTTTAACAATTCGTTATTCACAACTTCGACAAAACACAACCTTGATCATTTGCTTTTGATTACCAATACCAAGCTGTTCTTTTGGTTGACACTTATGAATTCTGCTTGGCAATGTCACAAAGAATAACCCAATGCAAATTGCTGTAGCGACCAACTCCTAACTTTGCTTAAATATAAATTTCGCGTTCCCTGCGCTTCCCATAACGGTCGAATTCATACTTAGGTAAAACCAACATAAAGGCACACCCTTTCGTACGCAAAGTGACCGATAAACCTGTCCAAATTGTATCCAGAAAAAATCTAGCTGGAACTAAGTTTGTTATCTGATCAACTTCTCGACAATCGATCAGTTTCATCTAATGAGCTTTTTCACTTAATACACAGTATCGTATTTTATCTTAACTGACCTGATTTTACTGTAAATTTAGCCCTTTAAGTATTAGTGCCGTCAGATCTGGAACTGGCTTATTGTCTGGCTCTGACCTGCTTTTTAAGCTGTGACGGGTGTCAGTTTTAGACCCAGTAGAGCACAGGCTTAGGCTCTTCAATCTTTTTGGCTTTTCGATCGACTTTTACTCTCAATTTCATTCAAATCCACAGATTCGTGTGCATTTTTTGAGCGAATTCTCGGAAAACCATACTATCCTTAAAGTAGGCTTTTCGATTGACTTTTGCTCTCAATTCTATCCAAATCCATAGGTCCACGAAATGCATAAAAGCACACGTCGAGTTCTCATAGTCAGAGCCGGCTGGTGGTGGTGGGGAGGACGCGCAGCACAGGAAAATCGTTCCCGCTCGTTTGCAGCGACTAAGAGAGAGACTAAGCAATGAGAGAGGGTTGTGGCTGACCCAAACACAAGGCAAAAAGAATCATAGATGTATAGAGAACGGGGAGAGAGTGATGGGAAAAGAAAAACGGGGGAAAGGGAAAGGGGAGGCGTCCAGTACCCCTGCACAGCCCTACCCCGACATCCCTGACCCTTCCACAGTCCTACCCAGCTTTTTTAGTACCCTTACCAGTACCCCTGCACAATCCTGTCTTTAGCCCAGGCTTTTACCTCTATCAATCATTTGACCCAGGCTTTTACCCTAGCCACTTTTCTGGCCCTCTTTCAGTTTCAGCTTCAGCCCTGGGGCTGGAATTGAACATGCTTGGGGTACTGGACAGGACAAGGCTGGGGTACTGGGGAGGCGGGGTTTAATGGAAAGGGAATGGGAAGGAGTGGTCAGGGTTGTGCAGGGATGGTGGAAAGAGCTGTGCAGGGGTTACTGGACAGGCGTAGGGGTAGCCTCCCCTTTCCCCAGCCGCACTTTGCCGCCTGGGCGTCCAAAAAGAACGCCGCTTGGTCGCCGACACGCCGCAAGCATTGAACGATGCACACACTCTCTCTCCCCACTCCAACAACAATATATTTGCTATATTTGTTATTATAGAAATTTTTAAGATCTTTTTCTACTTGCTATTGTGTCCTAAATCCCGGCTTGCTATTTCGCGGAAACCCAACTTTTCGGGCGCCTTTTTTTCGGCAAAAAGGGGAATCTTTGCGTCTCTTTTTGCACGCTATTTTTCAAACTATGCCTTATTTTCTGGAACGGGCTTAGATTTCTAAAGATACAATACTATTTGTAATAATGTTTTGTATATAAAATTTTCTTCTACATAGTTCTATATCTTTTTAATACAGTAAAAAGTATCCAGTAAATATTTTCACAAATCAGATTATTTACAATTAGTTTTTTAAAAGTTTCAATTCAATTATCATATTTTATATGTACAGTACTATTTCCTATGTACAGTACTATTTTCTATATCTTTAGATTGAAAATTAGATTAAAAATCTTTAGCTACAAGATTAGCAAATTGTTGTGTCCAGTTGTTAATAACAATTGAATTTGTATGGAGTTTAAAAGCCTAGTTAACTTGAATACTGTAGTTTTGCTACTGTACTTTTGCTACTGTACTTTTCCTTGTCTTTCTAGAAGTTGTATACTTAGCTGGCTATGTGCAATTTTGCATTTCTTTGTTTGACCCTTGATTCACGGGGAAAATAAGTCGATTGCTCTTGTCGTTCTTGCTCTTGTCGTTCTTGCTCACATTAAAGTCCCTCTTCTCTAGTTCGTTTTCTAAAACCTGCCCCTTTCGAGAATTACCGTAATCTATCGTACTCTTTGCTATTTAATTATCTTGCCTCCAGCTGAAACTTTAAACTAAAACCATTGTCAGATGAGCGATCGTCGTAAACGCGGAATCGGCGATGGAGCGCTGCAAGCGATTGCCCCGAAAAAGCGCAAAATGCAACGAGATGACAAAATTTTGGAACAAGTGAGGATTTGAGCAATCGGGAATCTAGAGCCTAGATAATTTTAACTTCTAAGAACTTTAACTTCTAAGAACTTAAGCTTCTAAGAACTTTAACTCTTAAGAACTTTAACTCCTAAGAACTTAAACTCTTAGACTTTAACACCAAACTGTGTTCCACCTATTTTCTTAAAAAAAAAGCCCAGGAAGAGTTCCTTACTCGGCTCTAAAATGAGGTTTGATTTAAGATTGAAGATTAAGATAAGGTATACTAGGATTACGGTAGCTTTTCCTCAAGTTAGGAAACTGCCTTGGGCAAGGCAAGCAAGCAAGCTTTAAACTAAAGTTACGGTACTCAAAAGCACCGTTTAGAAAACAATTTAATCAGAAGATACTGTACTTTTTTAGCTTTCGAAATGTCGCCAAGTGCTCGACGATCTGAAGGACAAAAAGTCGAGTGATGGCCGGAGTTTTGTCGATTGGTTTTACCGGGCACCGTCGAGGAGGTAAATGATAGAAACGCTTTCGAAATTCAGAAAAATTCCAGAACCGATCCTCAATACTATGAGCTTTTCGAGAATCCCATTGATTTCAATCGAATAAATCAAAAAGTGAAAACGGAAGAGTATCAATCGTTTGAAGAGTTTATGCAAGATGTGCGCCTCTTGATTGAGAACAATCGCAAGTACTATGAGGTGGGTAAAAAGAATATGATTACTTTAAAAAGTCAGGATAGGCTGGAAGGTGGCTTGGGCGGTCCTGGTCCAGCTAATACAGCTACGTTCATAGACGCCATAAGTCTAAGCCTGAGCCTGAGCTTGAATAGTTGACCCGGACTGGTCTTAATCTTCTACTATTAGCTCTGGAACTGATTCGGATACTTTGAAGCCAATAGGCTGATTATAAGAAATCCTAAAGTTGACCGGAAAAAGTGAGCTAAAGGTAGGCTAAAGACTGGACCAGATACGTCCATAGAGGTCAAGGTTTTTGGCCAGACTTGGCCTCAATCTTGGTACTACCTTAGACTTGTGTCAAATAGCTAGCTTGGGTCCGGGCTGGTAGTTTAAGGTCTACAGTTAATACATTTGCGACAATATGGCTATACGTGGATTTAACACTTTTTTGAGATTGTGGGATATTTATACGACATACACACTCCGCCCCCTTTACCATTGGCGATCCAACTTTGAGCTCAAATATCTTGGTCTTGGGCTGTTTAATTGAAATAGTTTTTGTACCAATCGACAGAGAAAGACTTGGCGCATTCAATGATACTAAGAATATTGAAATTGGACAACCCAACACTATGATATTTGAGCTCAAAGTTGGATTGTCAATGGCAAAAGGGGCGGGACGCGTATTAAATATCCGATAACACTTTTTTTGAAGCCGATTGGGCGAAAAATTTGCAACAGGGGGTTTTCAAGGTGAAGGAATTCGAATTTGTTATTAGTTTTTAAAGAAAACTGCTCTATTTTTTGGATATTTCATTCGGTTTAATTACCCAATTTTTTAGAGAATTATGATAACCGTATTGGTTTGGAAATTAAAGTTGCTCAAAAACTAATCACGGATTCTGATTCTCTATCCCAGAATGCCCCCGGTTACAAATTTTCAGGTCTACAGCTAACATAGATAGCTCCAAAACGCTCAGCCAAGACAAAAATGGCTGAATATGTTAAGACAAAGCAAACGCCAGCCTATCTGGCTTGACCTTTAACTTCTGATCAGATCAAGACAACCTTTGCTTGAGTCTAATTTGATTTGACTTGGATTAGAGCATTCTTATTCTTAATTTTACGGTAGTTTTGCCTACACTATCGTAGAAAAAGCCAAAAAGCCATACGTGAGTATCACACCAACAGTTGCATTCACTTTCTAGGAGCAATCCGATGAGCGCAAAATCCTACTCGAGCTGGAAATGTTTCTACAAAATTCGAAAGAAAAGAAAACGAATGGGAATGGAAAGATCAAGAGTGAATCTCCGGCATCGAGGTGAGCAAAAAGCTTTTGATCTTGCTTTTGATCAATAAGTTTTCTTGTAAAATTGTTTGCTTAGGCTTAGGTTTATAGATCGGGTCTACCTAAAGAGTTCTAGTTTAAAGCACTTCAAATTTTAGCTCTGGATCAGTAAAAGATGGCTCAAAGCATGCCAATGGGGCAACAATCGACCACGATGTTGTTGAAGATATTCTTACCTCAATCCTTGATCTCAATGACATGGAAACTGGACGAATACTTTCGCCACCGTTTCGCGTTTTGCAGAGTAGAGAAGTGAGCGTTTTCTAAAGTTTACTAAAAACTACCGTAATCTTATCCAGGAATTTCCAATCTACTATGAAAAAGTGAAGAAACCGATTGACTTGAAGATGATTGCTGAGAAGTGTCGAGCTGGTGATTATTCAACTTTCGAGCAACTCGATGAAGATATTCGTCTGATGTGCGCAAATGCAAAGGTACTGTAAAACTGTAAACTGATGCTTCAAAGCTAGTTTTCTGCGCTTAGGATAACGTTACCGTACCGTTACAGTGGTTAATAATCAATCCGGATTCATTTTTACAGTTAAATCTATCATTCTAGAGTCAGTTAGCTTAAAATAAGGCTCAATTTAATGATTTGTTTTCCATTTTTAAAGAAACTTATGCAAAAACTGCAATTTCTTTAGTAATTAAGAGATTTTAATGTAAAAAGATTATTCTATTGGGTTGTCCAGTTATGAATGCGCGTTTTTACTATTTTGTAAATTTCTCAAGATATCGAATAGATGTATATGAGTGTTATATATCATTCGAAAGCTGAAGATCTCCTCTACATTTTGGAATAAAAAAGTTTTTGAATTCATTCAACTTTTTGGGAAATTGACTGCACAAAGGGAGAGGTCGTTTTCGAAAAAACCCATTCCAGCTTAGCTATTCCTCAAGTTTTATGGTGTAAAATAGCCGCCCAGAAAAGAAAAGAAAAGCAAAAAGATGCTCTGAAATTGGTATATTTAAAAAAAAGTTGTATTGATATATCTATTGGCCAAACATCAAACGGTTAACTCAATTTGAGCGGAGCCAAAACTTGATCCAAAGGCACCCTTCCATTTTTTGGCCACCTCTTCTTCTGTGCAGTCAATTTGCCCAAAAGCTGAACAAATTCAAAAACTTTATATCAAAATGTAGGGGAGATCTTCAGCTTTCGAATAATACTCATATAAATCTTTTTCTTGATTTCGGTATCTTGAGAAATTTACAAAAAATTAAAAAACGCGCATTCATAACTGGACAACCCAATATTAAAAACGTTTTAAAATGGGAAGCAAAATATGCATCAAAGGGCTAGAGTTCCTTTCTTTTTAAAAGTCACATTTTAGAAAACACGATTCATACTGAAAAAGATACATTTACGGTTACTGTAACTTTATCTAAAGATCACCTTTTAGTAAAACTATTCAGAAACCAGCCTACTTATATTTTTTTTAGGTTTTCAATGAGCCGGGCTCAGTGATCGCTAAAGATTCGACTCAAATCCTTCGATTTTTCACGAAAAAGGTTAAAGAGGCGAAGAGTGGATTGCTGAAAGCATTTGATGATAAGAGGTTTGTGTTATACTGGACATAAAGCTACATAGTGACTGTTTTGGTGTAGTCGGCGATCATTAGAGATGTTTTAAACGCTTGTGGGTCCAAAACATAGACCAAAAGCTCTCTTCTAGCCTTACTATTTCTTTTAGAATGATGGGATTACGGCAGTACACTGTAGAAGTTTTTATAGTAGCACTACGTTGTCTAAGTTAGCGTCAAGAGTTACAGAAATCATAGACTTAAAACTGTTAATTTATACTGTAAAGGATACAGTAATACAGTGGTTAATAATCAAATTCAGAATCGAGTACAACAAAGAGATGATCGATGCGTTGATAGCTCAATCGTCAGCGATACAAAATGAGGAATACAGTGAGGATAGTGAAGAAGATGAGGACACGGAACAAACGAGTGATCCTATGTAAGTAAATTAAGGAATGGCAAAGAAAGATTTCGGGGATTGAACCCTCGATTTTTGCTTTTGCAGATGCTCTAACCACTGAGCTATCCGGTATTTTCTTATTAGTGAAGAAAGGAAATACAAGGAAGAAGATAAAGGAAGAGGAGAAAGGAAGAAGAGAAAAGAAGAAGAGAAAAGAAGAAGAGAAAAGAAGAAAGAGAAGGATGCAAAAGTGCTTTGAAGTTGTTAACAACCAAATTAACTGTTAAATAAAGTTCTGTTAAATAAAGCTCTGTTAAATAAAGCTCTGTTAAATAAAGTTCTATCAAATAAAATAATCAAGATAATCTTTAGGTGGAAGCTGTACTGGACAATCCGAAATGTCGAAGATGACAAGGATCCAGAGAGCAATTTCGCGGATCCATTCCTCGAGTTACCACAGAAAAGGTTTAAATTGAAAAGAAAATCGGTAATTGTTTCAATTTCAGTTACTATCCGGATTACTACGATGAAATCGCTCGTCCAATGTCCCTATTTATGATCAACAAAAAGCTGAAACGGGGCGAATATCAGAATTTCGTCGACTTTCTCAATGAAATGTTATTGGTAGGTAATTATGCGTTTTCTAAGACGTGCCCCTTTCTGTCAAACTATCGTAATCAGTGCCTTCTTACAATACTTTATTACCGTAATCACGCACCGGTGCTTAGTGGCTACCGTAACCTACTGAGAATACTGTAAACATACTCTACAATGTAATTTAGCACCTTAGCTACTGTAACTCGTGCAAGTACCTAGCTAGATACCGTTAGATCCAGCCAAGTACCTAGCTAAATACCGTTAGATCCAGCCAAGTACCTTCCTACCTTCCTACTGTCAACAAAATGCAATTCAGATCTTTGACAACGCTTGCTCATACAATTTGGATGGTTCCGAGATCTATAACAAGGCAAAACACCTGAGAAAACTTGTCGTTAACAAGTCGATCTCCCTTGCACCGAATCTTGATCTATCGGTAAGTCTACAAAAATATAGACTGACCGAGGTTACTTTTAAGGATTCCTAAAATAGGCTGCAGTTTACTGTACGGCTTACAATTGCCTTACCGTAATCGAAAACCTTTTTAAAGAACTGGCTTATAAAAAAAAAGTTACAGAAAATCTCGAAAGAGCCAAAAGAAGAGATCGAAGTGAACATGAATCTTCATCACAATTCCACTCCGACCTCAACAACGCAGAAAGGGCGAACATCAGCGTTGAGAAAAGAGGCGAGACGAGCATCGGATAGCTCAACAAGCAGTGAACAGGTGAGAGAAATTGATGGAATGGACAAAGAATTAGAATTGAATGTAAGAATGAAACGACGAAAAAATTTGACTTATTTAAGTAGCCATAAAAGCAGATCATTTTAAGATGTACAGTTAAACAACTGACTAGAATGGATTTTGAGTTATTTTGGGTTACGCAACTAAACATTTTAGTCTAAAATCGAAATTTGTGAAAATTTGTGCGCACAAATTTCATTTGGTTTTTAAACGCGAAGTTTAATTGTTATAACTCTTTCAATATGCGTTTTAACTTAAAGTTTACCCCATTAAGATTCATTTTCTTTAGTCGGAGATGTCACGAAAGCATCCACGCAGTGCCGGTCGACCATCAATGGGCGGAAAAGAGAAAAGCAAGAAAGGAGCCGAGAATTCAACTCTATCACAAATTGCAGGTACGGGATTTTTGGTTTTAAAAGGTGAACTTTTTGAACTGTTGCAAGTTCGATAAGTTATTCGTTTTGTTGGTTTTGTCGAACTTGGAACCAGCTGATCGCTGTCAAAAATTGTATAGTTTTCAAGAAATCTTTGCCTGAACAAGTTATTGACAGGGTTGGGGCTAAAAACTTCAAACTTTCAATCAACTTCAAATAGATTTTGTCTGACTTTTGCGGTACAACCCAGGGAACAGCCAAGTCGTGGGAGTTTTGGACGGCATTTTATAGCAACAAAGCAGTCGAGAAACTCTTAATGACACGATTCTCTTGCTAAGTTTGAATAATAATTCAAGTTTTAGGTTTTCCATCGGCTCCCATCTCGCCGACTAAAGGAAAACCTGGTCGAAAAAGCATCGAAGAGCTGAAGAGTCGATATCGGGCAAATCTAATGCGCTTTTGGCAATATTTGTACGATTATAAGGTTGGTTTTCAAGCATAGAACTTAATTCGAAGCTGATTTTCTGTACTGGATATTAATTTTTACGATTTCAGGAAGGAGAATACTGGCCAATCGGTGCGTTCATGCAGGTACCATCGCCTGGAGAATATCCTGACTATTATGAAGTAATCAAATTGCCGATTGATATGGAGAAGATCAAGCAACGAATTGATAATATATTGGTGAGTTGGTTAAAATATTATTGTAGTTAGTTTTTGTTTCAGTACACCTCATCATTGCAACTCATCAGTGACTTCTCGGCGATGTTTCACAATTGTCGAACCTACAATGAACCTGAATCCGATCTTTATAAGTTCGTTTTTGTTTAGGATAGCACAATGCCTTTAAAATAATTTTGGATTGGGCTAGATCTTGCCTTTACCTTGAAAAAAACTTTCCCTGGAAACAATTCTGAATTAGATTAGATTAGACTTGGATTCGTTCTCTGATAGTCACAAGTCAGTTATATGTATAGGCAAATATTAGTAGACTCTTTGTTGCATTCAAAAATCTTCTTTAGGGACGCGGCTCGATTGGAGCAGCTGATTCGCTCTGTTCACGAGCAAACTCCGGGCGCTCCATTTATGAATCCTGTTGCTGCAAAACATTCAGCGTAAGTTAGTAGTGGACTGAAAGAAAACAGCATTTTTTTAGGACGAACGGTCATACAGCGAGCCCGAAAGTTGCGCGAACGCCGAAAGCTCTTCAAATTAATCATCACAAACACCATGGAACGAATCAGAGTGGGGAATTCGCGGCGATGTGTGAACTCTTTCAATATCTCAGGGATTATGCGTGAGTTTTTTTTACGAAACTTTACTTGGATAATTTGCATATCCAATTCACAAATACCAGTTTAATTTGATGAAATATGTTTCTTGTCTTCCAGAAACTTAAAAAATATAAATTCTGTAGAGCGTATCCCAAAAAAATCCACTTTGTTTCAAATTTGAAAAATATTTCCGGTGACTCAAGGTAGTAGGTATGGTGCAAAAATGGTTTTTTTGAGGTCGGGAAATTTTTGATGTTTTTCCATGATTTTCACCATATCATGACTCCCCAATACATGACATTTCTAAGCCGGTCACCACCACCAAATGGGCCACCACCATGGGACTTTTGCCATAAAATTAAAACTTTGGACTGGCATCGTAGTGTCATGTTAGAGTTATTATATAAACTAAGATTTTTATCCAAAAACTATTCATCTACATTATATGATAATCTGTCATGTATAAGAGATTTTTAACTCGCTTTTTTTAAAGAAGTGTCCGGTTTTTCCAAGGAAACGCTGATCAATAAAATGTATGGTTTAAATTTGTAGCCATCCTGATAGTATTTATTATATACCACGACGTCAATAGCAAGTTTTAATTTTATGGCAAAAGTCTCATGGTGGCCTACCACCTTGAGTCACCGGAAATATTTTAAAATTTGACCCGAAGTGGATTTTTTTGGACACCCTGTACATTTCAGTGATGACGCGGGTCGAAGATTGTCCAAAATTTTTGAGAAACTGCCAAGTAGACAGGTATCGAATTTTATGTTTATTTTGAAAAGAAATCGTCTAGGAGTACCCAGACTACTACGAGGTCATCAAAAAGCCGATCGATTTCACAATGATTCACCAGAAAGTCTCGGGATCGGTGAGGGATTTGGATTTGGAAACATTGGAAACATTCAAAATACAGAAACATTGCATTCTAAAATTTTTAGTACGAGAGAAAGGGTCGTTCATCAGCTTCGGTAAAAATTCGTTGTTTGTCCTCGTTTTGGGCTTTTTTTTTCAAAGTTTTGAGACTTGTGATTCTTTTACCAGTCATTTAATTGTCTTTTTTAAATTTGGAGATTCAAATTGCCTGGAAAAAGTGTCATAAGCTGGTCTCTTTAAATTTGAAGGGAAAACATAATATTTTGATTTAGCGCTACAACAACATAGCCGAGCTGGTTGGGGATTTCCAGACGATGTTCGATAACGCTTGCAAATACAATGAAGCCGACAGTCAAATTTATGGGGTAAGCATTGAATTATGCTTGTTTGAGCTTTCTAGATTCTATCAGCAAACTGCAACAGCTAAGTTTCCTTAACCCTAAATCTTTAACTTTTTTATTTAGGATGCCGTCTTTTTGCAATCACTGTTGATGCACCGAAAGAAAATGCTGCGCAACGAGGGAAACACCGGTCCGCATGTGCAAGTAGAATTGAGAACGATCTTCACACAAATCTTTGCGGCATTGCTGACGCAAAAGGTTTATACATTATTGATAAAAAAAAGATTTATCAGTTACATCACCCTTTTTGGGTTAAACTGCAAGAAAAACCATAATTTACATTAGATTTTAAACAAAAAGAGCTATTTTTAACAAATAGTGACAAAGATTTTACTTAACTTCTTAATTCCAGGATACAACGGGCCGCCTGTTATCAAACTCTTTGGTTACCGATCTTCCCGAGTTGCTCAAAGCGGCAAATGTACCCGCAGATCAATGGCCTTTCTCGTTGGAGCAAATCAAAAAGAATCTGGATAAGGTATGTTCTGCTTTTTGTGGCTGAACAATCCTTCTCTAGTGTCGCTATCGTCGCTTGGATCGTTTCCAACAGGATATCTTCTATTTGTTTGAAACAGCAAGGGAGTATGCAAGGACTGATTCGCAGGTGAGAGCAAAAAATTTCTGAACTGGTGGCGGGGTTTTAAAACACAAGTCCTGACTCTGCGGACTCCATCTTTAGCGACATACTCAATTCGACATACTCAATCACAATTCAGCTATTCGACGATGTCAACCAACTTCAAGCGACTTTCATCTCGGAACGTGACGAGAAATGCCGTGGAGTTGTCACGTCGCGAGCTCTACTTTATGTGTCGAATCATTTCCTGGAGCAAGTACGAATTGTGCAAAGAAAAAAGCTAATCATTAATTTTAATCAACAGGCAACTTAATTAGGCATTTTTCAAGGGGTGAGCTAAATTGAAGCTGATTGGGAAGCAAGGCATTTGGATAGTTTGCTTTAGAATCTAATTTGAATGCCCATTTTTGACCAATCATCAATCCGATTTAATAAAATTTGCATTTTAGATTGCCAGAGAGCGAAAAGAGAAACTGAAAGCCGAAGCTGAAGAGGAAAAATCGGGACCGAGTGCGAAACGGGCAAAAATTGAGGTGAATTTGCTTGGCCAGCCTTTCCGAATTCTTTTTCACGCTTCATTATTGTCAAAGAATCACGATTTTGTGGAGGAAATTTTTCAAACCTGATGATTTAAAGCATTTATTGAAATCTTCGAGTTTTGGCGTTCAAAAAATATTCTAGTTTTGAGGTTCAAAAGTTAAAAAGTCAAATAAAAGAAAAACTTGACTGAACGTTTTCTTTTAGCAAAACGAGGAGCTCACCGAGTGTACACACAATGAGATCACCTACAAATTGCGCGATTACGTCTACATTAAGCCATCAAATGAGAACTCGAAATCCCCGTTGCATGTGATGAGAATCGAGCGGATATTCAAGGTTTGTTTGCAATTTTTGTTCTTGAGAGTGCTCGTGCACATAAAGCTATGTTCAACACAGTAACCTCTTATAGTCAAATCACACTTTAGAATGATGACGAGCAAGTGATGGTTTCTGGGAAATGGTTCTTGCGACCGCACGAGACTTACTACCGGGCTTCGAGGAAATTCTATGAGAATGAGGTAAGAGTTGTTTTCGTAACGTCACCAAATGTATTTTTGAAGCAAGATAACTGTTTTGATTCTAATGACCTCAATGTTTAGCTATTCTACACCAAGAATGAGAACAAGGTGCTCTTCGATCGTTTGGCCGGCAAATGTGCGGTGTTGTTCTTGCCAGTTTATCTGCAAAACAAAGCAAAGGTTTGGTTTTAAATGGGTTTCTTTTTCAATTTATCGATTTAGGGCTTCGCACCTGAAGATACGTTCGTTTGTGAGCACAAATACATGGGCAGACAGTTGCATTTCGTGAAATTAAAAGTAAGTTAATGGTTTTTGCAAAGTAATATGTTCTTTTAGACATGGCCCGAAGAGGAAGATGATCAGATCGAGTTGGAACCAAGGGAAGACGATTTTCAACCAATCAAGATCACGCTTGAGCAACCCGAGAAAATGGATGTCGATCAACGGTCTGAGGTAAGGTTTGGGATTCTTAATTGGGTTAGCATTCTTACTGATTCTCAAATTTTAGAGCAGCAACCACGATTCGGAAGAAGACGAGGATCGTTGCCGAGATGTCTCTTATTTTTTGGATATCGCTCGAGAGGAAGTGACGCTCAAAGGAGCACAAGAAGATGCGGATGGGCGTGTCTACTATCAACAAATGGTAGAAATTGCAAGAAAACCATTTGAGCTTGAAATTTTAGTCTATCAATGGAAAGTTCTACATGTTGGGCGATTTCGTGCTCGTTTTCAATCCGGCACGACCCGTTTGCGATGTGATGAGGATTGACAAAATGTGGAGAGAAGCTGAGTGAGTGATTTTTGAGCTGTTTTTAGGATTGAGTTCAAAATCAACTAAAATAAACGTTCAAATAAGTGTTTCGATAGTATCTATGGAGCCAGAGAGTGCCTAAAATACATACAAAGTTTAAACTTTAGTGGCATCGAGCTGTTTTCCGGCGGATGGTTTGCTCGACCGGGTCAAGTGGCGCACGATGCTGGTAGAATATTCATCGCAAGAGAGGTGTGCTTTGAGAGATTTATATCAAAGTTTAAATTAGCAATGAATTGTTTTGTTTCGTTAGGTTTTCGCCGTTCAACAACCCGATCAGACGCGGGCGATGATCGACATTCAGAGTAAATGCTTGGTGTTGCCGCTGAAGGATGCCGTGAGAAGTGAGTTTGACAAACGATACGTTAATAAGAAATGGTAGAAAGCTGTAACAACAAATTTTGCAACTGAACTATTGCCTTATAGTTAGAATATCGAAGCTGCTGTTAGTTTATTTAGAAACATCATTTTTGGTTTAAAAAGTCGATTTGCCACGATCCTTTACCGCTTTTCACCGTTCAACTCTGGAACCCGTTTCAGATTCTGTGTAACAATTGCATTTTTAGTGAGACTGACGGAGATTCCCGAGTGTGACGTTTTCATTTGTGAGCAACGCGTCGATGGACACGGATTGACAAGTAAGGAAACTAGAAAATATGATTAAAAGAATGGTACTTGTAACCATTCTTGATTAGTTTCTAGCACAATGTAGCTAAATTTTGCACAAATTCTTTAGATTTTTATGATAAACACCAATTTTTTTTATAGATCCAAATGAGTGCTCTCTGTTCTCTGCCGCCGGGGCGACAAATGGTCATTTGCCGGAACCGATCCAACCCGAGCAGGCGATGAATCTCGAGTTTGCGAAGAAAAATCGAAACTTGCGGGTTTGTTTTATTTACAATGGTCGTATGACGTTAACTAAGTATTAGCGTAATAAAAGCAAGAGCCAAAATCAATACTATAAATTCTCTAATAAATGCTTAATCACACGTACTCTCCGCTCATCAAAGCACTGATTTCTTTTTGTCGGAGCGGAGTGGGGAGTGGACGGGAGGCGGGAGAAGGGGTAGTTGTGGCCGTTGCTGTGTGCATGGATGTGTGTGGAGAGAAGGGGGTAAAAGACCCCATCCATTGGACAGGGTGGCCTGTGAGCTATCGATCGACCACACATAAGCCATCTGCGCCGCTGAAATGAGGCATTGTGCAAAATGGAGAGAGTGCGCGACAAGAGAAATCCTATAGATAACGAGAAAACAGTAGACTGCAGAGAGTCGACCCTGCGAAATAGTGCGAAAGCGCGCGAGATTTAGTCAATGATTCGCTTTTTGAGAAATAATGTACCCAGCGGAGAGACACAAGAGCAAGCGGTCGCGTCGCGTCGTGGTGCTTGGCTTTTTTTGGGAGGCAAAAGGATAGGTGAGAGCAGCCAGCCCCAGCGAGCGTCTTCTCCCCACCACCCTGCCGGGGTTCACCCCTTCCCTTCCCCCTTCCCGTTCTCCCTGCAATGACCAGTCGCCCACCACCAGCAGCGACACGGCGACTGTGAGGGAGTGGGTGCGGAAGGGGCGAGCTTGCCCCCATCCCCCATCTCGCCCGTGCCCCCATCTTTCCCGTGCCCCCTTCTCCCCCCGCGACTTCGCTCGCACTCGCTCCCCCCATCTCCCCCTTTTGAAAGTCGCGCGACACTCTTGGGCATCTTAGTGAGCTCGTGCCGGTGGTTCTCTCGGGATCTGCACCCCTAGGACCCAATGTTACTTGTTTTTTGATTTGCAATTCTGAATGGCGAATTTTTTTTCTTTTCTTTTATGAAACCTCATTCTCAGTCTCAGTCTCTTGTAGTGGTGGTTTTCTCGGAATCCTTCTCCCAGGAAAAAAAGCATTGTTGGTAATTTTTGATTTGCATTTCCTGAGTTGAACCAGTACAGGTAGATCGGTGAAAGCCCCTCTTGTGGTTCATGCATTTCGAGCTAGTTCCTGAAATAATGTACCCATTTCATGGTTTATCCAGACTGATTACTTAGTCTGCATGAGACAACAATGAGATCTCCCACGATTAGAATCATTATTCTGCTAAAGCCTCATCTTACATTAGTGATTTTATAACTCTGTGCTCTGGCTAATTCTATCCAAACTCCATTTTCTGCTAAATGCCTTATCAACCATTGTATTACCTATTTTAAACTTTAAACTTTAATTTGAATCAAATTTCTTTGATATATAATTTTTCTTTTTTTCAGGTCTACTCGCTTGCGCCAGAGATTGCCGAGAACGAGATTTTCTACTTCAAAACTCCGCCTGTCATGGAGAAGGTGAGGGGTTTTGTTGAGCTTTTTAAAAACGTCAGAAATGTGCCTCAACTTTTGATAACACCCTAACACCCCATGCATAGTTGGCTGAATATTCAAAAAAAAATTACAATATAACGATAAAATAACGGCTCAAATTCTTAGCTTGCTATTCTTAAACAGCTAAAACATGTTTATCGTCAAATTTTCGTATCCTAGTCCATACAGATTCTCATGCGAATTTTACCGTATGATTCAAGCAGATTGATATCTATCTAAAACATATGCAATGCCAAATTTACACGTACTACTTTAATACAAGTTCTCATAAGCGGGTCGTTCAGTTCACCACAAACGAACGAACGACCTTCCCCTCTCACTTATCCCCGCTCTTTTCCCTCCGTCTTTTCGTTTTTTTTGACGAACCCTCGACTGAATGGTCCCCAAAAAGAAGGAAAAAGCGCCTCCGCTGACCCTTCTCATCTTTCTCTTTTCCTGTTCCTTTCCCCCCTTTCTTCATCATTTTTTCTTTCACCTCTCTCAAAGTTTCTCGCTATTTCACTGTCATTCCCTCGATTTTCAAACGTCTTTTTAAATTTTGACCCGGAAAATTCAACATACGGACGATGAAAAAATATCATATGATTACGACTTTTAAAATCCAACATAAATACAATTTTTTCAAAGCCGAAGAGAAGCTTAATTAAGAATTACCCAAGTTTGGCGCAAGATTTTATTTTTTCATTTTAGGAGATGTCTCCTCTCGTGGCGAAAAACGAATTGCCACCGTTGGATTTGGATGCCGAAATAGATGAGAATGATGTGGATACGGACGGGACTGATTCGGCTATCGGAACACCAGCGCCTGGAGTGAGTTTTGGCTTAGCCCTCTTACGCCTAAACTATTATGATGCTGGGGAAAGGTTAATTTCATGCCATTTTTTATTTGAAAAAGTTATTTTGCTAAAGAGACTTCATTTTCTCGTTTAGGACGCAAAATCCTGGCTCGCACATCAGCCGAAGTTGAACGCGAAGAGCAAATCGGGGTACATTCTTTTCTCGGCCGAGATTCGGAAACGGATCATGCATGAGAATCCCGATGCTGGCTTTGGAGAAGTGTCGAAGATTGTCGGAGTTGAGGTAACATTTTAAAGCAGCAGAACGAAGAATTATTAGTTCATTTTAATATTTCCTGTTTAGTGGAAGAAATTAACGGATGAGCAAAAGAAACAGTACGAGGTTCGAGCCGATTACATTGCCACGGAGCGAGCCAAAGTCGAGCAAGCAACCAATGCAACCACACAGCCGTTGCAAGTGAGAATTTGCAATTATTGAATATAAAGAAGTTGAGTGAACCATTATAATACAACTTTTTTAGCCAAACCAATGCCGAGTGTGGTTGTGCAAGTGGATCAACTGCGAATTCATGTGCGATCACAGCGATGGACTTTATGATCATCTCGTTCACCATCACACCTCACAAATCATTCGTGAGTTTTTTTATGAGATTAGAAAGAAGGATTAGGAGACTAAATTAATACAAAACCTTTCTTGTTGTAGCATTCTTGATTGAAAATTCAAATTTATCCGGTTTATCAGCTGAATACTTTTTATCCAGAAGTTGTAAATCATTTGGTCAATTAATTCAGTGTTTTTTTAGCTGACAGCGAGCAACAATTCGTTTGTATGTGGGGCCAATGTGTTCGGAATCGAAAAGACGGCAAACCGTTCCCGTCTTTGCCACGCTTGCATCGACACATCAAGGAGAAACACATGCAATCGGCGTGCAAGGTGGGGAATTTTGGGATTTCAAAGTTAATGCTAAAAGCCCAATGTACAGTTGTTTTAATAAATGCGACTCTTCTAGGTGATCTACAACAATCAACGCGGCCGTACCTTCTACCGTTACATTCCACCGCAACAAGACGGAGGCCATGGACAGTTACATCATTATCCCTATGGCATGCATCCAGCACAAGTCGCTCAATCACATCCGGCTCCATCGGTATCTACTATATATAAGAGTGTCTGTCTGTGCGGGCATTTTCTTGCGCCCGACCGACCGCGTCGCGGCGACAAAAACTATGTGTCAGCCCTAAAGCCGCTAGGCGGGTTTTTCGGCTGGTGTAAAAATCAATTCGTTGCCTCAAATTTTGTCGGATACTACTTGAAGCCAATTGAATATATTAGACCGTAACTTTATCTCAAGTTCCAGGCCCATCTACCGCCACAAGTCCCGTCGGGAGCTCATTTGGTGAACGGCGATGCTCATCATCACCATCCTAGAGTGAACGGCCACGATGCACATCATCCACACCCACAAGTCGGTCCACACCATCCGGGCATTGCTCATCATCCACAGCAAGCACCCATGCACCATTATCCACAGGTGATTTGAGTTTAGAATGAGTTAGTTATGAGGCTAAGTTTGAAAATTTTCAAAATGGTTACGTTTTCTCTTTTCCAGGCGCCGGGTCCATCACAACCACAAGCTGGCGCAACCGTCTACGCGGTGCACACGAGCAATCCACCCGCGCAACAGGGTCCCTCCACACAACCGCCACCCCCACAGCACGGACAAATTGCGGATCCTGGACGGTTGGGCATTTTGTAACACTTACTATAGTCTCTAACAATGTAATGAGTCAAGTCAAGATTTGCAATATTTATTAATTTCAGAACGATCGTCACGTTGAGTCGAGGCGTTGAGCCGGTCTTCGTGCCCACTCCCAAATCGATTGCCACCCGACGAGCACTGCACACAGACGCTTACATCAAGTGAGTGGTTGTGGTTATTTTTTTTAATGTTTGCCTTACTTTAGATATTTTGAATCGCTTTCCGGGAACCAACGAACGATAAGCAAATTTGGACGATCTCTTGGCGCGAATCAGAGGAACACGAGTCTGCCCTCGGCTCGACCGACGCCATATCAATGGATAAAGGTATAGTTGCTGTACTAATTAATAAGTATTAGGGGGTTATTGTAGAAAGACTTTGTCCAGCATGCAGTAAAGTCAGACCAGGCTCGCAGCAAAGAAAGGCTAGGTCAGACTCATAAAAGTAAACTTTAAAGAGGGGGTCGTTTAGCTCTAAGTTTACCATAGGTTATAAAGGTTATATCACGGTTTACAATTCCTTTTTTCCAGAACTCAAAGCCATCCGGAGCAACGGCCACCGAGGAGGAGCTCTCATCAGCTTTGTGGCGACTTCGAGATCAAATTCTCGAGTCAACCGCCGGAATCGCCTCCGATTATCAAGGACCCCTTTGAGATGTCGCCGATTTGTAAGGCTTTCGTACTGTAGTTTGTCATCACTTTTGAAATCCAAGTACTGTAAAAGGCTTTCCAAGCATTACAGTCATCCATTCCCATCCGCCAATCCGGTAGTGCTCTTTTTACTCCATTTCACTCAAATTTTGTTGTTTTCCTTGTGTTCACTATCATTTTTGTGTTAAACGGGTCATTTAAACGAACATTTCCGCCTCTTTTTCACGAAATTTCGCCAAAAATGGGCTACCTTTTGTTTGTCGGTAAAGTTTTTAGGGGTCGATCGCATACAACCCATCAGCAGTCAAATGCAAGTTTGGTTGATTGGGTAAAAGAGTATGGTAGAAAGGCAAAAAATTATGATTCCTATTTGACGATAAACTTTACCAATAAGCAAATCTCAAACAAAAATCCGTTCTTCTCTTTTTTTTTCTTATTCGTGGGATCGTGCATAACGTGTCGCATATCAAATTTTGGTTTTTCTGCGCAATTCGCAATTTTTTGAACTCAAACCTGATCAATTTCTCTATTTTGTTACCGTAATCCCAGTTTTCTTTGTTTTGTCTCATTTTTCGTTTCCCCTACTCATTTTCTTGAGCACATAAATGAAATACGGGCTTTTGTGTCCCTTTATGTGATCTCTATCGGATATTCTTTTTAGAAAAGTTTTGATTTCTTCAATCGCTCACTTTTCTCCCGCCGTTTTGTTCGTTTTCCTGTTTCTATGCTTTGAAGGAATTTTTAATGACTCATTTCAAATGATTTGTTTATGTATAGATTGGTGTCGTGCTCGCCACATTATTATCATTATTATTATTTTCGTGAATTGATCGCATCATTAATTTGTGCCCCGTTGGTTTGTGGGGGTGGATGATCACCCAATTGATAAACGTGGTTTTAAAAAAAAACACATGACAACTGAGTTAAATGCAAAGTACAGTTTTGAACCCGATTTTTAGACAATATGGACCAAAATAAATAAATTACAATCACAATCGTAAAATGAAAAGTGAAACGAAGAAAATTGAGAGGATTTGGGTGAGGAGGGAAATTGTCGAGGCGGGTTTCCCGGTTGGAGTTGGTGGAGTGGATGGAGAAGGCTGAAAAATTGAATGGATCTTTTAGATTGATTGGTTAGGATATCCAAATAGATGCGCTATGCTACCGTACTCCGCCTGAACTAACCTCTTCTCCGTTTCCATTTTCCCCACAATCGAGTGCTTTCTCGTCTTTGAAACGATTCTCCTCACCCAAATAGGAGTCGAAAATCTCGGACAACTTCTCGCCATTGGCTGAAAAGGTTTTTTCTGACAAAAATCCGTTTCTAAAAGGGATCTTTTCATAAAACTATCGTAATCTTGCTGCTTCTTTGCGAGATTACGGTAGTTTTGACACGAATTAGAAACCTTAAATCTTTTGACCTTAACAACGTACTCAAAAACGTGATCCTGTACGTTGAGCATCGGCCGCCGATCAGCGCTCGGTTGTAGTTGATTTGGATCTGTAAATATTAGATTTAGATTTAGATTTAGATATTAGATTAGATTTAGATATTAGATTAGATATTAGATAAAAGTTATTAGATTTAAAAGCTATTCAACTGACCTGGAACTCGAGAAGCGCCCATTTCTCAGCTAATTCTTTTTGCAGCTCGGAAAGTGATCGTTTCGAGAGGGTTTTCCAGTGAAGAGACGCCTGGAAAAGGGAAGTGCACCAGAAAGAGTGTGTTTGGGTAAGCGTAAAGGTCGTTTAAATCATGAAACATGATTATCATGAAACACCTGTTGCATTTCGACAAGCGGCTCGCAAATCGGGCCTTCTTTAAGGTGAATGCGGAGTGATTGATCGGTGACTGTAAAGAGTTAGGATTATAAAGAGATACAAGTCGTCCAGGTTTGTGATAACTGGGCACTAAGGTCAAGCCAAGCCAGAAGCCAGCTATAGCCAGACCAAGCCAGAAGCCAGCTATAGCCAGACCAAACCGGCAGCAAAGCCCTGCCAAGCAAGGCCTGAGCCTAGACCTGACTTCTGGCCTGGCCTGGAAAGATAATTTATTTACGGCTTAGTGATTAGTTAAACTCCAAGCCTGGATGGAGATCAAGTAAGTTTTTTTAAACCAAAACCAACCCCCAAACGGTCCATGCAGCGACAAATCATTCACTGGGATTGAGACGCGTTTATTTAGAATCAATGCAATCGTTTTTAAGCCGATTGGGCACATCCATTGGGTGACTGGAGAGCATTCGGTTTCCTTGAAACATTTGATTTTTTCAAAATCTCAAAATTCAAAATGAATCTCACATTCGCTTGTGTTGGGTTGTAGACGAGTGCCGTCGGGCAAGTCATATTTTGATCGTTCACAATCTCCCATTGCAACACTTCATCCTATGGATTGATGATTATCAAAGAAAACGACTGACTCACTTTGTTGCTGAAATGTTTTTCTTGATCGATTTCCTCTAATTGATACGAAATGATTGTCGGGAAAGAGCCGGAGGGATCGGGTGATTGCTCCTGAAATGAAGCAAGAGCTTTGAGTAGCACAATTGGTACAATGATTCGGTATCATGGCAAGCCAATCTAGCCAATCTAGCTGCAGTAGAGAACTACAATGATAGTAGGCTGTAGTACAAACCTACTGTACCTACTGTACAAACCTACTGTACAAACCTACTGTACAAACCTACTGTAGTAGGCTAATCCAATGCTAGAGACTTAGGTTCTTAGGTTACGATAGTTTGAAAAGCTTAGCAAACGTGTTTTCCCAAAATCGAACCATTTTGACAAAGCCGCGAATCGTCTCATTGAAAATGGCCACTCGATTGATTGGAGGATCGGCTGAGAGAGAGAAATGACCACAGTAAACATTCTAGAAATGAAAAGAGATTCAACAGATTCAAGAGATTCAAGAGATTCAAGGGATTTAAGGGATTCAAAAGATTCTTCTTTCCCTTACCTTTTCCTGAATCGAATCACTGAGCAACAGGGATAAACTTAGCGCCGAATTCGAGCCCGATATAAGCCGATCTTCGACAATTAGACTGAAAAAAACTTTAAATTCAAAGGCAGCTCAAATTTTGGCCAATTTGGGCTCAAATCTTGGCCAATTTAAGCTCAAATCTGTAAACGCATTCTTTCTAGCGTATTCTTGCAAGTTTTGAATATAAAGTTAAGTCAAAAGACGCACACAAAAAGTACAAAAAGTACAAAAAGGTAAACAACCGACGTTGAGTCATTTTCCCGATTTGTGAGCGCTTGATTCAGCTCATTTATCCACGGAAAAGTCTTTTTGGGTCCTGAAAAGTCGATAATAGATAGATAATAGATAATTATCCAAGTAATAGATAATAAATAAACAAGTTTAGCCAATAGAGCCAATCCAGCAAAGTACCGATCGTCAATTCCCCACAAGGTGGCCCACCAGTGACCGTCATGTCCACAGGCCGCTCATGCATTGAAATCTCTCCAATTGAGACTTTCTTGTTGACAACAATCTGTAGAAAATGATGTTAAGAACAATTTTTATAGCTTATATACTATAATTATTCTAATAGAAGCACCCCCGTACAGTCGCGTTGTCTACCGAGACGTCTACGTTTGTCTACCAACAAAATCAGTTTTTTCTCAGCCCTCAGACTTTTCTCACTTATCTTTTTAGTACCAAAAAATACTAGATTAGAAGAGCTATCGTTTGACACCAATACGCATATTGTAGCATAAAGCAGCGTGGAGAATGGCACGTTCAAAGTTAGACTACGCGGCAATACCCCCGTCATCATGGAGGGGGCTTCTATTAGAATAATTATGGCATTCTTAGTTTTTGAAAAGATTTTGAAACCGATTTTGTAACCTTTTTATCTTCTAAATAAATCCTTTTTATCTTTTTATCTTCGTTCGTAGTCAGCTAGCTGTTCGTAGTCAGCTAGCCGTTTACGAATGATTTCGTAAACGGCTGAATATCATAAACGGCACCATATATATTTCAATTTGAATTTCATAAGCGGCAACATATTCCGTTATATAGAGTTTTTTTTAAAAGTTTATCCACTCAACCTCAGTATAGTTGTTAGCCGGGTACTCGAGAAGGACAACGGTTGCGACAACGGGTGCTGAGACGGGGGAATATCTACATAGCTTATAAAGGACTCTCTCTATAACGGAATGAAAGGGACCAAGAAATTTTTCTTTTATATAGCGCACAATTACGCGCACTCAATTCAAATTCACTTAACTTTGTTCAATGGAAATTCAAATTTCCCACCAAATCAGTTAAACAGCTGAATATCTTTAAAAGGAGTCGTATATAACTCGGCCGATTTGTAAAATGCCAATTTTCTGGGGAGTGGGACAAATGCGACCTTTTTTTTGCTGGAAAAGGCCTTAGGCAAGGCCGTAGAGCTTCGCAAATATTTCCTTATAAGGGAATCGTATGCGTAGATTCCGAATTTCGACAAATCAGACCTCGCTGACACGTCAAAATTGATCTTTGGCATCAAAAAATAGCCCTGAATTTCAGCTATTTCAGCGCGCATTGTAGCCAGTAAAATGCCAGTAAAATGCCAGTAAAATGCCAGTAAAATGCCAATTTTTTGCAATAATTTTCGCTAAAAGTACGATAATTTTCCCCAAATGTGCAATTTAAAAAAAAACGCATTACTCGCGAGGAACATACTCTACTGTAGAGTGCCATTTATATATAGCTTACAAGAGAACCTTCCCAAGTTACCCGCGAGTTACAAGGGTAGGTAGATGCCAAAAGAAAGGCCTGAAAATGTACGTTTAGAAACTGTTTTCAAAAACCGCTAATCCGCAAAGCGCACAAAGTTACAGGCATTTGAATTTCGAAAAAATGAAGGCTTTTCTTGAATTTCTGGCACGAATTTCTGAAAATTTTTGCTGGCGGAAAGGCTTTCTGCTGGCTTTCCTTTCGCCATCCCAAAAGCCGCTAATCGGCTGTAACTAGTGGTTATTGTGCCTGCACTCGGAACTCTTTGATCTTGCTTCGAATCCACTAGCAGTCAAACTTTTTGCTTTTTTTTTGCGTTGGCCGGGAGCAAAATTCCATTCCGTTATATTCCGTTATAGGGTTTTTCGCTATATAGAATTCTGTTATAGAGAGAGTCGACTGTAGACGGATTAAACGACTTTCTGCTTAGCCTACAGTAATCGACTATAAACACCTTTCTTTATCACTCACCGTCGGATATTCGCTCGTGCCTGCAAGGCGCCACTGGGAAGTTGCGTGAGATTTGCGCAAACCTGGCAAGAAAATATGAATCCAGCATAGCGGTATTATATTGTTTGATACCTTTGTCCATGTGAGATCGACGATCACCGAGTGCATCTTGCTCAAGTTGAAGAATGGCAACACTCCAGCGAGGCTTAGATCTGAAAGAGGACAACTCCGATGCTGAAGTCGCAATTTGAAAACGATTTGTTCAATGATTTTCTTTAAAAAAGTGATTGAAAATCTTACGGTCAAAGGGAAAATTTGCACAAATTCGGTTTAGTTATTGAAATTTATATGTTGTTGATCTAATTGTTGATCTAATTGTTGATCTAATTGATCTAATTGTTGATCTAATTCTTGATCTAATTCTTGATCCAATTGATCCAGTTCTTGATCCAATTGTTGATCTAATTCTTGATCCAATTGATCTAATTCCTGATCCAATTCTTGATCTAATTGAACTCTACATATTCAACTCACCCGGATCACTTTTCCCTGCAACGAGTGCCGAATCTTGTAGAGTGAAGCAATCGGCGCATCCCTGAATGTATTGGGGACAGCCGCCAGGGTCAGCGAAACGGGGAGATACCTGAGATAACTTTAAGCATTTTTCGAATCTATTCACTCACTTGTATGGTGGCTCTTGTGGCGGCTTCATCAAAGAGATGTCTCAACGATCCACTCACAAATATCACATCGTCTGTGTCCACCAAAACGAGTTGACCTGGGAGATGTTTACGAGTGATTAGAATCGTTCAAGGCCAATTTAGAGTCAAGACTACTGTATCTGGTGTCAGATTTGCCCTTACCGTACTCTTCTTTCGGAACTTACCAACAATTGGATGAGCGAACGTTGAGAAAGCGACTGGTCGAGCGAAATGCGGGCGCATCACGAGACATTTCTGGGGATCGGTGGACGGTGACGGGACGAGAGACTGCAAAAGATCGACAGAAAAATCGTGATGAGCTTACTTTCAAGATCAGCGTGTCTGTGCCAAAGATGGAGATTGATGGGTAAAATTTCGTGTTGGCCAACGAACGATGGAGGGTTTCTGTGGAGACATCCATACAATCGTCTCGTACATGAATTTCTGAGGGATTCGGATGGGTGGATGACCATCGAGTAGCCGAATAGAAATGCTCCTGAAGATAGCATTGTGACAGGAAGCTTTTAGAGCTACCAATTTTTAGAGCTTTTAGAGCCACAACAGCTGTGATACGATAGCTTTAGAGCCTTTTAAAAGTTTAGAATAGTTAAAGAGTTCAGGAACAGCTTGCGGCACAGAAAATGGATTGTCTCTCTCAATTCATTTCCTACAACGTTTCCCTTTTTAGTAAATAGTAGTTTTTATCCAATCCTATTACTACGAGATTCAGAAAACCTGTGTGAATTTGAACTTCTCGCCAGCTTGAAGTGTCCTTGGCTCAACATCCACCAAGCGATTGCATGCAAACGGTTTCCCACCTCGGAAAAGAGCAAAGTTACGGAGAGTTAAATTCGAGCCAGTTGTATCTGAAAGATTATTAAAGAATGAAGATAGATATTAAAGATCAACTAGAATATAATATTAAAGACCAACCCAAAGTGATTGTCGTTCGGCTGTCCACTCCAAGCTCTGTTCCCTCACTGCTTTGCTCGACATTGTTGCTCGCACAGTCCTAAAGAAGATACTTGGCTATGGTTACGCCAAGATTACGGTAGCTTAGCAGGGGTGCGTTTTAGAAAACGAAAAAGTGACCTGAACAAATGCCCAGTCTAACACCTCAGCTCTTGGGTCACTGGCCTCGTAGTCAACTTTGTAGCGTAAATCGGGCATGATTCGCATCTGTTTATGGGAAATTTAAGTTGGATAATGTCTATTGAATCTATCAGATCTATTCGATCTATTGGATTACCCGATCTTTCATCGGAATGATGTGAACATGCCCGTGAATTGGATCCTCGTGAAAGGAGGCTTGCATCAAGGGATACTCAGGGACGACCAGCGTTGCACAGGCTAACACCTAAAAATGGAGTTGGAAAGGAAACCGTGGAACAGTCCAGGCCAAGACCAAGTCAAGACCAAGTCCAGAACCAGCTCAGATCCTGGTCCAAGCCATTTCAGCAGGTCAGGCCAGGCTTCTGTCAGAGCCAGGGGTCTCGTTCATTTCAGTAGTAGGATTAGTCAGCTCAAGTCTTAGACTTGGCTGGTTTTAGCCAGCCAATTCTTAGCTTAGCTTCAAGAATTATAGCAATAACCAACTAATTTTTGATTCATTAGATAAAGATCAAGCTTTAGATAAACACTCCACTTTGTCACCCTTCTCGAGAACGATCGTATGGCCGACGATTTGCCCTTCCTCTAACGTCACATCTTTGATCGGCTGATTGCGGAGGATTTGCGGGCTTTTCTTGCATCTAAAACAGGTAGAGTTGATCAAAAAGGGGTATGTTTACAAGAGCACAAAGTACACCTCACCTTTTGCAATTCTCGGTCAGCACAGCAATGTCATATGGAGCTGACGAGGTGTGGATGCTCCATTTTAGCTCGTCCGTTATCCCTTCACGGATATCGAAATGCAGAGAGTACTGGCCGTCGCTCACGCGTCGCATCTGAAAGATACGGTAGAGTTTGCGTCGACGATTTTATTCTAGATACTCTTTGGCTTAAAGAAGCTTTTAAAGCGCTAAAGAAGCTTTTTAAGAAGCTTTTAAAGCGCCTTGTAAGAGTTTTTTTGTTTACAAGCCTTGTTTCTCCCTAATAAGACTTGTAAACAAAAAAAATTGCTTTTTTAACTGCTAAATAAGACTTGTTTAGTTGCCTTGTAAGAGTTTTCAAATTTGATTCTGAGTTAGAAGCCTATGTGCGGTTTAAAGGAACTGTCGCGAAAGCGGCGCTTTCTAAAGCCTGGATACGCTACCGTACCCCACATAAAAATCGCCCTTTTGCCATTCTTTTCATTTTTCGGCATTCGATGAATGTTATCATGTAATGAATTTCGTGAATTTCCTTCGACTTTTATGCCTTTTATGGCTGCTTTTGCGGCTTTTATGGCTTTTTTTCTTCCCCCCTTTGTAAAATCTATTATGTTCTTATAGCGCGTTTTTAAAGTACTCCATCTCCTCTCGTTCCTTCCCTTCGTTTTATATTCTTTTGCTCATGTTTCCTGTTTAAATTTCTAAAATGGTTTTGTTTCGTTTCTCTCGGCTCCTTTCTACTTCATTGTCTTCAAATCTTTTTGTACCCGTATAACCTGGGACACCAATAACAAATAAAAAAGCAAATTGATCAACGGCTTGTATTTTTTTTTGACACAAAAATGATCGCCAAAGTACAGGTGATTTTTGCTCAATTTGATCAATTTGCTTTTCCATTTCCTATTTCCTATTTCCTTTCACGTAAATCTTAAGGGTTTTTTTGATTAACAGTCAAAAGATCGAGTCTGAGCCTCTAAATGGAACATTTTCTTGAGCAAAAAGAGAGTGATGGGTGAAAATCCCATCAAGGAAAGAGTGGGGGAAAAGTTTCGGGACAAACCCATTTCTTTCTCCGAAAGGGAAATTTTCAAAGAGAAATTCTTAAGGAAAAATTCTTCAGCGATTTTTTTAGAGAAACAACAGTTTTTTTGGGTGATGAGTAATCGATTCGAATTGGAAAAAGCCCTCTAAATGGAAAGCCTTCTAAATGCTGGAAAACCACTGTACTCCAACAAAAAAATTGGAGTATGGTAGTTCTGATGAACTCACCTCCAGAAATCCCTTCAACTCCTCGCCATAGAGGAGACTTTTGAATGGGGAATCGGCTGTGGTGAAAAGAAATAATGAGAGTAAAGAGAAAAGTATTCGCATCATAGTGGAATTGTGGAAAATTACGATAGTTTATCTAAAATGGATGCTTTTTTGAAAGTAAATTAATCAAAATCGTTAGATCAATATGTATAATAACTGTTTATAGCTAACGCAAGCGGAAAATAGAGAAACGATGAGAGAAAAGTTGATCATTTTAACAAGTACAAGAGGAAATCGATGTGTTAGGAGAATGAAAGATAAATGGAAAAATGAAGAAATGAATGAATAGAGAGAATGGACAAAGTCGATGATCAAAGGCGGAGGGTTCACTCCTTCTCTCCTCTAGTCTCACCCCCTCCGCTTTGTGACCTTGCTGGGTGTGGTTTTAGAAAATAAACATGGTAAAGAAGAATTATAAGCTTGAAGAAGATATTTGACACTTATGAATACTAAATATTTAATGCTAACTTAGTGAATAAGTCTTTTCGTTTCTTTTCATACTTCCGATTAGAGAATGACCTTCAGAGAGAAAAAAAATGTGTTTTTCGAGATTTTCCGAGAACCTTTTATCTTATTTTTTAAATGTTAATTTTTGCGCGACGTTGCATTCCAATTGACGTCGCCGCCATTTGGAGTAGTCGATGGGAGCGCCGCGTCGTCGTTTCTTTTTTCTTTTCAAATCATTTTCTTTTTGTCAGATTAGTTGAAAGTATTGTTTTAGGCGATAAATTTTGTGTTGAAATGAGAAAGCAATCTATTTCCATTTGGGTGGAAGGCAAACCGATCCACAGCCGGCAATCCAGTGATTTGGGCGAACGCCACGGCGAAGCTTTCCTCCGTAGATCTATTTCCGAGTGGAAAATTCGGAATTTTTCGTAGCCAGATCACAATGAAGGCCAAAACTAACTGTACTATGGTTTGGGGAGTTGAAGGGAAACAACGAAAACAAGGCTCATCTTCTGGACCGTTACAAAACTGGGGGGCGTGCCGGGGTTTGAACCCGAGATTTCCTGTAATTAGCAAATGCACAATGTGCCGGGGTTTGAACTACGATTTGTTTTATTAGAAAGGTCAATTATTTTTCTGCAAAATAACATTAAAACTGGTATCTCATCTGGATTTTTTGGGAGCGTGAAGTCGGGTAGTCAAAAATTCAAACTCAATGTTCCGATTTAGGCAATTTTGGCTAAGGAAACCTATCTTGGTGTCAATAGGTAAAAGATAGAGCACAAAAAGTTAGGTGTATAGTTAAATTTTCAGAGAAATTCAGTCAGCCAATCTCTTCGTAGAGGTTTTTAAAGATTTTTACGAAAAACCTGTGTTTTCTCTCTCGAATTTGCTTGTAAGTGAACCAAAATTGACTTAAAAAGATGAAATTGAGCAATAAACACTTTTTTTATTGAGAGTAAACCATAGATTAATTGGTGAATATTTGTTATTTTTGAACGAAAGTATGAAAAGGAACGAAAAGGCTTATTTACCAACTTAATATAAGCCAAGGCATGGAAAAAAATGACTGAAGATGCCTTTAACCTGCGTAACCTAGCACTAGCCTTGTTGTTCTTGTTCTAATTTAACCTGCTTTAACTCACTATTTCTTTGGTCAGTCTGGGATTTGAATTATCAATTTAATTAGCAGCTTTCGACCCCAGTGCAAGTCAGCAAGTCAGTAAAATAAAGAAAGCTTTTTTTTAGTAAAGAAAACTTTTGTATGAATAGCCATCTAGAGGTCGATCGGGTGTAAATGTGGTGTCATTATGAGAAGTGCTGTGGTGGGGGAAAAGAGCTGAAGAAGAGATTCTTTTTCATTCTTCTTTCAACCGTGCCACCCATACTTGGCAAGGTCACAAAAGAGAGGCGAGGGTACAAGAGACTGAGGCTGAGACTGAGACTGAGACTGAGACTGAACGGATCAGTAATATGACCGCAAATTATGGCAACAAATTTTTTCGAAAAGTTCCTGGCAAACGCTTGACTTATTGCCAAAGTGTCAATTGTTATGTAGAAAAATAAAGCCCTTCAGCTTGACATCTTTTATCTATGGTGCAAAAGAAACTGCCGATGGGTATCAGCTCTCATTTATCAGAAACGAGCGATGTTAGCGGCATTATTTTTTTTGTGTTTTGCTCGCATCTTTGTTTGCTATTTATTTCGACATTTGAATTTTTTGGTTGTTGTTTATTTTATTTTAAAATGCTTAAATTTTTTATTTAGATCATGGTCGAGCAAAAGTTTGTGTTAGAACAGCATTACTGTTTAACTTCAAAATTGGAAAGCCTGCTGCCGAATCGCATCGTTCTCTCTGTGCTGCTTTCGGAGATGGCAGTTTGTCTCTCAGGCAGTGTCAAACTTGGTTTCAACGATTCCGAGAGGGAGACGAGACTTTGGAAGATTACGAGCACGATTCGAGGCCAGAAGTCGTGAACGAAGCCAAGCTGAGGGATTATTCAGGCCGATCCATACCAATCTGCTCGAGATCTTGTGAAAATATTCCATTGTGATCATGTCACCATCGAACACCATCTTTTTTTGAATTTACCGTCAAATCGGCAGTTTCTTTTGCACCACCCTAATATAAAGAGCTTCCCGATTCGAATTATACAACTCATTTTACAAAAATCTAAATCAGAGTCATGGCTAGAAAAAGTTTAGGACTAGATGAAGGCTGGTAAACAACACAAACTAATTATGTTTTAAAAAGCAAACTGTAGCTCTGAGAAAAACCGCACAAAGTCAATGATTTCGCTATTTTATTATGGGTGTGGCTCTTCTCTTGTGGTAATTCTTGTAAATGAATTCTTTCTCCAAAAAAATTTTAGTGCTTTCAAGTTTATCAACCCGATAAAAATAACGATTTATCAACAAAAACAAAAAATTAAAACTCAGCGGCCACTTGTTTCGATTTGACATCGGCGGCGATTCGATCCAAATCTTTGCGACCCTGAAAGACGATTTTGATCGATTAATAATTCATCAAACATTTGGATCTGATTAAACTCGTAAAAGGTAAGATATTATGATAGTTTAGAGAGAATTAACATATTTCAGAGGACGCATTATTTAACGAATTTGCGACCAAGAATCTTTTCCACTTCAGAAACGTTTTCGGGGTTTAATTAAGATGAAACTTTGCATCCCAGGGTTTTGTGAGAAAAAAATCCGAATCTGATACTAGCTTTGACTCTTTTGAAAAGCTGACTTCAGATTTGGATTCCCTATCCGCGAAAACCTCAGTTACAAAGAACTAAGAACCTCAGTTACAAAGAACCACGATCGGTACAAGATTACAGCACAAGTTTTTAACAAAAGTAGCGTTACGGTACTGGTAAATTCTACTGGGGGAATTACGGTATTTCCCTAACTTTAGCATACAGGGCAGTAAATGTGGATCTCGTAAATCATATTGTTCTTTTACTTTAAATGTCGAACCTGCTTTGAAAGAATGCGTCCCTTTCCCTCGGCGGCTTTCTCAACCCATTTGAGTTGTTCGAGAGTTTGGAGAGCTCGTCGGCAAACCGATCCACAGCCGGCAATCCAGTGATTTGGGCGAACGCCACGGCGAAGCTTTCCTCCGTAGATCTTTCGGAGTCCGCCGACACCTAGAATTGCAGGGAATATCGTATTTTTCCTAATAGTATGAGATGCCCAGAGGAGCGTCGCGTTGTCGTTGTTTTTTTCGCACTAAATCATTTTTTTCCCGTGAACCTCTGGACGAATTTTAAACGCGAATTTTTTCGGGTTTTTTTCCAAAAAATAGAGAAATGAGGCAGCGATTTTTTAGAAAAAACCGGAACTAAATTGGTCCAGAAGTTCCAGGAAAAATGATTTAGTGTGGAAAAAACGACTACGCAACGCTCCTCCGGGCATGTCATACTATTAGGAAAAATACGGTATGTTCTTGATTGTAAAAATGATATAGTAGTTTAATAAATTGAGACAATTCTTCAATTAGTTGGAACTCGGATGTTTGAAAAGTATACTTTACATTAAAAAGTCGGTTAGTTAAACTTATTAAAAGTCACTTAAAAGTCCTTGGGTTGATTATACTGTAGTTAGGTTTAGATCAAGTAAAAAAAGATAATTGAGAGTGATATTATAGTTATTAGACTTAAGAAAGTTGTGAGAAGCTATGTGGGTGGAACCATTTTGATATTAAAATAAACTACCGTATTTTCTCTAATAGTAGTGCAAGCCGGCGAGCCGAGTTGGTGGCTATTTTAGGGTTTCCAAGCTTTTGCAGAAGCTCAACACTCAAATCCCCCACTAGATCTCATCGTCAGCTACATTTTCCGACCCCACATCGATAGGTTCTGATAAGCGGTTCTCGAGATTTCGAGGAATTTAGGCAACGCTCTAGGTGCACTACTATTAGAGAAAATACGGTAATCGAAAGCTCTGCACGATCAACTTTAGACCAATTTTATCAATGCAAATAGTACGTTGGCTAACGGGTTGCCTGAAAATGAAAAAGAAAAAATAATTTTGCATACCTGTTGATCGTCCATAGAGTCGTCGAGCAATGGCGGCGCATCTGATGAAATACCAATCGGGGTCGATTGGCGCCAATTCCTTAGACTGTCCAAGTTTCACGAGATCCGCATTCTCGGGCACCTTCACTTTGCCGGATTTCTTCAAGAAATGGGCAATGTGTTTGACGATTTCGGCACTGTCTACGTCTTTTGCGCTGGTGGCAACCATATTACCTGGAAGATGGGGGTTTTGAGAGCTTTTTTTAGGGTTTAAGTTTAAAAGATGAGATTTATGCAATGGAAAGGGATCAAGAATGGCTCGATTATCGTATATTTATAAGACCTATAATAGAATTTCATGGGAGTTGGTTTGGAAACGTTTTTTGAAAGAAAAAAAAGCGAGAATGGTATGCAAATTTGGTTTCAAATTGTCGTTATTGTAAGGAGTTTAGATAATTTGTCTACAAATCGTGATAACTTTTAGTGCAAATGAAAATTTTCAATGGTAAAGCTTAGAAAGTTCAATTCAAGGTACAATATCTTGGCAAAAGTAAAAAGCAAATGGCAAAAAGGCAAAATGGCATAATGGCATAATGGCAAAAAGGCAAAAATGACAAAAAGTACAATATCTTTGCTTTACATGCAAATTTCGAGGCATTATTCAACATTTACAATTCGACTTTGAAAAAACCAAAGTTTTCAGCTAAGATGAGAGCAACAGAAAACAAAAAAATACAGAAACACCAATTTTAGCGGAATTTCAAAAGATGCAAGGGAGAAATTGCCATTTTTTTGAATCAAATATTCAAATTTTTCAGCATTACGACGATTTAGACAATTTAAAGTTGTGAAATCTCGAAATATTAAGATATAATTAGCTATAAAAACAAGAAAAACTTGAGTAACGTTGGAAATTTTCGTTAAAACGAATTTAGGATCGAGAGAAAAAGCGCAAGATGATACAGTAGTTTCGCATTTTCCGTCAGGATTTCAAATTCTGAAAGCGTCGCGTTCGCGTTGAGCGGTTTGGGGGAAAAGGGGGGAGTGATTTGAAATGGGCTCAAAAAATAGATCAGTTGTGTTTGTCTGTTAAAAGTTTTACCGGTTTTCATCAATTTTTGAATATTTTCTTGCCTATCCAAGAATTAGAGCCAAAAAAAATGAACTGAATAACTTTTGATTTATTTCTCCGCACTCATTTATGCTCCTCATTTCATTTTCGTTTGCTTTTCGTGGTTCGCGTTTTTCTTGCGCTTGCGTTTGCTTTTGAAAATTCCCCCCCCCCCATTTTTGCGTAATGTTGTGTAAAAGTTGAGAAATTTGAAGAATTTGAGCAAAACTTTAAGCTTTATTGCCTAGAGTCGTTTCATTTCATTATAGAATGGTCAATTTAAAGCTAATCTTTAAAGTTGTCGGTTTAGAAGCGTATATTTTTTCGCAGAATGCTTAAATTTAGCCAACTTTTGAATAGAAGCTATTCAAATTCAATCCAAACTATTAAGTTTTTTGTTTAGGAACGTTCCCCTTTACGTAAAAAGTTTAAATTAGGTCAGCCGGTGCTATAGTAGTTGTTTGCTGTTTGTAAACACTGGTTTTTGCAAACTTGTCACTAGCTTTAAAAACTTTTTGGGGTAATTAATTGCACTGAATTTATAGAAAGCATTTATAAACCATTCTGAACAACTTTTATGCCGGTTTGAGCAACAATTCCGGGCCTTCAAGAGTGGCTATATTTCCATTGGGTTTAGAGGTGCGGGACCGAGTTAAGAGGCTTAACACCTCAGTAGCTGCTTGGAATAGCTAGAAAATCGTTAGTAAAGCTTAAATAAATACCAAGTTAAGAATCTACGTCATTTAAAACCCTAGAAGCGAAAATTAGTGGCTCAATAGAGATGAATGTACACTACTTCCCAGCTACTATAGCACCGGCCAGCCTTTGAACTTTTCTCCTGTTCTTTTCCCTATAATGCGATCACTTTTAAAGCATAGATTCTTTGCGTGTATTTGTTCTTTTTAAACTTTTAGTAAATTTTCATTTCAGAGCTCGCATAACGGACTTGTAGAAAACGTGCAAATTTTATGCTGCAACGTTGTGATGACTGAAAACGGTGAGCTTTTCTGATTCATTATCGGTTTATGGTTTACTTTTAGACGCTGAAATTATGGATAACACCAATGGAAACCAGGAAGACGAGTGGGTTTAACGGTTTTGAGCGAAATATTTTGTGTTTTTAGATTCAGCGCACTCACTCCTCCCGTCATGATTCACAAGAGCCTATTTGGTAACAGCGCGTCGCGGCTTCGGGTAAACTTTCAAAAGTTATATGATCAAATGTTTGTTTTAGGAAGCACAACGCGATGAAATGGCCGAGAAGACGAAAGAGCTGAATGACTCGAAGAACAGCGGTTCTCTGGGAGAACAAGCGGCCGATGAGAGCTCAAGTTTCGACAAAGAAGGATCGCCTGCGCCCGAAGATGAGCCGATGCCTCAACAGAATGATCACTCGATGGTAGATTTGTTTTCTCTTTTCTCTTAATAGCATTTCTTTTGGGTGGATAACGGCTCGTTGGCTGAAGACGCAAATGTGGAAAGCAAGGAGGAGAGCGCGTCGGCGATCGAGAAAGATGAGGAATCAAATGCAGCCGAAGAGATCGATGATGGAGAGGAAAGCGACGATGAGGCTGAAGAAACATCGACTGCTGAGGAGCCAAAATCACTCGCTGATGAATTAGGCGAGCTTCAGAACGACAAAGGTAATATTCTTTAAGCATTAAGATAGTGTTGAATGAAATACACTGTGGTGCAAAAGTCTTGTCCCACTTACTTTTCTGAAACATTTTGTCAAAATTCTAAAAATTTTCGAAAGCAACTTTTTAAGTAAAGGGGGTTTTTCTGAACCCTAAGTTGTAAGCTTCCATATAAAAAGATTAGATTAGATAAAAAATTTATTTTCTAAAAGAAAATAACAAATAAAGTTTAAAACCAAAAAATATACGGTGCAAGAATCTTGTCCCACCATTAAAAAAGGAAAGCTAGATTAATATTTGGTCGGTCCTCCTTGAGCCAAAATCACTGCTTGAATATGTTGAGGCATTGAATCGACCAAACCACGTAGAATTCCCGAAGAAATTTCTCGCCAAACGTTTCTGATAAAGAACCAAAGCTCGAGCTTTGTGTTGAATATCTTGCCCCTGAGTTTAGTCTTTAAATGGGCAAAGCAGCAGAAACGCCGGGTAGGCGAGCTCTTCCTTCATTTGCAAGTCGGACAACTCGGCCCATCATTAGCTGGCTTTGTGGCATGGAGCGTTGTCTTGATATAAGGCCCGCCCTTGTGGCATGTTCGTGTTTGCAAATGGAAGTAAGTTGTTCTCTATGATTGACTTGTACCTTTGAGCATCGAGATTTCCATTGATAAACACGAGCGGTCCCGATACACTTCGATTCATCGAGCCTAAAAAAGGCAAATCGTAAGTCGAAAATAGTCGTAAGCCGTCCTTTTATTGCATTTGAAGAGCATCGCAATAGACGTTGATGAATATCCATGTTTCTTTGCTTGCACGATCTTTTGCTTATCAGAAGTTGATAAATATTTGCGAGTCGACATCTAAAAATAAAAATATAATACAAAAATTTCATGAGAACAAACAAAGGCAAAGAGAAAATACAAATTTTCTTAATGAGACAAGACTTTTGCACCACCTTTTTTTCTCAAGTTTTATGAAAAAAAAGATTTTAAAAAACAACAAAATATTGGAGTACGGGCATTTACATAGTAAAAGATGAAGGGATAAGCTACTAAAAAACCCATTACTTAAAAAGTTGTTTTCGAAAAATTTTAGAATTTTGACAAAATGTTTCAGAAAAGTAAGTGGGACAAGACTTTTGCACCACAGCTTTACTTATTTACTTATTGCTTTTTAGTGGCCGAAGAAGATGATGTCGAAAAGGAGTCGACCGGCGAACAAGTCGATGAAAGCGACGATTCGGCACTCGTTGAAGAAAAAGAACTGGTCAATGAGGACGAAACGAAGGCGGACTCTCCCAAACCTGGTAAGTTTTTGTTTATCTTTTTAAAATGCTCTTTTTTAGTTATAGATGATGATGATGATGATGATGAGGAGGAGGAGGAGGAGGACAAAATGGAGGAGCAAGGCGAGGAACAGAAAGTTGCCATCAAGGAGACGCCAAAGACGCCAAAGGTCGAGGCTGCTAGCTCGGCGCGTTCTAGCGCCCGTCGAAGTACTCGTCAGAAGGGTATTATAGTGTTTGCAAACATTTTGATTTTGTTTTTTAGATGACTCTAAGCCGGTTGAAGAGACGACTCCTTTGACTTCTACCAAGCGTGCTTCCAGAGGACGTGGTGCTGCAGCTGCTGAGACACCAAAGGTAAGCTCTTTTAAGAATTGCGTTATGTCAATTTGTGATTTAGACGACAGAGAAAGCAACACCTGTGCCAAAAACAGCTCGCAGATCGGCCAAGAAAGAGAAGGACGAGACGGAGACTGAAGTGGAAGAAGCCAAGATTGAGCCACTGACGGAAACGCCTAAGCGAGGAAAGAAAGCCGAACCCACGCCTAAAAAAGTAATACATTGTAATGGATGCCCACGTAAATTTGGATTTAGGAAAAGCAGGAAGAAGCAGAGGAAACTCCTTCACGGACTCTTCGCAAACGTGCAAGCACGCTTCCAGAGAAAGCAGAGACACCACGCAATACGCCAAGAGGAAAGAAAGCTAGGTAGAGTTTTTTGTCGAGGTACGGAATCAATCTTCTCCTTTAGCCGAACTCCTGCAACCGCTAAAACGGAGAAAGAGGAACCGGGGGAAGAAGCCGAAGAGAAGATTGCGGAGCCGAAGTCACAACAAAGAACGCCAAGGAGTCGGAAAAGCGGTTAGCTTTGTAAAATAAACGGTTGATGAGTCTCCATTTTAGTTGCGACTACAAGCAAGACCGAGTCGGCAAAGAAAGACAAGGAACAGGATCCATTTGACTTCGATGAGATGGCGGACAAGCATCCTGAGCCTCTGAAGAATATTCAGGTAAATTTTGAGTTTTGATAAATTGGGAAATGTAAACAATTTGTTATAGGTTGAAGTGCAAAACTTCGGCGCGGTGCGCTTCTCAAAGGTTGGATCCGGAAAATACTCGAATACGGAGAAAGCGGCTGAGGGACGCGTGGGAATTTCGACTCCAACTCCCGAGAAGAGCTCGACAACTCGCGTCAGCCTGATGGATCTCTCGCGCAAAGAAGCTGAATTGGCCACTCAAGCAACGCCTCGTTCTGCACCATCGCGACGCAAGAAGGTGGATGACGAAGAAGAAATGGATTACGAGATTTCGACTCAAAAAGTTTGTATTTAAACAACATGTTCCGTAACTTGTTCTTTTAGGCTGCCCTCAGCAAGTCAGCTCCGGCGCCAAAGGGTCGAAAGCGACGCTCTTCTCCAGCCACTGTTACACCAAAGAAGCCGAAGGTCGAAGTCCCAATTCTTTCAAAAGCTGAACAAGTTTGTTTTATATTTACGAAGTTTTCTAGTTTTTCTTAGATTGCCGTTGATTGGCGAAACGATGATCTCGATCGCGGAGTGTTGCCTGGGGCTCGTGTCTACGCTCTCTACGACAAAGTCTTCTATCCTGCTATCGTTATCAGGTTTGCTTTTAAAGCTTTAATTTGTAAAGTAACTTGTTTAGCAGTGTCAGTGGTTTTGGCCGCATTCAAGTGCAATTCGTCCAAGATCAACTCACCAAGGAACTTCCCGAATCGGCTGTGATTCCAGTTGTACAATTGTCTAACGAGCGATTGGTATAATTTAGTGTTGTTTTTGATTTATGAATATCTTTAGGCTGTCGTGCAAACAGAGAAAGCCGACGTGAGAGTGGTGGTTGTTGATCCACCTACAAAGGAGACTCTGTTTGAGTGCGTCTTCCATCTTCGCTCAATTGATGATGGTCCAAATGAAGCACCAAAGGATTACCAGTTCGTCACTTTCTTGTTAAGTTCCTATTATTTATTTAGCATGTCCTGGGATAAGCTGATCCTTGATCATGATGACTGGACGGATTACATCAAACTTAAGGATACGCAGGCCACTGAAGTGAAAACTGGTTGGTGCTTTGTAAAATTTTATACAATGAGCTGTTTAGCTAACATCGAGGACGGTAAGACTAAGCTTACTCGCAGTGCTCGACACAACTCAGCTTCAACGACTCCTGTTGTTGCAAAGTCAAAGGTAAGGATTTTGTCCAATTTTATTTCTAGTAAAATTTTTAGGCACCAGCAAAGGCCAAAACGCCAAAAACAGAAGCAACTCCCAAAGTTGAGACGTCAACAAAGCCAGCCAAGGGTTGGTCGTGTTTTAACGATTATCAAAATTGTATATCTTTAGAAGCGGTCAAGGAGAAAACCGGCAACTCCAAGTTCTTCAGCGGCTATGCCTTCTTGTTGACGTCAGCAAATCGCCCAGCACCAGACAATCAAATTCCATTCAAGTAACAAATGAAAGGAATATGGTTAACAAGGAATTATTTTAGGAAGAACGAGTTGAAGCAACGCATACAACAGCGAGGAGGGAAAATCATTGAGTCAGTCACGGTAAGGAGTTTAGTCTTGCTTGTGTAAAAAATGTTGATTTTAGGAAACCACTGAGGCCATGCCAATCCTCATTTCTGATACCTACTACCGCACGATGAAATACTTGGCTGCGCTTGCATCGGATGTCCCCTGTGTTTCGCACGAGTGGGTGCATGAATGCGTCAAGCAGGTTTGTCTTGAATCCAAAGTAGTTTTTGGATAAAACAAGATTTATTTGTTCCTCGAGCTTTAGGAAACCTTTTTGGACTTCGGCGACTACCATCTCCAAGCCGGTGCTTCAATCGTCGATGAAAAGATCCATGCGTGCAAGAAGCTCAAAGGCCAGCTGTTGAAAGGAAAACGAGTTTGCATTTACTCTTTACAGGTTGTTTACTAGGTTCTTTAGTATTCTTATTTTGTATTAGGAAAAGGCTGGACCAAACCTTACGTTCTCGGAGATTTGGCAGCCGATCGTCGTGTCATTGGGTGCCGAAGTGGTTAAGTACAGTGATGCCGGTATGTGTTCACCAATTAGCGCAGAAATTTTTAAATTTTAGACGGAAATCTCGACTATTTCATCACGGATCCTTCCTGCCATGTGGACACTGCTAAAGAAGCAATGGATCAAGGAGCACTGGTGCTCTCCTCTGAATGGCTCATTCAGGCAATATTAAGCAAAATATCAATGTTCAATGTGCAATTTTAGACAATCATCATGGGCGAACCTCAACATCCAGATGCTCATGCACGATTCGCATACAACTATTCGGGCAATCAATGAAGCGGCTCTACTTCCATGCAACTGTTTTTCTATGCAACACCACTGATTTTTGTTTCTTTTCATTTGTTTTGCCGTTCCATATATTGGTTAAAGACTCGCCGAAGGCGATAGTCTTTGTATTCTTTTCTTTAACGATTTTTGTTTAGCGAAAAGCTATTTGATCTCCCTTCACCCCGTGAGGCAACTTGAATAAATATTTATTTTGGGGAACATTTTTAAAAGATGTCGCATTGCAAAGAGGTGTAAACGACTAATTTGGAAGTTATAAATCTTCTGGTTCTTCACCCTTGAGGAAAAATTGCTGAATGTTCTGAATCGTGTTTGCTAGGTGCTGATTGCGTGTTGATTGCTTGCACAATCGATCGACTACCGATCACCTTCAAATGGCTCGTCTAGTTACTCCCAATTCAATTATTCCCCATCGAGGCCAAGGCAAATCAATTGAACGCTACAGAAACAGTCTGTCTGTTGTAAATGTTTTTCGAAATGGTTCATTAATTCTCATTAACACAAAATCTCAAAATGGCATTTCCCTTTAACGAATTGTGCTCAGAATTGAAGCTATCAATTCTTGATACGATGAAAGATATCGATGGTCCGATTCAGCTTCTTTCTGTCAATTGCCAGCTTTGCCATCACATTCTCTTTTATGGACCCTTACCCAGAAAAAGTAGAGAGCATACGCTATCGATGATTCGAAAGTGATCAATAGATTTGGCACACCGATTTGGAGATCTCGATCCCCGGACTCTTTTTGCGTTATTCATTGAACGAACATGAAGTATTTTGGCTGCGTTTCTCAACATCAATCTCATCCCAGTCACAAACAGACGAAAACTCGTTTCCACTCAAACAAGCCTATTCTCGACTTTTTCATCGTATCCGTTGCGGAGAAATATCTTTTGATAAAACGTGTAAGGCGTTCAGGTGAGAAAGTAAAACAGTTATTGTAAAGTTCGATATACTTGCAATATCCTGAAGCGCATAAAATACGAGATAATAGCCTGTTCTTCTCAGGGTTCGTTTTCTAAAACGTGTTTCCTTAATATCTAAATCCTGCATCTAATTTTTATTCAATCTAGCTACTTTTGCATCTTTCAATATCGTTATTGTTAGTAATTCTTTAGTGAATCATAAAAAGTAGATAATGTAGACTGATCGTGAATGAAAAGTAGTCCACGTTACTTAGTAAATCTTCGATTTTCCAAGAAAAACAGGAAATGTTTTTCGTTGACTATGGTATCATGCCGCTCTTTGTCTTTGAGAATTATCTCCATCTTTCTTTGGAAATCAAGGAATTTTTGGAGAAGTTGTTGCCACTTTCATTGAATACGAGATGATGAATATTCTTTAGTTTGCTTGAATTTTTCTTTTTAGACAAAGGTTTCTAAAAAGACTCGAGCTTTAACAAAAGAGCACAAGGTGCTACCTTATGCTCTTGATGACGTGGGAAAGGGAAAGAAAGGCGGTAGTGCCAGCGATAGTTCGTTATAATCTTTGGGTTTCTTTTAATTTGACGTTATTTAGCCTTTGAAGTGGATATCGACGAGGAACGTTTTATGCTGGAGCGAGGAGGAGCTGAAGAGGAGTAAGAGCAAGAGAGTGAAGAGAGCAACGACAAGCAGGAGGCCGCTGGAGGCAATAATGCAGGTTAGCTTGGTTTTACTTGGCTTAGAGTGGCTTAGTGTAGTTTGATAGACTCATAGAAGGATATGGTTTAACAAAACAGAAAAACAATAGAAAATTTTACTTATTGTTCATTTGTGAACCTTTGATTTGGGTAAATTGACCAATGTTGGACTTTAGAAAATATCCTAAGCAATTTATCTTCATTTTCCAATTTTAGCCGGAATATTTGAATGCATTCTTCACTCGCTGTTGCCCGCATTTTTTTGATTACAGGTTTACTGCTGCCAGCCCTCTAAAGTTAAAAGTCATTTCTTAACAGTTATCCGATTGAGCTCGGTACTTTTTCTTGTTACCTACTGTGACGTCGCCTTCATTATTAGTATTAGAAAGACTAGAAAGATGTTTTTTTGTTTACGATGTGTTATAAATAGCTAGATTTATTCAAATAAATGTTGACCGTTTTATGCAATGAATTTGTAATAACAGATAAAAAAATTTCTCGAAAAAAAGACTGCATCACGGTGAAACCGGAGACAACTGAATTCAGAAGTGAAAAAAATTTGAGATCAGAACGGAGAAGAGTGAAAGGCGAGACTAAAAGGCCAATAGGAACGTAGGAGCGAAATATCACAAAAAGAATCATTACATTTAGTAAATTAGCGCTTTCCAATACAGCCGGGGACTATGGTTCATCAAGGCCGACAATACAACCATAAGGGCCACCATAAGCCTCCCCCTTCTTCTCAAGAGAAGCTTTGACAGAAGCACATTTCTCCTTTAAGAATTCACACTAGAAATTTTAAATTTAATTTCAATAATTAATTTTCTAAATATTACCACGATCGATACTCTAATGTCAGTTGCCGGAGAAATATAATTCGTGGGATTGTAGATTGCCTCTTCTGAAATTGCGTCTGAGTGGGTCGTCTCTGGCACGGTGATAACACCACAAATGATACCAATAAGCCCCTTGGCGCTCCAGCATGCTCCCCCTAAAATTTTTCATACAGAAATAAGCATTTTTGAACCTTTTTCTTTTGGGTTATACGACCAAAATATTTACCTGAATCTCCTCTCGAACCCGGTACAGTTCCCAAAATTAATGGACCCATCAATTTGCCACTGCGGTAGAAATCGCGGTCAACTGACTGAACGATTCCGGTTGAGTAGACTAATTGCTGTGTTCCAGTGTTCATGTCGCCAAATCCTGCCAGGAGGAAGCTCTCAGATTTCTCAGCTGGAACCAATCGCGGCGATTTCTAAAAAAATACTCGTTAAATAGGCAGTTTCGCAAATTTTACCGGGCCAATAGCCTTTTCGCTTCGGAGTACAATGAAGCCCAAGCGCTCTTCAATTTTCACGACGGTGACTTCGTACCCTTCATTACCGACGCCTTCATTAGTTTCACTCGTGGCAGGAAAGATTCGAAGAGCACTTCCGATTTGAAGTTGAAGGTGTCCCCCGTGACGTGTGACGAAATAGCGTGGATGGATGCACACCACCGTCGATTTTCCGCTCAGTAGATCGGAAGCATAGAACATCCATTTGCTTATGGTTTCGGGCATTGGAAGTGCCGTTGAAGAAACTAAAATTGATAGAGTTTATTAGGTGCAAGAGATCTCATCACGAAATAAATGTGTTAATCTAGTCCAAAATGGTCATACTCCCAATGATTTGTATAGGCTTAGAATTGTCTTTTTACCTTTGGGATAAGGCGATTCATGGCGAGCTTCAGCTGAGGACCCGGGAGATCTCACGATCGCCGTCGACGGTCGAAACCGACGTTCTCCTTCCCATTCAAGCTTATAAGTTTGACCCTTCCAATTGTCGCCGAGTTCATAAATAAAATCGTCACCTTCGGGACGGACCCTAAATTAATGCAATTATTCATTAATCAAACCATCAAGTCACACAATGTTTAAAACTCACCTCAGAAACAAGTCATCTTTCCAAAGTGAAACTGGCAATTCTTTATCAAGCTGAAATGCACGTCGCAAAGTGTATTCGTTGACTTGACCACAGCGAGCTTGAACTTTGATGACTTTCTTATCTTTTCCATGCACGATGATATACTAAAATAAGATTATGAAAACCGATTAGGATAGAAAAACGTACGTTTTGTTCCATTAACAAATCTCGCTAGAGCAACGACAGTCTTGCTGACGGCGGTAGAGGTTCCACCGGTAAGAAGGTCGAATTTTTTGGCGTCGAACAATGAGTGAAGCTTGACTGTTACAAATCGTTGAAGGCGAAGTCTAAGATAAAATAAATTAGCAGAAGTCTCTGGGGGTAAAAGATCTAGAAACAAAATTAAGGAAAGAACCGGTCGGAGAAAATGAAAAAGTGCCATTTGGTCTCAAGGAAAAATGAATGGCACAAAACACCTATCGATTTGCCTGGTCAAGGAGTTGTTTGTATAAAATTAGAATTGCTATGTATAACACATCGTAGACAAAAACACATCAAGATCTTTCTAATAGCCAAATAATGAAGGCGACATTCAAATATTGGATATATTGAAATATTCAAATTGGAAAATGAAGATAAATTGCTTAGGATATTTTCTGAAGTACAACATTGATCAATTTACCCAAATCAAAGGTTCATAAAAGAACAATAAGTAAAATTTTCTATCGTTTTTCTGTTCTGTTAATCCATATCCTCCAGTCTTCGACTTCGACTTTTGTATCTTTTCCATTTCCTTGCACAAAGACAAACTAAAATGAGATTATGATGGCCGATTAGAATAGAAAACTAGCATTTTAAGTCGAACAGACTAAAGAATCACCGTTTGTTCCAACCATCGGTGGTACTCTCCAACAAAACCGGTGTGCTCGTTGACTTTGTAGGAGCATTCTGAAAAACACATTAGAATTAAACTGACATCAGCTTCACCCCTTGCAGCTGCCTCACTCGAGCAATCGTCTCGCGTTTGTCCTTTGAGCGATTGCTCAGCACGTTGTCAAGTTCCTTCTTAGATGTCGAGTAGCGTCGAGACTGGAAAAAAACAATGAAGAAATATATTTTTAATTAACTTTTACCTTTTTCTCTGTTTGTGGAGTTTCTTTTGATGTTTTTTTGGCACATTCCCTTCCTCGATGCTTCTCTCAGTGGGCACAGTTTTCGGGGTTGATGGTCTAAATTTCAACATAAAAACTTCAGGTTAACGCTAAAACAATAACTAGTTCCTTACCCAGATGCCGTATCCAGAGTACTGTTCGATGCGGTGGCTTTCAACAGTGATGACCGCCGTTGATCTGTGGACCCATCGATTCTGATGCACCGCTTCCGATTTTCACTTGATTGTTGCTCATTGGCGGGCCAACGCTTCCATTTTCTGCTTGTGAGGGGCCGGGTCCTAAAAAGGAAGATGCACGAGAAACAAGAAAGCATGTCGATGACAAGAAAACACACCCATGGGAACAGTCTTGAGGTGAGTGTGCGAAAGCTCAGTGATTGCCTTTCTCTTTTTGCTCTAAAATAAAAAAATATCAAATGTTTCAGTGGAAACTGACCCGGCAAAGGTGCAACACTCCGAATGGGAAGAAAATCGAAACAATAACGACGATCACCTGAAGAAATACTCAATACAATGATAACAATGATAATCACCTGGATAAGTGTGAGCACTCCAAGTGCGATCGCCTTTGGGATGCGAAATCGATTAGTATCTTCGATGCAGTGGAAAACGAAAAAAATCCATGCAAACTCGCAAATCGCCGTCATCAATTGAAACAACGTGAAAAGGATTTGCAACTCTAAAAAAAATAGAATGACTTTTGCTTAACGACAATGAAAAGTCAATTTTCAGCAGAAATGGCACAAAAACTTTTGGCGCTAAAGACGCATGAAGAAAGAGTCAAACACAAAAGTTTCTTCTTCCTAAAAGAGATTCAATATCATAATCAACTAAAGCGCATTTTCTATTTTAAAAATTGATAAAAATACATAATTTAGTAATAATACAACCCAAAATCATACGGGACAATCCGTAAAACCGTCCGCCCCACTTTAATCCATTAAACAGTTTTATTAAACAACCCACCAATTTACATAAATCATACATAAATAATAAGGGTATCAATAGCAGACACTTCACACTTTTATATCTGATACAACAAAAATGAAATTAGATTAGTTAAAGATCGCCAAAACAAAACAAGGGGGAATATGTCAAAAGAAGAATTTTGTTTAGTAAATTAGTTTCGATCATTCGTTCACTCGTAATTCGATCGCCAAAGAAGCTAAGAACCTCCTAAACCAACGCTTCTTAGGAGGTTCGAGAGAAGCCTCGTCCTCTTCCTTCTTTCTTCAATTGACCCTACAAGTTGCAAATTTAATTTCAATTAAAATTAATCTTTTAAATGTTACCTCGAGACATTCCTTAGTTTGAGTCGCCGAAGTCATAATATTCTTGGGGCTGTAGATTGCCGCTTGTGCAAATTACGTATGAGTGGGTCGCCTCTGGCATGAGAGTAACACCGTAATTAGTTCCAATAAGCCCCTTGGCGCTCCAGCATCCACGGCCTAAAATTCTTTGTACAGAAAAAACATTTTTGAAGCTTTTTCATTTGGGTTATATAACAAAAAAATTCTACCTGAATCTCCGGGTGAACTCTGTACAGTTCCGAGAAAAAATGGACCGATCATTGGTCTCTTAATGTCGGACGTCCAAAATTGACCAAGCGTGTGGACGATTCCGATTGAATAGATTAAGTGCTGTTTTCCAGTGTTCGCGTCACCAAATCCTGCCAGGAGGAAGTTCTTGGATTCTTCAGCTGGAACCAATCGCGGCGATTTCTAGAAAAAATACTCGTTAAATAGGCATATTTTCGCAAATTTTACCGGACAAATATCCTCTTCGCTTCGGAACAAAATGAAGTCCAAGTCTTCATTTATGTCCACGACGGTGACATTGCGCCCTTGATCTTCAGTAGGTTGCACCTTTCCAGGAAAGATTCGAATAAGACTTCCGATTTGAATTTGAAGGTGTGACCCGTGACGGAAGGTGACGTTGAAGTAGCGTTGATGGATACAGACCACCGTCGATTTGGGAGCTCCCGTCTGTAAAGCTCAGCGGTTCCAATACGGTTCCTATTTTGATCTTTAGCTGTAAGACTTTCAAAAATTCTTTTATTAGGTTGGAGAGAAAGTTCGTAGAAAATGTTTGGACGGTGATTTCTCAAAAACTAAGCCATGAATTCTTCCCAAATTTTGATAAACTTGACTATATTTCAAAGTTTTTGACAAAAAATAAAATCAGAGTGAGCTGCAAGTAAAAAAATAAGAGATTTCTTCAGCTGAAGTGACTTGGTCACTTTTTGATTGACCAGATTTCGACAAGTTTTTAATGGGTTAATGAATAGGCAATGGGTTCCATTCAAAGCCTAAATTGAAGTACTTAAAATAGGGAAAATTTATGATTAAGGCAAATTTGATCTAATGCTTTTAACTTTCCAGAATCACCTATTTTAGTAAACACTTAGTGCCAAGAAGGTGACACCAAAAAAATGATTTTTGGCGAAAAATAGAGATTATATCCAGCGTATTGTTTAGCTTTACATTTATACTACCGTAAATAATGTAATAGTACCCCACCCCTCTCGTACAGTCGCGTAGTCGCAAAAGTTTTTTAGTATTTCATTTTTTTTAAAGCGCCCGTACTTTCAAAAAATTCGTCTTTGGCATCAAAAAATAGCTGAAATTCAGACCTATTTTTGATACCTAAGCGCGCATTGTAGCATAAACCAGTGTCGAGAAAAAGCCGTTCAAAGCTAGACTACGCAACACTCCGCACCGTCATTATCGGGGTGGGGTACTATTACAGAATTCACGGTAGGTCTTTCCCAATTACACTTTTGATACCAGAAAATACTAACTTTAAAGGCTATCATTTTACACCAAAGCAACTTAAGTTGACCAAAAAATTTTACTCTAATAGGGCGCCATAATGACGAGCGTATAATCGCGTAGTCTTACTTTGAACGTCTCATTCTCCGCGCTGGTTTAAGCTACAGTTTGTGCTTTGGTGCCAAATGACAGCCTTTGAAATCTAGTATTTTTTGGTATTAAATATATAGCTAGGAAAGATCTAGGAGCTGAGAAAAGAATGGTTTCTCGAAGCAAATCTCGAGACTCAGCAACACCAAAAGCGTGCCTCATTGTTGCCGACGCTGGAGGGGAGATTCAAGAATTCCGTTCATCAAGTAAGTTTAAGCTTTTCAAACGCATCCTCTCTGGTGCACCAAAATTCACTCGATTTCTCAAATCAAATTTTGGTCTTCACCAAAGGAGCACGACCAACCAAGCCCGAATTCTGTTGTTGTCTAATAAAGGATAGTACGATCAGTACGATACAGTACGATCAATACAGTACAGAACAATACAGTACAGTTAATTTAAAGAAAAATGAAGACTTCAGTGCTCTAGAAAGCGTACGTTTAAGCAAAAGCACAAAGTACTCGTCTCTTTTCTCTGCAAAGTCTAGACTTTACCTTTTGAGGAAATTTCCAATTTTTCTCAACTTCCATTCAATTCTCAATTTCTAAATCTTTTCCTAACCATCAATCGCATCTTTTCATTCGAATTAGTCGGGGAAATCAGCAAGAAGTCGACTGATTTTCCTTGATTTTCTTCAGTCAACCCATTTTCCGGGTTTTTCTTGTAAACCAAAATTTAATTTGAAATCTTTTATATTCTCTAGATATTTCTAGATGTTTCAGCGGAAACGCACGCTCTCTGGCACGCTGTTTACTTGTACTTTGAGCTTGTTAAATGTACGCCATCTGGTGCCAGCCTTGCTTTCCATAAGGAATTGCACCAGACGGCGTTTACAAGAGTACAAAGTATATCTAGAAGTGGAAACAAAGGCCATCTAGTACACTAAATCTTGGTTCAATTACGCAATAAAGATCAAAGCCTTGAATCAAAGCTTCAAAGTGTCCTCAGGTAGTAACAGAATACGGTAAAAAGTTTACTATAGACTGTACAGTTTACTGTAGATTACGATAGGATACGATAGACATACAGTACTTTACAGAAATCTTTTAGTTATTAATGAAATTACATTATTATACGAAAAATAAGAACTTTAGTTCAAAATCAAATCAAAAAATCAAAATTTAAAGTTCAAAAATCCACAACAAGTACATTTTTATCGATTTCACATAAAACTGTTCGCTTTTTTTGTTAAAAACTTTTACATTCATAAGCTGATTTGTCGAAAAAATATTTGAAAAAACAAAAATTTTCCCAAAAACTAAAAATAATTAAAACCACTTAACTTAACATTAGCTGGCATTCATTTTATTCTTTTTGCATTTTTTCAATTAAAAAGTTACAAAAACAAAGCTTCCGTCATAGAAAATGATAAAAACCACGAGAGCAACGCAAAATTTTCGCAAATTTTACCGGGCCAATAGCCTTTTCGCTTCGGAGTACGATGAAGCCCAAGCTCTCTTCAATTTTCACGACGGTGACTTCGCACCCTTCATTAGTTTCACTCTTTGCAGGAAAGATTCGAAGAGCACTTCCGATTTGAAGTTGAAGGTGTCCCCCGTGACGTGTGACGAAATAGCGTGGATGGATGCACACCACCGTCGATTTTCCGCTCAGTAGATCGGAAGCATAGAACATCCATTTGTTTATGGTTTCGGGGATTGGAAGTGGCATTGAAGAAACTAAAATTGATAGAGTTTAGTAGGTGCAAGAGATCTCATCACGAAATAAATGTGTTAATCTAGTCCAAAATGGTAATACTCTCAATGATTTGTATAGGCTTAGAATTGTCTTTTTACCTTTGGGATATGGCGATTCATTGCGAGCTTCAGCTGAGGAGATCTCACGATTGCAGTCGACGGTCGAAACTGACGTCCTCCTTCCCATTTAAGCTTATAAGTTTGACCCTTCCAATTGTCGCCGAGTTCATAAATAAAATCGTCACCTTCCAAACCCATTCATAAAGTTGGTAGCCATCTTGACGAATCAAAGACAACAACGGCATGTATTGCGAAGCAGCTAACACCTTTACTGTTATCCTCCGTATTCGTACCCAAAAACCTAAAAGAAACTGTTCATACCGGTATATGTCTATAACTGTACCATTTTCTGGTTTGTCCTCAACATCCTCGTCACCTTGCATCAAAAATTGTCGCGACATTGCTGTTGTTGCTCGCGGTAGGGCACGTTTCAGCACTCCGAATCCGTTTTGCGAGTTGGCCACCGTGCAAAGCATGACCTGCACAGAACAAGGCGCCGCCGTTGGTGCACATCTAAAAGTATTTGAGTTTTAAACAATAACTTTTAACATACGATGTCATATAACTTGAATCAAAAACAATCGTGAGCGGTTGCTGGCTACGAGTACTAGCACAGATCGGTGACGTCATTTGCGCAGCTGGATCGTTTGCGCAACTTGCCATAACTTCCTTCTAAGTGAACCAATCCTTATTTTGGTTTCATTTTGTAGATCTCAACAAGTGCAACAAAATGAAAACAAAATCATAAAGATTGGTCCACTTAGAAGAAAGTTATGATCCAGTTTCGCAAATGACCCAGTTGGGTAAAAAAATGCGGAAATTAGCCTGCACCAGGTTTCTATGTGAGGCTTTTGCATAAAAAGTCGCCAGTTTCCTTCATTTATACTTCTTTTCTCAGGAAAAGATATTCAGTTGAGGCATCGAATATTTAGATTTAAATCAGTCCGTTTTGGGGCAGGCTAATTTCCGCCATTTTATTTGCCCAACTCGCTATAACTTTCTTCTAAGTGAGCCAATCTTTGGCTCACTTAGAAGATATTATTTTGGTTTCATTTTGTAGATCTCAACAAGTGCAACAAAATGAAACCAAAATAAAGATTGATCCACTTAGAAGTTATGGCGAGTCGCGCAAATAAAATGGCGGAATGGCGGAAATTAGCCTACCCCCTGTTTTTGCACTAGAAACGGTTTTTCCAAGTTTTCAATAGTATTTTTTGCTAGTTTTTACATTAAAAACCTAAAAAATAGATAAAATAGCTCACCTGCACTCATCGGGGCGCATTTGGCACCTCGAGCTTAAAAAGTGCATTTGCGCAGCTGGGCCGTTTGCCCAACTCGCTATAACTTCCTTCTAAGTGAGCCAATCTTTATTTTGGTTTCATTTTGTAGATATCAACAAGTGCAACAAAATGAAACCAAAATCATAAAGATTGGCCCACTTAGAAGAAAGTTATGACCCAGTTTCGCAAATGACCCAGTTGGGTAAAAAAAATGGCGGAAATTAGCCTGCACCAGATTTTCATTAGAATCATCTATGAATTAGAAGAATTATCTTTTATTATATGTGATTACCGTAATCTTTTCGTGTCTTATTATCTCAAAATCCAATATTTCCTTTATTTGTTCATAAGTTTTACATCGAGAAAAAAAATAATGATTTGGTGAGCCAATTTGGAAGGTAAAAAAGAAAAAAAATTGAGAAAAAGCAAAAAATTTGGAACAACTGCAGGAAAAGGAGATGTTTTTTTAAGAATATTTCATTGTTATGGAAAAATTTGAATACTTTAATTAATGAATAGTTTGAATCGTAAAAAAAAACTCCTGAGAAAATGGCTAAATTTGAGGAAAGATGGCATTTTGTGCTTAAATTTGTAAACCTTTCCCTTCTAGTGCATTGAATTCGTCGATTTTCTTCCGAAATCCCAATCATTATGAGGAATTTCAGTGCACCAGAAGGGGTACGTTTATCAAATTCTAGTTCAAAGTGCACAAAAGTCTTAGAAATCTTTCAAAATCAACATAAAAGAGGCAATTTTTATCAAAAAAGGGGGAGTTGGACAAATGCTACCTTTTTTTTGCGCACCCGGACATTAGCGCACCTTTTTTCGCGTTTTAAAAAAGCTCTAAAAAGCTAATATTAACCAATTTCTATTCCAAAAGTTCTTTTTCTAGGTAATTTTAGGGCGTAGAATCGAAATTTTGGCATATCAGAGCTTGTGGAACCAATTTGAAACACACTAGACACTAGACAAAACGGCTAGATCAAATTACAGAAAATTGTCGATTTTTCTCTTTGTATAACTCCGTCCGTTTGTTTCGTTTGCGGAAAAAAAGGTGCGCAAATGTCCGGGTGCGCAAAAAAGGTCGCATTTGTCCCACTCCCAAAAAAGGTAAACGAAAAATGAAATTTATTTCAATTTATTTCAATTTATTTCAATTTATTTTGAAATTTAAATAAAACAAATTTTTTTGGATATGATTGAGCTGGAGCGGTTGATTTTTGAGGAAATGAATAGAAAAATTTGGTACTTTTTTTATTTGGTACGGTTATAAATTCACAGAGAATCAACTCGTTTAAGCAAGAAGGTGAGAGCTTTTTAATGTTCATGGGGTTCATGGGTTTCAATGTTTATGTCAATGGGGTGATGTTTAATGAAGTAGAGTGCTCGTCTGAAGTGATTAGTCGATCAGTCTGAAGTGATCAATTGATTAGTTTGAAGGGATCAATTGATTGGTTTGAAGAGATCAATTGATCAGTTTAAAGTGATCAATTGATTAGTTTGAAGTAATCAATTGATTAGTTTGAAGGGATCAGTCGATCACTTCAATCAATCACTTCAATCAATCACTTCAATCAATCACTTCAATCAATAACCAAGAAAACTCAGACTCAAATGCTTAACTTCTGATGAGTCTTTGTACCTGTATAACCGAAAAGTACCAAAAAATTTTATGATTTAAAGATTTATAAAGAAAAAAAGAACTAGAAGATTAGAAATGGCAAAAGAAAAAAAAAACGATTGACAAGAATGTGAATGACGAAGGAAAATGAGAAAATGATCAATGAATTCATCACAAAAACGATCAAACGGAAGGGGAAGTGACACAAAAGTGATCGATCCTTGTGCTTTGTGTCGAAAGTTTATTAAACGCACTCCTTCTGGTGCACTGGAAGCTTTTCAACGATGGATCACTTTTGTTCTTTTTTCGTTAAAAAAGATCAAATTTCCAAAAAATGACTGGAAAAAAGATTGTGCAAGATTTGGTCCGATTTAGCGTCAATTTTTTAGCAATTGTGTCTCACTTAATAGATCCGGAGCAGCCCCGTTGCATAACATTTGCATTTCTGTTGGATCGAGATGCAAATCGGCGAGATCCTGAAATTGGGGAAATTCGATTACGACACTTGAACTTTTGTTGTACTGTAGGTGACAAGAAAGCAAGTACAGTACTCCAAAAAGGCTGTAAACTGGAGCCAATTGTAGCTAGGGTTACTGTAAAGCTTTTGTTGTACTGTAGGTGACAAAAAAAAACAAGTACAGTACTCCACAAAAGGCTGTAAACTGAAGCAAACTGTAGCCAGGGTTACTGTCAAGCTTTTATACTACCCTATTTGTAGTATAGAGTACAGTAAGCTACGCTATTACAATACCACTGCACCAATACTCAAGTACTGTAGCCCCGGGTTGTTCTAGTGGCCAGGGTCAGGCCAGGCAAAGCTACAGAGCTACAGTACTGCTAGAGGCCATAGTGCTCCTTGTATTAGCAAGAATACTATTGCACTAGATAATACAAGTCTACAGTACTACCCTATCCGTACGTATTAGTACAGTAAGCGTCTAGTTACGATAGTACAGCACTAGTCCCACTACTGGAGTACTGTAGCTGAGTGAAGTGTAATATTATAGTAGACTAAAAAGTTGAAACTAAGGCAGATCAAAAAGCCGTCAGGACTCGAAGCCACGACCTCTCGAATAAGAACCAACTGTGCTAACCATTACACCACAACACACTTTGTCTCCACGGCTCCAGAGGGAATTAAGTTCCCTCCTCTCTGGATGAGACGTGTGGAACAGTCTCGTTCAAAGTATTGTGGTACCGTCTGGTCCAAAGAGAAGGGAAGTTAACTTCCTTTAGACTCAACCGGATTGAGTGCCTTGTGGTGTAATGGTTAGCACAGTTGGTCCGTAATCGGAAGGTCGTGGGTTCGAGTCCCGGCTGGAGTCATTTTTTGATTTGCCTAACTAAAAGACTAACAATTCAATAATAACAGCTCATGCAATAGATTGTCAGGGTTTACAAGTGAAAAGAAGAAAAGCAAAGAATAGATTGAGAGATTTCCCGAGAAAGAAACGTAAAGTGTGAAAATTTGAAATAAATGGACACTATCCGATTGTACTTTTGTAAACACACCTTTTCTGGTGCACGTAATTCTTGATTTTCGTATAAAATAGAAGAGAATTTAATCGGATAGTATCAAAAAATAAAAAAAAAGATTTACTGAATGATTTTACTTTTAGAAAAAACGAACCACAAAACATTGTTTTTTTTTTTTTTTTTTTGACGTAAAGTACCTTTCGTTTACTTTCTCAGGGAAATCCAATTGCTGAGGATTACGGTAGAGAAAAAGGGCAAGAAATAGAGAAACAGGGGGAAGTAAATGAGTACGGTAGGTCGGGTGTGTCAAGCGCGCTGTTGCATCTGCAAAAAAAATGGGAAAAGTGAAGAGATTTTGGCTATAAAAGCTATAAAATCGATCAAAAGCTATAAAATAACAAAACTAGATTGAGCTTTTGATAAATACTCATTGAATAAACTCATTGAATCTTTAATTTTCACCTGAAAACAGTCCAATTCCCCGGCTCCTCCATCTGCGCCAGTTAAAACGATATTCGGAATGTCGATCACTTCGGGAGAATTGCTGAAAAGAATGGATAAAATGGAGAAAATGGAGAAATCGAAATAAATGTCTTTAGATAACTTTTAATCTCTTTCTCCTTTACTTGAGGAGAGCTTGAGCTCTTGAGCAATTCAAAAGAAAACAAAGCAAAAAAAGAACAATAACCCAATGAAAGCTGATTTTTGGGGTTAAGGTGACAATTGATTGGTGTACTTTGTGCTGAAATCTGTAAACACACTTCTGGTACACTGAAATCACCGTTTTCTAGCGAGCTTTGCTACAATCAGCGCACTAGAAGGATTGCGTTTACCAATTCAGCACAAAGCACATTTGAGCCTAGTGTACTTTGTGCTCATGTTGTGGAAACGCCCCCTTTCTAGCGTACTAAAGGTACTATTGTTGTTGCTGTACGGCTTCAAGTACGCCAGAAAGATTTTGTTTTCAAAGTTTGAGTAGTTGCAGTGTAGCTATTGGAGTAGGGTTGTTTGAAAGGTGACTTTGGGTTAGATCAGAGACAGAGACAAGTCAGGTTCTGGTCCTGGACTTGGCTAGACCTTGGACCTGGTCTAGCCCTGTCCTGGCCTGGCCCTGGACCTGGCTAAACCCTGGTCCTGACCTGGCTTTGAACCTGGCTAGACCCTGGCCCTGGCTCCGGACCTGGCCCTAGACTTGGCTAGACCCTGGACCTGGCCTGGCTTTGGACCTGGTTAGACCCTGGTCCTGGCCTGGCTTTGAACCTGGCTAGACCCTGGCCCTAGACTTGGCTAGACCCTGGTCCTGGCCTGGCTTTGAACCTGGTTAGACCCTGGCCCTGGCTCCTGGCCTGGACCTGGCTAGGCCCTGTGCCTGGCTAGACCCTGAACCTAACCTGGCCCTAGACCTGGCTAGACCCTGGTCCTGGCCCTGGACCTAGCCCTGGACCTGAACTGGTCCTTTCTAACATCCCCCTTCAAGCAGTGCTCAATAGTCTACAGAAATCTACTGTAGTACCATAGGTGTTGCTTTAGACAAAAATACTTCAAATAGCCTCAATTGCCACCGTCTGCACACCAAGCACCCGTGTAACAAATAAGCAAAAGCCTGTTTACCTGAAATTTCGATTATTCGGCCAAACGGGCGCGTGTTGATGCTCGGAGAATTGTTGAGGAGAGGTGGGTGCCGAATGGGATTGATCTTGAGCCGAAGATAGTGGAGCGCCCAGTCTAGGGAGAGACGTCGTTGAGAAAAGAAAAAGCTGACTTGCTTAGCGATAAAGTTATAGGCCGAAATCGGTAAACGGTTACAGTAGGCGAAAAGTTAGTCGCAATTTTTAAACGCTAACTTTATCGATAAGCATTTAGGCGAAGCAAATCCCAGATCGAGGCTCAAACTTTAGCTGACTGAATCTTTAAATATTGTACTGTATTGTACTAGAGTCAGTATCGTACCTAGTATCGTACAGTACTTGTGCAGTACACTACAGTACTTAGTACAAGTAGTACTATGTACTGTATTTCTTTACAATTGTTTCACTATACTATTCAGTTAGCTAAAAATCTGTGCCTCGATTTCCGACCCGAAAAAAAGCAAGCATTGTTAGCTGGAGCTGGAGCTTGAGCATTTGAAACGTCACTTTACTTACCGTACACATCCAGTGCTGTGTCGTTGCCCTATTGGCGGATGATAGCAATTTTGTAGATGTGGATGTTGATGAACCATTGAGGAAACGTTCGGGAGAGAGCCCACGATTCCATCACCGCCTTCAAATGGTGAACACAACTCCATTATTCTGGAAAGGGAAATGTTTGGAAAGCTTTTTGTGCTTTTTAGAACCTAGAGCTGGCATACTGTAGGGTAGAAATGAGTCTATTGCTCAGTATGGTAGCTTGAGTACTGTAGGTTAGCTATTGGCTGTAGGTTAGCTAGTTAGCAAATTTAGCTTATTAGTTGACAGACTGGAGGCTACAGATCCCAGGCCTATTGGCTACAGTATTCCAAGCCTATTGGCTACAGTAGCCCAGACAAATTGGCTACAGTATTCCCGGTCTATTGGCTACAGTACTCCAAGCCTATTGGCCACAGTACTCCAGACAAATTGGCTACAGTACTCCAAGCCTATTGGCCACAGTACCCCAGGCAAATGGGCTACAGTACTCCAGAGAAATTGGCTATAGTATTCCAGACAAATTGGCCACACTACCCCAGGCAAAGTTGGCTACAGTATTCCAGACAAATTAGCTACAGTAGGCCTGAAGTATAGCATCCTACAGTTGGTCACTGTGCAGTACTTTTGTGCTTTCTACAGAATCTTTAGTGCACAGTAGTCAGAACTAATAGGCTACAGTACTCCAGGTTACTGTAGCTTAGAAACACTCACCTATGATCATCGATAGGCGATAGTGGCCCACCGGAGCCGGGCATTCCCGCATGACCGCTCGGGTGATGCATCGGTGAGCCCATTTGTGAGCCCATCGGCGATCCCTGCATACTGTTGTTCATCCCTGGAATTGAATATTCAATTGAGCAGGCCCTAAGGCTAAGAAAACAGAGCCGGGGATTCGAACCCGTGATCCTGGCTAGGGCTATGGCTTGATTTTCTAGATTCCACTCACCCATCGGCGATTGTACACTATTTTGTTGCTGTTGATGGGGCGGAGTGGCGGCTGGGGACATTCCCTGCATCGGAGATCCCATTTGTGGAGGGCCACCCCCGCTAGGACCTGGTTGCATTTGGTGAACCACCTGAAAGATATATATTATAAAAACAGCTGTACTATGGAAACAAATCCCTTTTGTCTTAAAATATTATATAGTTTGCCTTTTCAACTAAACTAGAAAACTAGTTTCTAAAAAAATAGAAAAGTGAAAGTTGAGTGTCACTGAGGGGGTTCGAACCCGGATTGTGCGTGCTGTAGAAAAACTTGCTCCCGACTGCGCCACGGCGACAGGAGGACCACGAAAAAACACGCCCTTAACCGGGTTTTTCAGTTTTCTTCCTTTCTCTTCCCTTTGTAGTTTCTCTTTCTTCTCTGGGAAAAAGATACCGAATAGCTCAGTGTTAGAGCATTTTCCCGGTAAGCAAAAGGTCGAGGGTTCAATCCCCTCTCCGGAAAGATTTCCACCTTTCCTTGTCATTCCTTACTTTATATATATTGATATAGTAAAAAGATCTGATACTGTTTCCAATGCATTCTGAGGCGATTTAACTTGATTACAGCCTTATATTCAGGCTCAGGCTCAGGCTCAGGCTTAGGCTTAGGCTCAGGCTCAGGCTCAAGTATCGTTGTTCTAAAGGCGAGTTGCCAGGTTGGGCAAGACTTAGAGTCAGAACTAGACTATGTTCTGGTCCCTAGAGTCCCATCCAACTGGATCAAGCCAAAGTTAAAGTCAGATCTAGCTGGTTTGCAGGCTTAATCGATTTTTGCTTAACTTTACAATAACTTTAATTCCAAATCTTGATTTCATATTGATTGCGATTGCATTTCAAATCTCTCACTTGTTGTATTGATTGCATATTGATCGAGTTTGGCGGTTGTTGGGGGCCGTTCATGTGAGGTGGAGGGCCCATTTGGGGCGGTGGTTGACCCATTGGACCCATGCCCATCGGTCCTAGAAATTTGCATTTAAAACGATTGGTAATGAACGAATGGTGTGTCTAGATTTCTAGATATCTAAGAAATATATTCAAGTATTCAACCTGGTTGTCCCATATGCGGATGTCCCATCGGTGGGGGCGGTGGGCCCATTCCATTCATCATCGGTGGGCCCATTCCAGGCGGCATTCCCTGAAATATCCAAAAAGTTTGCTTGATTTGATAAACTAGACTTAAATAACTAAACAACTGAACTAAATACCGTAATCTACCGTAAATACTGTAATAGGACCCCGCCCCCTCGTACAGTCGCGTAGTCGTAAAAGTTTTTTAGTATTTCATTTTTTTCAAAGCGCCCGTACTTTCAAAAAATTCGTCTTTGGTATCAAAAAATAGCCCTGAATCTCAGCTATTTTTTGATACCTAAGCGAGCATTGTAGCATAAACCAGTGTCGAGAAAAACTCGTCCAAAGCTAGACTACGCGATGCTCCGGCCGTCATTATAAACTGATGACGAGAAAATGCGCCGTTTTAAAGTTAGACCTGATTCCGTGTCCTTTTGGTATCAAAAAATAGCCCTGAATTTCAGCTATTTTTTGATAACTAAGCGAGCATTGTAGCATAAACCAGTGTTGAGAAAAACTCGTTCAAAGCTAGACTACGCAAAACTCCGCACCGTCATTATAGGGGCGGGGTACTATTACAGTATTTACGGTATCTATATCTAATAGATACAATCTATTCAATTAGTCGATAATTCTTTAAGATAAGCCTTTGAATTGTCTAGAAACCTTTTCATTAAGCTCTTTAAAAAGTCTTTTTCATTCTTTTAAAAAATAACAAATATTCACAAATTAATCTATGATAATTAATCTATTTTCTCTAAATAAAAGCTTTAATTATTTCATTTTCTTTCTTTTTTAAACAAATTTGGATCATCTTTAAGGCAAAAATTGGCTTTTTTTAAATTGGATTTTGGAAACGGGTCGAGATTAGGGTAAAAAGATCAAAAACTGTCTGATCAACAGCTATTTTTAGGTTACTTTTAGCTAAAAGATAAAGCTAAAAGTAAACTACAGCTGTTTCTAGGTTAGTTGTAGCTATCACTGACCATCGGATAGCCGGGTGGACCGCCGTAGTAGGCCGGATGGGAATGAGGGGCGGCCGAGTGAAGCATCGGATCCGAGCGGGCACGGTAGAAGCTAAAGTAGATAATTGAAAGATTTCTCTAGTAAATTGTACTATAGATAAAGCTACAGTAGTCCCTTGCTCACTTTGCATATTCGGGCGGTTGGAGGTGTTGCGGTGGGACGGGTGGGTACGGAGCGTAGTGGTGATGCAATGGGGGCACGCGTTCCTGCAAAATTTGAATATATCAAATGATTGATCATATCTAGAGAAAGATCTACAGTAAGCTAGTGATGTCTACAGTAAGCTAGCAATGTCTACAGTAAGCTAGTGATATCTACAGTAAGCTAGTGATATCTACAGTAAGCTAGTGATATCTACAGTAAGCTAGTAATGTCTACAGTTAGCTAGTGATGTCTACAGTAAGCTAGTGATGTCTACAGTGAGATCTACAGTAAGACAGCTCACCTGTGACCTAGAAGGTTTGTAAGGATGATAGTGCGATCCACCGCCAGGCGATCTGCCTCGTTGCCCGCTTGGCGCCTCCCAGTAGCCCCATTGACCGGTGGGTTGATTCTGGAAAGGAGAATTGAATGGAATTGGAGGAAAATTGAAGGGAATTGAAGAACATTGAAGAATATTGAAGAATTCAGTGCACTAGAGGGCTTGTGAAACAGCACAAAGTACAAAGCCTTATCTTTTCCTCGATCTAGCACACTGAAATCATTTCACTTTTATCATTTCACTGTGCCAGATCGGTGACGTTTAGGTCAACGATTGGCCTCTCGTACTTTGTGCTTTGCTTTGCTTTGCCAAATGGGATGTGTTTAGATCGATAAAAGCGCAAAGTACACCCAGAAACAGATCGTGATCTGATGTTAATCTGGGATATTGCAAAACTAAACCTGAATCTAGATTCTATTTCAAAGTATCTCCATCCACTAATAATCTGCTTTATAGTTCTCATCATTTTTCTCGATTCTTTAGATATTATTTGATCCAAATAGGGATTTTGTATCTAATCCGACCAAATCGCTCCACCCTCTCTTCAGCTTTTCTTTTTTTTTCTTTCAGTTCAGAAGCTCTTTGTTAGCTCAATAAGTGAAATCAAAGCTTAATTAGCTGAATATTTAACTAAATATAGATTTTTGATATACTTTCTGCTTGAATCTTGTAAACAAAAGCGCTCTGGCGCACTCGATTCGTCAGTTCCCTCGTTTTTCTAGTCTTTTCAGTAAGAAAACTACATCAGAAGGGGTCTCAATGCACTAGAAGAGATGCGTTTACAAGTACAAAGTACAAATAAGAAAACTGCTTAGAATCACGTGCATTCCTTTGGAAATGTTCAACTCTGTCTCATCAAAATGCCACAAATTAACGGAAAATCGGGAATTCTCTTGGATCTTCAAAAAAAAGGAAACGATCTTGTGGTTTTCGAGAGAAAAACGGGCAATGTCTCTGTTAATTGAGTTTTACGGGTAGAGGAATAAGAGAGAACAGACAACACCGCACCCTCATCCTGGGATAACTTTCAGACTAGAGCGTATAGTTGAAAATCCGTGCAGTACACTTTTTTTGGCATAGTTTTGGAATGTTGTGGCATTTAAAATCAAAATTTAAAATCAAAATTCAAAAATTCAAGATCGAGTGGAAGTATGGGGGGTCGAACCAGGGTGTTTTGACTTGTAGTCAAGGGCGCTGCTGACTGCGCTACCACGACAAGCTAGGGCGTGGTTAAAAAGTGGTGGAAAGTGGCTTCCCGCTGGTTTCTCTAGTATCTAGGATTTCTTAAAAGCTGATTGCTTCAAGATCCATCTCTGAAGAATTTTTCAGGGTTCACCAGGGTTTTAGAATTGCGATATTTTCTAGAATAAGAAGCAAGCATTTCTGTGGAGCGTCTAGTATTAAAAACAGCAACTCTAACTTGAGTTATGGCTTCTACTTTCATATAAAACTTAACCCCCATTTACCCGTTTACCCATTGGCTGTTTCCATCGCCTTTTTCCCCTTTTCGACTAATCGGTGTGCATCCAATTTCAAATTTCCCTTTCTTTTCCCCTTTTTTTTCCAGGAATTCTCTCTTTTTCAAAACTAATTTCAATTTTACTTTATCAATCGAAAAAAAAGAAAAAACAAGAAAAGAAAAGAAAAGAGAACTGACTTTTGAATGAAAAATGATTGAAAAGGATTTCTCTATCGATTGACTGAAAAGTTTAGAGAAAGATTCGATTTGGGAAAGGTTAATAGAATAAAAAGAAGTAAGATTTTAATATTTATTGGGTTGGTGAATTGAAAACTACCGGCTATTGTCATTCTCCTTTTTTTTTCTTTTTTTTTATAAATCTTTTTTTTTTTTTTTTTAAAATTTTTTTAAAATTAAAATTTTTTTTTTTTTTTTTTTTTTTATAAAAATTTTTTTTTTTTTTTTTTTTTTTTTTTTTTTTTTTTTTTTTTTTTTTTCCCCCCCCTTTTCCCCCCCCCTCCTCCCAAAAAAATTTTTAACCCCCCCCCCCCCCCCTTTCTTTCCCAAATTTTCCCCCCCTCCAATCCAATCAAATTGTTTTTTTTTTTCCCCCCAAACAAAACAAAACCAAAATTTTTTTTTTGGGGAATAAAAAAAGGATATTGTCAATGTGACAGTTTGAGCACTTTCTTCAAAAGAAACCCATTTTGGTGTCAATGGAAAAGTTGTAGAGAATCAAAAATCAAGCTTATATCCAAATTTTCAGAACGATTCAAAAACTGGTTTTCAAGAAATGCCAAATTTACGAATTTTCACAAATGAAATGGCGGAAAAGGAGGGGGGGAGGGGGGTTACGGTACCTGTCTGTCTTTCTGTCTGTCTTTCTGTCTGCCTTACTGTACGGGCATTTTTTCAGCCGTATTTTGACCAATATTTCATTTTGCATGAATATTATATTTTAAGTTGTTTTTGGTGTCATTCGATGCGTAATTTCATTCTGCATCAAATGATAGTTAAAATAGTCAATATATTGGGTTGGTGAATTGAAAACTACCGGCTATTGTCATATGTGACAGTTTGAGCACTTTCTTCAAAAGAAACCCATTTTGGTGTCAATGGAAAAGTTGTAGAGAATCAAAAATCAAGCTTATATCTTCAAATTTTCAGAACGATTCAAAAACTGGTTTTCAAGAAATGCCAAATTTACGAATTTTGACAAAACCTGCAACAAAACTTGCATTTTAAGCGAAACTACTAAGTGTATCTTTTTGGAAATTTGGCTATAAGCCTAATTTTTGATTCTCTACAACTTTTCTATTGACACCAAAATGGGTTTCTTTTGAAGAAAGTGCTCAAATGCTCAAACTGGGACATCTCCAGATCTCCAGTCCTCCATTTTTGAGTCTCACACTTGTCTCACACACAAACCAAAATCCTACTACGAAAGAGGAATCCAAAAATTGCCTGTAAAATGGGCAGAAGTCGTCAATAATAATGGACAATAATAATTCATTATTTGGAACGAATTTATGGTTTTATGTTGAATAAATTTTAGTTCAAAGTCCCGCAGTTTTCAATTCACCAACCCAACAGCTATGCATATCATATTTCTTTCTAAGAATAGGCCCTCCAAGTCAAAGATGGTTCACATCCACGACAACGCGCGCCCTCATGTTGCAAAACTGACTCGCTTTAAAATAAATAGCCTTGTTTGAGAGCTTTTAGCGCAGTCCCCATACAGTCTGGACCTTTAGATTACTATTTATTCCGGATCATGAGTAATGAGCTTGCGGGAGAACACTTCGATTCGGAAGAAACAGTCAGAAATTGCCTTTAAAAGTTTTTCAATTCAAAACCAAAATCCTACTACGAAAGAGGAATCCGAAAATTGGCTGTAAAATAGGAATGAAGTCGTCAATAATAATGAACAATTCATTATTTGGAATGAATTGATGGTTTTATGTTGAATAAATTTTAGTTCAACGTCCCACAGTTTTCAATTCACCAACCCAATACTATTTGAAAGTGGTAAATCTCCTCTACAAAATAGGCTAAAACGTCTTTCAATTGATCGAGCCATTGAAGAAATTTCGAGGGCGAAATGCGAGTGACCAAAAAAAGGAATCGAGTCACTTTAGGGACAAGTTTAGTGTGGTCAAACCGCCTTAGGTTGTATCGCCGGAAACGATCAGACGACGATTAAATCAAGCTGGCTTGATATGCAAGAAGGGCTGCTAACTTTGAAAGTTCAAAGTCCCGCAGTTTTCAATTCACCAACCCAATAGATAGTTTTCTGAGCGAAAAGACTTGGACAACCTAGAACTAGCTCTTTCCAGAGTTCAAACTCTATTCCATTCAGACCCAAACCAGGTCTTAAACCCTAAACAGATATTGTAAAGCTCTTAGACTTCTAATTATCAAGTTAGCTATCAATTTATCAATACATCATATCTTTTCCTCTCATCTAATCTAATCCCGAAACTTTAGCAAAAAAAAATTCCCAATATAAGCTGTAAAGCATCTGTTGAACAGGTGAAATTTGTAATAACAGAGTTTTCGAGAAAATGAAAGATTTCACAGATTGTAAAATATTAGATATTATAGATTTAAATGCAAATTATCTAACCTGAACGATTTGATGAACGTTTGGAAGAGAGCCACCTGGGCGATTCCATTGGCCCGGCAAGAGTTGTTGATTTGAGGCGTTTGCTGAAAAGAAAAATCGATAAAACTCTTTAAAATCAGGGCTTACTGCTCAACTCTTATAAACGTACTTCTTCTAGTGCACTGGCTTAAAGCTAGAATATTTCTAAAGTACTTCTAGAGAATTTCTGGAGTACTGGCTTTGAGCTTGAGCAGACAGTTCCTTGGCTTGGCTCTACTCTAGAACCTAGGCTTAACCTAGACCTAGAACCTGCCTAATTAGTGGAGAAGTATACCAGAAGGGATATGTTTACATAGGCTTAGGCTGAGCTCAAAGTACAGCTGTTAACCAACCGTTTTGATCCTGCGCTGTTGGTGGTGGATCGTGTGAAGTAATCGAGCGCACATCACGCATCACTCTGAAATCAGATTTAAGCTGAGCTTTAAGATCTTCAAAATAATCTATGAAACGTAAACGCACTTTGCGAATGCATCCTCTTCCTCATTTTGTTTCCGCTGCAAAATGGCGATCTTCTCGGAGAATTTGCGCGGAGTGCCCTGTGAGGACATGGTGGAGATGATAAATGAAATGGGACACTGAAAAGGATTTGGTTTTAAGTTTTGGAGAAAACTGAAATCGGCCAAGCCTAGTGTTCTGAAAGGTTCAAAAACAGGTATTCCTAGCTTTCTGGCTAAGCCAAACAAGGCCAGAAGCCAGAGCCAAAGCTAGAGGCCAGGTTCAAGTCTAGGCAATAAAATAAAGCTGGCAGTAAAGCCAGACAAGGTCAGAAGCCAGAAATATCCATCCAGGAACCTTCTGATTTGGTCTTTATCGGACATTTGACATTCGGAATATCTTAAAAAGTCGTATATAAGGCGGCCATCATGATTTTTGCGCCCCGTCCCTTTTCCCATTGGCAAACTAACTTTAAACTCAAATATCTTGGTGTTGAGCTATCTGATTTAAATATTTTTGACATCATTGGATGCGCCAAGTCTTTCTCTATCGATTGGTACAAAAACTATTTAAATTGAACAGCCCAACACCAAGATATTTGAGCTAAAAGTTAGATTGCCAATGGCAAAGGGGGCAGGGCGTGTAGATATACGCTTATATACGACTTTCTTTTAAAGATATTCAGTCGCTTAACTGATTTGGTGGCCCTTCAAATGTAAAAATATTCAATTTACTCGACGTGTAAGGAGGATTACTCGTAGTTACTCGATTAAAAACGTCGATTAATTGTCGCCAGTGAATTTTTATACCCTTAAGTCGGTCAGAGCTAGAGTCAGAGCAAAACTTGAAAGTAAAATCAGGTTAGACCAGGCTAGGGTAGGCTAGATTTTGACCCTTTTTAGCCAATAGTGAGATTTTTTTGATTATATTTCTTGATTGCAAACCTATTGATGTTGCTGGAGTGATTGAAGTGTCGAGATGACACTCGATAGAGGAAAAATTTCGATTCCTTGCTTTTCTTCGCTTTTTTTTTTACTCAACTCCCTTCTCCAATTAGGGCCTTCTGCAAAATTTTATAATTAAAGTGGGAAATTTCAAGGAAACGATGGAAAAATCGTGGAATAGATCGAAATTGAAATACTTTGTGCTTAAATTTGTAAACGCATGCCTGCTGGCGCACTGAATTCTTCGATTTTCTAACGAAATCCTAGTCGTTGCTGTGAGAAAAATTGGGAATTGCGCTAGAAGGGGCACGTTTGCAAGGAGCACAAAGTACACAAAGAACAAGAGAAACCTTAAAGTGAAATAAATTGCAACAATACATGTAGATTTTTCTGCAACAGTTCTTGGATGGGTACATCAAAATAACAAGAAGCCGTATAGTGGGAAAAATTGGTGATGACGACAAAATGGGGAAATGCCGTTCACAGCCCGTATTGTCAATAGGTGTATAACAGAAAAACTGAATTTAACCCTTTTAGCATAAACTTTTTCAAAAAGAATCTGAAAAACCAGACCGGCAAACTTCGAATTAGGATAGCCAAAAGGAAATTCAATGCACCAGAAAGGGTGTGCTTACAAAAAGAATAGAAAATGGATTACTGTAGAAATAGCTACGGATAATCGAAAATCTAGTTGTTCTGTGCTTTCTATTTGGCACTAATTTGCTAGTAGATAAGTTTAATGAAAATAGTGACCTGTCGAAAACGATGAACAAAACTAGCCAAGGTTTAGCAAACAGATAAAACCATAGTAGTGACAATTATCGCCAAAAGTTTCGCAAGTTTCACAAGACTAAGTCTAACTTCAAGCCAGAAATAGCTCTCAAAGCACCGTGGACTAATGACTAATGACAAAACAGAGCTTAGGGCTAGTGTGCGTCATAAGACTTTAGAAAGATCAGATCCGGAATTCGGGTTCAGAAGAGCAATGACCGGTGCTAGGGTTAGTCTACGTCATGGCTTAAAAAGTTAAAAGAAAAGGGGGCGGGTTAAGTTGGAAAGGATGAGTGAGATGAGTCATCAGCTAGGTAGCCAAGTTCTAGGGCCGACCCTGGGCAGCTTCAGGCCCTGCCGGGTTAACTCCAGGCGCAACACAGCCCCAGCCTCCCCCTCCCCCGGTTTAGATATCAAAACGCGGGGTGGCATTACAGATGCACGGATCAATAGGCGGCACAACAAGAAGAGAAGAAGAGGACAAAATTGTGTGTGTTGTATGCCAAGAAATAGAATCGAGAAAAAGGGGGGCACGTGCCGCAGAGGAGAGCAAAAGCGGCCACAGGTGAAGGGGAAAGGGAAAGACAGGGACTGGGGGCCTGCGCCGCCCCCTTTTTGGCACAAGACAGGTCCTGGCACGACCCGGCTACGGTGGCTCACCCAACACATAGGAGGGAAATGGGTAAGCAAAAGAGGAACCCCGCGGAAATGTCAGCTGTTTGACATAAAAGCCGAAGAGGTGTAATAAATGATTTGATGAGCCGGCACACCACTCGATCTTGGGAATCTTAAGATTTTGATCGAAAAGCTGAAATAACGCATTTCCGTTGGTGAAACCTCAAAAATTTTATTACCAGCCAGCCTTATCACGCATTTTCTTCGCACTTTTTAACCTCGAGGTGCCAAATGTGCCCCGATGAGTGCAGGTGAGCTATTTTATCTATTTTTTAGGTTTTTAATGTAAAAACTAGCAAAAAATACTATTGAAAACTTGGAAAAACCGTTTCTATGTAGTGCAAAAACAGGGGGTAGGCTAATTTCCGCCATTTTATTTGCCCAACTCGCCATAACTTTCTCTAAGTGGGCCAATCTTTATGATTTTGGTGTCATTTTGTTGCACTTGTTGAGACCTACAAAATGAAACCAAAATAGAGATTGGTCCACTTAGAAGGAAGTTATGGCAAGTTGCGCAAATGACCCACTGCGCAAAAGAACCTCTTGCGCAAATTAGCCTACCCTCAAATTTTTTCAAAAAGCCGCTTTTTTTTGACAAAATGCCATTTTCGTCGTTTTATATGTGACAAAAAAATCGCGTGGTTTAGAAAACGCATTAACCGACACGCAATTTTTTTTGCGCAAGAGGGTCATTTGCGCGGCTGGGTCGTTTGCGCAACTTGCCATAACTTCCTTCTAAGTGGACCAATCTCTATTTTGGTTTCATTTTATAGGTATCAACAAGTGCAACAAAATGACACCAAAATCATAAAGATTGGCTCACTTAGAAGAAAGTTATAGCGAGTTGGGCAAATAAAATGGCGGAAATTAGCCTGCCCCAAAACGGACTGATTTAAATCTAAATATTCGATGCCTCAACTGAATATCTTTTCCTAAGAAAACAAGTATAAATCAAGGAAACTGGCCACTTTTTATGCAAAAGCCTCACATAGCGCAACTGGTTAGCGGTTTATTTGGCGTTTTTTCGCCCCGGGTTCGATTCCGGTGGCTTTTCTTGAAATTTTGCATTTTTTGGGTCCAGTATTTGCCCCTAGGCTCGCCTATGCATAACAGATCGTGTTTTTGCTGAAATTTCGCTAAAACACGCCGCTATAGTCAATCTGTACGATTCTAGGGCGCTTTTGATTGTGCTTTTGCTAGATTTTGCATCTTTTTAGTGTATTTTCTTGGGCTTTGGTTGTAATTTACTCATTTTCAGATCAAATTAATGAATGAGAAAACCGAGAAAGCATTGCAAAGGGACTGAGCCTGCTCTTTGGCGAAATCAACTTAAAGAAAAAGTTTGGTTTTGCTTGTTTTGCTGAAATTTTATTGTTTTTAGGTAGTTGTCGCTAAATGCCGTGTAATGGAGAAAAAATTGCGACAGAGAAGGCCCGAAGAACTGCCGTATTACCATAATGGCGAGACTTCGTCGTTTTCGCGCTTGTTGTCTGCAGGTAGGTTTCATCGGGGTTGTTGAGTGTGCGTTAAGCCGGAATAAGTAAGAATTAGAAAAGAAGTTATGAGAAGCTTCAAGTAGAGCTGCATTCACATAAAAACTAGATAACGTGAGCTAATTGCTTGAAATGTTGCTCTTTTTAACGAAGAGAAAGTTGGCTGAACGGGAAAGCTATTGAGAAGCGAAGCGCTAGGCACTTTAATATATAGTTCGGTTCAGCAAATGAAAAGTTAAGAAAATAATTTCTTAAAGGAAAAATTGGCCCAAAATGTGCCAACTATAAAATGGCGAAACTGGGGAGAATTTGTTTGCCATTTGTCTAAATCTGAATTATTTTATACCAATCAGAAACCAAATCCACATTGCGAAACCTTTTTTCTGAGTAGCTTTTAGAAGCAAATCATTTATACGTTGTGCTTATTTCTCTAATGTCAGTGCCTTTAAAAGCTATGCAGTTATGCAAATGCAGCCATTGCCTGTATGTGAGTCAAGTGTCTGAACCTATTCACATGGATAGACTGTAGCTATTTGAATGCATGGTGCAACTCATAAGTTTGTATAGTAGCTGCACTATTAATGCAGATACTGTAGCTATTATAAAGGCAGACTGGCTTATGGCCTGGCCTGGTCCACAGTTCCTTTGGCTTGCCAGAAGCCTGGCCAGACTCTACCCTTGCCTTATCTGGCCTGACTTACAGCTCTTAGGGACTAGTTGGAAAATTTTTGGCTCTCAACTCTAAATACCCTTTGCTTTAGCTGGTGTTGGATCGTTTCTTCTGCGTTCTGCCAGTTACCCTGGGTCTTATGCACTATTGGTGAACACAGGTTGGTGTTTCCCTTGATACACTAAACATTTTTTTTAGGAAAGGTGATTCAAAAGTTTTTGATTGAAACAACGGATCATGGAAGATATCGTTTAGCTCCTCGAACATTTGGCTCAATTGATGAGATCATTGAAAGGTTTTGTGCTAGCTTTCAACTGTTCTATAGTTTCGTTTTAGATATACAGCAAGACCGATTGCCGACAATGTTTGCCTGATTAGAGCCGCTTTGTCAACGAATTCAATTGATGGTTCATGGCCAAGCTCAACCAACACTTCTTATCTCTCCAATGATACCGCACGGAATACTGACTATGATAGTGGATACTGTGTGGCGGCTCCTTCAATAGATCCGAATGCAAATCCGATGAACAACAGCTCGAATTTTGGAACCTCACATATTATTGCATCTGTACAAGCATTGAGGAAATGTGGGTGTTCCTTCGTCAACAATTAATCTGAATTCTTTAGCAAGAGAAGAAAAGCAATGGAAAACCTGTTTTGTCAGTTTAATGGAAGATCTAAATGGTAACACATCGGAGTTATGCATATCGGACAACGAACAGGTTTGGATACAATATTAAGTGAGTTTTATTTAACTTTTTAGACACATCGTCCTCGGATGTCTTTCTCTATGGACTCGTGCCACATGTACAGTATTCATCGATCGGTATTTGGAAGAGATGGCTGCATATTTATTGGACAAAACGATGAATCGACGTTTTTATGTTTTCGGCCGGCACACACTTACTTAGCATGGTTTTCATTATTGAGGTGCGTTCGTGGTGCAATAACTTTCCATTTCTATTATAGGCCAAGGGTACTTTGGTTGAAGGCGGCTGTCTACAATATTGGTAGATGTATCGAGGCTTCTCGTGTTTCTGAAATTGCACTTCTACATGTTACTATTGATAAATTTGTGTAAGTTGTTTAAGACATGTGTCTCTCGTGGTATTTGTTTGAATTCTATAAGAATAGTTTTAGATCTGACAGCATGTTACGGTGTGATTCGTTGTACTCTGCTTCTTTGATGTTAGATGGTGTTCGGGTGTTTTGTTCACGAGCCTTCACGCCTTGTGCTAGTACTCGTAGCCAGCAACCGCTCACGATTGTTTTTGATTCAAGTTATATGACATCGTATGTTAAAAGTTATTGTTTAAAACTCAAATACTTTTAGATGTGCACCAACGGCGGCGCCTTGTTCTGTGCAGGTCATGCTTTGCACGGTGGCCAACTCGCAAAACGGATTCGGAGTGCTGAAACGTGCCCTACCGCGAGCAACAACAGCAATGTCGCGACAATTTTTGATGCAAGGTGACGAGGATGTTGAGGACAAACCAGAAAATGGTACAGTTATAGACATATACCGGTATGAACAGTTTCTTTTAGGTTTTTGGGTACGAATACGGAGGATAACCGTAAAGGTGTTAGCTGCTTCGCAATACATGCCGTTGTTGTCTTTGATTCGTCAAGATGGCTACCAACTTTATGAATGGGTTTGGAATAGGTAAGCTTTATTCTGGGTTTGCCATCATAGTATGCTTTCAGATTACCAACGGCGCAAAGATCACAATTTGTAACTTCACTTTGGATTATGTACTTGAGCCGAACAAGAGAGTTGACTAGACCTCCCTGTGGATCTCTCGAAGAACTTGTGATCTCTGTTCTGCAAAGGTATCTTGTTCTTTCTTATAATAGATCACCTCTTTTTAGAACAATTGCATCATCAGCTTCGACTCCATTGCGGAGTGACTCTTTTTGTACAGCACTTCTCGGCGCTGGCTTGAGAATTGCGGCTGGGGTAAGTGATATTGTGTGTGTCGTATGATTATTCCATTTTAGGCACAACTCGAAGCTCAACTTGACACACCTCCATTAAGCACAATCATTGCCAAGAAGAATATACAGGTTGTGCAATGTGATTTAACGTTATCAACTCTGTTTCAGCCTGGTGACGTGGATATGCTTGTTGAGGCTTTGGTTCGAATTGCAAGTGAGACAGCGGTGAGCTAAATGAGAAACTTGACTAAATAGCTGATTGCTTTAGGCATTTCGCATTCTTGCTTTGGTCGCCTCAGTTGCTCGAGATCAGCACCCAGAGGATCCTTTTCTGACAATGCGAATACTTGCTTCATTCTTTGTTCTACGATTTGCAAACCCTATCTTGCTACAAAGTGAAGGTAGAGCTCATTGTTTGTTATTTGTAAATTCACTTTTTTAGGAGGTCAAAACACAAATCAGATAGCAAAAATGATTCAAACGAGTGCAAACAAGGTGGGGTTTATAGCACTTTGTTGATTTATTTTGAATTGTAGGCATGTTCACCAAAGCTTGATGAGGAAAACTGCTCGGTGGCTTCGTCTCAATTCAGAAAGCTCTTCGAATCACTTTTTATGGCCGATGCAGATGTTTGTGGGAAAAATAATCACTCAAATATGTTCTTTTTAGTGTCTTGTTGGCGTTGAGACCGAGTGGTCTTGCGACAGTTGTGCATTAGTTTCCCACCTCATTGCAAGCGTTTTGCCAACGGAACAAGAGAATACAGGTAAAACAATTGGAGATGTTCTTTCTGTTTAACTTCTGCTTTAGATACGGATGATCCTTGCCCAGTGCCTTTGAGTCCAAACATACTTCGGATACTTCGACCGCCTTCTCATCACCACCACGTCTAGATGCACACAACCATCCTGTACTCTGCACTTAGTCCATTGCAGGCTCGATTCATTGACGATATGCAACAGTCTTGAGCATACACTACTTTGTCTTGTGATAGCAGTTTAACTGCAGATGCAGATGCAGTATTGCAAATTTGATCAAGTTCTGAGCGTATATTTGACATGTTTTGAATTTTTCACGCCCTGCACAGTATCAGCATTGCTTTCGCTACACTTTGGTTTTCCTTTTTGTCAACTTTGATGCATGTGATGTGCTTTTTGATCTCAAACGCACTCTCAGGTAATTCTTTTCTGTTCCCCTACTCTTGCCAAAGTGTGGTCATCACATTATCTATTAGAAACCAGGCTATACGCTTGAGTATTATTGCTCGTTCCCAAATGCACACACTTTGATTCGAGCGCTCATCTGACGAGTCACATCGAATCGAAGAAAGCATTTCAATTTTTTTTTCTTGTGCAGCTAAATAATTATTGCTTTGAAGAATGTTTTAGTATGTGTATATCAAGTTTTCGTGTCCCAAAATATTTGCTCACATCTTTGCCTTTAATTCTTTCCATCTCTTAAATCGGGATCGCCTTTCGGATGACTCTAGGGTGGTAAGTGGCAAGTTGTAATATCTGAATACTTCTTCAACTTTATCATTTAGTGACACCGAAAGGCTTTTCCGATTTTCTCTCCCCACTCAGGTTATCTCACCTCCCCTTATGTCTATGCTTTCCCCAATTTTTCCCCAATCGTGGTCATCAATTTCTTTAACCCTCGAAATTCTTGATCCATCTACAGTCTTTTATATTATTTATACATGTTTATATTTCTTTTTTACCTCCTTTGCGCTCTACTAAAACAGTTGCACGTTGGTTTCATCTAAAATTTAATTCGTAAAAAGCCTACCAAAAACCTCTTAACCAACCCGATACTGCTTTATTTGGGGCAATAATTGCTATATTTTTTTTCTGGTGTCTTTAGCCTATTATTCTGTCATTTAGATCTATTGCCATGGCCCGTTTTTTCTATAATTTTTCTAGTAGTATTTTGCATAGAATTCTCTCTATCTATTGATTGCCCCGAAAATTTCTGTAATTATTGTGATTTTATGGCCGAACATCATGTGTGCTTTGTGAGAAATATATGTGATGTTGGTGATCATTTCTCTCTGCGCTTTGCCTGAAATGTTTCTACCTCATTTGCCTATTTTTTCGCATATCGACGTGTTTTCTGCAGACTGAAAATCTGAGTTAAAAATAAATAAAAATTACAAAAAATGTTCTTTTTAAAATACAAATGAACAATTGCACATTTTCTCTTTGATCTTTTGTATTTTCTTGGCTTATCAGTGGAAGGAATTATTGATTTGACCTTGGGTCGTTTATTTTCTGGGAAAAACTACTGATTTGTGTGAATTTGCGCAGAAAAGTACACTCGTTAAGCATTAAATCTTCTGAATTTTCTTATATTGCGCTATTCTGCCGTAACCATTTGCAAATTTGCATCAAACAATTTTTTAAAATAATAATAATAATATAATAGTTTCGTATTTTCAGAATGACGCACACAAGCGAGATCGAGCAAGTGAGTGTGTCGAGGTCGTTCAACGGTCAACAAAAGGTCTTCAAGCACAGGAGGTGGGATAAATACAATTTATTGGCAATTATCGTATATCTACCTGCAATAGTTCTAGTACAAATATTACGGCATCTTTTTCCAAATTATAACCAAACATTTGAATTTAGTAATGTGCTCGGATGCGAGATGAATTTCGGAGTATACGTCCCGGATAGCGTGCACATAGGAAAACGACCAGCTCTTCTTTATCTTTCCGGTAAGTGCTTAAAATGTAGTTATTTGGAAATTAGCGTAATTTCTCTCTATGTCATGTCTATTTCCTACACTTAATTCTTAAGGTTTAACCTGCACACACGCAAATTTTATCGAGAAGGCTGGCGCACAGCGATTCGCGGCTCAATATGGCTTCATTATCATCAATCCGGACACATCACCACGTGGAGATAATGTGCCCGACAAGGAGGATTATGATTTTGGAAAGGTTTGACTTTATGTTATAATATGATTGTTCAACAAAGTCAATTTATTTAATAAAGCCCTTTTTAAAAAATTTGTGCGATTTATTTTAGGGTGCTGGCTTCTATTTGGATGCAACAGAAGAACCATGGGCAGCTAACTATAAGATGTACTCGTATATAACAAAGGAACTTATTGATATCGTCAAGAGGGTTTGTTAATTGTTTCTTTTTTGTGAAATGCCTAAGCCTTTACAGAATTTCCCAATCGATCCGGAGAACTTCGGGATTTTTGGGCACTCGATGGGCGGACATGGAGCGATTAACATTGGATTGAAGGTAAATAGTGATTTTGTGTTTTTTTATAAAGCTCAATTAGTTTTATTTCATAAATTTTCTAATGAATATCATTTAGCATCCGGAAATTTTCAAGTCGATCTCCGCTTTTGCTCCCGCTTGTCATCCTACGAATAGCAATTGGGGCAGAAAGGTATGTTGTAGTCCGCCTAATTTATGTTGAATTTAAAAACGCAAATATTTGTTTTAGGCTTTGAGTGGTTACCTCGGACCAGATGAGACCAAATGGGCCCAATACGATTCATCACTGCTTGCCGCCAAGTGGGTTAAAGTTCTCAAATCTTTTGCATCTTATTGTTAATTGGATATTCAACGTGATTGAATTTTTGGTTTTTTAGGTACAGTGGCCCGAAACGCATCATTCTGATCGATATCGGTGACGACGACAGCTTTTTGAAGTCAGGTGAATTGCAGCCGGAATCGCTCAAAAGCAACAATCATTTGGAGGTAAGGAAATTTGGCATGAGATTAAAAATTAAAGGCTAAGCAAGTCTATGAAGTAGACAATAAGTTATAGCTTGTTTTGTAAGAGATTACCTATCGTTTATTCATTTCGTTTCCATTCAGATTGTCTACCGGAGTCGCGCCCACTACGATCACTCGTACTACTTTGTCGCGAGTTTCATGGAGGAACACTTCGAGCATCACGCGAAAGAATTCCAGGCGCAGAAGCTCGCAAAGCACTAGGTTTCAGAATATTACTAAATTTTGTCCTTTTTGAAGCTTGACGAATAATTTATTTCTTGTGAAGATGTCTAGCGGTATTTTCTCTGTTTCATCATGTTTCACTTTTTTTCTCATGTTGTGCTATAAATTGTGGTTTTAAATTTGGATAAAGTACGGATATAGTTTGCATTAAAGGTACAAGGATAATTTTCGAGCTATTGTGTGGGTGTTATGGTAAGCTACCCATCCTTTATCACGAGGATTACGATAGTGATATTCTATTTTGAGCTACAGCTACCGTAATTTCCGTGATAGGGATGGGATTACGGTAATCACTAAATAGAATATTACTAAATTTACAATGAACAAAGCGCATCTAAAAATGGAATGAAATTTTCATCGAATGGTGGTAAGGCGGAGAGAAAAAGCGAAAAGCGAATGGTTTCGATGTGTTTATCGGATCGAATTTCCTGAATCTGAAACGAAAAAAATCGAGATTCGTGCTATATTTGCTGATATATTCTATATAGTATTGCTAATATAATTATAAAACTTAAATTGTCCTTTTATTGATCTAAAAATGAAAAGAAAACTCGAGGAAATCGACGACCCGTCGCGTCACCATTTGCGTTTAATTCGGGCGGCTCAAATCGGGAATCTATTTCTGATTCTCGTTCTTTATTCGCATGCCTTCATTAGGACAATGGTTTGTAAATAAAAATTTAGTAAATCGTCTCCTTTTCTTTAGATTACGGTAGTTTAAAGAAAGGGGTATGTTTTAGGAACCATTGTGCTCACGCCGAGAAGAAGCGAGGGTGAGTGAATCGCGGACGAAACGAGATTCGCCGAGTCGTCAACTCCCGCAAGATCTCGAGGATTATACGGTGATTCTCGGACAGGACACGATCATACCGGTGAGCTAGAAGAAGGAGATTATTTAAAAAAGACTCTGATTTTTAAGAAAGACGTCTTTGAGAGCTCGTGCTCGAGGATTCACAAATATTGCGCGGATGCTGGCATGAAATTGGTCGGATTTCAGGTATTGTATCTTGTTTTTTTTGTAAAATTGAGAAGTTTAGGGCGCACGAGGTCCTCCCGGAATCATGGGTCCTGTTGGACCGCCAGGTGAGTTTAAAATCTTGTAATTTTTTTCGCTAACTTTGCTTAGGTCGAAGGGGGAAACAGGGAGCTGTCGGCCCATCGGGGCTCGTCGGAGAAGCTGGAGAAGAGGGACCACGTGGGAAAGATGGTAAGGGAATTTTGGATATTGTATTTTGACTTAGTCTCAGTATTTTCAGTAGCCAGAGTACATTTTGGTATACTTTTGAAATTGGCAAAGTGCCGCTATGATCGAGTGGTTAGGAGTCTTGTCTCTTAGTCGCGTGGACACAGGTTCGATCGGCTAGAAAATTTGGCTCTCTTTTTTCTCTGCAGTATCTTTATGGGCAGTAGGACAGTAGGGGTTGCATGTTGAGTTGTGGATTTGTTTATATCACATTATTCATTGGTTGAATCAATGTATACTTTTTATACAGCGTTCAGCAGGATTACCCGAACCCGAAGAAAATAACGTTTGCTGCTCAGCTAAAAGAGAGTTTTGTCAAATTCTTTTAACAAAACTATTTATAAAGCTAAAACTATTAAAATCTATAGGGTTTTGTAATATAAAATCATTTTTGTAACGTATAAAAAAGTGTTTTTCACGGGGGTGGGACAAATGCGACCTTTTTTTTGCGCACCCGGCCAAAGGCCTTAGGAAAGGCCGTAGAGCTTCAAAAATGTTTCCACATAGGGGAATCGTATGCGTAGATTCCGAATTTCGACAAATCAGACCTCGCTGACACGTCAAATTTGGGCTAAAAGGCAAAAACTGCGGAAAAGCGTTAAGTTGCGTAGTTTTTGCCTTTTAGCCCAAATTTGACGTGTCAGCGAGGTCTGATTTGTCGAAATTCGGAATCTACGCATACGATTCCCTTATATGGAAATATTTTCAAAGCTCTACGGCCTTGCCTAAGGCCTTTTCCAGCAAAAAAAAGGTGCGCAAATGTCCAGGTGCGCAAAAAAAGGTAGCATTTGTCCCACCCCCGTAATTAGTTACTAAAAAGCTACCGTAAATACTATAATAGGACCCCGCCCCCTCGTACAGTCGCGTAGTCGCAAAAGTTTTTTAGTATTTCTTTTTTTCAAAGCGCCCGTACTTTCAAAAAATGCGTCTTTGATATCAAAAAATAGCCCTGAATTTCAGCTATTTTTTGATACCTAAACGAGCATTGTAGAATAAACCAGTGTCGAGAAAGCCTCGTTCAAAGCTAGACTACGCGATGCTCCGGTCGTCATTATGGGGCTGGGGTACTATTACAGTATTTACGGTAACCATTCGGCCGGAAGCTTTGTGACAAAACTTGGAAAGCTGTCTACTATTTTTAGAGAGCATTTCCCGTTATCGAATAAGTTTCTCTCTGTGTTAAAAAGTATCAAATTGTATTAGCAAAAAGAGTTAGACAATTTAACCCATTGGATGAGATGAAATTGATGGATGATTACTCTAAAGTACGAGCTCGGGTAATCCTTTACAGTAAGAGATGATAAAATTTCGAAATCACAGGTCGCTGCAATTGCTCGATCCCGGACATGTACATCCATCGTGTGCCTATCCCGGGACCACCAATAATCAAGGTTTAGAAAAATAAAGTTATAACCGAGATACCGTATTCGAATCATTGATATTTATAATATTCTTTAATAATTTCAGATCGAAGAGAAACTCGTCCCGTACGAGGTTTTGGTGGTGAAAGAGGTTGAGGTGACAAAACTCGTTCCGTTTGAGCCGACACCGCCTGGGTATTTTTTTTGTTTTGTTTTAAAGCTTTAAGGGGCACTATTGGGGCACAAAGGTCAAAAAAAAATTTTTTTCAAAAAAGACCATGTGGTCCCCCACATGAGTCAAAACTTAAAAATTCAGGATTAAAAATAGAATTCAAGATCAAAACTAGAATTCTAGATCAAAAATAGAATCAAAACCATTTTGTAACCATTAAATATTCATTTTCTAACTTAAATTGACTAGTAGAGGCAAAAGAAAAAAAAGAAAAAAATATTTTTTAAGTTTTGACTCATATGGGGGACCACATGGTCTTTTTTGGAAAAATATTTTTTTTAAAAATTTTGCTCCAATTTGATCAGAAACGTAATCAGTAGGTTAAATTATGCCAGAATTTTTGTTTGGCTTTTTAAAAAATATTTTGAGAAGCCATTTTTTGACCTTTTCCCTATGTGTCCCATGACACTATAGAAGCGCGCACTTTGAAGCCCCAAAACTCGGCTTAAAACGCCTTTTCTCAAGTTCTTATTGTGTTTTTCGGAATCTACGCATAAAACTACCTTAGAAAAAGTGGTTTTGAAGAAAAAAAATGAATACGCATGATCGAGCACACGTCACCGGCTAGATTTCTTCGGCAAGACGAGCCCTGAGAACGACGCATCGAGCCCTTGAAAGGAACCTCCTCGGGTACAATAGGAAGACGCAGCTCGACCAAGACCTAAGAAGAAGTCACCTCCTACACCTACCTCGGAAGAAGCATCAACATGGAGGGAGACCTAAGACCAGAAGTCGCCAGAAGAAGACGAGCGGCCTGGACAGCACTAGGAAGCATCAAAGAAGTCACAAAGATACTCAAGAATCACCAGAGAACTCGGGCACACCTCTTCGACAGCACCGTCCTCCCGGCACTCTGCTACGGGACAGAGACCTGGGCCACGACACAGACCACTGAACGAGCCCTGAGAATGACGCATCGAGCCCTTGAAAGGAACTCGGGTACAATAGGAAGACGCAGCTCGACCAAGACCTAAGAAGTACGGATATGCGCCAGCTCTCGGGACTCAGAGATCCAATGGAAGTGATTGAGAGAAAAAGACCCAGATGGGCCGGCCACGTAGCCAGAAGAACAGACGACAGATCGACGATACGGATCACAGAGTGGCTACCACGAGACCAGAAGAGGCCCATCGGAAGACCAGCAACGAGGTGGAGCACAAGAGTGGCAGAGACGGTCAGAGAAAGGATGGCTAGAGTGCAACCACCACCAGCACAAGCAAGTCGAAGACTTCGAAACAGGAACAACCAAAATAGGAAACACTGGATGACAATAGCAAGGGATAGAGAAATGTGGAAGCAAGTTGTGATCTGCGCAAATAGGAACACCTGAGTGCGAAGATAGATTAAAAAAAGTGCTTCCCTGAGCGCCGATTTGTCCAAGAAATAAATGACTTATTGTTTTGGGCAAAATTCCTTTTTTTTCGATGTTGCGCCTTAAACTGAAAACTTTAAAAGAAAAAAAAAGTGTTTTCTAAAACATATCAAATTTCGTAAACTATCGTAATCTTTGGGAAATCTAAAACGAAAGGATATACGCGCTAACTTTTAACTAGTTAAAGATGATATAAAACGACTCTTTTTGACTCTTTTTCTAGGCAATTTCTGCAAAATGCAAGCTCTAATTTGAATTTAAACTCTTTTATAAAAGTGTTTCATGCAAAAATAAGTTGAAAAAGAGTCAAAAGTATATGAAATTTTAAAGTAAAACTTTAGATTCGCTCCGCCGGTTGGTTGGCGGCCGGGTATGCCCCGACCTGACATGGCAAAGACCAGGAAATTGCCAAGGTTTGAAAAAATTTTTGATTTAAAGAGTTTTAGCTTTAGATTTAGATTAGATTTAGATTTAGATAAAGTTATAGATTTATACTAAATTTAAAAGCTATTCACGACCTGGAACCGGAAGCGCCCATTCCGCTTCGCCTTTTTGGTGATTAGATTTAGATTAGATTTAGATTGGGTTTAGATTGGGTTTAGATTGGGTTTAGATTAGATTTAGATTAGATTAGATTTAGATTAGATTTAGATTAGATTTAGATTGGGTTTAGATTAGATTTAGATTGGGTTTAGATTAGATTTAGATTAGATTAGATTTAGATTAGATTTAGATTGGGTTTAGATTAGATTTAGATTGGGTTTAGATTGGGTTTAGATTAGATTTAGATTAGATTAGATTTAGATTAGATTTAGATTGGGTTTAGATTAGATTTAGATTAGATTAGATTAGATTTACATTACATTTACATTTAGATAGATTAGATTAAGATTAGATTGAGATTAGGTTTAGATTAGGTTTAGATTGGGTTTAGATTGGGTTTAGATTAGATTTAGATTAGATTAGATTTAGATTAGATTAGATTTAGATTAGGTTTCGATTAGATTTAGATTGAGATTAGATTGAGATTAGATTTAGATTAGATTAAGATTAGCTTTAGGTCAGATTTAGATTAGATTTAGATTTAACCTGAAATACTATACAATTTTAATCTAGATACACGACGAAACCCACCTCACCAAAGCCGAAAACAACGAAGAAACCGAAAACGACGCCCGTTTTTGCGTTTGGTTTGTTATAATTGAAAGATTACAATACTGTAGTCAATTATAGTTATACTGTAATTACTGTAATCGTACTGTACTGTAATCAGGTCAACTTTTAGAAAACGAGACGCTTTGGGCGAATGTAACCGGGTTGAACGAGACTGATCCATTCACTACACCTGAACCCTATCTTGGACCGCCGACACTGGGAACAAATACAAGAGGTGAGCTAAAATTTGTTTCTAGATTTGTTTCTTATAAATTTATTCGTAATTTTTGCTTTTAGAATGCACTCTGGCAGCGATTGGAATCCCGGTGATGCACGCCGAGTCTCAATACGGAGATGTGAGTTTGTTGCAAGTATTTGACTGTCCACAAAGTCTTTTCGTGCCTTTTCGTATTTCCTTTTAAAATCAACAAATACACCAATTGACTTATAGTTTATTTCATTAAAAAGGCATCATTTTTCTACATAATAAGAATTAAAACGATTTTTAAATGTCTTTTGGATTCATTTTTGGATTCTTTTTGGTATCATGAAGTCGGGTAGTCAAAAAAAGGTCAAAAGAATGGTACTTGATGATCCATTTTAGACACTTTTGGCTAAAGAAATTGATCTTTGTGTCAATAGATAAAAGATAGAGCATAAAAAGTTTGATTTATAGCTAAATTTTCGAAGAAATCCATTCAATCAATAGAGATTTTTATAGGTTTTTAGGGGAAAAAAAAACCCCGGTGTTTTCTCTCTTGAATTTTTGGTTGTAAGTGAAACAAATTGACTTAAAAAGATGAAATTGTACATAAAACACTTTATTTAAAGCAATAGACACATTTTATTTGAAACAATAAATACTTTTTATTTTAAAATACCGTAAATACTGTAATAGTACCCCACCCCCATAATGACGGTGCGGAGTGTTGCGTAGTCTAGCTTTGAACGAGTTTTTCTCGACACTGGTTTATGCTACAATGCTCGCTTAGGTATCAAAAAATAGCTGAAATTCAGGGCTATTTTTTGATATCAAAGACGCATTTTTTGAAAGTACGGGCGCTTTGAAAAAAACGAAATACTAAAGAACTTTTGCGACTACGCGACTGTACGAGGCGGGCGGCGTACTATTACAATATTTACGGTAGGTTAATTGGTGAATTTGTTATTTTTCAATGAAAAGAAACGAAAAGACTTTCTAAAAAGCCTAATAGATTCCTGTAGCTTTTTCTAGATAGTTTTCTGGCTATATTTTCATAGAAAATTTGGATATTATACTTATCTATTTATTAGATATTATTATATTTAAAAATAAATTCCTAGGTTGGCTCATGGATGCGTGACGTGAGCCCCTCCACGCATCAACAGAGCGCGAAACGATGGGTGAGAGATTTTTGGATAAAATATCTAAATAGATTAGATGAGTATATATTAGGTTATTCGGATATAAACGAGCGTTTGCACTGCTTGACTCGTGAGGAAACCATTTCCCGCATCTGATCGCCTTTCCAATGGCGTGAAGGTGCTCATCAATAGTAGAATTTGAACATAGAAACTGTTGAGCAAGTTGCATGACCTTTTTCCCATGAATGTCCAGTTTCACGGTCGGATTTGGCAGTTCTCCTGGTCCTAGCCATTGCCGTTTTCAAACAGTATTATCGAAATAGATCCACTTCTCATCTCCAGTAAAAAAAGAGAATCAAAAAAGCTATGATCTTTAGCGTGGATGAGGATTCCGGCAATAGCGACCCGTGAAGCCTTTTTTGCACTGCTTAACTCGTGAGGAAGCCATTTCCCGCATCTGATCGCCTTTCCAATGGCGTGGAGATGCTCATCAATGGTAGAATTTGAACATAGAAACTGTTGAGAAAGTTCACGCGTCGTTTGACATGGATCCGATTCGATTGCAGCTCTCAAAATATCGTGTCTACCGGTCGACTACCGAGGTTGAGGTTGACGAGAGTGTTCATCATCCTCGAGACTTTCATCACCGTTCCGAAAGCGTTGGAAACGTTGGAACCAGGCTCAGCATCGGCTTTCGAACAATACATCATTGTACATCATTCTCAAATGCTTTGACCAAATCTCGATGGGATTTCGCGACTGTTTTGCCCAGTTTGAAGTTGTAAAGTAGGCAGACGCGAACTTGATGCTTGAAGTCGGTCATCTAAAGCTGAAGTTGTAAAGTAGGCAGACGCGAACTTGATGTTTCAAGTCGGTCATCTAAAGCAAGAAAAAAAGATCTTAAAAATAAGAAATTATCCGTTTAAAAAGATTTCAAATATACACAAGATAACGTACTTTTAAATACAGAAAGACATGTTTTAAAAGCTTCCCTCACAACACTAAGTTTAGTAACGCTTGTTTATATTTGAACAACCTAATAGATTGTAGATTGTAAATTGTTGATTGTAGATTGTAGATTCTAGATTCTAGATTTCTTTCAATTTCTCTAACTAACAAGACACTAATCCCAGCACAGAATCGATTCGTGTCCATCAGAATCAGAATTAAAGGCCAATTCGTGTACGTTTTCAATTATGACTGCTTCTTAAAAGCTAAAATATACTATAAAAAGTATAAAACAACCGAACAACCTAATATTTAAATAATTTTTAGGTAACGGACGGCTTTGCGAGCCCCGTTCTCTACGAGTACGAGACCGAAGTGAAACTGATGCGAAAGGAGCAAATTATAAAGTAAACTTAATAATATTAACATACAAATTGCAAATTTACATGTTTCTAGGTAATTTTTGATACAATTTTTTAGATACTATGTCGATTTTCTGGCATCTGGGACGGGCAGTGTGGTTATTGATGGGTATTACTATTATCATAAGCATGGAACGGATCAACTTGTGAGGTGAGAAAGGATCGATTACGGTAGAAGAAATTCAGTAAATAGAGAAATGGATGGAAAGGGATTATCGTAGAAATAGTGGCAGCATGGAAAGTTTTGATTTTAATCTTTTAATCTAATAGATATGAGCTGGATAGTGCTCTTTACAATGAGACGAGCATCGAGATGAGCTTTTTGGATTGCGATATTTTGCCTGATCACACGTTTGAGGTCAGTAAAGTGTTTGCTGGTGAGAATTTGAAAAAGGCGGAGAATTTGGAAAGTTATCGGATCTTTAGATTTATCGTATCTTTAGATTTATCGGATCTTTAGATTTATCGTATCTTTAGATTTATCGGATCTTTAGATTTATCGGATCTTTAGATTTATCGGATCTTTAGATTTATCGGATCTTTAGATTTATCGGATCTTTAGATTTATCGGATCTTTAGATTTATCGGATCTTTAGATTTATCGGATCTTTAGATTTTCTTCGTTCCTTTGATCTCATGAGGAATCTAATCCCATTCAATTCACAAACAAATTGTGAATTAAATGGGATTAAAATTTGATAGAACGAGAAAATCTAAAGATCCGATAACTAAAATCTAAAAGAAAGACGTTAGCTTTTCAAATTATCCATTTTTTTTTTAGAAAACGAAATACTTTCGATACTGAAATACTAAATAAGAGTTTTTTCTTTAGGAATGCAATGACACTGATCGTCATCCATGGCTTTACAATCGGCCACACAACTATGTCGACTTTGCCGTTGATGAGAATGGATTATGGGTGAGAGAAATGGTTTAGACATGAGCGCAATAAACTACAAGCTTTTCGAAAATTGCTCAAATTGCTCTGGCTCAATTTTTTCTAAAAGCAGCTTGCTTTTCTAACTTATTTCAAAAGTGTTATATAGAGATAAGCCCGGAATCTTGGCTACATTTAGATATAAAAAGTTTTCGAAATCGATTCATACAACTCATGTGACAGCTCTTGAAGCTCTTGAAATTCTCTATTTTTTGAGCTATAGATCATGTCAATTCGATAGATTTAAAGCAAGTTAAAAGCGTTTGAAGTGTGATAGTTCGTCATTCGTCATTGTTGTCTGTTGTCTGTTCTCTGTTGGATTAACATGATCTATAGCTGAACAAAATAGAGAATTTCAAGATCTTTCGAATGGACTAAAGCAGACACGAAAATATCGCTTCGATTACGCGCGAGTACGGTCCATTGAGTCAGGACTATAAACCACTGTAAATAGACCATAGAGCATAGAGCACCTTTTTTTAGCATTTCTATTTCTGTGTCTACTTTAGGCTATTCGAAAGCTCTTGAAATTATCTATTTTTTGAGCTATAGATCATGTTAATCCAACAGAGAACAGAGAACAGAGAACAGAGAACAGACCACAGAGAACGGACAACAGACAACAGAGAACAGACAACAGACAACAGAGAACAGACAACAGACAACAGAGAACAGACAACAGACAACAGGCAACAGACAACAGGCAACAGACAACAGAGAACAGAGAACAGGCAACAGGCAACAGAGAACAGAGAACAGAGAACAGACAACAGAGAACAGAGAACAGACAACAGGGAACAGGGAACAGAGAACAGAGAACAGACAACAAACAACAACTAAGAATAAGATTTTTTCCAAAAATCAACGTCAAACCCTCAAAATTTTCATGCAATTTTTAGAAACCTTCTATAAAAATACTTTAATATCTCTAGCTTTGAATAAAAAAAAGAAAAAGAGAATCGATTGAGTAGTTCGCGAGAAACCTAATCCCGAACTTAACTTGTCAGAGAAACTGTGGTTAGTTATGCATAAACCCAATCGCTTATGTTTGTAGTTTGTAGCCCATGTAGTTTGTAGCCCATGTAGTTTGTAATTCAGATCAGAAATCAATTCTGATCTGAATTAAAAAAAGAAAAACTTCTAGGTGATCTACATGCGACCGGACAGCAATGGTTTAATGGTCAGCAAGTTGGAAAAGGTTTAAATAAAAGAAAATTTGTTCTCTAAAACCCTTTTGCAGAATCTACACGTTGTGCAAACTTGGCAATTGGAGCATGTGAATGCCACCGATCTGGCGGACGCGTTTGTGATGTGCGGCGTTTTGTATGGAGTCGAGTCATCCAACGATCGCGATACTTTCATCACTTATGCCTATGATTTGTACAGGTATTTTAAAAAAGGCTTTCAACGAAGTTATCGTACTCTCCAAGAAGTTTTCGTACTCTTGAGTGAGTCAAGATTGCTTTGAAATTTCAGAAACGAGTCGATTCCGGGCAAAGTCCCGTGGTACAATCCATTCAAGGGACTTTCCATGTTGCATTATAATCCAGTGGATAAACGGTGAGTGAAAAGGATTACGGTAGCTTCCCTTGATGTTAAAAGTTGCTAAAGTTATTACGGTAGGCTTCAAGCTACAGCATGCTTCAAGCTACAGTACGCTTCAAGCTACAGTACAGTTCTGGCTGGTACCTTGCAAGCCAGGCATACTGGGTTACAGGAGTACAGGGTTGTTCCAAACAAGCTCTAGGGATTGTAAGCCTTGTAAGCTTAGGATTGTAAAGCCAGGATCAAGCCCGGCTGGGCTCTGGAGGATTGTCACCACGATCAGGCCAGAACCAGGCAACCTACAGTATTCTGAATAGGTTCTAAGGACTGTAGCCAGGTCCAGGACTGTAGCCAGGTCCAGGACTGTAGCCAGGTCCAGGACTGTAGCCAGGTCCAGGACTGTAGCCAGGTCCAGGACTGTAGCCAGGTCCAGGACTGTAGCCAGGTCCAGGACTGTAGCCAGGTCCAGGACTGTAGCCAGGTCCAGGACTGTAGCCAGGTCCAGGACTGTAGCCAGGTCCAAGACTGTAGCCAGATCCAGGACTGTAGCCAGGTCCAGGACTGTAGCCAGGTCCAAGACTGTAGCCAGGTCCAAGACTGTAGCCAGATCCAGGACTGTAGCCAGGTCCAGGACTGTAGCCAGGTCCAAGACTGTAGCCAGGTCCAAGACTGTAGCCAGGTCCAAGACTGTAGCCAGATCCAGGACTGTAGCCAGGTCCAGGACTGTAGCCAGGTCTAGGACTGTAGCCAGGTCCAGGACTGTAGCCAGGTCCAGGACTGTAGCCAGGTCCAGGACTGTAGCCAGGTCCAGGACTGGTTTCGACCGATCTACGAAGCAGCAAAGGCTAAAGATACAGGCTAGCGGTAAAGCCAGACCAGAATCTGAGAACTGAGTCAGGCCAGAACAAAACCAACCAAATTACAGTACTCCCTTTAGTCTCTACTTCTTCGACACGAAAAAATTACTCTCGGTGAATGTGCGAGTTGACGATGATTCGAATGAGTACGAGGATGAGGATTACGGTCTTTTGCCTCATTTGAACACTCCCGCTCCGCCACCGTATCCACCGCCTAAAGGCTAAAATTATAGCAAAATTCTCGTAAAATTATAGAAAATTTTTCTTAAAAGCATCGATTTCGAATTTCGCTAAAATTTTCATTTCTACATGCATTTTTGTTTTCAAATGGATAAATTGATGTTTTGAAATCGGCAATGGCAAAATTGAAAGCTTTCCGCGACTCTTTTCAGCTTCACAAAATCAGAATAGATGAATTTTAAAAAGAAAAAAAATTTCGAGCTATTAGCTTGGCAAATATGAAAGGTTATTTAAATATTGCCCTGTCGTTACGAAGAACATTCGCTGTCTAGGATTTTTCTCAATAATATTTCAAAATGTGCTCATGTTTTTTTTGCAAAAACCTTTTTGTTTTCAACAATATTTGTATTGTTTCAGCTCGGCAAAGATGGATAACCAAAAATTTAAAATCAGGGCCGCCATTTTCTTTGAATTCAAGTTAAACAAGAAAGCTACGGAATGCCATCAGAACATTTGTACTGTTTTTGGAGAAGCTGCTCTTACTTACAAACAATGTTGTGTTTGGTACGATCGCTTCAAAACGGGAGACGAGTCATTGGAAGATGCACCACATGGAAAGCCACCGATTACTTTGGACGATCAGCTGTTACTGAACGAGGTCGACTTGGATCCATCGCAAAAGTGTAGAAAATTAGCAGAAAAGTTCGGATGCACTCATGTTACCATTTATACGTTCTTGGGAAATCATATCGAAGCGGGAAATGGCTCCCCCACGACTTCACTGATGCCCACAAAGTCACACGAGTCACCTTGAGCTCTGTTCTTCTACGTAAAGCTAGCCATCGTGACTTTTGGAAGTATTTTTTGACATCTGATGAGACTTGGCTTTCGTATGAAAATATTCAACTCTATGGACAGTGGCTGAGTTCGAAGCAGACCTCTCATCCTATCCCGAAGCCTCCGAAAAAGTTATGCTTTGTGTGTGGTGGAATGCTAAGGGATTGGCTCATTTTGAAATATTAGATAAAGGAGACACTGTTGACGGAAGACTTTATGAAGAACAAATGGGTCGAGTCGATCCAGCATTGAGGAAAAAGAGGATCGATCCATCGAAGGTCAGAACGAGGTCGACTTGGATCCATCGCAAACGTTTAGAAAATTAGCAGAAAAGTTCGGACTCGCTCGGCTCGGCACTCATGTTACCATTGAAAACCATTTACACGTTCTTGGGAAATCATATCGAAGCGGGAAATGGCTCCCCCACGACCTCACTGATGCCCACAAAGTCACACGAGTCACTTTCATATTTGCCAAGCTAATACTTTGTAGCTCAAAAAAAGCTATTAAAAAATACTTTGTGCTTAAATCTTGCAAACGTACGCCTCCTGGTGCATGGAGATTTTCATTTTTCTACTTTTCTTAGAGTAATGAACTGATTTTTACAGATTGAGAGGAAAATTGAGGAGGTTTTGACTGTAAACGAAGATTTTGCTCTTCGAAACAAAGATAACCCTTGGAAATGTCTTGGAAAAGTGATTTCTAAGTGATTTCTCTCAAGGGAAATCCACAAAAAAGATTTGGAATGAAAAAGGGAAAAGAATGGGTAATCGATCCAAAAAAAGAAATAAGACTGGATCTCCAGTTTGAAGACTCGTTTTTCTTTCTCCTTTCAAGGAGAAATTCGGCACTTTTTTTGTTAAAGGCTGCAAGAATTTCCTTTCTAATTGCACTAACTTTTTCAAAAATGCTTTCTTTTTGTTCAAACAGCTCAATCAGCAATAAGCAGCTCAAACGTACTACGCACTTTGTAAACGTACGCTTTCTAGGGCAGTGAATTTTTGCAAAATGCTAATAACTGACTTAAGAAAGTTCTAGAAGAAAGTTTTAGAAGAAAGTTTTAGAAGAACACGTAGAAGAACATCCTTAACAAATTGTTCTAGAAGAACATCCTTATCAAATTGTGGAAATTCCTAGAAGTGAACGTAGTCATCCTTATCAAATTTCGGTCGGTTCTCATCCCCATAATCTTTCCCTTTATCATTCTTTTGCGAACCGTATTAGTAGGGTTTGGAATAAGCTCTCGTCTTGGACTTGGAATAAGCTCCGGTCTTGGACTTGGAATAAGCTCCGGTCTTGGACTTGGAATAAGCTCTCGTCTTGGACTTGGAATAAGCTCTCGTCTTGGACTTGGAATAAGCTCTCGTCTTGGACTTGGAATAAGCTCTCGTCTTGGACTTGGAATGAGCTTCCGTCTTGGACTTGCCATAAGCTTCCGTCTTGGACTTGGAGTGAGCTTCCGTCTTGTCTCGTCTCGTCTCGTCTGGTATCTTCTCGTCTGTAGGAAAATTGAAAGTATCTGTTAAACGAATTAGATCTTATTGCCATGTCAAATCTGCCCTATATCTTTTTCTTTTTCTTAAATCTTTTTGTACCTATGTTTCCTAACTCTGTGCTATTTTTAGCTTTCTTTCTTTTTTGTGAAAGTATTGTAGCAATATGTTATATGCGTTTATGATTATCCGATTCACTTCTATTCACTTCTATTCACTTCCGATTCGCTTCTTCTATTGAATAAAGCATAAACAGTAGCGGACAAAGACTTAGCATAATTTAGTTTTTTTGTAATAAAACTCGCTGTTTGTGCAATATTTACCTAAAACTTCGAAATATAATAATAAAACTTGATGTTTTAACAAAAACAATTGGTATTTAGCCAAATAGAATTTCAGAAAAAAATTTTGAAGATTTTTATAGAAAACTGGTGCGACAAAAACTTAGCATATTTTTAATAACATATTAACTAAAGCTGGCAACAAATGTTTTTGTAATCAAAACAACAAAATTGGTTTTTAACAATTAATACTTCGTAGGAAAACCATTCGAGACGATGACAGCATCACATCTGCGAGGCATGGACTCGATAAGTTCATCGATCGTCTTTTTTGGAATCTCCGACCACTTCTTGGCTCAGAGATCAAATTTATCCTGAGCATTTTGATTTTTAATCCCTTTGCACATTCTTTCCAGCGTTTTCCACAAATGCTCAATAGGATTCAGGTCGAGGCTTTGGCTTGGCCACTCCATAACGGCAGAGTTTTGTTGCGACAGCCAGTTTTGAACGAGTCGAGCCTTGTGTTTTGGATCGTTATCTACTGAAAAGTGAAATTTGGAGGCATAGTTTGAACTGCATTTGGAAGCATATGGTTTGTCAAAATGTCGAAGTAAACTCGTTGATCCATAATCCCAGTGATTTGCTTGAGTGGTAGAGTTCCATAAGAAGAGAAGCCACCCCATACGAGAACGTTTCCGCCGCCATGTTTGACTGTAGGGAGAATGTAGTTTTTATTGTATCTTTGGTTAACTGGACGTCGAATATACTGAATTCCATCAGAGCCAAGTAGGGGAAACTTGCTTTCATCAGTGAACAAGCAATCTTTCCACTGCTGAAGAGTCCACCCTTGATGCTCCTTAGCAAACTTCACTCGGGCTTTCCGATTTTTTGCTGAAATCAATGGTTTCTTGGCAGGGCGTCTCCCGAATAGTCCTTTAGCGTTTAGACGACGTTGCACCGTTCGCGGAGTGATCTAATCTTTCAAAGAAGTTGGTAAATCTTTGTAGATCTCAGTTGCAGGCTTCTGAGGATTGCTTTTTGATAAGGTTTGAATCCTGTTATCATCTCGAGTAGTTGATTTCCGTGGAACACCAACATTATTTTTTGCAATTGTGCTTCCTTTTGTCTTGAAAAGCTTCAAAATTCTCGAAACAGTCGACTGGTGCACCCTCAGAATGGTAGCAATTCGATCCTGTCTCTCACCGGCTTGATGAAGAGCCACAATCGTATCGTATAGCAGGCTGGAGTTTTTCTTGCGACCTATTGACTGAAATTAATAAAATAATAAATTTCAATCAAATTATAGCTCAAATTAAGAAAAAAACACAGAAAAATAATCAAAATTACTGGGAAATGCAAAATTATGCTAAGTCTTTGTCGCACCAGTTTTGTATAAAAATCTTCAAAATTTTTTTCTGAAAGTCTATTTGGCTAAATACCAATTGTTTTTGTTAAAACATCAAGTTTTATTATTATATTTCGAAGTTTTAGGTAAATATTGCACAAACAGCGAGTTTTATTACAAAAAAACTAAATTATGCTAAGTCTTTGTCCGCTACTGTATATGTTGTGTCCGATTTAGATTGAACTTATCGCGGACGTCCGATTTAGATTACAGTCTATATCGGACGTCCGATACAGATCGAACAATAATAAACGTGCTTAATATATATTCTTAAGCGTTTTTTTTGCAATTTTCTGCGCTTTTCAAAGAAATTTTATTGTCTTTTTTTGAGAATTTTTTGTTTTCTTGTTTTCCTATTAAATGCTTCCTATTATCCTATTAAAGTTTAAAACTACAGAAAACGCTTAAGAACATATATTAAGCATGTTTATATTATTGTTCAATCTATATAAAATTTAGATTGAATCTAAATCGGACGTCCTATATAGACTGTAATCTAAATCGGACGGAAATCTAAATCCGACACAACATATATATATGTTGTGTCCGATTTAGATTTCCGTCCGATTTAGATTCAACTTAAATCGGACGTCCGATTTAGATTGAACTTATCGCGGACGTCCGATTTAGATTACAGTCTATATCGGACGTCCGATTTAGATTGAATCTAAATCGGACGTCTTATCTAAATCCGACAACAACATGCTTAATATATGTTTTACGTTTTCTAGTTTTCTGGATTTTTCAAAGTCTTTATTGTTACAGTTTATATCGACTGTACAAATCGATAATAAACGTGGCTTAATATATTTCTTAAGTGTTTTTTTGCAAAAAAATTTTCTTTTGTTTTCCGAAAAATTTTAGATGTCACCAATTGCATGTTCAAGATCCAAAGATTTTAAGTGTCACAATGTCACATCTGCAATTCAAGATGCACAATAGCCTAAGCTGCAAAAATAAATAGAAATTTTTAACTCGTTCGTTGTTGTTGTTGGGCTTTTTTTGTGTGTAATTTCTGCATCTATTCTGTTAATTTGTTGGTGTTGTTCACTTGTTGATTTATAGATTGTTTCAATTTTGGAGGTTTTCTTTTCAGAGACATTACAGTCCTGTTGTTATTGAGAAAACTACAGAAGTTTTAGAACATGTTTAACATGTTTATATTTGTTTAATCTTTACAATCTTTATTAATCTTTATATAATTTAGGTTGAATCTAATCGGACGTCGAATAGACTGTAATCTAAATCGGACGGAAATCTAAATCCGACACAATATATATATATTTTACGTTTAAATTCATGGATTTTAAAATTTCACAATTTTATTTGTACAACTTGTAATCGCGTGGCGCAAAATTTTCTGTGTTTTCCCCCCACAGAAAGTCTCTTTGGTTTTCAGAAAAATTTTGATTCACCAATTTTTGAAAAGATTTTTACAATGACACATCTTAAATGTTTAAATGGGGAATTTTTTTCCATAAAAAAGTTCTTTTGACAAGACTTTTATGAAATGATCTCATAGATCTTATCGATTTGAGGGGAAATTGATCACTTTTTGATTTATGATGTCAATTTTGGAGGTTATCTTATGAGACTTTGTCTTGTTGTTATTAGAAGTTTTGAAATGTTTAAATGTTTAAATGTTTAAATCTTTAAATGTTTAAATGTTTAGGTCTTTAAATCTTTAACTTTAAATGTTTAATCTTTAGGTTTTGAGGTCTTTAAATGTTTAATGTTTAAATCTTTAAATCTTTAAATCTTTAATGTTTAAATGTTCAAATGTTTAAATGTTTAGATCTTTAATGTTTAAATTAGCCCTTTGTTTATAGACTTTTTCAAATTTAAACCGCGGTCAGGGCCCAGAAGTGGCTCATTCCTTTTGCAAATTCCCTTTGCTTCCAATGCCTCTTTATCAAATTCATTTCCCGTTAGAGCCGCTAGATTATGGAACTTGCTCCCAAACGACATACGAGAAATTCAGTCGCTTTTCATATTCAAGAAACGTATCGATGCTTTAGATCTAGTGGCTCTTTGCCGTAAGTAATTGGCTTATTGATTTCAGTATGTATTGTATGATTAAGTATCACTGTGCATTTCTCTATGATTTCTTTCACTTTATCGTTTGAATAAAGTATTATTATTATTATTTAGGTTTTGAGGTCTTTAAATGTTTAATGTTTAAATCTTTAAATCTTTAAATCTTTAATGTTTAAATGTTCAAATGTTTAAATGTTTAGATCTTTAATGTTTAAATGTTTAATGTTTAAATGTTCAGATGTTTAAATGTTTTGATCTCTAGATCTTTAAATGTTTAATCTTTAGACGTTAAATGTTTAAGTGTTAAAATCTTTAATGTTTAAATCTTTAAATCTTTAAATCTTTAATGTTTAAATGTTTAAATGTTTTAATCTTTAAATCTTTAAATCTTTAATGTTTAAATGTTTTAATCTTTAAATCTTTAGATCTTTAAATGTTTAACTTTAGATGTTTAATCTTTAGATGTTAAATGTTTAAATCTTTAGGTCTTTAAATGTTTAATCTTTAAATTTTTAAATCTTTAATATTTAAATCTTTAAATCTTTAATGTTTAAATGTTTAATGTTCAAATGTTTAAATCTTTAGATTTAAACATTTAAAGAAATGTTTAACCTTTAAATGTTTAAATGTTTAAATCTTTAATGTTTAATCTTTAAATGTTTAATCTTTAGATCTTTAAATCTTTAAATCTTTAATCTTTAAATGTTTAATTTTAAAATTATTAATTATTAAATAAAATAAATTATCTTTAAATAAAGCCGAGAATCTTTTTTAATGGAATTGAACGAATTTTTCTCTCCGACTGATCAAAACGATAAAAAATGGAAAAATGTATGAAAATTTTAAAATCTTTCGTTTCATTTATGAATTTCTTTGAAAAGTGAACACTTTCCATATTTTCTTTTCCTCTTTTTCACTTGGGAATGTTTATTTTTGCCATTTCTCTTTCTCCCGAGCAATTTGTGCCTCCAAGGGAATGAGAAAGGAAAATTTCACAACGAATATAGCTCAAATCATTTCGATTTCTTTTCGTTTGTGTACTTTATTTCTTTGTAAACGCACACTTTCTGATGCACTCGATTAGTCGCTTGTTTCTGTGCACTAGGTGACGCGCGTTTACGAGGTGATTTCTAGGTTGATGCTGTGCAAATGAGCGACTGTTTTCGGCTAGGCTCAAACCTTGTTATTAAATGCAGACTGGTGGGGTACGGTAACTTTTAGCGCTATTTAGTATCTCATAGTGTGACAGTAGTAGATGCTGTCTCTTCTATTTGGCACTAGTGTAGGGATATTGTAGATAAAGACTAGTTTTTTATGTCTTTTTCCCGCGTCACTAGCTGGCTTGCGTAATCAAAATAACAGGCTCACCCACACACTTTCCCTTTGCCCAAAAAGAAAACCAATTTTTAAAAAAAGATAAAAAAGATAACCCAAAACAGCGTCGCGTACTTAAAAAAGTGAAAATTTTAAGTAAATCTTATCAAATCTTTCTAAAAACAAGCCATTTTTAAAAATATTGTTTCTATTTTGTACCAAATTTAACCAATTTAGGCCATGAAATAGAATTCTTGGAGAAATATTAAGAATTATGATATTAAGAGGTCTCTAAGCGGAAAGCACAGCATCTACTACTGTCACACTATGAGATACTAAATTAAGAATATTAAGAATTATCAATTTCTTTACTTTTTTGCTTAAAAAACATTTGAATTTGTCAATTTTTTTTACGGTTATGTATTATATTTATTCAGCTTGCTCATTGATGCTTGTTCTTTTTTTTTGAAAAATGGCTGGTTTATTTGCCCAGATGCTTTTTGACACAACGCGCAAGTTGGCTGGCTACAAAATTTCTTGAAACAAGGGAATTCTCTAAAAAAATCAACGTTAAATGAAGTTAATGTTGATTTTTAAGAGTTTAAAGGTTTATTTTAACTTAACGGTTTTCCACTATATAGCCAATTTTAACATTAAAAGATATTCAGTTGTTTGCCTGAAATGTTCATTGAATTAGTAATGAGTTAATAAAAGAGAAAACGGAAATGACAATGAAAATAGATTTGAATGCTTTACTCGTTTTCTATTTTATAGCTTTCTCTTTTATTAACTCATTACTAACTCAATGAACATTTCAGGCAAACAACTGAATATCTTTTAATGTTAAAATTGGCTATATATTGGAAAACCGTTAATTTTGTGCATTTTTCGGAAACTTCTCCGTTTCTTATCATTTTCCGTTGAATTATTCTAAACCAGCCCGGTTTCCACCCTTTTTTCCATTTTTTCTTTTGGGAACGCCCTTGGCAACATAAAACATGGGCTTTTCACCGTGAAATCGATCGGCGATTGGGAAAAAAGATTAGAGTGGCGTTATCGGAACCATATGCTAAAAATCACGCATCAATTCTGCTAAATATTGAGAATTCCGTAGATTTTGCTCATTTTCTGTCGATTCTTTATTCAATATGACTCAGAAAGGTTCTTTTGTTTGGCTTTCTATTGGATTTTATTTGGTTTTACATGTTTAACTTGTGCTTTTTCAGATACATCACTCGAATTCTTCACATTCCCGCCGAGCAGCATGTTTAGAGAGGTGAATTTTGAAGAAATTTTGCTTAAAAACGATTAGAATTTGATGAAATTTGGACAAATAAGACTTTAAACTTGAAAATGTAGTGATTTCCTATGTAAAAAGTCATAAAACAATCGCTAAACCAGCTAAATTTATAAAATTTAGTGAGAAATTTTAGATTTTTCGCGTTTAAGCCGGTTAAATCAACCGCCAGATTGAAATTTTTACAGATACTTTCTTTATAAACGTTACAAAACCATGGTTGATCTTCGGATAAGCTAAAAGTTTAAATGATTTTATGCTAAAACTGTTGCTTAAACTTCTGGCAATCAATAAACGATATAATTTTTTTTTTTTAGGTCAAAAACATCACTTGCGTGGGCGCCGGCTATGTGGGTGGACCAACATGTGCGATGATCGCATGCAAATGTCCTGACATTCGGGTGACCGTCGTCGACATGAACGCTGAGAAAATCGCTCAATGGAATTCGGATGAGTTGCCGATTTTTGAGGTAATTTTTTGGCTAAAAGGCTGTAGAAGAAAAAACTTTTACACTGGATTTGTTGAACATTTCAAAAAGACTACTAGACGTTGTATAAAACTTTTGCGAAAGTAGAAAGATGACGTGGCGATTAATAAGTTAAGATGAACATTTTGACGATGAATAATTTAAGATCCGCTAAAGTTGTAAAAGTTTAAAAAGAGATTAGCCGCCTCGTTTGATAGTTCCGTAGTAGAATGACTGAATTTTAACGATAAATCGTATTTTTAGCCGGGACTCGAGGAGGTGGTGAAACGTCAACGCGGAACGAATCTCTTCTTCTCGTCGGATGTGCCGAAAGCTATTCGCGAGGCGGATCTCATCTTCATCTCCGTCAACACACCCACAAAAATGTACGGGAGGGGAAAGGTTGGTTAGCTGAGAGGCTTTAGAAGTCTAACGATAAAGTTAGTTGAGTTATTTTGGTTAAAACAAACAATTGAAAAGTCTATCTTTCGATTAACTTTACAATGTGTTTTTATTCAGGGCATGGCTCCCGATTTGAAATACGTCGAATCGGTGGCGCGGACAATTGCCGAACACGCTGGAGGTCCGAAAATCGTCGTCGAGAAGTCAACGGTTCCCGTGCGAGCCGCCGAGAGCATCAAAACGATTCTGATGGAGGCACAGAAGCACAATCGAGAGCTTCATTTTCAAGTGGGTTTTGTTGATTTTCTTGGTGAAAGAAAAATTTTGGCTATAATGGCGCCTTAGGTGCTGTCAAACCCAGAATTTCTCGCTGAGGGTACGGCGATGAAAGACTTGGCAAAACCGGATCGAGTGTTGATTGGAGGAGGTAAATATTTTGATAATTAAATACAAATCATTAAAGAGATATGCAAATAAATTCATAAATTCTTAATATTTCTTGTTCAGAGTCGAGTCCCGAGGGATACGAAGCTGTCAGTCATTTAGTGCGCGTCTACGAGCATTGGGTGAGTGAATTTGTTCTCATTTCTTATTAACAATGTGTATTTTAGGTTGATCGCTCTCGAATCATCACGACGAATACGTGGAGCTCCGAGTTGAGCAAATTGGTAATGAAGATTTGTTAATATGTTCTAATCACTAATGTTTAGGCTGCTAACGCTTTCTTGGCACAACGCATCTCGTCGATTAACGCAATTTCGGCAATTTGCGAGGCGACCGGGGCTGATGTGTCGGAGGTAAACACCAAATTGGTGTAAAATGTATTATCAAAAGCTCACATTTAGGTGGCACACGCTGTTGGCTACGATTCAAGGATTGGCAACAAGTTTTTGCAGGCATCAGTCGGTTAATTAACAAATTTGATTCGAATTTCAATGTTTTCTTGCAGGATTCGGTGGAAGTTGCTTCCAAAAGGACGTGCTCTCGCTCGTTTATCTCTGCGAGTCGTTGAATCTGGGAAAAGTTGCTAATTATTGGAGAGGAGTAAGTTTTTTGAGTGCCTGATACGATTTTCGAACTACTATCATCAATAGTAATACGATCTTTTAGGTAATCGAGATCAATGACTGGCAGCGAAGACGTTTTGCGGACAAAATTGTTGGCGAGCTCTTCAACACGGTGGCCGGCAAGAAAATCGCCATTTTGGGTTTCTCGTTCAAGAAAAATACCGGAGATACGAGGTACTTTTTAAATCGACGAGTAAGATAATTTTAATGCTCATAAAATACCGTAATCAGGCCAACAGGAGAACTTCCGACTCCGTGAAAGCTTCGATTTTTTGTGCTCGTAAATGTGTGATTTAGACTAGTTTTATAGATTAGAGTAGTTTTACGGTAGCTTTTATCTGTTAGTTATATTTATAAAGCGATTTCATCGATCTTTTGAAATTTAGAGAATCATCGGCAATCTATGTGGCCAAACATTTGCTCGAGGAGTGCGCCGAGTTGTCCTTCTACGATCCGAAAGTCACCGAGGCGCAAATTCGATCCGAATTGGCGCTCGTTTCGGGCAAAGAAACCGGTAAATAGCTTTACATTTATCATTGCGATACTGAAATGTTAATCTTTACCTAAATATCGTTTTTTTTAGTTGATCGCCTCGTGAAAGTGCACTCGAATGCGGCGCAGGCTTGCGAGAAAGCGCATGCGATCGTCATTTTGACCGAGTGGGACGAGTTTAAGGTAAAAATTTTTTATGATATATTGAGTTTGTCTTTAAAAAATCTTTCAAACTCCTTTCTTCAGACATTGGACTACGCGAGCATTTACAAGACGATGCAACACCCGTCAGCGATCTTTGATGGACGATTGATTCTCGATAAGAAACAGGTAGGAGTTTTTCCTAGTTCCTACTATAATAATTACAATATCTTCCTTGAACTTTCAATATCAATGCCTACAAAATAGCGATTTATTTAGCTCCGGGAGATTGGCTTCCGCGTGTTCGCGATCGGATCGGCGCCCGAACAAGCGTACAACATGTTCGGCACAGCTGGATGTGGATCAGGAGGGGATAGCTCACCGAATCGATAAATTTTCGAGCTTTTTGTTATAATTTCTTTTGAAATATCTAATTTTGCTTGTTTTAGACAGATTTTTAACGTAAAACAGTATTTTTGATCGATTTTGAGCATATTATTTTTCGATTTCTCATTTTTTTTAGTGATTTTTAGCTTATCCTTTTTCTGTGTTGACGTGTGTCACTTGCCTTATGTGTTTTCTCTACAAAACTTTCCTAATTTCTGTGATTTCCCCATTTTTTTCTCCTCTTCACTCTTTCCATAAACTTTATACGTGTACGATTTTTTTTTTGCAAATTTTGATGATGTTGCTAATAAATATTCTTTATTGGAAAGGGCTTTTGCACCAAATTTCTTGTGGATTAAGTACAGTATGCTGAAGTAATATGCAGTGATGGGCAGGGAAATATTAAGTTTTAGGGGATTTTGAGATGAAGTGGAGAACCATTGGCGGGAAATATGGATAAATATCACAGCACTTTTACTAATAGGAAATCAAAAAGTTAGCAAATAGTTATGTGGATTGAGAAAAGGGGGTTTAGCTGAATACTTTCAAAATTAGAGTATCGATTAGGGGATACTAACTTTGAATTGCATCCGGCTAAATTTTGATTTGAGATATTCAGCAAGTAGATTACGAGTTCACGTCGAATAGTCGATCGATGATCGCACTCAGCGTCGGCTCCGAGTATCGAATCGTTTTCTGATCGACTCCCTCACCCCGACAACGCTCCACCAAAGCACCGTATCTCGTTAGCAAGAGCTTTTTCACCTGGATACGATAATTATTTTGCTTTTTATCTTGCATCACCTTTTCCCGGATCTGCTCAGCGCGATGTGGATCGGCTACGCAAAAGTTTTTTTGTCTCGCAATCGTAGCCTCGAATTCACGGTTGAAAGTCTGAAAATGGCAAATTTAGTGAAATAAATTCGCATTTATTTGGTTTACGGTAGCAGGTCTACACTTTAAAACCCACATAAACAATATTTGAGAGACTCGTTCGATCGTGGGCTCTCTCGACACCGCTTAGCGTTGAAGCAACGCCGTGCCAGCTAAAAAAAGCTGTTCTTATTTTGGTTCTGGCGGTTTGATATTTAATATAACTTTAATATAATATAACTAAACCTTAAACTAACCTCTTTATATAATCTTGTTCATAGGTGGCGATCTCGTTCAGGTAGAACTCGAGGATTTGATGATTTTGCTCAGAGATTACCGGCAGAAGAGCATCTTCCTCGTCTTGGAGGCTCTAGAAGTGAAATTTAGCTAATAAATAACACTAGATAGATAATTTATAGATGTTTTACAGATATTACAGATATTACAAATTACAGAGTTGTACCTTGGCAATGTAGTTGTAGTTGTTGATCTTGAAGATCGAAGCGAGCATCGGATCCGTATAGAGTTCAGCCTTTCGAGATAAACAAGCACCGAGAGCCGCCAGGATTTTAGCTGAAACTTTGTAAGTGCTTTCTTTGTAAATGAGACTTTGTAAGTGCCTAGTTCCTTAAGATCTTTAAGATCTAAAGATCTAAAGATCTAAAGAACTAATTGGTCAAACGAACCGAAAAGCTTTGGCATTAGCAAATGAGTATTTTGGGGAGAGGCAGCGGTGGGGACGAGCAGCTGTTGAGTGACCGTTTGGCGATGAATCGTCAACATGCACAGCAGGTTGAGGGTCTGGAAAATAAGAGATCTAGAATTGTGTACGCTAGAAGGAGTTTAGCACAAAGTACACGCCTAGTTACACTTACATTTGCCGTCAATGGGTGCACATTTCCATCTTCGGGCACAAATTTGTCGACTTCTGTCTTCAGCCGTTCGACACTTTCATCCAATAAAGATTTGCATTTGATACGAAGCGAGCGGAACATTGGCTCGAATTGAGACTCCATTTCACTGTTCTGAATTTGCTGGCATGAAAAAGGGGATTTGCTAACAGATCCTTGCAGTAATCATACAGGATCTACAATACTACAGATCTACAGTACTGGATTACGGTACTTATCTACAGTCTCCCGTTCTTGCAGTATTTACAGTCTACTGTCTCTTATAGTACCAGTTGTTCTCCTTCTATTGTAGCACTAAGGACAGTTGAACTCACCGATGCTAGAGTGATGAGTTGATTATTATGTGTGGAGAGGTGTCGAAGAAGTGGTAGAAGGGATGGAAGGGAATCGATTCCATTCATCGCCTCGACTGCTGTGCGGATACAAAGTGAGAGTGGCTTGGCGATGACCCCACGGTGAACCTGAGCAGGTGATAGACTTATGGTAGCTTTCGGGAAGCTTGTCACGTTTTAGGAAACACTCAAAGTACTACCTGTGCTCGAACGGAGACCTCGTTGAGAATCTTCTCCATGATCGTTTCCTCGACCTGGTAAACTTGAACATTTTCAATTTTGTCGGAAACTTACCGTAACCAGGGCTAAAAAGCATCCAAATAACACATGGGCTACATTGGCTCGATCGTGAGCGACGGATGAGAGAAATCTCGTCTCTTTCACTGCTCTTTCTCCTCGAATCGCTGCTTTAGAGATGCTAAAAGGTGGAAAATGGTTACAGTAGATAGAGGAAAGCTTTGGAATCAATGTGGGCTTCTATTTGCCACATTGATGGACATATGACGGATTACTGTAGCCTGTTGGGTACGGTAACTCAAAGCCTGTTGGGTACGGCAACTCAAGGCTATTGTAGAGTACGATAGAGTCAATAGCTTAACTTTACCGTAGCTCAAAATTACGCTAGAGTACGGTAGTTCGAGTAAAGTACTGTAACAAGGCTTACCCTTTATAAAATCGATTGCTCGCTTGGGATTCTCGTAGTCGATTCTCTTCTGCAAGCACTTGAGACAACGTTTGTCTCATATTCTCACTTCTAAAGAATTTGATAAAGATTGATAAAATTCTGAATCGATTACCGTATTTCCGAGTACTGATTGAGGAAACGGGGATCTCTTCCTTTCGACAAAAGCCAAGTCGCCACTTTGCTCATCTTTTCCGTGCTTTTCATCGTTTGAATGGCTTTCACTCGACCGGAGATCAGTTCTGAATAGTTACAGTACGACTAGCACTTAATAGTTACAGTAATCTATTTGCGCAGTTGGTCTATTGAGTGTCCATTCGATCGTACTCCCCCCCGTACTAATAAAGTTAGGGGGCACGATGTTGTCAATTTTTTTGCGTTTGCTAGGGTAATCGATGGCGCTGATCACGAAAATCACATTTGTAAGTCATATTTATAATCAAAAAACACAAAATGAAATGCAAATTTCAACAACACGACACGATTTTTGAAAAATGTTTAAGAATAAGGGGTTTCGTCTAGTTTTAAATGCAAATTTAAAAGCAGAACCTCGCCAGGATGCCAAGCCACGCCCCCACACGTCAAAAGCTATATAACTAAATTAGATTTTTTAAAATCCTCTATTTATCATTATTTTTCGGGAGTGGGACAAATGCGACCTTTTTTTGCGCACCTTTTTTTTCCGCACTTAGCCCATTAGCGCACCTTTTTTCGCGTTTTAAAAAAGCTCTAAAAGCTAATATTAACCAATTTCTATTCCAAATGTTGTTTTTCTAGGTAATTTGAGGGTGCCGAATTCAAATTTTGACATAACAGAGCGTGTGGAACCAATTTGAAAGACAAAACGGCTAGATCAAATTACAGAAAATTGTCGATCTTTCTCTTTGTATAACTCCGTCCGTTTGTTTCCACAAGCTCTGATATGTCAAAATTTCGATTCTACGCCCTGAAATTACCTAGAAAAACAACTTTTGGAATAGAAATTGGTTAATATTAGCTTTTTAGAGCTTTTTTTATACGCGAAAAAGGTGCGCTAATGGGCAAGGTGCGGAAAAAAAGGTGCGCAAATGTCCGGGTGCGCAAAAAAAGGTCGCATTTGTCCCACTCCCTTATTTTTCTATTTTTCCTCTATTTATCAATTTAAAAAGGAAATTTAGCTGTAAATCTGATAAATATATTACAAGACATGACTTTGCTCGAACTAAGCGCTAAGTTGATGCTACGTGGCTCCGATTTTGAAGCTTCGCTAAGAATCTGGGCATTAAAGGCAATGATGGTGTTGAAAGTGGAACTGGTATTGATTTTGTTAAGCTGGTGAACCGTGGAAACTCTAGATTACCCTAGAAAAAGCAAAAAAAATGAAAAAAAAACATATCCCTATCCCTCTCCTTAAAACGAACCCGCATTCTCGTCCAAACTCTCAATCAACACTTTCATATCACATCGAATCGTGTTATCGGAGACGATATCACGGAAATCCCGTTCAATCACATCAAACCCCGTCTCGAGCGTCATTTTCTAAAAGTCAACTACCGTATTTTCTCTAGGAGTAGTGAGCGTTGCCTAAATTCCTCGAAATCTCGAGAACCGCTTATCAGAACATATCGATGTGGGGTCGGAAAATGTAGCTAACGATGAGATCTAGTGGGGGATTTGAGTGTTGAGCTTCTGGGAAAACTTAGAAACTGTAAAATGGGCATCAACTCGGCTCACCAACTGTCACCAGCGGTCACCAACTGCCGGGGTGCACTACTATTAGAGAAAATACGATATTTTAGATAAACTGGTAGTTTTAAAGTGCGAAAGTGCACGGATTATAACCGACACTAACCATGTTATCGATTTGAATACGTTTCTCGGGGTAATTCTCAAAAAAAGCAATCGCTTGTTGAAGACAATCGATCGACTCAAGATAGGCATCGAGATCTTGAGTGGGTGAACCGTCTCTGAAAAGAGATTGATTCGAAAATGCACCTTGCTATCGTACCCATTCAATGCACCTTACATTCAATTCTTTATCCAACCCTAACCCACCTGATCCTCGTCTCGAGCTCGCCGGTTTTCCCGTAAAATTGAAAAGTTGTGTCGATTGTGCGAATCAAACGTTGAATGTCTACAAAATATGCATTGTGGAGAGAATCTATACCGTAATCAAGCAATTGCCGTTTCCTAAAACGCGCTGAAGCCAGCGGTGGTATTTAAAGCAAAAGCAAAGAAAAATTTTCATTTATTAGCTCGCACAAACTTTGCTGTCGTTTCTGCAGTCGCCCGTTTTTCTCGTGTTTCCCCATGACATTTTGCTAGAATTGTCATATTTTGGTCGATTTTGCTACGAACCTCCAATTTTTTCAGTCGACTATCGAATTGGTCTAACACTTTCTCGATGTCATTTCTCAATTGTGCACTTTTCTTTACGTTTATTTCGAATGAGCGCAGCCATTCCTCTTCCTGAAAGCGTTTTGTTAAACTTTTAAGAGATTTTCTTGAAAACCTGTTGCAATTTCTTGTCTATCACATCTACGTTCATTTATAATACGATGGCTGGCTTGGCGTTGAGCATAGATGTTGTAAAAGGCTAAAAGTGATCAATCTTGGGCTTTTCAAAGTTCTAAAGCAACAAAATCGACAAAAACAATCAGTTTTAAAAGTTTAATAGTCATGTGGCGTTGAATTTTTGGTTTCAAAAGGCTTTAAAAACGGGCTTTAGCCATTTCTACTGCATTCGTTAACCTAAAAATCGTTTAGCTCGTGCTTTTCAACATTTAAAAAAAGAAAACTGTTAAAAACTCATCATTTTTAAGGTCTTGTTTAAAAATAGCTTCTAAACAGGTTTTGTTGGCTTGTCCGGTCCTTACAACCATGAATAGTCGAGGGTAAACTTTCTTTTCCCATACACACCTATTCTAATGACGTTCCGCGGCAAATCGACGGAAATTTCAAGGGGACTGGGGCTGGGTTACCGTCCTTTATGGGTTAGTCATCATTTGCCGCCCTTATTTGGCCTTATCTGTGCTGGTTTTTGCAAACATTCCATTGAGAACATTTCTTTTCTACCATTTGTGTCCTCAATTCTCGCTAATTAGTCTAATTTTGCAAATTTTCAGAAAACTAGCGCAAGATGGTGATCGCCGAGCTGGATGAAGCGCAATATGCCGAGTGTCGCGAGGTTTTCTGCTATTTTGATGCGAAAGGCGACGAGAAGATTACCATTGCACAGGTGGGCTCGGTTTTTGGAATAATCGATCGGTAAAGCTGAGCAAAATAGCAAACCCGTAGAATTTAATCGTTAAAGTAGATGCTTTTGATGAGTTTTAACGATTTGCTTATGTAATTTTGAACTTACCTTTTTCAGCCAATTTATCATTTTATTTTAAGCTCTAAGTTTTAAATCTTGAAAAGCCCATTGCTTTTTTGCAAGCTAATCTCAATATTTAGGTTGGTGATGTTCTTCGCGCTCTTGGCCAAAATCCATCAGAAAGCGAGATAGCTTCATGCTGCCACACGTGGTCTGATCCGAATGCTCGAATCAGCTTCGAAGAGTTCATCCCCATGTATCAAACCGTCTACAAGAAGCGCCAAAAGTGAGAAATTTAACTAAAAGACGATCTGTTATTGTTGAAACTGGCAAAGCTAAATTTTATTATTTAGGCACAATGTTGAGGAATTCGTTGAGGGACTTTCACACTTCGACAAAGAGGGAAATGGAATGATTAACGGTGAGTAGCTTTCTTTTTTTGCAGCATATTATATTTAAAAGCATCTTTATAAGATTAAATATTTAGTTGCCGAGCTGCGCCATCTTTTGACGACCTTGGGTGAACGACTTAGTGATGAAGAGGTAAAATTTTAATCTTGAAGCAAAATAGTTAAGAAAATCTTGTATCTTTGACAGTAAACTTCTAAATTGCTTATGGCAGTGCAACTTTGCACTTTTTAAAATCGAATAATTTAGCTTGCATAATTGTTATTTGCTTAATTTTTATCTATCTGTTATCTGCCTTAGGCCAGCTAAATTCACCAATTAACCTATTTATTGAATTTCCTCTTTAGGTGGATCAATTGCTTGCCGGACGTAGCGATACGAGCGGAAACATCAACATTTCGGACTTCGTGAGGAATGTAATGAACGCCTAAGGATCCTCTCTTCTTCGTCATCGAATACATGTATCATTTGTTCACTTACGCATTCCATTGTCTAATTTTTGTGATGATATCTGTTTGGGCTTGTGTGTTTGTTTTTCTCTCCTTGCCAGTAAATGATCCCAGTGAATTTACCGTTCTTTATCCCTTTTTTAAATTATGTGGGTATGGAAATAAATGGTTCTAAAAGAAAATTTAAGATCGAATGGGTGTATTTCCTGCTAATAACTAATAACGTAAAATTTTTGAGGCGAGTTTGCAAGTATGGAAAAAGTACATCTTATAAACGTTTTAAGTTGCAATCAGCTTTGAATTACACGTTTTTAGATGTTACGCGCAAACGGATGGCCTGCTCCTGGGGATTCAACTCTGCACACGTCGATCCCTTCACAAGTAGCCGAAATTGATCTCAATGTGCCACTACATCGGACTTTAAAAATGTTGGTTTTGAATTTACAAAGGTTATTGAAAAAAAACTTCTTTAAAGAACTTTCATGATTTCATCAACTTTTGAAAAATCTTTTCATAGTCGGTTGTTTATCAATAACGATGTTAAAAACTTGAACTTTAGATACAACTTGGCCAACTACACTTTTGGCACAAAAGAGCCCCAGTCGGAGAAAGACACATCAGTGCAAGCACGTTTCCAACGGATGAAAGATGAATACGATAAGGTTGATGAACTAGTTTAACGCTATAAATGTTGTGTTCAGGTTGGAATGCGCCGCTCTGTGGAGACTGTCTTGATAGTGCACGAACACGCACTTCCACACGTGCTTCTCCTACAAATTGGAACCTCATTTTATAAATTGTAAGTTATATAAACTGGTGGCTTTTCTACTTTGTATATTTTAGGCCAGGAGGAGAATTGGAGGCGGGCGAGGACGAAATTGAGGGAGCGGTTCGGCACCTCAACGATTCGCTCGGAAGAACGGATGGGGTGAAAAACGAGTGGAAGATCGAGGATGAGATCAGCAATTGGTGGAGGCCTAATTTTGACCCTCCCAGGGTAGGTGGTTTTAAGATTAAACGTGTCTACGTGGCAGTGTTTCTTATGCATCTAAAATTCAAAATTTAATCTGAATATCAAGTGTCAATTTTTTTTATTTAGTATCCATACATTCCGGCGCATGTTACTCGTCCAAAGGAACAGACGAAGATCTTCCTCGTGCAACTACCAGAGAAAGGTTTGATATTTGATTTAAGCCAGATGAGCCGGACAGACGATCATTTTTGGAAAAAACATGCAAATTTATGATTTAACCTGCAACTAGAATTCGGAACTCTTATTTTAAATATCCAATTGTGGCTAATTCATTATTTTAGCACTCTTCGCCGTTCCCAGAAACTACAAACTGGTGGCGGCTCCACTTTTCGAGCTTTACGAAAACGCGAACTGCTACGGGCCTCTCATCGCAAGTTTGCCCACCGTTTTGTCAAGGTTAGTGCCTTGAAATTGATTAGTAAATCAAAGTTTTAGGTTTAACTTCGTCTACAACGATTGAATTTTTCATCACAAACGCGAGCTGCTGATGGGGATCTTTTCCACATTTTTCATTTTGATCTCGGTTTGTTCTAATAAAGTTGTTATTATATGGATATTTTTGTTGAGAATTTGCTAAATTAATACGGGAATAAAAAGTTTGTACAACTTGTTGCACTTTTGAAATAAGGCCAACGTTTATCTGGGTTATTATTGCAAACATTTAGATTCGAAATGAAATTCTAAGCTTTAAATACATCAAATTAGTTGAGCAAGAAAGCCAAGTTAATCGGGTATAAATTGGATCGAAAAAGGAAAAATATCGGACGAAAAGCTGATATGCAAAAAATGGGCTGACTTGACGGGATAGAACTCGCAAAATGTGAAAATGGAAATAGAAAATTTGTAAAAATCAGAAAAATTAATTCACGTTGCGAGAAATAACTCGAGAGTCGGGAGAGAAGAATTCGGGGATTTGACGGAGCGAAATCGAGGCACTTTTTAGTGGGGAAAATGATAGATTGAAGAGTTTGTGAGACGAACTCTAGCCCGATCATTGACATGTGGCTTAACTTGGTGCCTAGGATACTTGTAAAGGTCTCTTTAGGTTATCCGTTTCGCTAAAACGGGCCAACAGCTAATCTTACCCCAGCTTCTATCCAATCTATCCACTTTTTGTCCGATTCTGCACGGGCTCACAAAAAATATCGAAAATTGCAAAAGTAGATGGATTGGATAAAGCCAAAAGAGGCAAGGTTACGGTAATTTGAAGAAAAAGGGGCACGTTGTAGAAAACGGATTACTATGAGCGGCTAGAGTTCGGTCTCGCACCGTCATCGCTGCGGTTGTCGGGGTTTCCGATCCTCCCAAACGGGACGCCCGTTCTTGGGGGCGTTTGATGAGGAACGTTCGGAGCTGCTGAGCGCCTGAAAATTGGGCAATAAACTGTATATTGTAGTTATTTGGATCTAGTCGACTACAGTACTAGAGTACCCGATTTTCAACCGACTTTTTGTATGGCTGATTTCCGTCTTGCCCTCTCGCAACACATGACAGCGCCGATGACGAGAAGGAGACAGAAAAGAGCCGCTCCACCGCTCACGAAGATCTCCGTTGAGTGACCTGAGATTTTAAAGGTGTACTGTAGTGAACAGAGAGTACTGTAATGTGCTTTTAGTGTACTATGTACTGTGGCGTACTGTATCGTTCTGTAATTTACAGTGTACTTTAGAGTGCCGATATCTCTTACAGTGAAACTCGTCCGAGAAATCCCCTTCAGCACAATTGGGGACCCCGTTGCAGACAAGGGATGAGTCAATGCAGAATTGGGATCTGAACTTCATTGTACGCTATACGGTAATTGTACTGTAATTTGCTTTCAAACGTACTTTGGCTGACAGATTCCCTGACCGTGCTCGACGCAGAGAAGTCCACCGTGACATGTGAACTCGTTGCAGGCGGGCTCATTTCTGAAAGTACTGTAGTAGGGTTGTAATCTAATGTAGTGAAGTTGGGTAGTGAAGAGCTGTACACTGTGTAGTATACAGTAGAGGATATTTCAATCGTAATTTCAAGGCCTGGCCTGGGTCGGAAATTTTTGTAAAGGCAAATGGCGTTGCGTCAGATTGTATTCTAGTGTACAGAGTCCCACAATTATGGTGACGCTTTCTCTTTCTTCTTTAACTCTCTCTATCTTTAACTGCTTTCTGTTTTTCTTTTCTTTTCTTCATTAATTCGATGATTTGATTGTTTTTTTTTAAGATATGAAATCTAAGAGCTGCGTTCAGCCATTATTACTCTTCATCAGCAAGGAAAAACACTCGCAGAGATATCTCGAATCTTGCAGAAAAGAGGAAATTTGTTTCGCGCTCTGAAGCATTTCAAAGAAACGGGCTCCAATGAAGATCGTAAAGGACGAGACGAAAGACTGCCAGCAATTCAACAAAAGATTTTTGATTGACTCAAAAGGAACCCGAACTTCTCAAAGAATTCTGTTCGAAAAATGGTCAAGTCAAGAAAAATCAAGATTCAATGAAGATCGTAAAGGACGACACCAAAGACTGCCAACAATTCTGCCAACATCGAAAGAGACTGCCAACATCGAAAGATTCTTTGATTGACTTAAAAGGAACCCCAACTTCTCAAAGAATTCTGAAAAATGGTCAAGTGTTGGTATTGGAAAAAGTTCGGTTTATCGAATCCTCAAAACAGCCAGAATGAAAGCTAGAAATGGGATCGTATTGTAGTGTATGGATCGTAAAGGATCGTATTGTAGTGTATGTACCAAAAGCACTGTAGCTGGGTTATAGTATAGTATTAAAGTTCAATGATCTACTAAAAAACTCACTGAATCATCCCGGTCGATGTCTCGTCAATGATTGCGTTGATCGCCGTCCAGATCAACTGGAAAGAGTAAAGATACTCAATTAATCACTAGAATCTTCTTTATTTACCTTAAACCCGACTTTCGACTCGTCATCACCGCGTAACGGTGTCCGCGCGCCGGTTTTGAACCTGACAACTGGATTTGATAAGTTTTTTCTTCAAATCCAACCGTATCAACAATCGATTCCCTGTTGTGATGTACGAGCGAAGGCCCTCTTCCTCGTAGAATTTGAGATTTCCACAAAATCTGGAAATCTACTCTAAGAGCTAGACTTCGGATTACGGTCTTATTACAGTCTTGACTCAAATAACTTCCACCCACTTTGCTTCCGAGTGCTCAAGTCGTCGATCGTCTCTTCGTTGCACATTCAACTCATGGCGATACCCATTCGCCACCGAGAGCACACCAAATTCGCATTCTTCTGCAAATGAAAAATGATCGCGTACCTTTGATACAACGAATTTGAAATCTGAAATATCTCTGCGTGGTTGCCCCCCTTGATCTCTGCGTGGCTGCCCGGTCAAACGCAATCATTGGCCATTCGGGGCAGCCACGCACAAAATTTGGGACAAGCTATCGTTATATCGAAATTTTTGATCCCGAACGAATCGTCTATCGAATTTTGGCTGGACTAGCAAGGCATAAGACCCTCTTCTGGCGGCATCCGAATTGGGTCATCGTAGCTCATTGGTAGAGCACTCCCTTGGCAAGCGAGAGGTGCCGGGTTCGAATCCCGGCGCCGATTATGTTTTTTGATTCTCAGTCCCTATAAAAGGACTACTGGTACAGAAAGACTCACTGATATCGGAGATGTTGAGATGAATGAGGCGGACGTAGATGCGTTGACTCGGATCAACGCGGACAAGCCACGAGCACGAGATATTCTTCGGGTAGGAGAGGGGGAAACCGGGGGACGTGATCTCACCCCAATGGGTACCCGCCTGGAAAGTATTTTCATTTTCGTCATGGCCTAGGCTAAGAGCCATGTATCTTAGTCGGTCAAGGGGTCCCGGCTAGATTATTGGCTCTAGATTTGGATTCTTTTCTTCCCTAAATTTAAAGCTTAGTGATTGTGCTTTTGTATTGTTTGCACCAAATTATTCGTATACAAAAAACGTGAAAATTTTTATTTTTTTGTAACTGGGAGGCTTCTGTTTTTAATTTGATTCTTTCGTATAGCTAAAGATCATATCTTTAGCTATAGTAAAGGTATAGTAAAGGTATAGTAAAGCTCTAGTAAAGCTATAGTAAACCTATAGTAAACCTATAGTAAACCTATAGGAAAGCTATAGGAAAGCTATAGTAAACCTATAGGAAACCTATAGTAAACCTATAGTAAACCTATAGTAAACCTATAGTAAACCTATAGGAAAGCTATAGTAAAGCATAATAAACCTATAGTAAACCTATAGTAAACCTATAGTAAACCTATAGGAAAGCTATAGTAAACCTATAGGAAAGCTATAGGAAGCCTATAGTAAACCTATAGGAAAGCTATAGTAAAGCATAGTAAACCTATAGGAAAGCTATAGTAAAGCATAATAAGCCTATAGTAAAGCTATAGTAAACCTATAGTAAAGCTATAGTAAACCTATAGTAAAGCTATAGGAAAGCTATAGTAAAGCATAGTAAGCCTATAGTAAACCTATAGGAAAGCTATAGTAAACCTATAGTAAACCTCATTCCTTCCACCGCATGCAGCTTCATAGGTTCGATCTGCATCAAAATACAAGGAAGTCGGTTGCCGGATTGAGCCTAGAAAAATGAAAATATGGTATACATTTAAAATTCAAGCTTTTACTAATGGCAAAAGGCTTAGTAAGCCATAACTGATCGGACGAGTTTGGCCCACAGAAAGTCCCTTTGATTGATTCGGCTTTCACCTGGCTTAACTTACAGACAGGATTAAAACTGGCCAGAAGCTAGAGCCCAAGCCTGCTTTCTGGCTCATCCAGGCACTTCAAACTTTAGATAGAGTGACTGACTTACAGGGATTTTCCAACCAGGAATCACCAGACAAAACTTCAAGCTAGATACTAGATGAGGCGTGAAGCTTATCAGACATTAAACACGCCCTTTTCCCATTCTAACTTTGCGCTCAAAATGCTTGATGTTGAGCTATTCAATCTATAAATTATTAGTGTTATTAGATGTGCCAAGTCTTTCTCTATCGATTGGTACAAAAACTATTTAAATTGAAAAGCCGAACACCAAGATATTTGAGCTTAAAGTTGGATTGTCAATGGGAAAATGGTGGGGTATATCAAATGTTCTATACTCAAATAAACCAGGTTTTGATCTGTTTTTACATTTGTTTCACCTTCAGAGATGAATTGGTACTCGATTTTGAAGCCACTTCGCACAGTATTTGTGTAGGAGACAAACTCGAGAAGGATCTAAAAATCTTGAATATCTAAAGGATCTAAAGATGAAAAGATCTTGCAAAAGGCCAAAATAGATTCAAATCGTTTACAGCTCTAGATATTCTATATTCTTTAGCTCTAGTTATCTTTGAGCTTCGTTAATCGATAGCTGGAAGATTTTTAGCCAAAAAAAAAGATGAAAATGACTTCAAGCGGATCTTTCTGGTCAACGGGAGGGTGCAGTGAATATCGGGGGAGGAGGAGGAGCAGCAGCAGGAGGAGAAGGAGAAGGAGCAGGAGGAAGAGGAGGAGAAGCAGCAGTAGCAGGAGGAGAAGGAGGAGCAGCGTTAGCAGGAGGAGAAGGAAGAGTTGGAGCAGCAGGAGGAAGAGCAGGAGAAGCAGCAGTAGCAGGAGGAGAAGGAGGAGCAGCGTTAGCAGGAGGAGAAGGAAGAGTTGGAGCAGCAGGAGGAAGAGGAAGAGGAGGGGAAGAGGAGGAGGAGGAAGAGGAGAAGGAGGAGGAGGAAGAGGACGAGGAGCAGGAGCAGGAGGAGGAGGGGGAGGGTAGGGTAACTTCCTTAGCCAACTTGCAGCCCGATTTTAAATAGATTTTTGTTATTAGGTTGTCCAATAAGTAATGCGTGTTTTGACACGATTTTCAAAATATCACAAAATTAACAAAAGAGAACTTTATTAATCGATATATTCTCCACAACAATCAACAACATTTCTCCATCGTCCGAGCAAAGAGTGAAGTCCGTCATAATAGAATGAAGCTGGTTTCGATGAGAAGAAATCGTCGAGCCATTTTTGCACTTCGTCAACACTTTTGACTCGTTTCCGTCCGCAAATCGTTTAAACCAGCGCTGGCACTGGCTGATTGAAATTGAGTCCTCCCCAAATGCGGCTCAGATAGTTCGATGGCAATCCGCTGCAGTTTTACCTCGTTTGAAATCATACAGCATTGATGCGCGGACAAAAAACTTTTTGTCTTTCATCTGCAAAACAACATATCTATTATAAAGCAAAGGCAAATGAATAAAATAATATATAAAAATAAACACAAGATGCTGATGATTAAACAGAGCATATATTTGCTCGAAGCGATTTCGCAATAGTTTCGAAATAAGTAACACGCATTACTTATTGGACAACCTAATAATAACTTTTGATAAAACAACTATTTTCTGAAAGCTGACATTCTAAGCTATCTAAATCTTCTTAAAACTTTCTGATCTGACAAGTGTAAGATGTCTAAAAATCAGTTGGAAGTAGGCCAAAAAACTTACCCACCGCCCGTTAACCGGAAAGATCCCTTTGAGCTTATAGATAATAAAATCACTCTATTATGATCTATTATATATTAAATCTATTCAAATCGATATCATTTATCCATATTCTATTCAATATCTTTTTCTCTAACACACATTCGATTGCATCGTCTCGAAAACGCGCTCGAATTGATCGCCGCCGCAAATTCGATCGCCTGAAAGATGGCGAATTTACATAACTTTTTTTTGCTGTCTTTCGTGTGTGCCAAATTTTGTTTACACATGAAAAAGGAGAGATTTTGTTGTGTTTTGGTGAAGTTTGAGAGTCTTTTGTGGTTGCAAACAAAGAGTATACTTTTTAAAGAGCCTGAGCTTTCTAGAGCTTGCTTCTAGAGCTTCTAGAGCTTTCTAGAGCTTCTAGAGCTTCTAGAGCTTCTAGAGCTTCTAGAGCTTCTAGAGCTTCTAGAGCTTCTAGAGCTTTCTAGAGCTTCTAGAGTTTCTAGAGCTTCTAGAACTTCTAGAGCTTTCTAGAGCTTCTAGAGCTTCTAGAGCTTTCTAGAGCTTCTAGAGCTTCTAGAGCTTTCTAGAGCTTCTAGAGCTTCTAGAGCTTCTAGAGCTTTCTAGCGCATTAAACTTCTCATTCAACTCACCAATATGTTGTCTTCCTTGTCGATCGACGACAATAATAATCAAATACGCGTCTAGACATTGATGAGAACGTTGGGAACGGGGTGAGAGATCGAAATGGGAAAAGATTAAGTGAACCTGAAAAATGGGTCAGTTTTAGCAAGGTTTAAGGATTCTAGAAGTTGGGCTAAAGGATTTGATTAATCTGAATCTTTGAGTTGAGTCAAAGAAGTCAGAAGTTGAGTCAGAAGCCAGGCACTAGTCCTTTACATAAAACAAACCACATTCGAAGCGGTTGTTGACAAATTGTAGACACAGTTCACCCGATTCGGATAGGGATCTGGCCAATTTGGTGAGTAGACAACTCCTAGAAATTTGCATAAGGATTGCTTTGCTAATTGCTAATCGATCGATTGCTAATCGAAAGCATTTGAATGCTTAGCTCTTTCTAGAAGCTGCTAGAATTGAATGGCTGACATTTGAATGACTTTAAATGCTTTGAAAAATCAAATTATTGTCAACAACAGTAAGCCTGAGCAGTAACGATTGTTGAAATACTAAAATCATTTGCAATAACTCACCAGTCGTTGGATTCTCGTGATAAATTTGAATTGGTTTCGTGCATGGGAGTGATGCGTTAGCGAATCGTTGAAACAAGAGCCAAGTTATGAAAAAAAAAGTTGACGACGAGAAAACGGAGACGGGATTTCCCATGACACATTAGATGATTGATAGGCTAGAGAAAAGGGATCACCTCTCTCTGAAAAGGCATCTGAAAAGGCATCAAATGGTTGGTTACGAATTGAAGAGTTCAAAGAGAACAAATACCTTATTCTCTCTAATAGTAATAGTCTCTAATAGAGTCTATAATGGACCCCGTCGAGTTGATGCCTATTTTACAGTTTCTAATTTTTCCCAGAAGCTCAACACTCTAATCATCGTCAAGATCTCATCGTCAGCTACATCGTCAGCTACATCATCAGCTACATTCGTCAGCTACATCATCAGCTACATTCGTCAGCTACATTCGTCAGCTACATTCGTCAGCTACATCGTCAGCTACATCATCAGCTACATCGTCAGCTACGATCGTCAGCTACATTCGTCAGCTACATTCGTCAGCTACATCATCAGCTACATCATCAGCTACATCGTCAGCTACATTCGTCAGCTACATTCGTCAGCTACATCGTCAGCTACATCGTCAGCTACGTTCGTCAGCTACATCATCAGCTACATCGTCAGCTACACATCGATAGGTTCTCATAAGCGGATCTCGAGATTTTGAGGAATTTAAGCGAAGCGGGAATTAGGGAAAGCAATGAACCGAAAGTTGCGTTTTGCCTAAAAAAACCCAAATTTTATTGATTGATCAACTTCTTAACCTTAGCTGAGCTAAGAATTTGCTACTTAAGCCCCGCCCTTTCTTAAAAATAGACCCAAAAGTCAGATTCTCCATAGCCGAAAACCCCTGGGAGCGCGCGCAAAGCTGAATACTGTATCCTCGCTAATAGTAGTGAACTCCGACGAGCCGAGTTGGTGACTATTTTACGGCTTCCAATCTTTTGCAGAAGCTCAACACTCAAATCATCGTCAAGATCTCATCGTCAGCTACATTTTCCGACCCCACATCGATAGGTTCTGATAAGCGGATCTCGAGATTTCGAGGAATTTAGGCAACGCTCTAGGTGCTCTACTATTAGAGAGAATACGGTATTTTATCAGTAGGAAATAAGAAAGAAAGGGTTAGGAAAAGAATTGGGCCAAGATTTCTCCTTCTGCATGAGTCTAGAATTCATTTGGTGGGCCTGGAGGGTTCGGTGCGCCATTTAAAAGTGTTTTTCATGTACCGGCTTTTGCCTAATGCACAGATTGCTAATACAGAGCCGAGTTGATGCCTATTTTATAGTTTCTAAGTTTTCGCAGAAGCTCAACACTCTAATCATTGTCAAGATCTCATTGTCAGCTACATTCGTCAGTATTTCAAGAAAAAAAACAATCATCAAACAAATTTGATAGCATAAACAAAGCATAAACATCAATCAATCATCAAAGAAATCACCTTTTTTTGCTTTGCTTTGCTTCGCTTGCAAATCAAAGGTGTACTTTGTGCTTTATGAATACACCGAATCTGATGCTCTATTCGTTTTAGATTCGTTGCCATAAAGAAATCTGTTATACGGTGGTGTGAATACTTTTCAGTTCTACCCCCCGTCACCTTTCCATTTCGGTTATACCTCCACTTTAAATCTTCAAAAACGGTACTATGTGGTTAGCGGCCATCATGCATCAATGTATTTGTGAATTTAGCCTATTTCAGTTCGGCAGAGGTTAAAGACCTCTATTCACAACAGTTTGGGACCTCTATTCACAACAACGGTTTAATTTAGTCTAGCCTGTTGTCACTTGGGCAAAGGTCTTTAACGTCAATAACCCTGGAAATCATTGATCATTTCAAAATCTTCTCAACGAGCGTCTTGGTTCTCTGATTAGCCACAAAAGCAAGGAAACATTTGTTTGGGTGGCGGGGAGTATAACTGAAAAGTACGAGGATGTGTGTGTGTGTGTGTGTTTAAAAGCATTGCTAGATATGTATCATGTAGTTAAATATCTAGATACGAAACTAGTATAGCATATCTAGCAATGGTTGTAAAGCTAAATCTCTAGCTACATATCTAGCTTTACAGCCTAGCTAGAGATGTAGCTTTGCAAGCATTGCTAGATCTGTATCATTTATTTTCTATTTTCTGTTCTGCTGTGCCAGTAAGACAAAAATTCTAAAGACAGTAGTTATTGATTGAGGGATGACAGAGAGAAAATGTTGATGATGAAAATACGATGGAAAGGATTAGCATACAATGGAAAGATCCAGATTCTAGAAAAATTTATTCCAGAAGGTGAACAAAATTTTCGGAATGGCTGAAAAGTAGGGGAAATGGCAAGAGGAAAGGCCGCAAAACACATCGATTTTAGAGGGGAGGATTTGAAGGAAGAAGGACAAGGAGAAGTTCCCGGGGCACTAGAAAAGAAAAAGAAGTAAAAGGGGGGAAGAGTTGTGCACATCCTTTAGTGGAAATGGAGGGGGTGGGGGAAGGATGGGCCAGGGAGACCCCAAAAGAGGTTCGAGGGTTTACGATTGGATGGGTCTGAGGGGAAGATATCGGAGACGGTTTAGGCTCAGGCTTTGGCTTTGGCTTGGATTTGGCTTGGCTTGGTCTACGCTTTGCTTTTGCTTTGGCTTAGGCTTGGCTTGGCTTGGCTTAGGTTTGGCTTAGGTTTGGCTTAGGTTTGGCTTAGGCTTGGCTTAGGCTTGGCTTAGGCTTGGCTTAGGCTTAGGCTTGGCTTTGGCTTAGGTTTGGCTTAGGCTTAAGCTTGGCTTGGACTTAGTGCGAAGGCTAGCGCCGCCCACTAAGTCTATTTGGGTTTGGGCTGAATCTCGATTTTCTGGATCTGGGCCAGTTTAGGCTTAGGCTTAGGCTTAGGCTTTGGCTTAGGCTCAGGCTTAGGCTTTGGCTTTGCTTTTGCTTTGGCTTGGCTTAGGCTCTGCTCATCTCTTGATCTCTGTTGGTATTTTCCAAAGTCGAAAAACAATCCATTGTTTCAATCCGCTCAGCGAAAGTGATTCAATCCAAGTTATCGAACTTCAAATTGACCCAGTCAGCAGCTAATATCGTTAATAGATCCGCCGACTTTCATTGAGACAGATTTATTGAAATTTTATGAAGATGCTCTGTCTCTTATGCAATAGTGTCCCCAAGAAAAGGCTCTCCATTGCTCATCCCTTTCTCCATTCACTTCTTACCCTTTTCCCCAAGAAAAGCCCATTTCAACCATCCTATTCCCCGTAAAGTCTCTTCCAATTCTCTCTTTCCCGGGTTCGTTTGAAACGATTGCCTTCGAATGTGGCATTGAGTGAGTTGAAGTTGAGAAAGACTCAACTATTAGAGACATTTACGGGAAAACCCTAAATCCTTATTAATTACAAATCGAAATGAAGATCTAATTCTTCGATTCGAATCAAAATTCAATTCCAGAAACAATTTCAGAAACAATTCCAATTTCAATTTCAATTTCAATTCCAGAAACAATTCCAATTCCAAGTCAACAGTGTTTTCTAAAAGGTGTTAATTTTCGAAAAATTAGCGTAGTCTATCGTATTATCTAGTAAAGCTTTTATTTTAATCGTTGATAAGATCGATTGCAGGTTGAGGTTCAATTCATTGTGGTAAAATAGTTGGCCTTAAAGGGGGGGGGGGGGGGGGCACATCGGCGCGAAATAAGGCAAAAATGCGTTTTAATTTTTTATAACTTTTTGTAGAGTTGAGCAAATTTTATGATTTTTGCATCAAAATGTTCGTAAGAATCTCTAGAATAAGACCTACTCCTTCGTTTTTGGTTCTAGACCCTCGTTGTCGAGTTACGAGCTCCAAACTGCAGGGTACCACAAAATTTCCCATACAAAATGACCAAAAAACTGCTAAAACTCAATTTAAAAAATTTCTGTCAGAGGGATTTGGAAAATTCCTTCAGATTCGGAATCAGCACAATTTTCCGCATCTAAAAAAGGTACTCCCAGAAAAATCCTATAGAAAACGCATTTTCGCGCCGATGTGGGGGGGGGAGGGAAGGGAACGATTCAATATCATTCAATTTCATTCAATATCATTCCATATCATTGCTTCTCCATTCAGCTTTAGTCAGTGTTCCCACAAGTGTTTCTTTTAGGAAACTTTTAGAGTCTAAGAAGCATTAATGTAAGAGTCTAAGAAGCATTAATGTAAGAGTCTAGGAAGCATTAATATAAGAGTCAAGGCACATTCCAGGTTTCTCCTCAGCTTCACTCTCGTTGAGAGCACAGAAAAAGTTAGCCTCTCATTTCGCGAATCGTTTCTTCGTTAAACCATTCATCACACCGTATAACGCTCAATTTTTGGATCTTCTGTGCTCAATTCTCGCAAGATTCTATTCGAAAAAAGACGCTGAAAAAGTTGGCTTTACTCAACTGATTAAAATATTCAAATATTAGCTTGAAGAAAGCTTTTACAAATTACAGTCTTTACATTTTTCCAAACGTTTTTTTGAAAATAATACCGCCACCAACAAAATTTCGAATTAAATTTCTAATTAAATTATTAAAAGGCTTGTTTTTTTTTCTCTGCAAAATAGCTTTTGAGAAATTCTTGGAAGTAGTTTTGTGAATTAGTTTTGTGAATTTTCAAAGACGTAAAGGCGAGCAGCTAAAGTCGTAATTTGGACACTTTCAGGGACACAGAGGGGGTATTAATCACGGCCGGGTGACGATAAAAAATTTTTTACGGCAACCACCTGTTTTTTTTATTTTAATATCGCTGATTTTATTATAAAAAGAATAAAAATCACCCGGCTAGAGTGATTTGATGGGATTACAAATTTTTGGAGACGCTGCAAGGGCTCGCACGCTGCAAGGGCTCGCACGCTGCAAGGGCTCGCACGCTGCAAGGGCTCGCACGCTGCAAGGGCTCGCACGCTGCAAGGGCTCGCACGCTGCAAGGGCTCGCACGCTGCAAGGGCTCGCACGCTGCAAGGGCTCGCACGCTGCAAGGGCTCGCACGCTGCAAGGGCTCGCACGCTGCAAGGGCTCGCACGCTGCAAGGAATTATGCATTCATCTACAAGGTAAGTGCGAAAGTAAAGCTAAAGTCAGGCATTATGTTTTCTTTTTGTTTTCTTTTTGTTTTCTTTAGATTTTCGATTTAGACTTTTGATTTTTAACATCTCTAGATGCCTTTTTCCAGATGGAGAATGTTTAGATAATGCGAAAGGCCATCAAAAAAAAACCCTAAGCTATCTATTAGTAATGCGTAGTTAGTAGTGTTGTTCCTCTCGAGTAAATGCGTTTTCTAAAATGCACCAAAATATTTGAGAAAATTACTATAGTCAAATCTCCAATTTTCATTCAATTAGCCCAATTTTTGTATCATTCGATGAGGCTCAGTCAATGGCAATCAAAAGGCTCAGTCAATGATCCCAAAATCTGGCGGCTGATCGAATGTAAACTAACGACTTCTATTGGGTTGGGGACTATGACTCGGCGGACAAAAGAAAGGCAAATTTATTGAACATAAAACCATCAATTCATTCCAAATAATTTCCATTATTATTGACGACTTCTGCCCATTTTACAGGCAATTTGCGGATTCCTCTTTCGTAGTAGGAGTTTGGTTTGTGTGTGAGACAAGTGTGAGACTCAAAAATGGAGGACTGGAGATGTCCCAGTTTGAGCACTTTCTTCAAAAGAAACCCATTTTGGTGTTAATGGAAAAGTTGTAGAGAATCAAAAATTAGGCTTATAGCCAAATTTCCGAAAAGGTAAACTTAGTAGTTTCGCTTAAAATGCAAGTTTTGTGAAAATTTGTAAATTTGGCATTTCTTGAAAACCAGTGTTTGAATCGTTCTGAAAATTTGGATATAAGCTTGATTTTTGATTCTCTACAACTTTTCCATTGACACCAAAATGGGTTTCTTTTGAAGAAAGTGCTCAAACTATCACATATGACAATAGCCGGTAGTTTTCAATTCACCAACCCAATATATTGACTATTTTAACTATCATTTGATGCAGAATGAAATTACGCATCGAATGACACCAAAAACAACTTAAAATATAATATTCATGCAAAATGAAATATTGGTCAAAATACGGCTGAAAAAATGCCCGTACAGTAAGGCAGACAGAAAGACAGACAGAAAGACAGACAGGTACCGTAACCCCCCTCGCGTCCCCCCCTCCTTTTCCGCCATTTCATTTGTGAAAATTCGTAAATTTGGCATTTCTTGAAAACCAGTTTTTGAATCGTTCTGAAAATTTGGATATAAGCTTGATTTTTGATTCTCTACAACTTTTCCATTGACACCAAAATGGGTTTCTTTTGAAGAAAGTGCTCAAACTATCACATATGACATATCGTCCGCCGAGTCATAGTCCCCAACCCAATAGTTCTAACATAGTTTCTGGTGCAAATTGATTATTTGTCCAATTGAAATGTCCAATTGACCCTTTTGAAAAGATTCCATTCACTATTTTTTTTCTGAAAACACCGGAAATCCATTGTTCTCTACAATTTTACGAGTCGTTTTAGCAAAAAGAAATCCCCTGGAAAACTAAAGAATTTTGCTCAAAAAAAAATGTTTTTATATCAATTCTATTTGTTTTCAAGTTTTTCTCTAATTTTCGGTGATGATTATGAAACCGAAAATGAGCCCACATTTTCGTGCTATTTCTGTGTGCACTCACAGAAGAAACAAGACGTGGAAACGGGTGAGGAAAGAGTTAAAATGATGAATTCATCGAAAAATAGAAGAATTTTGTCTTTTCGACTAATCCGTTTCCTAAAAAACACTAATTTTAGACAAACTACTGTAATTTAAATCGTCTTTTTTCATTCAATTAGCTTAATTTTTTCATTATTCGATCAGGGAATCAATGCTCAATCAAAGATACAAAAAATTCAAGCTAGCTAGCTAATCGAATGAAAACTAGCAACTAGATTACGGTATTGAATCTCAATTCAGTCTAGAATAGCTAGATTACGGTATTTAGTATAGATTAGAGTACTCAGTCTAGATTAGAGTATTCAGTCTAGACTGTCTGGATTACGGTATTGAATTGAATCTCGAATAGGATATTCAGTCTAGAATAGCTAGATAGATACTTTGTCTATAAGTAGGCTCTTGATTGACTAATCTAAGCCATTCTCTTTTCTAAGCTTTTCTAGCCTCTTAATCTAAGCCATTCAAAGCCGATTAGCTGTCTCTTTAGCCATCTCAATTTCCAGATGTCGATCAAAATCGAATTTCCAGATGCCGATCAAAATCCGGACTGCATGAACAAATTGAAATTCGGTTCGCGACGTGATCTGCAACGTGTTTGTACATCTGCTGAGAAGTTTTGCACGGTGAATTCACTGTAAAAGCTTTTTACTGATCCAACAATTCCAGTCAACGGTCACAAATCTCAATGGTTTCTTCACGTACGTTGAGCGAGATTGCGCACAGGAATGCACTGAGGGATGCGACGAAAGAGGATACGGGCTGTTCACACAAAGTTGCACACGGTCGGTTATAACTTGGGCTAACGCTTTGAAAGTGTGTCTCAGCTACAGTAACCCTAACTCAGCCTATCGTAAAGACTCAGGCCGGATTACGGCACCTATCCGAGTCGGCGTTCGAAAAGTTTTCAAGTCAATTAGCATTTTACTATGACTTTGCATTTGATGCGAAAAGTTACCGTAACCTAAAGATTTCTAGTTGTTGCAAGTCGAATCTCTGCAACGAGTACGATGGCCGGAACTATTACCTTCCGAATTTTGCTTCAAATTACCATTTTTCTTCGTTTTTGATACTTTTTATTGAAATAATAAACTTAACATTATAAAAATCAACTATTCTATTGTAAAAAAACGAGTGAATTTAACAAGAGGAAAACAAAAAGAAATGCTTTTTAAAAAAAACTACAACAAGAACTATAGAAATCTCTCGTTTTTCTCTAAAATGATCATTATTTTTAAATTTTTGAAAGAAAATCACAATCATCTCAATCGGTAAAGACTAGAAACCGATTGTTTTAAAGAAAAATCGGGCAAGTTTGAAACAAAACACCAACAATTTGTTTGGTGGAGAATACCAATTGAGCATCAGAAATGAAAGTGATAGAAGAAAAAAAGATATAAACCTTGGGAAATTAAACCGAGAATCGAACACCGGCTTCGCGTTTTGCTTTCAGAATAGCCATCATTTGGAAAACCGAGGAGACGGTCGGGAAATCCGGAGAATCGGGAACAATCACCTGAAAGAAAACGGTTCTGTACAACTCATCAACACAATTTCTTGACAAATTTGCATTTATCAACCAATCTAGTGAAAATAACAAAGCATAACTATTAGCCTTTTGACGAAAAAGCCAAAAAAACTCACTCTAGTAGCACGATCGAGGCAGGCCGTGCAGAAGTCGTAGTCTTTTCTAAAACAGGAAATATTACGTCCTATTAAGAATTTATCGAATCAATTGTGTAAAAATGTGGAACGCTCGATGCGAAATGATGCAAATATAATTTTTTTTCAGGCATGTACTAGAGTTTTCTTTATTTCTTGTTTTCTTCTGTTTTCTCGTGTTATATTGAATCATCGGCATGTGAATGGCTTACACAGTAGTGGTGTATTCCCTTTGATAGGTGCTAAAGTTATCCCGAAAAGAGCTTAAAATTAAGAAAACAGTAAAAACTTATCGCAGCCAGTTAACGAAAATGTATAAAGACCCCAATATCAGACGTTTGCGCATTCTACACTCTCCTATGACTGCAAATGCCGAGGTTTTCCGTGAATTAATTTGCAATTAGGTGAAACAATTCCTTGCATTAACTATCAAAGCTAACATTCATTAGATATTCAAGTAGATTTGCATTGAGCATTTCACATTTTTACCTAATTGATTCGATAAATTCTTAATCGGACGTAACATGTAAATGGTTTGAAACAAAGCTTGACTAGCGACTACAATTTCACAAAAAAACTTACGCAGTCAATGCCTTTGGCCCAACTTGATTCACTTTCAGCGAGCACAACATCAGATTTGCCTCGGCATGATTCGGCTCAAGAGCCACACATTTCTCGAGTCTTGTCATCATCTCGTTCTCGTTACTCGCAAGCATGCTAAGATTTGAAATAAAATTTGGTAAAAGTAAAATTCATAGCCAATCAAGATTTGTTCGTTTCGAGTTTATTTTCTACGTAAATCTACTTCTTTAACCGCCCTTCTTTCAAATGAAACAAACCTGGCATCAAAATAGTGCGAGCTTTCCTCGGATTCGATTTGCATCAATTTGCCGAGCGTCTCAGCGGCAAGCTCGTTGTTTTGGAAGAGGGCGTAAATCTAAACCACGAATAGTTAGGGTTTTGTGCTTTGAGTCTACTTATTGTTAGACACAGTAATTACGCTAATTTCTAAGAATGTAATGAGTAGATTTTCTAAAAGTGTCTTGTTGGATGGTCATAAAATAATCGCACCTTTGCCAATAGAATCAATGCATATGGCGTCTGTTCGGGTAGCCCATTCACAAACTCTTCGAGCCCCCGAATCCCGTTATGCACCTGCGCCATATCGCCTGATTGCACGGCCACCAAGATCTTCAACATGTGCCGAGCCAGTCTAAAATTAAAATAAATCCATTGAATGAAGTTGGAATTAGTTTCATTAATTTGATCAAAAAAACTAACTTTGCATTCACTGTATCTTCAAAATCGCTTTTGTTAATCACAACATCCGCATCAGTTAAATCCTTAAAAATTGGTAATAAACGATAAAAATATGTAAATCCCACTAACATTCAATTGAGTGAGACGGAAAGTGGCTGTTGTGTAGAAATCGACATACGCCTTGTCCAATTCAATGGCTTTTGTAAAAGCTCTAAATTATTTAGGTTAATGAAGAATTTCTTTCAAAAGCCCACCCAAGTACTTCATCTTTATTCCGACCGATTTCGATCAAGAGCGAGGCTTTCGATTTTCGAAGATCACTTAATCGCTCTTTCTCCAAATCGATTAACAAGTCGAATTCTTTTTCAAAAGATGAAAATATTTCTTCAGCCTAAAAATAACTTTTTGTTACGGTATAGAAATTTAGTTTAAAAAAAGAGTAATCAAACTAACCAAAGCTCTCTGATTCTGAAGTGCCTGGAAACGAGCTGTTAACAACAATCCCTTCAACTTTTCGTCGATGGAGATGCCCTCAGCCGTGAAACACTAAGATTTTAGATTTAAACCTCATTGATAGGCAAAATTAGCATTAGCATTTAGATTTCCAATATATTCAACACGTCTAGCATCAACTGGCACTTCTTAAATCCCCAACCTGACCTAAAATATTACCTTCGCAGCGCACTCAGCGACACTTGTGTAGTGGCGTTCACGAATCAACTGCAACGCATTGTAATAAGGTCTAAACTCAAAGATTTTGATTAAAAGATAACTTTCCAAACCCGTCCCCCTTTGCATGTTCAACGATGTCGACACGAATCGGATCGTGTTCACCAATTTTGTGCAGCCACGCATAGACTCGCTCATGTCGAACCGGGGTCACTTGTTGTTGTGGGTTTGCGCTACGGATCCACTCTTCCTTTTCAACCTAAAACAACTGAAAACTAAAAAATTATATACGATGATATTTGACAGTACTTTTTAACTATTACAAAGTTCATGGGCATAATAATCCCGTTTGAAATACGCGTTACTTATATTGCTTTAGTTAGATATCCGAATTCGCTACCTCTGCTAGAATAGTCGAAACTTGTGCAAGGATGTCTCCGATTTGATTGTCCAAAGCCGGATCGACGTGGGTGGCAGCAAATATATCTAAATAAAAAGCTGCATTTTATCAAAAAGCACAAACTAACCAACTAAAGCCTCTCGGTATTGCCTATTCTTTTGCTCATTCTTTGCCCGTCTTACATAGGCTTTTCCATAATGTGGCTTGTGTTCGAGGGCTTTTGTGCAATCATCAATGATCTCTTCAAGCGACACACCAGTCAAGTACTAAATTTTAAAATGAATCTCCGATTTTTGAAAAAAACCGACCTCTTTAGCAGCTGCCCTATTTTGAAAGCAAACGGCCAGCAATTCTTCTTCACCTTCTCCACATTTCTCAATGGCTTTCGTGAAAATCTAGATTCAATTGATAAAATTTAAATGTAAAAACAAACTTCAATAGCTTTTGGATATTTCTTCACGGAAAATAGTTTATTCCCAAGCTCTTTCAACTCAATCGATTTCATCTGGGCAAGCTTCGAATTGTCAACCTCCTAAACAAAATTGTAATTAAGCAAAATAACCTTTGAGAACTTTTGCTGGGGATGTTGAAAAAAAACCATTCAAAAAACATCAAACTCACCGGTCCGGCTTTGAGTTTCTCGAGTTTCTTCTTGTCGGCATTTGGGTCATCACTGCTCTTTCTCGTCAAGTAGTACTAAAATTTACGTGAAACAGCTGGCTAAATGATCATTAACCAGTCCAACGCCAACTCCAATGGCTCCAGCAGCAACTGCCGCCGCAATGGCCACTCGTCGTGATACGTCCGATGCCCCCGCACCCGTCGTGCTCATCTAAAGGATTAATTTTAAAAAGGTGCAAGTACAAAATACAAATAAACTTAAGAATTGTATAGCCAACTTATAAACTACTAAATAAAAAAAACCTAACAAAATCTTTCAAATAAAATTGTAAATTTTCACCGAATTCGGTTTTAATTTATACGAGTGTGCATGTTAACACAAAGAGTCAACTTTTGAAAAATTTCGAGATCAAACGATTTATTGCGAGATCAACCTAAGCGAAAACCACTAATGAATCCTATAAAATTTGGCACAAAACGCTACAAAACGAGCACAAATTCGGTCCTTAATCGATGACAAGTGAAAACCTAGGCAATATATAAAGTAAAACAACAATCACAACTTAATAAATAAACTACTTGGCTACTTTAAATGACTAAATTAAAATATTACTAACAAGCATTTTGATTTTGGAGTCGAGTGCGGATGTTAGCTTGCATAGCGGCTGCTTGGGAAGAAAGTGGGTGCTGAGGACCATGACTGATCAACAATGAGGAGTAGGCCTGAAAATTAAACGGTTACTGTTCATCTGATACAGCTTAGCATGTATCAGATGAACCACAATTTTACCTCATCAACAGCCACGACAACATCCACCGTCAAATGTGGACTGCTCGCCGCCTAAAAGTTGGCAATAAAACAATATGTACAAGTTAGATAAGTAAGCAAATAAACCATACCGCCTCAGCCGCCATCAACAAACGAATCGATAGTTCGGGATGACCAACTGGGAGGAATTCCCTGGAAACACAAGAATTTGGTTGATGAGCTAAAAATCCTTACTTGAATGCTCTAACCGAGACAAATGCATATTTCTCCAACAAATCCGTTTTCTTCATTTGAAACGCTCCCGAAAGTATCCGTTGCCCGTAGATCGCCAAGAACATGTTGACATTGGAAAGTACCTGGACAAATTAAGTTTGAGTTGTTTATCAAAAGCTACCTTGATGAATTTCTCGTATTTCTCAATGGTTTCTTGTAGTTGACGATTTAACTCTGAATAAAATATAATGAAAAATTAATAGCTTTTTCTTACGCAAAGTCTTGTCCTTTTCACATCTTTGCAATTCCCATTCGAGCTCTTGATTCATTGAGAGAGCCTAAAATGAGTTTTGTTTGGAAAAAAATGCGGATAAACCTCGTGAATCGTTATTTTTTGCGGTTGTCCACAGTCTCGGCACACCAATTCTCTCATTTCTTCATCAACCAGGCAAACCCCATCTCGACAACGGGTGCAACGCAGAGATCGAGCAAGTGAATCCTATGGCCTTTAGTTAGCACACAGTATTTTTTCATCTTTGCTTACCCGTTGCAGATCTTGACACAAACGGCAGCTACAATTGAAATAGTAGTGTTGCTTCAACTCGAGCCCTCGCCTGAAAAGATTTATATTGGTAGAAAAATAGTCAACGTAAAAAATAACTAACCGTGTGTTCAATTGCATTAATTCCGTGTAGCAGACACGTAACTGAAAAGCTTGATTTGTTAAAAAAATAATTTAGCTACAAACCTCTCTCGAGTATTTTGCATTCGAATGTGGCACTCTCAACAACGCTTTCTTTCCGTTAAACAACACAAAAGCATCCGGACAACATGAGTGATCTTGACCGGAAAGCCTAAAAAGATAATGATCTTACTTGTTTGAACACTTTTTACCCAATATAAAGCCCAGTCCCAATCGTCGTGAGTTCATCATCGAAAATCGAGAAGCAATTGACGACAATCTGAACTTGTCGATAAGATTGAGAAAACTGGCGCACAAACTTTTCCAAAAACTGAAAGTAAATTCTCAGCCGGTCGTAGAAGATCAGGTCCAACGTATTCGTAGAGTACCTGAATAAATAGCTTTAAAGAAAAAAAAATTAACACTGACCTGCGATAAGCAGACGAAGAATTCACATCGGGTTGCGTCCTTTTGTATATTCGCCTTGTCTAAAATTTTAAAAAAATCTTTCTTGGGATAAGAATTCCCAAGAAAGATACTCAATCCATAAAAAGTAAACGTACGGTCCATCAATTCCTCGAATGTTCTCGTGTTGAAAGCCGTGTAGGGAGTGGCTGTCCCTTGTTCTTCTCGTCGTCGTTTCAACAAAATCCTCGTCATCAAACGGGCCATTGCAGTCGGGATTTTCGGGCTAACGTTTGCCAACAAGGCACATTCTTCCTAAATAGCCTTTTTATTAGTTTTTACTCGAACTCCGTGAATAATTTCTATTAGAAGTCATGAGATTTACCGGGTAATTTTCGGGACTTGGAAATTTCCGGGACTTTTGATGATTCTCGCCTTTTTCTATACGCTTGTACGTTGGAGGTTTTTGAGTTTATAAAAATACTAGAACACTTAGGGTTCATCCAAGTGACTCCATCTGCTTTGGTCGAATCTTTAATAAGAGTCATCCTTTGAATCCCAATTGCGCTCGTTGGCAATGAAAAAATAACGAGCAGAAAATTAAATGGCATCGTCGCTTTCTTCCTCTGATTCACGCACTCCTCCAAAAATTGTGTCTAGGGTAGTTTCCGTCATTTTCGTCGGATAATCGTTGATAAGATCGATTGCAGGTTGAGGTTCAATTCATTGTGGTAAAATAGTTGGCCTTAATACACAACCAACACGAATAACAAATAAAACCAAATAAAATGAAAATGTCAAGAAATCTCATTATTTGGCGCTATGTATTGACACCAATATGTCAGGCCTAAACGGCTCAACACTTTTATCTGTACACTTATCTTATCTGTTTTGCCATAGGCATTAAAGAAGGGAGTCAAAAGTTTAGAGACATGTCAACAGTGTAAAACAAAATAAATTGACTTTGTTCACCATAGATCCATCGAAAATTAAGTAAAACATCCAAAAGTCCCGTGAATTACACAAGAGCCGATTTACCTTATGATCCGCCCAATCGTCCTTTTGACATTGCTGTGAGCAGTAGTAGAGCACTTTGCATCGGGCACACCGTTTTACATCGGAACGTCTAAAATCATAGTTTTTTTAATCTATACTTCAAATATAGCAACTTACCGCAAAAAGCAACCAGAGCAGACTTCTTGCAGCAACTCGTTAGACACAGTTGCAACATAGGGATACTCCTGGGCCACCGTTGTCATCTGAATCCAAAGTTTTTCAATGAAAATTAGTTTTGAACGGAAAAAAAGTGAATTTTAAAAATCAAATATGGTCTAGTTTTTCGTAATTTTGCCTGTAGTAGCGTTGAACTAAAAATCCCTATGGTTAAAGATCAAAACAAGAAAAATAAACATCCAGCCTGTGATTTGTATTCAAACAGATAAACAAAAGCATTGCGTCATCAAAAATTTTGCTGCCAAAATCAAGTGTTTTAAAACAGATTGTGGGCGATCCTTCTTGGCAAACTTCGTTCTAGATAAAATAATTTATAACCAATATCGAATAACAGTCCACGCTTAACAACTTGCAAAATAAAATATTTGTATCAAGACACCAAAAAGAATAACAAAACACGGGGACCTCTCTAGTTTTTTTTCTCCAAAGGCAATTTCAATATCACAAAAAAGACGATCTAAAGAGGGTATAGATTTATTTTGATGATGACACTAGATACAACCAGAAATACGCTAAGACGTAGACCCCAAAGAACTCGTATATGAAGACAATAAGAAAATTTCAAAACGTCTATTTATTTCGATGTCAGCTCTCATCCTCGTCCTCGTCTACATCCGAGTCCAGCTCACCCGCTTCATCGACATCAAATAAGTCTGCATTGATGGCCATCTTTGCCATACCTGAAATGCCATTTATGCCACTTATTTGTATTTTCTACAAAATTGAAAAATACTCAATTATGAAATAGGAAACCACTCAAAAAATATGAGTTAATATGCAACTTACCATCATTGACCGAATCGCTGACTCCAGGCTCGTCGAGGTCGTTCATGTCCATACCGTCAAAATTGAAGAAAGTCCTCTCATCAATTTCGAATACAGGACCGGATTCCTAAAGAGTTCTAGTAGTTAAAAGCAGAAACAAGCAACACCAAAGAAATGCTAAAGTATTAGGAAGTTTGACTCAAGGCTCTGAAACCGACCTCTTCTCCTTCCTCCAATTCCCGTTCATAAGCAAAGTCATCAGCCTCATCATCGTCATCTTGAATAAGGTCGGGATTGTATGTGAACAAATCACGACCACTCATTCCACCCTAAATTCGCACAATAACTCTGTATAATTAATCTTTCTTACGTGTTTGCCCATTTTGACTTTTTCCTTCTTCGCCTTTTCTGCTTCCTCTTCGGCCTTTTTCCTTTCGCGCAATTTTCGCTTCTTCCAGGAAATGAATGTCTAAAAGTGAAATGAAAAACGTAAAAATGAAACATCCATACCTCCAAAGTGACCTTCGTCAAATTCTTTGAGCTCAACTCGGACCGCTAAATATCAATAAGTTTGATATTTCTTGAACAAAACCTCTTTTTCGAGGAGTTCCTCCAAAGTGATTTCATCTTGTTTCTTCAGATCTTCTAACGTCTTTCGATCCTTTTTCAGAACCTAAAAAAAGTGTTTACCGTGTCCGTAACAGTACTTTTTAGTACCAGTCGTTTTCAGTTAGATAGGTCTTATGACATCTATTGAAATTTTTAAATCCTTACAAATCCAGGCGGAAGGGCGTGGCGGTAGATACATGTCGCACCGTTCGGGCATTCCCAAAACCAACCGTATTTCGAGTTCTCGACGGCTTCAATGAAAAATTTACAAACCTAAACTGTGATTAAAATTGAATGTGTTAATAAAATCTTACAATATCTGTTTGATTGGTCCTTTTCCTGTCCGCTTCTCCGTGTTTTGTTTCGGCCACCTCGGAGAGTTTGTTCTCATCCCAATTCTCGTTTGTTTCTAAAGCACTCTTTTAAAAATATTTCTAAAAAGCATTACCATTATCTCCAAGATCTCGAGAATCCACATACAAGTTTCGCTTCACAACCTTTTGTTCGATTGAAAGATCGTGACTCCATTTGCATTTTGAGCCCTTTGTACACATGCCTTGCTTGAAGAAGAGGCAAAGAATCGACTTTGGATCAACATCTAAACAAAACTCTACTAAAACACCAAAATATATAATTTTTACAAACCTTTCTCCACTTTTTGCATCCCAATCACCGGCTTTAGTAGCCTGTTGAGATCGTCGAGCTCATCCTTATCCTTGTCGGCCTTTTTCTTCGCAAGGTCGGCTTGTTGCTTGGCTTGGGAGCTTTGTTTAGCCTAAAATAAGAAAATGAATAGCTTAACTTTAACATTTCAATCTACACGCAAAAATCATGCCTGATTTGTGACTTGTTGCACGAATTTCTGTTGCTTGGCTCCTTTCTTGTTCTTCAAGCCGAACGTCTTATCCTCGATGACCTGAAATTAGAAAGAATTATGTAAACTAGCTTCGCTCAAGTTTTAAGTCAGTATATAAAGCAACAGCGTGAAACTTGTAGATTCCAAGTAGCAAATGGATATTTTACCAAAAAAAGACTCACCTTCTCCTTTTTCTTTTGTTCGGTCTTTTTTGATGGACCTCCCACGGGCTTTGGTGGCATTTTCCACGTCCCAAATTTCTAAAAAGAACAAAGTAGATAAAAATCAAGCAAATTTCGAAAAAAAATTAGAGAAAAGCTCAAGATTTTCCACTAACAAACACAATGTTATGCAATCAACGAACAATTTGACTTTTTAATGGACTAAAAAATTTTGCTGTTCTTTAGATAAGTTGTATGCTTAGTTTAGATCAAGCAAAGTTATCTTAAACAGATAAAATTTTCAAAAACTGCAAAACCCCAAATTTCTACATACAACGTTATTAGGGACCCCAGGGTTTTTCTTAGTTTTTCTCTGGGTTATCACGTTGTATATTGTAATTTCTCGTAGTGAATGGCTTTGGGGATCTTTTCGGGGACAAACTTGCTTCAAAAACCTTCGAAACTCTTTATAAAAATACTCACCGCTAAAAGAAAAATGCTTGAGCAATTTAAAGAACCCTTAAATATCCGTTAACCGAATATCTTTAGCCGGTAAAGATATTCGGTTAAAAGACGAAATATCTTTATTTTGTTTAAAATGATTGCTTACCCTTTGTGATTTTTTAAACTTGCTATTATCAAATGCTTTTAAGGTTTTTACATGTTTTTGTTTAGGAACGGCATCCTCTATGCACGATAGGAGCAGAGAATTGACGGATTTCTATGGGACGTACTGAGAAGGTTGGATTTTTGAAGGTTTAAATGATTTAAAAGAGTAAGCAAGCTTGGGATTTTATGGGAAAAACAGCCGCTTTGTTAGAACTGCTAAATCAAGATTTTAAAACTAAAATTCTGCTTCAATAATCAATGTGTTTTACCGCCTTTGACCTGAACAATTAACCAAACTCTTAATCCAGAAATTAGTCATAGATTTTATGTAGGTTTATTTTAAAGATTTGTTTTTACAGCAATATTTTCAGAGCCCTGATGCGGAGAACATCATTTTGCCGTCCCTTTGCGCGGGAGCACTCGCGGGAGCCGTTGCAAAAACCGTTATTGCGCCACTCGATCGCACAAAAATCAACTTTCAAGGTAGACTTTACTTTACCAAGATAATTTTTATCGGTTCATTCATAATTTCGGTTTAATTATAAATTAAATTAGCGGTTTTATTTAATTCACAAACGAACTAATCGGTTCATTCATAATTCCGATGATTTTAGTATCGAGAACGAAACGCTACTCGTTTAAAGCCGCTTTGCGATTTGTGAAGAACACTTACATAAACGATGGATTCCTTGCAATGTTTAGGTAAGCTTGTTGAAATTTACACACTGAATGTTATTTTTTTTTAGAGGGAAACTCTGCCACGATGGCCCGTGTCGTCCCCTATGCAGCGATCCAATTTTGCGCTCATGAACAATGGAAAGAACTACTCCAAGTTGACAAGAATGGGTATGTTAATGCTAGTGCGACCTAAATACCTACATTTTAAACCATTTTTTAGTGTTCGAACGCCCGGTTGGCGATACATAGCCGGCTCGCTGGCAGCAATGACGGCAACGATGATCACATACCCGTTGGACACCGCCAAAGCAAGACTCTCAACGTCAAATCGAATCGAGTACCCAACTCTCGTCTCGGTTTTCAAAAAAACGTATCAAGCGGAGGGGATAACTTCGTTGTACAGGTAAGTACAGAGTTATCAATTTTCGGTATTATCGCTTTAGGGGTATGTGGCCAACACTGTTGGGTGTGATACCCTACGCCGGGACGTCTTTCTTCACCTATGAAAGCTTCAAACTTGCCTATGAAGAAGAAACGGGGCATACAGTTGGTCAATTTGAATACAATCTTAAAGTATCTAACTTCAGGTAACTCCATTATGGCGACTTTTCTTTGGCGCGGTGGCTGGACTAATTGGTATCAACACCGCACTTTGATATACAATAGTTTTATTTAAGGTCAATCTTCATCTTATCCATTGGATATCGTGAGACGGCGAATGCAAACCGGTCGAGTACCTGGTAAGTTTAGAGCTTGATTTTCTTACGCAGCATCAATCTTTTTTACCGGTAAAATTTCAGAAAATTGGGGTGTACTACAAACTCTGGCTACAATTCTCAAAAACGAGGGTCTTGTGCGGGGACTTTATAAGGTAAGCCAGGAAATGTTTGTTGATATACCTACCTACCTAGCTTTCACCTTTCAGGGTCTTTCGATGAACTGGATCAAGGGCCCAATAGCCGTCGGCGTCTCGTTCACTACTTACGACTTTCTATTCGCTAAGCTCAAAACGATTCATTTGTCGTAAGCCTTTTAGTGTAAATAGCCTAGCACTTGGCATAGAATACATAGTGCACCATTTGTGCCAAATTTGAAAGTATTTTCCCTTGATAAAGCTCCGAACACGTGTTATCCGTTCCCTCATTGCTCAATTTGTAGTCTTTCGACCGCTAATGTATATCAAGTATAGCCAAAAGTATTCGAAAGCCTTTTAGCGTCAAAATTATTAGTTCCGTACTGACCCTATCTTTTTTCTACTCTTATACCATTACTAGCCTTTTTTTAGCATAGGATTTAGGGTTTTTTCTTGTTTTTATGTGTGCGAATTTCCGTTTTAGCATTTAATCTTTTGTAACGTTTTTTTAGATTTTAATAATCTGTGATACATTAAAGCCTTGTCAAAAACAAAACGAGAATCTTGTTAAAACTAATTTTTATTCTCGGTTGCGAAAATTTTTAGTCGTTAATAGTCCAATCATCTAGCTAATCATTGTTTGTCGTAAAAATTTGAGTTTGTCGAGATTAAAAATAAATATTTTACTTTAAAAAATTTTGATTACTTTATTTGGCTTAACGCCAGGTTGTTATTTTCCGTGATTACGCTTAATTTGAATTGTTCATCAACGATATCCCGACCTTTTAGATTTTGCCAAAGTTTAAATCGCAGCAACGCTGATTGTTCAACTGAACCGACAAATTCTCCGATCGTCAACAAAGCTTCAGCAGTTTTGCAGAAGTAAGGGCACAAAAAAGTATACGCCGATCACAAAGCAAAGTCAACGAATCGTGCCGATACCTAGTAAGCTTTTTAATGGCAAATAATTGTTGCATAATCTATAGTAAAGAGAGTAGCATTTTTTGTTAATACATCATTATAGATACAAAAAGTTATAATTAAGGAGGTTTTGATTTTTAATCTTTGTAGTGACTGAGGTGATCGAACCGCGTAGGCAGAAGCTCGTCTCGCCTGACTTTGACGCACTCTTCACGCCACCATTAAAGAAATTAAATGAGCTCTTTGCGAAGAATGGATACGAATTAAGGTTTATTTCAAACAAGCCAAGCAACTTATTCGTTTGCATGCTTTAGAATTGCTGGCGGTGCAGTTCGTGACCTGTTAATGGGAATTTGGCCGGCGGATGTCGACTTTGCAACAACCGCCACGCCTACCATGATGAAAGATCTCTTTGAGAGGTTTTGGAGGAGTGTAATTTATTTTTAAATATAAACTTTAGAGAACAGATTCGAATGCTTCACAAGAAAGGTGAGGATCATGGAACGATCACTTGTCGAATTGATGACAAAGAGAACTTTGAAATCACGACGTTGAGGGGAGATTATTGATTTGCTTGTAAAAATGCTGAGATTGTGGTTAATGTCGGTTTGTTCTCCGAAACGATAAAATTATGCTAACAGAGTGCTAAGTGTGTTAAAACAAAACCAAAAACTAACCATTAACACTCATATTTGTTGATTTCAGAGTTGACAAAGTTTGCGACGGCCGTCGAGCAGAGGTAGAGTATACAACTGAATGGCAACTAGACGCAAATCGACGGGATCTTACTATCAACTCACTGTTCTTGGGTACTTGTTTGTAAAAATTTTGAATGATCCTAATTTCTTTTAGACCTTGATGGTACGATTATTGATTATTTTGGTGGTATCGAAGACGTGCATAATCGGAGAGTTCGCTTTGTTGGTGATGCAGAGCAACGTATTCAAGAAGATTATTTGCGGATACTTCGGTTTGCAATGTTTGACTATTTTCCAAGGACCAATTTTAGTTACTTCCGATTCTTCGGACGAATTGCTACAGAAGATGGACATGACCCGGTAACTATTGATGCGATTGTCAGGAATCGAGATGGGCTTTTAGCTAGGAAATGCTTGTGATTATTGAAAACCCATCTTTAGGGAATAAGTGCTGAGCGAATTTGGACCGAATTCAAGAGGATTGTTGTTGGTCGAATGGCACCTGATGTAAGTTTAAGTAACTTAAAAATAATATGGAGTAGCAATTAAAACTTGCTGCGATTTCCTACGATCACTCTTTCAGGTTGTTGATTGTATGCTTGCTCGTTGTGAGCTTCATAGACATTTGGGCCTACCAGAAAATGTGAATTTGGAAAGATTTCGACGAGTTTATGAAAAGTATAAAATTTAAAGTTTTTGAAACGACAAGTTTTTTAGATATTCATCTAAAGTCGAGTCGATGACAATGGTTGGATCTCTATGCAACGATGTCAAGGAGATTGCGACTTTTCATGCGAGAACAAAGGTGATTTGAAAATTTGTAATAAAATTATGCACTTGTAACAATTTATTTTTTAGCTTTCAAACGTCGAGCGTGAACTTGGCGAGCTTGTCGTGCGAGAACGTGAGAAAGCTGAAAAAGCGGGAGTGTCGCTCGATTGGTGGAAAGCGCTTCTCGTTGACTTAAACGTTCGACCTGGACACGGTTTGCCTTTAGCAAATAATTCTCAGATTTCATGATATGCTTTCAGAGGAACACAAATCGGGTACGGGTGTCACTCGGGTGTTGCAGCTTGGCATGAGCGTGTGCATGGAGGAGAAATTGTTGAACGAACTACAAGCCTGGTCAATTCCTGTGTTCCCGATTAAGGGTAGATTTTTAATTCACATAAGCTTCAAATCTTGAATTTACATAATGCAGTAAGACAAGCTTTTCAAATGTTTGTATTCGAATTTTGTTTAGGTTTGGATTTGATCGAACATGGAGTGGCTGCCGGGCCGAAAATGCGGGTCACAGTAAATTACCTATTCGATTTATGGCTTAAGGTTTGGTTTTTATGAGAAAATGGTTGTATTCGAATTTTAGTCGAAGTATACATTGACAAAAGATGAGCTTTTGACGCATACGCGAGATGCCGAAATTCCCGATGTACCAGAACAGGTACCGTATTACTGTAACTAATACCGTAAATTCAATAGAATGCCTCCCTATGTTAGAACGTTCCCCTCCAATAGTACGCCCCTTTAAAATAGAAAATCACCTATTTTCACGATAAAACACCTCGTTTTTAAGTTATCTTGTATTTGAAGGTCATTATGTACCTAATTTACTGAAATGGCTCAAATTAGGAGTAAACGTATTAGGTTATGTTTATCGAGACCTCGAAAACCCTTCTCGACAAGGCCTCGATAGTCAAGTCTAGTAACTTGTAACTTCCAACAACAAACCCAACGTAACGACTCTCGTTTAAATTGTGCCCTAATGACCGTAAAAGCAAAGGCACTTGAACGAGAAAATTGAGCTTTTTGCTTTTATTTTCAACTTTCTCTCTTGACTTTTCTCACTAAAAAAGATTAGGTTGGCAAGAAAGTTCATAGAAAAAGTTTGCACAGTGATTTCGCAAAAAACAAGCCATGAATTCTTCCCAGATTTTTTGATCAACTTTTCAAAAATTTTTTGACAAAAAAATAAGAGATTTCTTCAGCTGAAGTGACTTGGTTACTTTTTGAGTGAACAGCCTTTAGACAAGTTTTAATGGGTTAATGAATAGGCAATGGGTCTCATTTAAAACCTAAAATAAAGTACTTAAAATAGGGAAAATTTGTGATTAAGGCAAATTTTATCTAATCTACCTTTATCTAACTTCTCAGAATCACCTATTTTAGTAAAGTGCCAAGGTTTTGAAAAATCGATAGGCTGAAAAAAAATTTCTTGTTTTAAACACGTTTTTCGTTCGTTTTAGAGCATTTCCAATCGAGCAATTTTAAAACACTTTTTAAAAATTCTTACATGGTCCCCCTTATGGGATTTTTCGGGGCGTCCGAAAAAGGATAGGGAAAAAAATAGCAGGGCATGCCCTTCAATTACAGTATTTACGGTAGATATTTATTTTAGATGCGAGGAAAGAAACGGAAGAAGACGACGAGCCAAACGAGTCAATAAACTGTTTTGTTTGTTGATTGTTGTTTTTAAAGTTATTGAGAATTTTGTTGAGTTTAAAAAGCATGCCTTTTTTTTTGTTTATTTGCGGTTAATAAACACTTGTTATTTATAAGTAACAATAGAATTTGAATGGTCATTGTGCCTGTCAATCCTTTATTTCATTCATGAAAATTTTTTTATGTGACGGATCTCGGCGATTAGTGCTTGGAGCATTTTATAGTCTAAAGCCTTATCCGTTAATTTTTAAAGTATGCTATGCTATTTTTTTTTATTAAAACCCATTCCAGTTCAAACCAAACCACCAAATGGCCAACGAGATCGATCATCTGATTCAAAAAGATGACATCATTTGGGCCCCGTATCGGAAAGGACCACTCTGGCCGTCAAAGGTTTGAGATTTAGTTGAAGATTGGCTTTAGACAATATGCAAATTACTTTAAAATGCATTTTCAAATTTCAGGTGACCGCCGTTTACAGCAAAAAGGTCAGCTTCAACTTTTTCCCGCTTCCCGAGAACCCTAAACGAATGGCCGTCTTCAGTGCGAAGCCGACGGTTGGTTTATCGGATTTAACAGTTAGCCAAATTAGATCTAGGTTCAATTATCCTACTTTATCTAATTTGTTTCAAATTCCAGGCGGTTTTCGCGCTCGGCATCACTGATCACTTGCGCACCGATGCGAGCGAGGATTTGCGCGTCGCTTTGGCCCACGCGATCATGCATTTGAAAGGGCAGGGGAGAAAAGTGGTGAGTGAAACGCTAAAGATTCAATGGTGTACTTAAGCGGCGAACACCCCGTTGTAAGGTGTAAGCTAACTTGAGTTTTGTTAAAGCCAAAATTTCGATTTAAGCAACACATCTTTCAGGGTGCCAAAGCCGCTCGTTACACAGAACATGGAGTCGAACAATTGCATGAGGAGGATGTGGAATATGAGGAATTCGAGAAAATCATTGAAAAAGCACAGCAACAAGTCATCAAGAAGAAAGGAAAGAAACGGGTAATCGAATATGCTAATTTCGATTAAGTGATTGGTTTTAAGCAATTTGCGCTAAAAATTGGATAAAATCCGATCTTTATTGGGATATGGTATCGATTTCTTTGCATAGAAGTAAAATGCAAATTTTCGAGATTTCAGGAACGATCTCCATCGGAAGAGCAGGATTTCGACGAGAAAGAGGAATCCCCGTCAACACATGAGGGTAAAATTTAAATTTGAAATATATCAATGATATAAAATTAGAAAACGAACAAGCCAAGCCATCAGTTGAAACGAATGGGAATCGAGGGAAACGATTGAGAAGAGGACAAGGAATCGACGAGGAAAAACGGGAAAAAGAGATGACACCGAAAAGGGGAAAGGTCGCGCCGATGAAAGAGACACAAGAGGTACGTCGAAGGGGAAACGAGTGTCGTAGTTTAGCAAAAAAAGATTATTGTATTTTAAAGCAAAAGCTAGTATTTCAGAGCAAAAACGAAAAGTGGCTTTTCATTTAAAGCTTTGTGCTTTAAATGCTTTAAAGCTTATTAAGCTTTGTGCTTGTGCTTTGTAAACTTTTCACGCTTGGCACATGCAATCTCTCATTTTTTAAGGGTTTATCGATATTTTGTGGATATACAACAAATTTTAGGTACACGATTCAAAGAAAGATGAGAAAAGCAGCGGTGATCCGTCGCCTAGCTCGGGTAGTGGTGATAAGGAAGAGATTCAACAGAGGGTGAGTCAAGGTTTCTGTAAGCCTTGGGAACTCACTCTAGTCATGTGGGTACTGTAAGCTTGGGTACTATAATTACCCAAAGTATTTGCCGCTTGAACCTCATCGGCTTACTGTAGCTTCTCTAGGTTATGCGGTGATGTAGGCATCTTATGTCTCAAGCGCAAAATACTGTAAGTATTGTACGCACTTCAATCCTTATTTTCTGGAATTTAGTGCACCAGGAGGCATAAAGTGTTTACACCACTTTGGTCATAAAGAACAAAATGACCAGTCATTTTAGGCACCAAAGAAACGCGGAAAGACAACGACAAATGGTGTGCCGAAGATTCCGAGTGATGAAATTTACGAGATTGCAACAAGGGATCACAAAAAGGTAAGAAAGGCAAATAGATAAAGTCTGGGTAACATTGTTGCTTAGGGTACTGTAATTAATGTAGAGGCTGATGTACTTGTTAGGGTTTACTGTACAACTAGTGACTTCAGGGTACTTAACTGATCTAGTTGTTAGAGGCTACTGTAGTCGGGCTAAGGATTACTGTAGCTGAAATAATGCACTTAAAGAAACGGTAGCAATGTAAGGATGACTGTAATGAATACAGTAAGTCAACTGAATACAATTTGTTTTTCTTCAGATCATCACCGATTTGATTAACAACCCTTCAAAACAAATGCTCGACTATGTGATTCCGCCAAGAAATTCGATCAAGATTCAGTTCAAAACCGGAAATTTCATCACTGGTTGGTTTTTCATTCACGACGAAGTCATTTTTGTCTGAAAATTTGTAATCCCAGGCATCCTGGGATAGAGAATCTGAATCCGTTATTAGTTTTTGAGCAATTTTAATTTCTGAACCAATACGGCTATCAACAAAACTTTAAAACTTGGGTAATTAAACCAAGTGAAATATCCAAAAATAGAGCAGTTTTCTTTAAAAAATAATAACGGATTCGAATTTTTTAACCCCGAAAACTCCTGATTGTAAATTTTCAACCCAATCCCCCTCAAAAAAAAGTGCTAAAATCGGTGGACCGTATCATCGCGAATGTGTTAAAAACGATAAATTAAGAAATTTTTGAATAATTTGCTTTTAAGGATGAGATTAGATGAGATTTTTTGAATAATTTGCTTTCCAGATTTCCAAGCCGATCACCTATTCGATGCTGTGATGCGTCACTACATGACCGTTCACAAGACAGCGCAAATCTTGCCCGCAGTTCACTATGTGGCCAATTTGCTTATTGAACCGCTCATCAAATACGCAGTTTTACAGGCGGGAAGTTTTGGATATTTTACGTTTTTGGGCTGTCGCATGTTTTTGTCGCCGTGGCGCAGTCGAGAGCGCGTTGTCTACGGCTCACACGACCCGGGTTCGATCCCCCTAGTGCCATTCAATTTTTGCTTTTTTAATTTTTTAATTTTAAATGGAATAACTATATTATATCAAAATATATTTATAGACAGGAAAGTTCACCAGCGACGAGGTGGAGGCGAAATTCGTCGACAATCACACGGAAACGAATGGAGATGCGGTGAAACAAGAGAAAAGACAGCGGTGAGTGCAAAACTTGGTTCTTACAGTTAATCTAAGGAGCTATTCTTATTCTAGAGGACAAAGCCAGGCCTGAACCTTTACGGCTTTATTTCAGCCTTGATAAATCACGTCCTACTCAACTTTGGCTTTAACCAGAAAGATCTAGGTACAGTACCCTGAAGGTCCTAGTTCTCTAGTACAGTAATCCCTATGTAACAATGTTGTCAAGACTTTATCTAGGCTATTTAGACTAGCTGGGTTATGGTATCTGTTCAACCTTTGACTCCTCAAGTAATTCCATAAGAAAATTGCATTTTTAGAATGAGTCACCCATTGGAGGATCTCGTGCGGGTCGCCTGTCAAGAACTCGACAAAATCAATGGCACGGCTTGATGGGTGAGAAAATTTCGGCTAATACTTACTATATATTATTCATTATACCGTAACCCTACTGACGAATTACCGTATCCTATAGCATTTCTTAGCTGAAATCTCCAGAAAATCTTTTTTTGCATAAATGTGGTGTGACTACTTGTTCCATTTTTATTCTAATTTACTGTATTTTTTTGTCGGCTGTGCTGGCGTACTGTAGCTGACTGATCTTTGGATTGCGGTAGTCAGTTTAACTTTTAACGGCTCTACTTAATTTTGCGGGGATTTTTTAAAAAACTGGATCAAATTAGGATCTACAAGGCTCATATTTTATTTTATCTAGAGTTTAGTACAACTACGGGGCCTGAGTCTGTAAGGCGAACAAAAACAGATCAGATTCGACCTGGAGCCAGGCCCAGCCCTGGCTAGGCCCAGAAATTTTTGTAGGCCGAGCTGGGCCTGGGTCTCTTTAGCAGATACAGTAGTCCAGGGCTTTTATGGGCTACATTGGCTTAACCAGGTCATCCTCTGGGCTGATCCAGAGAGTTGACAGGCTCAGGATTAGGCTTGACCCTGGACTAGCCCAGCTTGGTTAGGCCAGTGCCAAGGCTTAGGAAAGTGTTCAGAAATGTTGCCTAGCTGAGCCTGGCTTGGCTCTGACCCGAGCAAGGCCAATACTGAAGTGCGCAGGGATATTGATTTGGCCTGACCTGTCTGTTTCTGGTATGTAAATCAAAAGTCAAGCCATGTGGTAACTAGGGATGCTGGCCTGATCCTGATCACCCTGGCCTTTCCTGATCTGATCTAGCTTAAACCTGATCCTGATCCAATATTGAGCAAAATTTCTGAACAGATCTGGCTTTGAGCTTGCTCCGCCTGATCTTGGCCAAGAGAATTAAGTAGAGCCATCACTTTTCACATCCAAACATTCCCTAACCAAAATCTTACGTGAAACATTTTGTATTTTTCATATTTTCCGAGTATTTTTTTGTTCACAAAAAAGTTTTATGTACTTATTTGTAAATAAATTCTTAGAATGGATACAAAAAGCAAAAAGATTTATGTACATTTGAAAAAACAATGGAAATGCGCAAAAATATCC